AGACACGCGCCGCTGCGCGCCTCCCAGATCTTGACCGTGCTATCGCCCGACGCGGAGGCGAGTTGGGTCGAGTCATGTGAGAAGGCCACCGACAATACCACACTGCTATGCCCCTCCAGCGTCTGCAGGCAGGGGCCCCATGCATCTCTTATAGCCGGCTGTATCGTGATCCATTTCGGCTCTTCGTGCCTGAAAAGATCCTTTATGAGGCTGCGGCCTGGACTAAACAAGAGAGTAGATGCATATGCTTGAAGAGGACTGTTCTCTATTCCCTGCTTGTAATACATGATAAATCGTCGCGCGTCTTGAACTAGTTTAAAACATCCAGATTCGTCTGCTGTTGCCTATTTTACGTTAGCATATGTTGGTAATAAGTAGACTAAGTATTACTTGGAAGAGAGCCTCGAGTTTCGCCATTGATACAACCCCTTCTGACATGCTTCTGCAAATGCTTAGAGCCTCGAGCCAGTAAAGGTAGCTCCGACGTAAAAATTTGTCAATAGATCCACCATCTTGGAAATCGCTAGTCGCATTCCTGGCGGGATTACAGTCGGCTAGGTGATTAATCCAATAGACACACGAGTATCGTGCTGGGGAGAGTGGGTCTGAATCGGGTTGCTTGACTTGGTTAACGGGAAATCCCGGTGCACCTAGGCCGTAGATATCGCGTCTTAGTTTCTCGGACATGACATGTAGCGATCGCGAGAAGATGGTAAAATGCACACATTCTATCCCAGAAGGATAGATCTCATTGTATGCCTTTTCAACCAAAAAGTCCTTCGCTGACTGATGAACGAGGGAGATGGTGCTTTCTCGGAGCGACAGGAAAGATCCACAAAGGCCAATGATCTCCGATAGATCATCGTATCCGTCGGCGACCCCATCAGGCAAGTCAACGAGAGACGCCAACTCGTCTAACGTGACGGGCCGGTACACAGCGGAAACAACAGCCAGTATCCGTTTGCAAAGCCCAGCATCCTCCGAATCCCGGATCTGATCAATCATCCGCCTGTAGAGGGCATCGAGTCCGGGCGGGAACGACGCCAACTTCTGCTGAGCCTTCCATCCCGAAATATGGGATAGTTCTTGGCAGACTAAGGCCACCCAAAGAAAAGTGTCCTTTGCGTTTAGCGATAAGTGGCGCTGGACAGCGTCCCGTGTACCACTGCCGTATCTGTTTCGCTTCGCTAGCCTATCCACCCTGAACTGGATATATGTTGCGACAGCAGCGGAGACAGATTCTTCATTAAGCTCGAGACATAGTCTCACCATCTGCGTTGCATTGTCGAGATTCTTCTCGATACTCGGCCAGTTTCGACTAGAGAAGATCCACCTGGTACGACGGGATACAGACGACATCTGGACGATGAAGTCTAACAATTTCGGTAAGTCTGCCACGCATTCGTCGAGGGCATCGACAATTAAGTACGTGATATTCAAGCTTGGGTCTTGCAGGATGTTGGTGAAGATCTCGGACAAAGCAACCCACGCATTCGCATCCTCGAAGAGCGATTTTCCAGCGTGATCGTACCTTATCCGTACATGCGAGATAAGGGATGGCTGCTGGTCGATAAGCAAAAATATCAAACCTCGTAGCACGGCCGTGGCGTTGTTGATTCGGGAGTCAGTAGCCTGGCAGAAGAAGTACGATAGAAGATCCGGATTAGCCATGGACTTCTTCAGCTCGTTGATAATGCCGCAGAGTAGCATCGTCTTGCCCTTGCCGGGATCGCCCTTAATCCATAGTAGCCGACTGTTTTGGTTGTTGCGCCATTGTTGGAATTCGGAATTTTCGAGGATCCAGTGGTACGAGTCCTCTAGTAAGCCGCCCTTGGTATCTTCTATACGCTTCTTGTCATCCCGGGGATCGGTGAGGCGTACGTCTCGGATGCATTTCTCCAGCTTATCGATCTCCTCTTGGAGCCGTTTAAACGCACTCGGCCTCCCTTCGCCATAACGAGGGGGTATATAGACGCCGAAAATTCCCAATAATGAGTACGATTCGTCTTCTTCGAGCTTGGTCTGGCGAGAGTTTATCCACGAAAATCGCTCATTAACGCTGAACTGAAATAAAAGGTCTCCTTGAAGCGCTGACTCAGGAATACCTGTTATCTCGTAAAGTTGTTGCTTTAGAGAATTCTTGTCACTAAGTCGCTTGCGTTCCTGGGAGAAGAATTCGACTGAAGCTGGGGCAAGGAGCTCTTGGAGCGTCCAACCCCGAGTAAACCATCTGCTTTTCCGGAAATCCGATTCCCAAGTGTCTCTTGCGCCCTCACTCCTTTTCCTCTTCTTAGTCGAAACATCGGACAGGTACACGTAGCATCGAGTCGCGTTCCGATACCACCGAAACATGGAGTTGATGGCGCGCGAGAGTTCGCCGTAGCTTTTCTTGTTAATACAGCAGGTATCAATCCAAAAGTATTGTAGACCATCTTGTCTAGCTTGTTCTCCACAGAACCGGATCTTCTCATATCCACGCTTTTCCTCGCCGGTGCCATTTATCATGTCCTCGAAGGTAACCTCCTTCCGGTTATCCGGATCCCATGTGTGCGAAAGTATGGCATAAGGAGGGATTAGATCGTCGCCAACCAAGTCCTTAGTGACCCTGAATTCGCCCATCTCGCTGCGTTGTAGAAGTCGCATGGCTGCGTGCGGAGGCTGACTAGCAAGCGATGAGGATCGGGAATGGTAGGGCTTAGAGGCAGTAGTGTGGTGCGGCCATCGGCGAAATTCCGTACCTAGCTCTCCAAGTTAACAAGTGTAGAGGCAAAGTACTACGTAAGAACAATTATTCATTATGTCGAATCATTGACTGCTTGTGAGAAGCTTGGTTTGGACAGCCTCGCCGGGGGCTGGGGGTTTCTGGCTGCCCAGCCCAAATATTGACGCAGTGAGGCAGAACGCGGCGTGGGGTCCAGCTTTTTCTACACAGATGGGGAAACGCCAAGAAACACAGATATTCTGTGGCATCTTCTTCGTTGGACCTCTGTTGAACCCTTGCCAACCCTCTTCTCTAATGCTTCCCTTTCCTTTACCTTCACTGTCCAGATCTACAGCATAGACAGCCGTTTTCTATCATCTTAAATCTATTAGCCTATTAGGTACTTCTATACTTAATACTTCCGTACTCATACAATCATGGCCTCCATTTATCTCTGCGATTAAAATCTCGCGACCCGGTACTAGAACTCTTCTGTTCATCCGGTATATATTGCCTTTGAATTTCCCAGAGCGCACCACGCCGGGTCCTGTTCCGTGTCCGTTGCGTTTCCAAAGCTAACATCATTTTCTCATTCCACAACGCCCACTGTGTCGGTCTCATTGCTCTCGATAGGGACCACTGTGACCACGGCCCCCCTTTTGGCCACGTTAGGGCCGTTGACCACGTCAGGAGCGTTATGAGCGATATACGTAAATCTTTCGTCTTCTCGCTCATCATCCGAATCGTCGTATGGGTCGTCGTAAGGGTCGTCATCTGAGTCATCGTCTGAATTGTCTGAATCGTTTGAATCGTCTGAATCGTCATCCGAGTCGTCCGAGTTCATCACCCCTATCACCTTCCGCCAATCGTCCTGCGATTCACGTGCAGCAGCATCGGCCCTAGCGCGAGCCGCAGCCTCCGACTCGGATTTCCGTTCGGCCAGGGCCATTTGCATCATCGTCAAGTCCACCCGCAGACGATCAAGCTCGGCTCGGAGCCGGTCGAGGCAATTGGCGGTGGCGCACAGCCGCCGGAGGTCCGGTTCGATCTTCGTGGCCTCGGAATGAAGCCGTTGCTGGAGCATGTGCCCGAAAGGCTGGAGCGACCGGATCTTGTTTTGAATCGCGGCCAGGGTGGAAAAGGTTGGGAGGGGCGGATGCGCCGCCATATCGATCGGCCGAGGCGAAGATTGGTTACTGTCCTGCTCCAGACGGCGAGTCGGGGTATGAATTCCGCACTTGGAGGTCATTGGCACTTCATCGCCAGTGTTGTCAAGGGACCAGTGCGTCTAGGTATCGGGTACTGAATAGTGTGTGTGTGTTTGATATGAATCAATCTGGTGGAAGTGCTCCATACGAGAGTCCGTCCGCTGGATTATATAAAGCAGAGAAAATATCACCTGCATCATCTGAGATAAAGGCGAATCACTGGTTTTGGATAAGCTTCGGCATCGTCAAATCCCTCGAATTTCCACGGTGTCATGATCTGAAATTAAACCTCGAAAGACCGACTCAGGCCATTGAGACAGGACAACCATGGCGCCGCCGTTCTCGAGAACCAAAGAACAGTGAGGGAGAAAGGTAGCCCTCTACCGAGATTCAGGTACTTCCCGTAGAATGCCGCAGGGTCTAGTAAATTAACGGATTGGTGGGATTTCAGGTGTGTATAAACCTATTAGATAAGGGATTGGATTCCCCTGAAAGATGACGCGGGTTGTTGCTCTTGGGTGGTTAAGAACCGAATTATATTCGAGTGGACCGAACTCCGATCCGGGACGTTATTGGGCGTCCCAGAGTAAGAGAGACGGTATTGTTTGGTACCGGGTACCATACTAGTTATCCTAGTGGGTATCAAACATAGCAGCCTAATAACAGAAATCCATCGACTGATGAACTGAGCTCAGGGCAGCAAAATAGCTAGGCGCCTAGCAAAGGTATCTGAAGAGGTGTGGTAGACCGAAATCGAGTGTTTCAAGGCTTTATTAGTCCTTTATAGCCAACTACTCGATGAATTCTATTTCAGAGTACTTAACTACTCGGAATGACCGACACCAGAATGTTCCGACCGCCCTCATTCACCCGGGGAGAAGAACGTTCACACCCAGATCCCTCTTTCACTTCAGAGAACTCATCATACTCCACGAATTCCCCCCTCTCGCATCCTCCTTGGCGAGGGGGAGAGAAGCAAATGTTGCTGGTAGGGAGGCCTTATACCCTGGCTCCGCTGGATCAGCCGGGTGCTTGAAGTTTAGGATTGTACGCTTGCCAATGTAGAGGGTTTCGGAAGTCATGTCGCTGAGGTATCTTGCTTTGTGGGATGGGTAGTGTTCATTGGTACCATAGGAACCGAACTAGTCGCTCGGCAGGTTCGTCCATGCCTTACTACACGTCATCTGCCGGAGGACGAGGAAAGCTATCGATTATCCAATGTCATGGCTGGACCCAATGAATGCAGTCATGATACTGGAATGTCCCTATTCCTCACTACTCGTCCGGCGAGACACGGTGATGTGAAGGCGGCAATGACGGCAGTGGCTCGTCCTCGAAACGGGCTCATGGCGTGACATTCTTGGCGTAATCGGCGAAAGGATAAATTCGATATCGGCGACCGGAATGCAATGCGGCGATCTATCACAGGTTCGTAACTACATAGAGCATGGTGTTGAATGATGAAAGTGGTGTGATCTCAGGAGATCAATCCTACCTAATGAAAGCCATTCTGGCAAACCAGGATACTCTGTTTATGTGCTGCGATGTTAAAATCGACGACGGTCCGGTTTATTTCACACGTCTCAAAAGGCCTCTCTGCTTCTTGTTTTAGGAGCCTTGGATACGGTTCTGTATGTCCTTGATCAGCATTTGCATTAAAAGGTTTCCTGACAATGGTCAAATGAGTGTGATGTTCCCCATGGTCCATAATTCTCCTCACCTGGCGCAGATCACGGGCGGGACGAGCCGCTCTTGGTGGCGGGTGTGGGTTGCTGCTAAAATTTGGGTTAATTTTCCTCTGCTTGGGATCGTACTAGCAATATAAGCGCCGTTTCTGAATCCACAGTGAAATCAGGGGCATTGGATGGTACTTAAGGGCCAAGTTTCGAAGACTGAATTGTGAAAGAATGAAAACGAGATACGGTTCCATTGAGTGACTGAGCCACTAGTGCAATCCTTAGGCTGCATCGACACAGATTTCCTTCCTATGCTGCTTGACTAATGAGGTAAATTTCTCCTGGGAATGCCTGCTCGAATGATCAGGTGTTTTGGTGCTGAATGCTGGTAAAAGAACTTAAAAACCTGAGAGGGGTGCTCCCAGGCTATTGGTGCTAGTTGGTAGGGCTGGAGCTGACCTCTCACTGAAGTTTTGGTCTGGTGGTGCCACCACTTTCGTACGAAACTTTTTGATAGCACCACCAACCCGACCGAAAGTAAGCATGCCAGGCAAAGCACGCGACATTGCAGAAAAAGCCAGTAAGGATGTTGTGTGAGTGTATAAGAGCAGGATGGACTGGCCATGACCTTTGCGACCGACAATTGCTTGATAGTGCAACAGTTAGCATATCATACCATATATTCATTCCTTATCGCATATCGCGAACTACAGGAAGCCTAAAACCTCGCATCCAAACAACAAATCAAAGACCGTTGGTGTATCGGCAAAGACCAAAATGTCTGTTTCAAATAACCCGGAGCCCAGTGTATACAACTTTACGCAGTGGCCTTCAATACCTTCAATGCCGTCAGCGAGTGTAGGGCTAGCTCCCCAAGTAGCTATGGGTGCGCTTGTTGGGCTCGCGTTCCTTATTGTGGTGATACTGTGAGTTCTGCAAAAGTCAGAGGCTGTAAGTGCATTGAGTTGACTGGTTACGTCAGAAGCATTGCGGCGTATGCGTCTAGGATACGGGACAATCCGGTGAAGGTCAGGGAGAGGCTTCTGAAAAAGCGCCTCCGGCAACTAGACCGTGCAGCTCGACCAGAACTGTTCGAAGACTGGTATAAGCATGAACGAAAAAGCCACCCGGAGCTTTCGAAAGTTGACCTGGAAGATCAAGTCTGGTACGTGAAAAGCAGGGACTTTAAGTTTATTCAAACATTTTGACTGGTTCGATTACAGTGTCATCTGTCTTGAACCGATTGAGAGCTCGCAGTTGATCCGAGCCTTGAGCTGCCGACACCTCTATCATAGGGCGTGTTTTGACCACTGGTTCAAAGGATTTCATGACTTCTGCCCTTTGTGCCATCGAAACGTCTTGCCGTGGTTGAAAACGAACGGAGAAAGCAGCACCGCAACAAGGAGAGCTACTTCACACGAGGGGCGACGAACTAGTCCCGCTGGATCGACAATAGACAATGCGGCTGGGCCAACGGGACACATTTCCCCTGTATCGATAGGTCACGATGCACCTCAATCGATAAGCCACGACAGGTCTGGATCGATATATCACGGTGCACCTCAGTCGATAGGTCACGATGCGCTGGAATCGACAGGGCATATCCTGAGCCGGAGTTCACTGAGCCGGATATTGCGCCTAGTCGGATGGTCCAGAGTTCTACACCACACAACGGGTAGCCACGGATGAAGCCTTGGTAGGATGCCATCAAGACGATGCAAAGTCTTCAGAGAATCGCACAGAAGGCGACGATCTCTTTGAGACTTGCTCTCCTGAACACTCCTGTTGCTGGCACTCACCAATGAGCGCGTTGTAGTCTGGCAGCGAGCCAATTAGGATCCGCAGCCGCACAGTACCCAGTGTATCTGCCGCAGGAGTTTGCCGTGGTTTAGAAAGATGCAGGTTTACCACGAGTTGAAATCAGGGAACTCATGAAGTCAACCCTGGAAGTCTAGCAGCTCGCGAACACGGCTGGCGTCGGCTGGCATCGTTCCAGGCCAGTGTCTCGCGGTTTCTTATACACCGCAGCCTGAAGATGTCTTCAAACCCCTCCATACACTGGTAAACTAGTACCGGCCATTGGTCGTCTAACTCTTTTCGAATTCAACCCACTTCGGTATATGGGTTTCTTCCGGACTCTTGCTAGCGAATGGCCAAAGTGTGGGCAGCACTTCGGCTCAACAGGAATATACTTGATCACGGAAGTTTCAGTGGGTTATTTAGTAGTGAGGGATAGTCCAATTCAGGGGTGCAGGATATCCATTGGGGTGTCTGTAAGCTGGTCAGCGATGTATACATTATTAGAAATTTAGGCCATATAGTATAGATCAATAAGAACACGAGAAGTATTCTATAAGGGTACTTCTTACCTATGATGGACTAGTTCTGAATTATTTGTAGATGGACATTTAGTGGTGATTCACTGTTCGGGTGGACATTATCCGCGCGAGCATGCGCAATGTGAGGATCTAGCCCCGTTACTAGTCAATGGGACTGCGGGGTAGCTAAAGGGGATTAGCCGTGGGTCGTGGCCTCTTCATTCATGTCGCGCCCACAGTTCACTGAACACAGGTCTGGTTAACACTATCGACCTGGTGGAGAGTCTCCGCTCCGACGAAGCCAATAAACCGGAACTACCTATCGTGGTAGCATGGGAAACCCACAGGCGCTAAACAAGTGTCTGTCAGGACGTTAAAGCGAGAGGATCTCAGGTGTCAAGGAGCAAAAGGCATACTCCGTCGCCTAGTTCTAGCTCCGCGATGAAGACTCGGATACCACGCGGCCTCTTCTGCGGGCGATATGCCGATCAAATCAGTGCTATGCTTCGACAAACCCACCCCTTACGGCCTAATGTACAGCATAAGGGAGGCACATGTAGTAGGAAAAGTTTGTCTTTCCCATGTGCCGTCTGAGTTCGGCGGCCTTCTCCAGATTAAGCTTCTCAATTGACCACAGGCCCACGGCTCATCGAGAATGGAATGGATAAAGGAGATTTCGAAAACATGGGTGTAGGCTCAGCTCACTACGAATCTAAGCAAGCGGTTAGTGACAAAGTCAGAATGTGAGTTAGCGTGAGCCAGCTCGTCGGGTGCATATTTGGGGAATCCAAGGTCCGAGATGTAGTCAGTACCCTACCTTGCACCACCAAAAAGCTTTCTTTCAACCCCCCTCTCCCGAGTGATACCTTGCATTGATACAGAGCGCAGCGAATGGCACAAGTACGTTGAATGAAACGTATCCTTCCAGTCGATTTCATAGTGCCCGTCTTTAGGCGGTACGACCGACTCGAAATGGGCGTACTAGACGGCCACGGAGACGATTCGAATATGCTCGATCGGAAAAATGCAGGTTTGGATCAGGTCCAGTCTCTCACATTGTATGCGAAGCGGGGGGCCTAGTAACTAAGACTGCATCCTTGGATTTGAGGGTTCGAAGAACATGGACGTGTCGTGAACTATTGGCAAACCGATTGAAGTCCCACAGGTTCTCACGAGTGGATCATCTTACCAATGAAACCATCCGCTAGAGGGATCACATTGGCATTGTCTCTAGTCGTAGCGGGACATTTGGTGCTCTCCGCAAAGTTCGAAATCTGTTCTGAGGCTTAAATTTCGCAGTGCTTGGAGCCAAAAATGAAGAGAAGGCGTCGGGGATCGACCGTCGATCAGGGGCGAAAGTACTTAAAATACCCTTTCTGCTGCCCCAAGCCACCAGAGGCTGGGTATTCAGTTTATTCCACCCAGATAGACCATACTGCGAAGAGACATTCTGTGCAGGATCGATGATCTTCCGTTGGCAGACAACCACATCACTACTTCGCTCTCTGTGGTCGAGCACGCAAGTTGAGAAGATTGTACCGCGGATATGCAGATCCTGGCAGTACCGTAGGCAGGTTTGTAACTAGGTATGGTACCTGGACTATAAAGATAACCAGCTACCAAGAGAGGGCTCGCGCCCTATTGACAACAGTCAACCAGTTGTGATTAGAATCCAGAAGGATAACTCCGGAAGAAGGGAAATTGAAAAGGGAAATTGAGAGTCTAGACCTGCAATGACTTTATACCGACGCCATTGCACCCTGAAGGAACGGACATTGCCATCTCAAATCTTATTTTTACAGAGCAGTTTCGGGGAAAGGAGTCGCTAAGTCACGGCTCGGGCTCCAACCTGAGAGTAACTATTCGGTTCAGTGAGACTAGTCGACCAGCCGATGGATGCATCTGTAGGGAAGAATTGACGAATCGAGCTTTTATTTGGTCGAAGGAATAGGAGGTCCCACACAACTGACCGAAGTAGCCAAACCATGGAGCCTGTCGATTGTACGGGGTAGATGTATTACTATGTTATATCGCAGCCAATTGAACCATAGCCTACAACGAGGATTCCGGACAGTAACTGGTTACTAACCAGCATCTTTGGTAATATAGAATCCTGATTAGGGACTACCGTCTAGCGAGTTTCCTGTTCCGGCGCGGCCACTACGAAGTCAACATGGTTGGATTCAGCCCAACTTCCATCGCACACTGCATACAAGCCAGACCATGCAATCCCCGTATGCAAGTCGAAGGTGACCCGAAATGGTGCTGCAATGGGTACCTTGCAGTTCGAAACTAGATTCAAGCTTATTATGCTGAATGGGTGTACGACCATTTGTGCTATTCGGAGAAGGACGGGTGGAGGGTTGATTGAATTTGGCTCTGATAGGCAACTGGGTGGATTTACCATGGTTGAATGCGCCGTTTGGAAGGGCACGGGATAAAACTGCGACCTTGGGAATCGAATCCATGAACCAGTTCAGGGAGCTTTTCGTTCCTTTCCGAGCATGGGGTTCGAGAAGTATATTAACGTCAGTTTACGAAGTGTTGACGTCGCGGACCCAACAGACCCTGAGCCTTGCATCCTATATCAAAGCCTCTCTTCAATTTTTGTGTCTGTCTCAATTCCGTTCCGAAGATGATCCCTATGAATCATGAGTGAGTATAGTCTTTTGTTTTTCGATTTTGGCTGTACTGACCCGTACTCACAGCATTTTACACGGCCGAACAAATGAGAGGAGACCAAATGGCGACAATGACTCCAGCAGCATCCCTTCTGCCACAGACTTTCTTCGACACCCCGTTGGATACGGGATGGAGTGGAGATGTCAATTTCGGCAAAGGGATGTCGAGTCTAAACAACCCATCGATGCTGGTCAACAACTTGCAGCTTGATCAGCAGCTGCCGCCAGAGACCGTAGATTGGGTGCAATACGATGCTCCTTCGTGGAACAACTCCACCCCGTCCGACTTCCCCGTGGATCAAAATCCGGGGATGATATCTCTCGAAGAGTCCGACGAAACTCCATCATCAGACATCCTCGACCGGGGGATATCAAACCCGTTCCAGGCTTCCATCGAGGTCGAGCCCCCAAGACGTAAACGAGGTCGACCTAGAAAAATCCGAGACGAACCGGCGGTGCCGACCCTACCACGGGCCGCTCGAGGACGCCAGCCACACACCGAAGTCGAGAAGAAATACCGCAACAGTTTGAACCAGGGTATGGAACAACTGCGAAAGGCTCTGCCGCACAATCCGAAGGAGCCTGAGAGGGATTCGGACTGCCACTGCCAAGTGCGGTTGAGCAAGTTGGGTGTGTTGGTTGCAGCGGCCGATTGGCTCGGCCGCAGAACCGAAGAGGTTGCAGAGTTGGAGCAACAGCTGGAGGAGCTAGGACTGATGAAGGAGGAAAACACATCGCTGAAGGAAGAGAACACATCGTTGCGGGAGGAGAACGAATCCATGCGGTCAAAGCTGTCGACTTTGTCGTTGGATTAGGCTCCATGGGTCCAACACATTTCATCTTCGTGTTGATATGAAAATTGTCCGTCATTTTTGATATGGGAGGTTCTGTCGCTTTGATATTTGTTTCAACAAGGGAGGTTTGCTGTCGTCATTATTTCCTCGGTCTAGCGTGACATGTCTTCGTGTTGCTGCGTTTCAAGCGCCGGCATTGTGAGGGTTTTATTGCATAGCGCCGGTGAAAATTGTGTATCTGGACATGTCAAATTTGTGCTGTCTTCCTTGTGATGGCCGGAGGGCTATCCGACGCATCTGGTGGACATCAAGACCACTTTGGAGAGTCTACTTCTCTGATATCCAAGCGACGTCTTCGAATTCTCTCAAATCCAAGGCTAGAGTTTGGCGTCAAATCTCAAAATAGATATAATACTAATTCATCATGGTATCACAGTCGCCTGAGCCAGGATAGGTCTAGACAGAACCATCCATTCACTGTATCTGGCGATGAAGCATGCAGTACGAAAAACCAAAAGCCAGAGACGGGAAGTAAGAATCCAAACAATGTAACAATCTTTACAAACAGTATTAACTCCAGGGACACAGATTCCTATGACTCGTATCGTCAATACGGAGCACAACATCTTCGAATGAATGCGTATTGTCCATATCGTGGCGTTCATTGCATCGTGCGACTTCCCCGACGCAGGGGGCCGAAAAAGGTGAGACGAAACGCGAAGCATGGTGGATCGTTAGATCACAAGCACAGCACCACGTCCTCCCTCGATGGATATTTCGGGCACGTAACGAGATAACAAAAAGCCATTGGGTATCGTGAGTGTGAACTTGGAGTAGAAAGTTGTCGTTGGGAAGCGTCGGCTTACGTTATTTGAACGTGATCTCAGCTGACCTCCGAAGTTCACCCATGTCGATCTATTGGTCTAGCCATTTCAGGGTACAATACAAGACTTTGAAGAACTCCATCCTGTTTCAGGAACCACTGGCAAAGTTACATTACTTCGATACTGGTGGAGGACTCATGCGTACCAGTACCGCACTGAAAAGTCTCTATGAGTCACATACTGTCGATTCTAGACAGATATCGACGAGATTGCCTTATGATTTCGTCATCTCTCGTTAAGGTCACGATAGCGCCCGGATCGGTGTGCCGGACAGTCAGGAGACATTTAGTATCGAGAAGGCTCTCGCACGGTTCCAAGACCGATATTGCACAGAATGGCCATTGGCTCCGCCGCTCGAGGATGCCAATATAATCAGGGTGGCTGCTGGCCTCCTGTCATTCGCTTTCTAGAGATAACTAACACCACACCATCATCACCACAATTATAACTATGACATTCATTGTCGACCACCACGCAAACTTGAGGGTCGACACTGTCGAGTCTGAAAGCCACACTCATCATATACTCCTCGAGGTCACGTACCCGAAACCCTCGGCTCAGCCTCTCCGCGAGCTGGATATTCCGCTCGACAAGGCCGAGCATACTTCCCCCAAGCAAGCCAACTCTCGTAATCCTCCAGATCAGAACAACCACAGTTCAACAGAGAACATCCAGCACAGCGACTCAGTCGCCATCTCCGAGCAGAGCCTCAAGAGAAACTTATACTACTCCTGGTTGAGCGACCGCGTGCCGGAGCGGACAGACCCCTTCGGTTTCTCATCGGCGGGATGTAGTCGCGCCGCGAGCAGAGAACCGAGTCCATCCCCGCCGCTACCGTCCGCGAACTACGAGGTCGCAAGGAGAAACAGTATACACGGGAAGAAGACAGGGGGCGCGAAGGTATCCGGCCGCAGTTGGGGACGTTGCTAGGAGGAGCTACTTACACGTGTTGCAGACGGAAGTGAGTCCTCCAACCTCCCAGATCGAGATTGTTGGATCGTAACCAACGAGGTCCACCTTGGAATATTCCTGCTTTGGAAGAATGGTTGATCGGGCACCTTTGTGTCCCGATACGGGACGAATTGGCAAACTACATCATGCAATGAGATCGCCAGGCGTCCGACTTTATCAATTTGGCGCCCATTGGAATTGCCTGGTATGGCCACGCACTTGTTAGAGAAGGACTTCCGGCCAGATAATGTCCCCATCCTGGGATTAAAAGCTTGAAGGGTAGATAATCCTCTATACGGTAGTAATAACGTGAATTTTCTAGAGTAGGAAGTGCTCGACGCAGAATATCGCTATCATTAGAACCAAAGAATGGGAATTTGGCATGACGTTAGCACCCTGAATAGATTACAGAACTCCCCAGCCCTACCCATCCGAAGACCTTCTGATATGCGCCATGGTATACAAATAAACAAAGCTGAGCATAAAGAACTTCCTGCAGCATGCACGCCACTCAGACCACTTACATACTGAAAACAATACTTGGTTGATCCAACGGAAATGAAGCGATTTCACCGCTGATACCGTCCGCCATAATCCCCTACAATCCCACCACAACTACGGATTCCCAGGGCGACCGACCGCTGAGTTCTCCTCGACTCGCGAGCCAATCTTCATTCTAACCGGGATCCAATAATATTACTCACCCAGAAGTGAGCGCGATTTACATAGTAGTCGGGGACTCGGGGTATTCAGGCCAAGAGCATGGGTCAGGAACTGATGGTGGGTCATCCGATGCGTTGATGACAGCTGGGGACGGGGTTGCGTGCGGAGAACCTGGTTGGAGGCCGTCAGCACGGTGAGACGGGTTCGATCGGTTCGATCGCTGGTTTGTCATTGTGCAAGTGATGAAGAATCAAAGGTACATTGAACTACTTATCGATATTAGAGCCGGAGGAGGTCGAGATGTAGGCGACCTGAAGCCCCAGCCTAGGGTCACGGTGGGGAGCGCCGGAGCCGAAGGCCCACGCCGGCACGGATGATCCAAGATCGGCGGAACTCCATCCCGTCCGTCATGATGGCAACCGTGGTGCTGGAGCGGGTTCGCTTCCTACTTTCCGGTGGGAACTCTCAAGCCAGCCACGACCATATTTCAGGTTCTTTTCGTCGATGTTCATGATGGGATGATTGGCGACTGACATTGGGAGACGAAATTGTGCCTTCGGACACTCCGTATCAATGTGCACTCAGCTAATCGGTCGGAGTGATTTAAACGGGCATCACCGACATTATTATTGGTTTGAAATCGGCAGATAAGATTTCGATGGCGCTGTTTGGTCGCAATGATTGAAAGCGACGTTTAAGCAGTCCCTGAGATTACGGGATGCGGTGCTCCGGAGAAGCTGCCCAGGAGAGTAAGAGGTGCATGGAAAAAAGCATCCGACGGTGGCTTCCTCCGCCACCGAGCAAGATGAGAAGCGACACGTATATCCTGTGTGATGCGTGCTTGCGCGGGCGAGGACCCAAATATGTGGGATGGCTCTCGGAGGAATTGACACGTTGGAGTTGGTTGTTGGACTAAAGGTTCGTTTGTAACTGGCGATGGTATCATACCCTTGAAGTATGGTTTCAGTTTCTTCTGGCCATAATGAGTGTCTCAAGGAAATGAAGCAAGAAATATGGATAACATGCTCCCTTTCACTCTTCCTTAATATTACTCTATTAGGCTTCTAGACTCTGGACCGACGATCCGCAGCATAGAAGATTCCAAAGCGACAAGTCTCGCCTGCCGATCCACCCAGATTCCAGGATTCCAGACCATCTTGCTGGCATTCTGACAATCTTCGCCGTCTGCAACTCTGCGGTCGTCATCCACTCATCCCGGCTTGACGGCCATGGACATGCCCTGTTTCTTCACCGTTAGATGCAGCGACGTGAATATTCGCGATAAAACCTGAGGAACGGCCTCGAAAGTCGAAACGAAACCCAACGTGGTCTGCCTCTCTTCCCTGCATTTGCCGTCCCATCGGTCGCCTCGTTCGATCATCAGCTCCTTCACCCATTCCCATTCCTCCGTGTCTTCCTCGCGTCGACCGCTGTTGATCCATTTCATGCGGTGTACGTGGGAGGACTCGCTACCAACACGGACAGGTCACCACAGGTCCAAATTCCCGGCCGGCGAAAATGTTCCTGCACGTACCTTGCGGAATTGTGCTTTTCCTCTCCGATGCCCCCTTGCATTGGTTGGTGGATCGGGAGCGGTACGAGTGAGGAGCAAGGGGAGGGTCGATGGGGCGGATGGCTGCAGGTCGGATAAATGGTTGCGGAACGATCGAGCGGCTGCACGTTGCGACGCCGTTAATATGGAGTTTGCAGGGTCGACCTATCTTTCTCTGTTTCCGGTAATTATCTGACATGTCATCGGTAGGGGAGAAACTCGTTTGACATTTATCCGTTCTGTACTACTGGTGTGCTCTCTGAGTCTCCATCCATATTTCCGACTTCTATCGAATGCATGCTATGCTGGAGCTGGTCTATCCGGTGGTAATAAATATTAAATAATAATAGACCATGGGTAATATTCCATAGCACCATAGGACATACTATGTTAGCCACATAGACACCGTGCACTGTGTACTCTCCAGCTTCGGTACACGTATGGAGTCGTAACCATTCTTTCGTCTCGAACCCTCTACCGTCCAAGACTAATTAAGTGCCCGCGCCTTTAAAGTTTAACCCGTCCGGATCGCGAGACCCCCTCCCGTCTCGGCGACTAGGCCCATATCCCGCACTATCGCTCATTCTCTCGAGCTATCAGCTAGGTGCCTAGTCCCCCCTTCAAACTAAAAATGACAAAGTCCAATCGTCGAGGTAGGGTGGGGTCCAAGGGAAATCATAACATCAACAAGAAGACGCCACGACGGAGCTCTTGGTGTGTTGTGACAATGGTGGGAGACGAATAGATTGGATCATTGGATGGTTGAAACTTGAAATATTTCTCGGCTCTGTACAGGCCGTATTAGCGGACGCCATTGATGCGTGGGCGCGAGACCGTTCTGGAATCTGGAATCTGGATGACGGACGATTGATGGACTGGCTCATGGCTTGCCGACGATCCTGGTGCTGGCGTGCTGTCCATGACCCATCTGATCCCAAATCCCAATGGGCAACGGCCAATTCCCACCATCTTTTTAAGGCTTTGCTACTACCCGTCGGATCGTCGTCTGTGCTCCTCTGCGCTCTGTCACCAGTCACCAGTCACCTTGTCTCTCTTCTCTTGCTCCCTCCTTTTGCCCTTTTCATCTCGTGATTCTTGCCCTCTCCCTTCGCACGTTCCTCCTCACCTTGCCTCCCCTTCACCCGTGTCGCCTCGTCTATCCTCTCGTTTGTGGCCTTTACGACTGTTTCTATCACTCGCTGTATACCAGAACGATTTAATACCCACGCGATCGGGTGTCGAGCCCCAACGAAGCGCCGATTAATTCCCCGAGTCGGATAGTGACGTCGTTGCTCACGGCGTCGTCAGCCATATCGCCACCGAAGCTTATCCTAACTCTCGGATAGTATCTCGCGGAGTTCTAGACTTGAACTCGCGAAACTTCACTCGCTGAACTGTAACACCCTGCGACTTTGAGTGCCCCGACGCAGCTTAACGACCCTCATCACGAGCGCAAACCTCTTAGCATTCATGCATACCTCATCCACCATCGCATGTAGAACGACGAAGGCGAGATCTGGAGAGAAGGGATAGCGCATCACCACTGGCGCAATATCAGACATCGCCTAGCAACTCGTCGTGTGTCCGATCAGCCATCGCCCATCATGCCTGTGTGGCCCTTCGGTCGCAAGGCTCGACGGCGCGCAAACACCCTTTCCACATCCAGCGATCTCGTGAGCCACGGGACAAGCGACGCGGACAAAACAGCACCGTCATCACGACCGCGAACGCCTCGAAATCGGGCGGTTGGCGAAAGCGAGGTGCTGCAACACCATGACACACCGCCGAAAGGCACTGCACAACGGAAGCTGAACAAACGACGAAGTCAGCAGCGGAAAAGGGCGTCTGAAAGAAATTCGGGAGGGTCAGGAGGGGGAGTCACGACACATTTTATAAGCAGGGTGGAAAATGACATCGACAAGGCTGATCCTGGGCCGGAGATGTCAAGGAGCTACGTTTCAAGTCCAGGGGCGGCGAGTCCGGTTAAAAGTCTAACAAATCTGGACCCGTCTGACCCCGAGGCCCATCCGTCACACTATCTTCGAGATGAACATCCAACTACATCAGCTTCTCTTACAACGGCTTCTCCTACAAACGTTACCGCCGCTCGGACAGGAAGGGCCAACACCCCGAGTCCACCTCTAAATCCGATTCACAAGACGAGTCAGATGCCGCGAGGCACCCATAACGCTGCTCATCGCCGTTCCTCATCCTCCGAATCCATCACGGCCCTTCCTGCATCGGTCCCGCTCCGTACCTCGCCTCATCTCCGTCCCGCGACTCACTCATCCACCGCATCCAGCATCATCCCGTACAACTTCCACCTCTCCCGATCTCACACCAACCCTCATCGTTCGCGCTCCGGCACTGCCAACGCAGACACCTCGGCCGACGAGTATGTCCTCCCCGATCGCTCCGAGTCCCAACCTCATCTCTCCCGAAGCAACTCCCGTCGCGACGACGCCCGCTCATCTAGCCTCCTCCCTCGACGACGGTCCACAAAGCCCAAGCAAAAGAAACCTCGCACCTCCATCCGCGAGGAGGAGTTCCGCGCCATGGCCGCGCCCTTGCCGATTCCCCAGCCCCATGCGACGTACTCGACCGCCGGCGAACTCCTCCGACGTGAGTCTACCAAGCGACCCGGCTCGCGAAAGGGGAAGAAAATATGGCGTGGTTTGAAATCCACGAAACAAGCCGGAAGCGACGTTAGCCTGCCGTTTCAAGAGAGCATCGCCAGCGATATGAGTGGGAGTGACGGGCGGGAGTACAGTGTCGGTGGGTTGTCGGTGTGGACGCCGCGGCCGAAACTTCGGTTGGCAGCGCAGGAGGAGGATGTGCGAGGAACCACGCTGGTGGCGTATTCTTTCGGGGCACCGGGCCGACGGCAGACGGATCAGGGAATCTTTGGGGCCGGGACGGAGGGGCGGAAGCGGAGAAACCCGCCGATACAGGAGGAGGATGAGATCAAGATGGAGCAGTTTGGAGAAAGTATCGCGCGGGCGCAATCGAAGAGACGGCGAGAGCAGACGGAAGAGATTGGGAAGTTGCCGAAGCGGATTGATGCGTTGGCGGACGACCTGGACGCAGCGGGGTTGAGGGAAATAATGGAGCGGGAACACAGGAGGAAAGATAAGAAGAGGAAGGCGGATGAGGAGCGGGTGCGCCGACGGCTGGAGAAACGGGCGGCGAAGCAAAGAGCGAAGAGTGAAGAAGCGACAGAAGCTGGAGCTGAGGATAACGGGGTCGGTCTGGGCATCGAAGGGTCATCGGCAAGGCCGGCAGGTGGGAGAGGAAAGAGTCGAGCGGAACGGGAGGTGGACGTGAGGGATAGTCGGGATCAGGAGAGGGTGGATACGGCGATCAGCGGTCAGAACCGGCGGGATATCGAACTCGAGAAGACCGAAGCCGCTCTGACGGGTGGGCCTGTTCAACCCATTCGGACACCCCACGACGGTCAATCGAAGCCAGGCGGCAAGCAATCGAGACCAGAGCCCGCATCTCCTGTGCCTGTGGGCGTTGCAACGCCGGAGTCTCCGTTCACAGAAGAGCCGGTGATTGAGACGGCGAAAGAAGTGCGCTACTCGCATGCAAGTCTGAGTGCTCAGGCCGGAAGTTCACTACCCCCGTCGCCCCAACACGGAACGTTTCCACGGTCACCCTCGAAGGCGAAGAAGGATGGAGATAGGTCTGAGACCGTTCGCCAACCTGCACCGTCAATACCGCCCGCTCTTGATCCCGATATGTCCAAGGGCGTATCAAACACCGGTTCTCCTCGTTCGAAATCTCCACCCGTCGATTCCGACGCCGCGATCGTCGCCGCCAACACCATTACTCCTCCCCGAAACAGCCGCCGTTCCCTAACCAAATCCCAATCCCGCACTCCTTCTCCACCTCACCAGCGCAAGAAGCTTCAGAAACGCATGTCGCCTACCCCATCCACGCGCTCCCAGATCCCCGACGAACCCCCCCAAATCCCCCAGCTCTCCCTCTACCACGAAGACGAGCCCGTCACCGCACTACCCCAACCAACCGACCGCCTGACCGCGCTCCCCGCCCCCTTAGTGCCCACCGCATCTGACGACGAGCAAGCCAAACGCGGCAAAAAACGTCGTGGCAGCGCTGCCGGCGCTTTTTTGGCTGGTGTCGCCGTCATGCTCTTCAAACGCGGCCGCCGCAGCAAGAGCTCGCGGAACTTGAAAGAAGCCACCGCCGAGCGCGGCTTCATGAACGAATCCCGCGACCGCATCGAGCGACACCGTGCGGAATGGGGGCTAAAAGGCCACGGACCACCTGAAGCAGCTGTGCCAAGCGCACACCACATGCGGTCCAAATCCGAAACCGTACCTCCGAACCTCAGTGTCATCGGTATGCTCCCTAGCCCGCCCGCGTCACCCGTGAAAGGCCAGGCGTCCTCACCGACGTCCACGCCACTCCCAATCCCGATGGCTCCCCTCGTGACCACCTTCGGCAACCCGCGCGACGACCTGCGCGCGATGTCCCCCATCAGCGGCCGCTCCGGCGCGCCCGTGCGCACCATGTCGAAGTTCCGCGAAGATCTGCCAGAGAGTCGCGGTGCGTCGCGCGTGCAGAGTCCGGTGCCGGCGAATGGCAGTAGCGTGAGCGTCGGCACCGGCGGGCGTGATGGGAGAGGTATGCCGGGTGGATCGTTGGAGGCGCTAGTGCGGACGGGTAGCAAGCGTGCGTGGGGCGCGAGTGGTACTCCCACCGATAATCCCGAGAGTCCCACGAAAAAGCTCGCGACCACGGCGCCGGACGCCATCGGAAACATGGCGATCAAGGAGAAGCATGAATCGGGAATTAGCAGCGTCGGGGCAAAGAGCAGCAGTGTGGACGCGGACGAGGAAGACGGCGCATCGGGGAGCGTGGGGCACAGCCGGGCCAGCAACCCCATGAGTCGCAGCCTCGCAAGCATCGATAGCGAGGGCAGCTGGCTAAGTGGGAAGCTAGGCGGGCGCGCGAAGCAAAGTCTGAGCGGCACGGCGCGGAGCTCGGGCGTCAGCGGCATCAGCGGGAAGGCTTCGACGCATGACGCACATGATGGCGGGACGGACGATGACGTCGACCCGAATCAGACACCGAAGACGTTGCAGCCCCCGTTCGTCGAGTACTCCCCTGGCGACGCCCCCGTCGCCGATCCGCCCGCACACGACGACGCGGGCGGCGAGGTGATGAAGTCGGGGCTGGGGCGGCAGCCGACGCTAGTCCATCGTGCACCGCACATGAAGAGCCGAGAGGGGTTGCTGAATGAGTTCCGACGCGGCAAGATGGAAGGGGAGGTCGCCGAGGTGGAGGAAATGCAGCTGGCGACGCCGGAGGCGACACCTCAGCCTGAGACAAGAGATCTGCAGACGACCGCGGGCGCGCATGAGGCGGTGACGGACGATCCGCTGAGCATCCCCACCGACCGCCCCTCGCGATCCTCGTCCCCCGAGCAAGGCTCGCCGACGTCCGACACCGGGCACCCTGAGGAGCCGTTCGTGGTGCAGCGGGCGCGATCGGTGGATCTGGGGAAGCAGGGGTTACACGTGCGACATCTGTCAGCAGGAAGCGCGAAGTTGTTGGAGATCCGGCGGGCGGAGAGTCGGCGGGCGAGTGGGGCGAGTGGGGCGAGTGGGGTGGTAGAAGGGGAGCCGGGTGTGGAGGAGGGGAGATGAGTGGGGATGAGGTGAGGTGCTGATTTGATTTACTGACTCTGCTACCTGTTTCGAGGTGCTATGCTGCTGCGATGCTGGGATGGAGCGTGCTGTCGCTCTTTGTGGAGGATTTCCTTGCCTGTTTCGTGTCGTTGATACGACTGCCGCTCGTTACCTTTCCCATGTATCTGTCGCTCCTTTCCTTTCCTTATGGTTTTCACCGGTATTCCGTACGCTTCTCCCTCAGCATTCCGTAGCAGCAGCATCGTCACAACTAGGTCGCGCAGAGTCATCACGCCATCGGCACTATTGCCTCGTTTCCTCAACTTCCCCACTCCCCCCTTTTCTCTCTTCTATACATCCCGACGCATCCCTCCCAGTTCTTTCGATGGAGGACTTGTTGTGATAACAATGTGTGTGCAAGGATATCACCGGAATTGTTTTCGTGTTAGACCGAGTTCGATACCCGGTTTGGTTGGGAATCGACCGGGTTTCGCAGTGTATCACCTTGTAATGGAACGTGTTGAATTCATTCTGTCCACCAATGGTGCATCTTTGTTGGGGCATCTAATTTACATGCCGGTGTCTTGTTGCAATCTGATCAACTTCAGTCCCGCGGTCCATGTACAAATCCATCCTCGCCGACAGGCTCCATGTCTATCCATCAGGATATCGGATTGATTATGAACTGGACTGGCTAACTGACCTTAGCACGAATCGTCTCGACATTCTGAAAGTCCACTCACGTGGAACCTTGGTCATAACAATTCCCAATCCCCTAGAACGATTGCGAGTTTTCAGCAACCCGCCAGCATAAGGCGCCTTTGACCAATTCACCATACCGCTTCGCCTTTCCGTTAGTCCATCTGTCCTCGGCGACACATATATGTCTTGTAAAGTGTTCATTCGTTGTCTATGTTCTGCGTGCTTCAAGTTCTCATGTCAAATCTGTCATTTGCTCGCTTGGTTTCTGTTTGGAACTTCCTTTTTCGACCTGCTGATCAATGGTACTTTCGCTGTTCTTCTCGTTTTTGTTACTGGAAACAACCATTTTCAGGTCCTCGGATATCACGTTGATCCGTGGACAATGTCCTTGGTACAGTAGCATGAATGCCCCTGCCGTGCTGCTGTCAATGTATTTCATTTTGCGAAGCAGCTGCGATAGTAACATGAGGTCAAATACAACCATCATGAAATCGAAACGATATACTTTACTATCACAACATCAGATACCAAACCATCGATCCATATCCTTTCGTTCTATCAGAATGCCTTGGTGTCTACATTCGCTAAAGTTACAGTGATACCGTCTGCACGACAGATACGCTCCCGCTCCACCATGACCCGCAGTCACTGCATGCTTATGCTCACGGTTATTCGACATCCACCATGACAAAAGCAAACAGCACCCCGCCCGGAGTTCCGCACGTGGACCATCCCTCCAAACACGCAGCTTTTGAAGAACGAATCCCTCCCCACCCGTCCCGCTCCATTCGCAGTCTCCGTTCCTATTCCGAGGGGGACTGGTTCATGTTCAAAAACTACCGGGATCTCGTGCGGCAAACGCCGTTACACTGGGATCGAAGAAGGAGCTTGCTCGGAGTCCTGTGCTGGTTGTGGGCTCCTGGTCCCGAGATGGGCTCGTACGCGAGGTGGCAGGAGGTCCGTTGGGGGATGGGTAGGGACTATTGGGGGATGGACACGCTGGTTTCGTGCAGAGCTTGTCGTTTGATCTGCAATGCGGGATGGGAATTCGATACCCATTGGCGGTTTCAACACCCGACGAAAGGCGATCCGCTCTATAGCAATGGAGAAGAGAGGTTTAACACCCCATCGCGCGCCCGCCACGCACTCGCTTACATTTCCTAGTCGCGAAGCCGTTGAATGCGCCGCATTCTTCGAGTGCGACTGTTCCTGTGCTTTCTATACCGCCGATGATCTCAACACACATATCTTCTGGTTCCATTCTCGCATCCCCGAATACCGGTGCCCGGAGCTCTCCTGCCCCACTCCGGACGAGCGTTTCCGAGGCATGGAACTCCTGGACCACTTGATGATTATCCACCCCGAAGCACCCGATGCAGGCTTCGACATGGCCGGACGCGGCCCGGTGCGGTGTTGGAACGCCAGGTGCCTCTACCCCGAGCGCGCGTACGAGGGCATCGAGGCGGCGCGGCATTTTGAGCGTTGCTACGGGGAGACTCAGGGGATGGAATTTAAGCATGCGATGCATGTGGACCCCCTCGCATTGAGCTTAATTAGGGATATACGGTCCCTCTAATGGTACACTACTCGTATTCGTTGGAATATTTCATCAATCAATCATTTGATAGCTAGCATGGGTTCCAACGACTCCATCCCCTCCGAGTGCTATGATCCCCTTGCAAAACAGTAGCGTGCACTGTGTAATAAATGCGACGAGATAACATAACTTTTTGTTAGGTACCTACAAAAGTCGAGGCGGTGTTCTCCGCCCGCGCTCCTGGTTGACGTACAGGGGGGTGAACGTGGCGTTGGAGAAGGTCGGGTGGGGTGGAATGCAGAAACTGATATCTAAATCAATGATATTGCTCGTCTAATGGCAACGGGCACCTGTCCTGTGCCCGAGCTCTAGATCAGCGAGAAACACCAGAACCCAGACGCCGGGGACTATCCAACAACCCATCAACGTATCGCTCCGCTACGGTCCGCCTGGTCACCAACGTACGCCAACTCCTCGCGCCCATCGTCGCAGAGTCGCGCGTACTCCAGCAACAACCGAAACGTATAGAGCACCATATCCTCCTTCCTCAACACCTTCGCCGCCCACTCCTTCCCCTCGGTCGCGATCTTCCTCGCCGCGCGATCGTGCGGCGGCTTCTCGCCATACCCGATGAAATACTCCATGATGGAGTAGATATCGATGAAGGTGTTGTCCATCGGGACAAAGTGCTTCCACGCGACCAGCCGCCCGTCGTGCCATTCATTATAGAGCGTCGCCTTGATGGGCAGTGACCCTGAACGCAGGAACTCGAGGTAGCGCGCGCTGTACGAGTTCCCGTCGAGGTCGGGGAGGTATTTAGCGGTGAGCATCTCCGCGAACGGGAGCGGGGTGGCGAGGGCGAAGTACGGGTCGGTGTAAGAGCAGCCGAAACCGGGTTCCTGCGGGAAGCATTCGAGGCCGGTGAAGGCGACGTCGGAGAAGGCGGGGAGCCATTGGCCAAGGCGGCCTTCGCGGAGAGGTTGGATGCGGAGGTGGGCGGTGGGAGAGAGCTGGCGGAAGGTTTGGGCGGGGGTGCTGGAGCCGGTCTCGACGAGGTGGGCGGCGGTGGCATTGACCATGGAGACGAAACCGTGGCGGTGGAAGTGCGGCCAGGTGTCGTGGCGGTTGCGGCCGCCGGAAGCGACGCCCCGCCAGATCATCTTGGTGGATTTTTTGGCCCAGGGAGGCTCGGTGCCACTGCTGGAGTAGACGTGGCCGGGAGAGACGTCATGGTAGTACATGGCGGCGGGGAGGAGGATATCGTTGTTCATGGAGAGCTTGGAGCCGCCGAAGATGGGGACGAGGTCGGTGGTGGTGGAGATGGAGAGAGGTTCGATAAAGGTGCCGTGGCGCGATCGGAGATGAGGTTGCGAGCAGGGGTCCTTGGCTCGGGTCCAGTTCGAGACGTAGTCGTTGAACAAGTGCGTGAGGAATTGCGTGGGAGGAGGATAGGCCCCGGAATAATTGGGAAAGGGATCGTTGCGCGCCAGGGACGCGGGGTGGCAACCGGGCTTTGCAAGATCCCAGTACTTCCCAGCGGTCACAAACTGCGCACTTGACGACAGAACCCCTCGGGACATCTCATCGGGCCACGTCAGATCATACTCAGTGCGGTACGAGGCCAACGACTCGAAGAGCTGTTCGGGCGATTTGCGACCGGCTATCTCCTTTTCCACAGCACCCGCGATCGTCTCCCACGGCACGATGACCCGCGATTCATCCAGCACGTTCATCGCCATCTCCAAGTCCGGCAGATGCTCCGCCACCTCTTGCACCATCTCCGCCCACGGACCCAGCCACGGGCGGTCCACCCCGTCCGAGCGAATCGTAACCGTGCCGTTCCGCACCACCAACGCATCCCCGAAGCCCGCGGCAAACCCTCGGATCTTCGCCGGCTTCACGCCCCAGAACGGCCGCAGGTCGTCGTACACGCGGTCGAAAAACCGCTCGTGGATGAGCGCGTTGTGCTTTTTGGCAAAGGCAAGCCACGCGTCGAAGCCCGGGGGCGGATGCCGTCCCCGTTGCGCACGGTAGACGTCTGCCGGCGACCTATGGCCGTTCATTGCATCTCCGGTGAGGACATCGAATTCGTCGTCCGCGTGCCGCATCAGACGGTCGACGGGATGGTCGCCGCGGTCCAGGGGGGTGGCCGGGGCATGGTCGTTGAACAGGACGACGAGGAAGAAGAGGATGGTGAGGAAGAGGGGAACGGGCAGCCAGCGCCAGAAGAGCTTTGAGGCTTGGATGCGCATGATCGGACGTGTAGACCTTGCTCTTTTGATTTACTTCTCGCCTTGGAGTCCGCGTCCCAGCGTCAAGGCCAGCCTTGCAACTTTGACCCCATTCAATATGATCGATGTGAATATCCTGTCCAATAGTTAGTGGTTCAGTTCCCACTGTCCCATTTGCACACTTGAAATCCATTCTGATATGCTAAAGGAGGAGACATGAAATGCGATAAGTCCTAAGCACACGACTCCCAATGCTCAGCGTGCAACTGTATCTTAAGATTTCTTGCGCCATGCTTCACCAATGTAGGTGATCTTAGAGGTGGCATTGCTATCGACTTCCATCGAATAACGGGCCTAAAGTTGATCGAATGATACTGTAGAGGCTCGCTCTCACTAGCAAGGACGGATTGAATGCAGGGACCACGGTATATGTATGCAGATGGGCAGAGTGGATTCAGGAGACTTACGAAGCACAGTACGTATCCTATCTATTCAGCACGATCCTTCTTCAGTCGCAACGCGATTAAAATGTCCCAATATTGCATTCAATGATGGATAAATAAGAAATGAAGATAGATCCCAATATATTTGCGGATGAGGGTGAGGTGTTTCGAATGTGTTATGTACAGTGCATAGAAAACTTGTGAAATTAACTTGCAGCACGGGGATCTTAGGTACGTACATTTTCTTGGTATGCAACCCGGAGCTTCAGCCTCCGCCACATGTTGCCGATGGGCGAGGAGGGTACTGGTACATCATAGGCTGCGAATCTCTGCAACATTATTACCATAGTAGTCAATTGCGACGTATGGACTTGAATCCTAGATACAAGCTACAATGGGGTGGACAAATGCCTAGACGGATGAACTAGAAGATGGAAGATGGAAGATGGAAGATGGAAGATGGAAGATGGAAGATGGACTCCTCCTTGTTCTCTGTCTTTGTACGGGTATTACATGACTGGAGGTGCTTCTAGCGGAAGGTGCAGAGCCGATATGTAATTGCAAATAATGCCCATCATAGCGATGTCGCAATGGCATTATTAAGACACCGTTTCACGCTTGCAGCCAACACGAGCTCGTATATCCAAGCTTCATGCGCTCCATCACAGCGCAAACGTCCAGTAAAGGGCGCGTTATCGTGAAATGCATACTGTCAACACGACAACTAGCGTCCCCTAAGAGCAATTCCTGACAAAGCGGCGTCACTCTGAGATTTCACTGGTCCATCTGCAATATGACACCGTCCCTGTCACCCATCCCACCAATCAATTGTCTTTATGTCAACCTGCTTACATGAACAACCACGCCTTTCGCACTCAATCAATGACACCCCCCCTGTCCCCACCACCGCCCAGCATCGTGAATTCGACGCTGACCAATACGTTTCTCACCACCGTTTTCAGCATTTTCAGCATTTCCAGCCGTTTCGCAGTGCCTGATGCGCCATGGATGCGCAGGGTACAGCTTAATAATTGATGCCGTGACAAGATTTTGGAGTCACAATCCAACAACGCATGGACGTGGTGTCATATGTGCAGCTCTGAAGGGTGTGAATATTACATGATGGATGGACATCTAGAAAAGTATAAAGAGGGCTGAAGAAGTCGGCAAAAGGTAGGATAATATTTCAGAGCATCAGTTCATCAGTTCATCAGAGCATCAAAGCATCAAAGCATCAAAGTATCGCATCAGTCAATCAACCTTCAAAGCATATCAAGTCCTATATCAAGCCTTCATCAACCACCACAACACAACCACCTCCACCAACCATCACCACCTCACCACCAGCTAAAACAAAACCAACCAACCAAACTCGCAATGGAATCTGTCACCCTCCAACATCTCTCCCGCCCCGACGCCATGGACCACAAAACCGCTACCTTCCCCTCCACCTCTACCCCCACCCTCGCCAGTTCCACCAAGTCCACCTCCTCCCTCAAATCCGCGCTGAAGAACGTCGCCCGCAAAGCCCGCGAGCATCATCACAGCGTCAATGAGGCGTATATGACCTACTACGGTGCCAGGACGTATAGCTCGGACGAGAGTCGGCAGGGGAGCAGGGTAGAGGAGGGGACGTTTACGCCGCAGGCTTAGAGATGAGAGACGGGAATGATACCATCGAGCATTAGGTCTGCAAGGGAAGGGGTTTGGAGTTTGCTTTTGGGACAGTTTACGACAGATTTTTTGGGACGGCAGGTTCGTTTGGATATATAGGGGATGAGATATGAGGATCGGGCTTCAGTGCGAATAGATTAAGGGAAATGTTTCATGTACATATACATCCCTATTACCATCTACAAACATACCTTTTCGCTTCGACATATATCCCAATCACGTGATATATAGGAATCTTGTGCTATGATTGGCCTATTTAAGAAAATAATAGATTAAAATAGTAAGCCGTTCGCCATGGAATGTATATGTGGCCGGGGCCGTACAGGCGGTAGAGAGTGCCCGAAATAGGCGGTATAGCGTGCCTAAAATGTGTGGTGGGGGTGCCCACGTAGTAAGGACTTGTCAACACCAGTCACGTGCTAAACCATTTATTTCGATATTGACCAATCAGAGCACAAGATTCCTACATCACATGATTGAGATGTATGTCGAAGCGGAAAGGTACGTATGCGAAGGGTAATACTCAACCAAAGTAGGAATGTACATGAAGCATTTCCCATAGATTAATACCTGCCTTAATAATACGAATTTTCTTGTCAAACATTGCGCGCTGGCTTGGTTACAGGAATTGTCATCGGTTGGGTGGTCACGTCATCGAGTCTGGATCGTCGCTGTGTTGTAAGCAGCTCTTGGTATCTCTCTCTATCTGTATACAATTTCTTCTCTCTGGCTTAATAGTTCAGTAATAACCGAATATTCCAAATCACCGTGAACGAAGATTCTCGTAACAACTAGCTATCTCACATCTTATTCACTGTAAGTAATGCTCCCATTTCATGGTTGACATCATCCGTACATCCCATCTCCGAGGGTTTGCCGATGCCGCCATCCCCTCTAGAATCTTCACTAGGAGTAATCAGCTCTATTCTTCACCAACACAGCTCTCTCTCCCCCAACGAACAACCCCGCCACCAGCTCCTTGTATATAAAACCATCAATCCTCATCTCCTTCCATCTACTTCCTCGCTTTCATGTACTCCGCCATCTCCACCATCGCCATCCGACGAACGCTAATCGCTGCCTCCCGAACAGCCTCTGCAACCAGCAAACGTCCATCCTTCCTCACGATCCAACACCTCTCTAAACCTCTATCCCATCCCCGATTTTTCACCATGTCTGAAACCAAGCAAGGAGTCCACAACCTCGCCAAGTAAGCATCACCCCCATTCTCACCCCCCAAAACTCACCTCTAACCTCACCTAGGAAATCCGACTGGGACGAAGCCCTCGCCGAAACTAACCGCCTCATCGTCCTCGACTGCTTCGCCACCTGGTGCGGCCCCTGCAAAGTGATCGCCCCCACCGTCGTGAAGTTCTCCGACGCCTACCCCGAGGCTCGCTTTTACAAGCTCGACGTCGACGAGGTCCCCGACGTCGCCCTCGAGCTGGGCATCCGCGCCATGCCGACGTTTCTGCTGTTCAAGAACGGGGAGAATATTGGCAGTGTGTTGGGCGCGAATCCGAAGGCGTTGGAGGCGGCGATTCAGAAGGGGTATGGGGAGGGGGCAACGGCGTGAGAGAATGTGGGAGGATGTTGTGATGGAGCTGTGGGCGGAGGGATGGTGACATCACTGTAGAGTGAATGCAGATTTCCTAAGAAATGATACCGATTTTCTGAGACGGTGGATGAAGTACGGTTGAGAACATCCTCAGATATCGTTACAATGAAAACAAATTTCGTGAAATATGCACTTCTACCCGACATACATTCGGCTATCCGGTGTCACGTCCCGCATCATAAATAAGTGCCGCATCACATTTCCATTACGAGACACGCGATCCAATGCCATCCTAGACACCGTCGCCAGCGATCCCCCCTCCCTCCACTTATTTCTTCGACAAGAAATGGAGCTTCTTCTTCTTCCGATCCGGATCCTTCGTCAACTTCCCCCCATTCCGCTCATTCCGCTCATTCCCCCCTCCATTCTGCGAAGTAGCCGACGACGACGGCGCCTGGCTCTCCTCCGTCACCGACCGACTGGCCCCCGGCCTAATCGGCAACCCCTGTCCTGGCCCTCCCGCCATCCCCACCGGCCTCCCCGACCTCCCACTTCCCCCCGACGGCGTCGACCCCACCGCCGGCCTTTCCTCAAACAAATGCGCCGGCGCCTTCGGCCGCGGCATCAACGCCGGGATCCGCAACTGCGCCCGATCCCTTGACAGATCCCCCAACTGCCTCAGAAACAGCGCGGGGGTGAGCATGTGGCTAGTCGCAAGATACACGTCGCGCCCGGTCGCACGCGACACCTCGTAGCACGCACGCGCCTCGCTGAACGTCGCCCCCCCCGCGATAAACACCACGACGCGCTGACGCGGCTCGACGGAGTTGAGGCGGCTGCGTGCCCAGGTGGGCTTTGCGCGCTCGGTGGTGCGGAGGGAGGCGCTGGAGGCGTTCTCCTGGGTGAGGGCGTGGAACTCGTTGGCTTCGTGGGGCTTGGCGAAAGGAAAGGTGAGGGGGTCAAGGGAGCCGGTGACGTGGGCGTCGAGGAGAGCGCGAAGGGCGGGTTGGCGGGCGGGGGGGGCGTTTGGTGCCGAGGGGCCGGTCGCTACGGGCGCCGAGGAGGGAGAGGTTGAGGAGGATGGATTCATCGGAAGGAGGGAGGGCGGCGTGCGCGAAGAGGCGGTTGCGGTCGGCGGGTATGAGACCGTCTTGGTAGATGGAGAAGAGGGCGAGGAGGCGGAGGCGATCTGCGGGGGTGACGTCCGCTTCGTCGACGATGCGGACGAGTTGGTCGGCAAGGCCTTTGGGTTTGCGATAGTCTTCGTCGAGTCCGGTTGCGAGTGTCTACGACGATCAGTGTGGAGCTTAGAAATGTTCGAAGGATGCGTACCTGTTCTAGGAGCGCGATCTCCGGCAGCTTGTGCTTCTGGAAGATTTCCATGCAGCCCTCGGCCATATTAATGTGAAGCGTATACGCATCTTTCATTTCCTGGAACTGCGGAAGCCCCGCAAGCATATCCTTGATCGCATTCAGGCTGCTCGCGTTGCCGCTATTCGCAAAATGCGGGTTCTCCTTTAAGAACTTCTTGAAATCGCTCATCAGCTTCTCCAGCGTGTCCCGCATGTGCCGATGCCGGTTCTCCACCCAGAGCTGATCCTTCTCCCCGATCTCCATCTCTTTCTCTTCCGCATCCGGTCGCCCTTCGTTGATCAGTGTGCGGAACGTGACTTTATCGCCGTCGCGGATCGGCAGCAGGTCGTGCGCCATGGCTTGGTAGGTGAATTCGTGGAGGAACGGCGAGAACAGATCCATCGACCGGTCGAGGATATACAGTGCGCCTTTGGGACGAGTGGTGGCCGGTGGAAAGCTGTCCTGGTGGTATTTACGATACATATCGATCTCATCTTGGACCGCTTGGGCGATGAAGTCGCTGAGAACATGCGCCTCGTGCGAAGGGAGGGGATCCTTCGGTTTGTAGTAGCGGATCGTAGGGTATTCTCCTAGGGCAATACAGATCCCGACAATCTTAAGCACTGTCAGCATATAATAACGAGAAGAATGTCATGATCATACCTTTTGAGCCAGGTCCGAGATGTGTTTCTGGACCAAATTGCTGCACCTCGGATGATATAGGATCGGAAAGCTCCATGGATCTCGGAATGTGACGAGATGTGACTCTCGAGGATAGAAATCCAGATGCGTGATCCCAAGTTTGGCAATCTGATCTCGTCCTGAGCTCGAGCGATCGATACGCTGTCTCTGCTCTGGCGGCAATACTGCTATTCGTGAGCAATTGACGATGTCGGTACGAGCATCCACACTGACTTGATGTCCATACTAGGAATGTTCTCCGGTACCTCCTCTTCTCCAGGTCCGCCATAAGACAGTCCACAATGTGCTGCTCGGGGGTAAGGATATATATAACATCGCTCTCAGGGTCGGACTGGCGTCGCGCCTCGATGTCTTCGATTTCTACGCCGGATCAGATCCGTCCATGAATACAGAGCCAACAAGCATACTCAAGACATTTTCTTTGATGATGTCGTCCTCATTGACGACGTTCTCGACCAGCTTCCGGCTGGTCTGATCGAGGATGAGGACTTTCCACTATGTGACGTTCAGCAGCTAGCATCTCGGATCGAGGGGGGATGGCGAGAACTACCTCTCCCGGTGCATTCTTTCGGATGGTGTCGAGAATAACTGGCAATCCATTAGTCGACACCTTCGACTCCGTCCGCGAATGACTCACGTTCTCTCTGTATATCGAAAATCGAAGCACTCATGGCGGCCGCGGAGAGGGTTTCATCGAGGCGTTACGAGCCAGTTCCGTGCCGTGTCCGTGAGTCCAATATGGGCGTCACACTTGATGCTTACCGATAGCTTGGGCTCACACGGTTGATTAAAGAAGTCGTAATTGATTGCAGGATTCGAAATTCGGAACCTGTTGCATGTGCATGAGGGGACAGTGGGAAGGGATGAGGAGGAGGAGCAGCTGTCTGTGCGATTCAGCCAGTGTCGGAGCCCTGACGTCGTCTATCCCTGACGAGTATCAGATCATTCCGTATCTAACTTTTTATTCCCTAGTAACTACTATGGTTCTCTCGTTTCCTCCACATTTGCATAGCAATTATCCCATCATTTAATCCTCGCGAGTCATAATTCTTCTGGTATCCCGGCCAGCGCCTGGAGGGAGCTTCCTGCATGCTAAAGGGCATGCGACGGAATCATGTCGTCGCCGGCAGATCCATAGTCTCTTCGCTCTCATCCTTCACGCCGACAATCCCCTTTCATCGTCGTCTCGTCAATGCTAGATGGAGTCTAATTCGAAAATTTACCGGCGATGCCTCCTGTCAGGCAAAACATGGCATCAATCGGCCGTCATTCGTCAAGGATCGGCTGATTGCCGCCCAGCGAGCTGTAGGAGATGATGTCCCTGGTGATGGGGTGGATGCAGTACGGATTCGTCTCTTCCTATATCGCTGCAACATACTAATCGGGCTCACAGGACTATAAGAGCATTATCAGCCTAAGTCAAGGAAACATTCCCCCGGGAGTGCTCGCTGCCATCGGTCATGCCTGGCATTATGTCGGGCGCATGATAGAAATCGAGCATAAGCCGTTACCGTCCGCGAAACTTCGACACGATTCATATCCCGCCTCACCGAATGTGTTGAACGCGTTTTGGCGGTCCCTGACGGTCGATTTTACTCCACCCAATTCCGATCGGTATAACCGGAGAGACCGGATTGTCCGCGCCGCAAAGAATGCCATGTCGAAAAAGGTGTCCCCCGACTCCCCTGAAGCGCTGGAGCAGGTGATCCGATCCGAATTCTATATATGGTATGCCGAGTCCCAATACTCCGGCATCGACTGGGAGTTGGTGACGAAGGCGGCAAACCTTCGATATCCCAACGAATGGTTTGCATGGGCGCGTCGCATGCGGAGGAAAATCGTTCTACACATCGGACCGACGAATTCGGGAAAAACCTACAACGCGTTGAAGAGGCTCGAGCAGGCGCAATCGGGAATCTACTGCGGTCCTCTGCGGCTCCTGGCCCACGAGGTGTATACCCGGCTAAATGCGCAAGGCACGAAATGTGCCCTGTTAACCGGCGACGACAGAAGATACCCGGACAACGACCAGTCCGTGTCCAAGGTGAGCTGCACGGTGGAGATGGCGCCGAAAAAGGCCGTAGACGTCGTGGTTGTCGATGAGATCCAGATGATTGGGGACGACTATCGGGGCGGTGGTTGGACAGACATCATTCTCGGTGCGGATGCCAGGGAGTTGCATTTATGTGGTGAGGAGCGTGCACTGCCCATCATCCAGAAGCTGGCGGCGTTTACCGGTGACGAACTGGAGATTCACCGATACAAGCGACTGAGCCCTTTAAAAGTTGCGCCCAAGAGCCTCGATGGAGACTTGAAGAAATTGCGTAAAGGAGACTGTATGGTCTGCTTCTCCGTCGTGCAGATCCACAGGTTGAAGCGTAAAATCCAGATTTTGACCGGGAAGAACGTCGCAATCGTATATGGCGCACTGCCCCCTGAGACTCGTGCACAACAAGCGAAACTGTTCAATGACCCGGACAATGATTACGACTATCTTGTGGCTAGCGATGCTGTTGGAATGGGGCTTAACCTGTAAGACTTTTCCAAACCTGAGCAAATGACGACTGACACCCTCCAGGAGCATCAAGCGCGTGATTTTCCATACCCTGTCCAAGAAGCATCAGGGAGGTCGACGGCAACTGTTTATCAACGAGATCAAACAGATCGCGGGCAGAGCTGGGCGATATCGCGCTGCTAACCAAGATGTGAAAACTGGGACCCCCGAACCGGAGAGTATCGCCTTGGATGCCGAAATTCCGATCGAAGTAGAAGGCTCTGCCAAAATCGATGATATCGATGCTTCGCCTGCAGCCGATGATGAACCATTGGGCGAGACTACGGATTCCAATAGAGAAGAAAAGGTCGCGCCAAAGAATTCGAAAACCATCGGTTGGGTAACCACCCTCCTAGAAAAAGACCACCCCATCCTCGTGGAGGCCATGGAAGGCGAGGCCGAACCGATCGAAACCGCCGGCCTCCAACCCCCTTCCTGGATGCTCCACGACTTTGCCGGCTTCTTCGAACCGGGGACCCCGTTCAGCTACATTTATCGCAAGCTGGTCGAACACTCCCAACTCAGCTCCGTCTTCCACTTCTGCGACATCGACGAGAAGCTCGCCATCGCCGACGCCATCGAATCCGTCGACCTGACCTTCACCGACCGCACGGTCTTCAGCCTCGCGCCTGCCGGCCGCAGCCCGTTCCTCATCAAGATCATCGTGGCGCTCGCGCGCTGCGTGTCGGAAGGACGCACGGTGACGATCGCGGACATGGAGGAGATTCCGCTGGAGGCGCTGACGCCAGGCCCGGAGAACTCGGCGCTGGGTCTGAGCGCGCTGGAGGATCTGCATAAGGCGATCGTGCTGTATCTGTGGCTGAGTTATCGATTCAACGGGGTGTTCACGGCGCGGGCAATGGCGGTGAAGGCGAAGGAGATGACGCAGGAGCAGATTGAGAAGTCGCTGGGGACATTGGCGGCGATGACGGGGCGGGAGCGGTGGGAGGAGAAGCAGAGGCATTTGCAGGAGCTGGCTAATGCTTTGCTGGATCAGACGGCGAAGGATGGGGTTTCGGACCCGAAGACTTCGAGAGATGAGGAAGGTCAGCGTGATGGGGCAGATGGTGAACCGTTGGCTTATAGGTCGTTTAAGTTCAACACGGAGCAAGATAAACGTGTAGAAGAAAAGGAAAGGAAGAGCATTGGTACTAGCACGTAGTGGAGGAATTATTGTACATATCCGTCGAATCTCAGCCATGAACACTTCTCACCAAGTAGTTCACGAACCACGATTCATCATCCACCTCGAAAGTAATTGAAGCAACGGTGAACGGGTATAAGAGTCCAGTTCAGCAAGGAACTGCGGACCGGAACGCCATGCTCCATTAACCATATCACACCAGCGCCAACTCCGCCATAATTATTGAATTTTAGCCATGAACACTGCTCACCAAGCAGTTCGTAAGCCACAATTCATCATCCTCTTGAAAGCCATCATTAAAGCAACGGCCAACGGGTACAAGAGTCCAGTTCAGTAAGAACTGTAGACCGGAACGCCATACTCGACCGACCATATCACACCAGCACCATACTCCACCATAACCATCAATCCCACAATCGCAACCACCAATCCCACACCTTCACGCGCCCTTGTACATCCATCGCATATAAAGAGCAGGTGGGTGACCCTCAAACGAGCTGGTACACGGACATGGGACGCGGGTATCCATTCGTGTCATTAGGGGCGGTATAGCTTCGGTCCCCGTCGGTGGTATTGCCACCAGTCGTATCGGTGGTCTCGCTACTGGTCGCGTAGGTGGTCTCGCTACCGGTCGCGTAGGTGGTCTGGCTCGACACGCTGGTCAGGCTCTGGCCTTCGGTCCCCTCCGGCTGCTTCTGGTTGCCGGCCGGTTGAGGAAGATTCGAGAGATCATGCGCCGACCCCGTATTGGACACATCGGATGTAGCAGGCGGTGCGGGCGCTTGGTGGGAAAACCCGATATGCATCAGAGCGAGCTGTAGGGTCGTGTGTGGCGCCGGTGCGGTGGGCGGAGGAGGAGGCGGGTTCGCGGTCGTCCATGCGGACATTTGGTTCTCGATGTATTTCTGCTTCGAGACCCAGGGGTAGCGGGTGGGCCAGAAGGCGGAGGAGACGAGCATGATCACCAGAACTACGCCGGCGAGCGCCGAGCAGATGATCATCGTGGTGCGGTAGGCGTGGAGCCAGGAGAGCTGCAGGATCTGGTGCTTGAGATCGGCGACGCCCACGAGGGCTGTGTTGACGGCGACGCCTAAGGTGCCGCCGAAAACAAGCAGCTGGCCGAGCAGGGCATGGGCAGAGCCGTAGTCCCACAGACCGCTCTCGAAGCTGGCGACCAGGGTGGCGGAGGAGATGGTGAGTCCAAGCCCGAATCCCAGGGCGAGGAGCGCGAGCAACACTTTGGATGAGATTGGGTCAGTCCTGACACTGTCTATATCGCCGAGCCACGTGAGTAGTGCCGTACCGATGAGCACGGGGACTGCAGCAAGGGTCATCACTAGAGTGGTGCGATTGAGCTTGCGTGAGCATAAGCTCGCCGTGATGCATCCAAGTGCAACTGCAGGAAGCACCGACGCCAAGGCGAGCCCTGCTCTCGCGCTCGTGAACTTGTTGACGATAGTCAGGCGGAGAGGCAGGCCAAAGACGATGGCGAAATAGATCCAACCATTGAAGAAGATGGCGATGAGAGTTGCCGCGAACGCGCCGTTTCGCATGAAACTCATCGGCACCAGGGCGGTAGATCGTCCGGACTGCACTTGGGTCTGGCATCGTTCCCAGAAGGCCAACGCAACTAAGCAGACAACCCCGATGCTCATGAGAACGGAGAAGAGAGTCACTCCGGGGGTTGAGGTGGTGTAGAGATTGATTCCTATGAGTTGAAGGGCAGTGATCGGCAGCACCGAGATGATGGCGAAGAGGAGGTGGCCAAAGAAGTCAATCCTCCGGAAGGGGACCTGTAGGTGAAGTCGCGCCCTACCATTACGGGGCAGGGAGTACATGACCATTGTCATGGATACGGTGATGATAAGGCAGCTAGATACTGTCAGTACAGAAGCCATTGAATAGTGGGAAGACCAACTTCATCCAGAAGATCCAATTCCACTTCAGCTTGGCAATGGCACCACCAATCAGGGGACCGCAAACACCTGAGTTCGGTCAGTATAGTTCATCACCTTCAATTCAAAAGAGGGCGTCATACCAGCAACCGCAATGGCGAATCCGAAACAGGCACTATTGAACTGGATCATGCTGATAGGAGTAACCTCCGTCGCGATGACAGCACCTATCCCGTAAAGTCCGCTGCCGCCGATTCCTTGGAGCGCACGAAGTACCATGAGTGGAATAACTGTGCGTACAATTCCGCATGCAAGGGACGCAAAGATATAGAGCATAGCAGACAAGAAGTACATGAAAAGCCGGCCAGAGACATCCGCCAAAGAGACCATGAACGACGCGAATGCGATAAAGGCAAGATTGTAGGCAAGGGCAGCACAGTCAGGTTGTCCGGGCCGTGCGCGGATGGCCTTCTCAATTGGCTCCATCGCAGGGCTGAGAACGGTTGTCTGCATAATGGAGATAAAGACACCCATGCAGATACTAACACGTAGTTAACTATTCGAATGCCCATTGTTACGGAACTGCGACTGAGTCGACTGATTTTTGCTTCACGCAAGTCCACTGCGAACCACAACTCGTGAACACCACTGATGCATCACTCACCCAAATTCAATTAGAATCCACTGCCACATAGGCATAGATGGCCCAGTGCCATTGGCAGGGGCTGTTGTCGCCGCTAATGCGGCACTGATGACGTTCCCCATGTGGGTTCGGTTGGATTGTGAGCGTTAGCGCGTCGATGAGATGAGCTGACTTCAGAGAACGGATAATGGGAGGGCCCAGGGGCTGGCCGTGGATCTCCCAGTGATATCAATTAATGGATCAGATTCCACACGATCTATATGATGAAGCGTGAGAAATAAGGGGTAGAGGATGAGAGAAGGTGTGAGCACAAGGTAGAAGGTTGAGAAAGGTTGTGCGAAATCAACTTCTCACGATGAGCGGGCGGCGTTCACTGTATTCCATCTGAAAGTGACGTGCTGTGCTTAGCGCATTTATGATCATATGTGAATCACATAAAGCAAGGCGTAGGCGTAACAAAGTGATATCAAACGGCTACGCTATTCCTGTTCCGATGATCTAATAAGTCGATATGGGATGAGGCGTCGCTCGGGGCAAGTGCACGTGCTGGTACAGTACGACGCAGTACCCGTACGTACCACGTACATCTCCACCGCAACCGTAGTACTTATCGACGAACTCAACACACCAACATGAAGATGAGGGGAAGCATCGTCTTCATCTTCGGACGAAATATTATGCTTTTATCCATGCTCTTTTCGCATAACCCCGATATTGAGTTTTGAAAACAGACGATGACTTGGAGCAAGACTCCCACTACAGAAACACATTGTAGACTCCAGCAAGAGAAAGACTCAGAGAGAAGGAAGGGGTCCATATGTTAAGGAGGCCTGCGGATATATGTCAAGAGTTCCTTGGAGAACCAATAGCGTATACATTATCGCCAAACAGCGTGTCTCTTCCGATATTGAGCCATGAATCCTTGAGGACAACAACATGCCTGACAAGTCGCATCTCTAATATTTTCAGATAAAGATGTGACGAGGAGAAGAAGAGAGAGGAAGAGGAAGAAACAAAGAAATAGCAGAGGAGCCGGATTAAACTGGCGACGTCGAGATAAAACGGGGATCTGCGCCACAACGGGTTTAGATCGACGAGGGACCCCCGCAAGATTTAACGTCGCCGAGATGACAATCCCTGCGGACTGTGACAGCAACAAATTATCCCAAACTTTTTCCGACTGTGTTAACAGAAACAGACGCATCACAACCAGAGCAAGGAATTGCCGTGCGCAACAGAGGCGAGATGACGTCCATCGGATCGTGCGTGTTCTGCACCGCATGTGGCAGTCTGCTGGACAAGAGCACCGAGATCGCGCGCAGTGTCCTCGACTGTGGCGTCTGCGGAACGAAGAATAAAGGTACGAGTCCTATGCTCCTTGGGAGCGCGGAAGATCTCTTCGCCCGTGTTTGTTTCGCGGTATTCTTCTGTCCCTATAATCGCGGTGCCGTCGTCGGGAGCCGATATCCTACAGACCATTCGCCTCTGTTGAACCGTGGCTGACGACCATGTCTAGATACATCAGCAAAAGTGATCATCACGAGATCGAAAGACACAGCGTTTCCCTCCGCGCTAAGAGCCAAGCGATCAGAAGTGCAGAAGATCTCCGAAGACGATCTTCAGCAAGATGCCTTGATTGATGAGACGTGCGACAAGTGTGGGAGAGAGCAGGTTCGATATCATACGGTCCAGTTGAGAAGCGCGGACGAAGGGTCTACTATTTTCTACAACTGCGATTGCGGTCATTCGTAAGTTGGATCGCAATTCTAAATTTTGAGGGCCAAGCTGATGGGTTATCACGTAGATGGAACACAAACAATTGAAAGCCCCGCTGCATTTGCGTGGGTTGTCTTCATTGTAAACGAAAGGGCCCATCCAGAATGGGCCGGAAGGCAACGCTGCGATACGGACCCGTGTATGCCTTTCATGCAGGTGGTCTATCTCTATCAAACAACGGTTTGGGCACAAAGCAGAATGTGCCGGAAGGCAACCTTGGATACGGACCCGCATATCTCTTTTCATGCATGTGGTTTACCTCTTATCTAACAAGAACGGGGTGGGCAATTGTCGTTCATGACGGTACAATCGCATACTCTGCCTCCCCGCTTCTTTCATATTCCGCCATATCTAAGGCAACCACACAGCTCTCCCTCACCACCTGCTCCTCATCGTCCAAGAAACGCCTCAACACATCCTCCACCCCTTCTTCCTCCCCTAAACTGCCGAGTGCCTCCGCAGCCTCATGTCGAACCATACTTGCCTCCTTCGTGTTGCTTAGCGCCTCCACCAGGCTCGGTATTGACGCCGGGTGCGAGAGCTGCCCGAAGACAAACGCGATCTCGTGCCGGAATAACGCTGATCCATCCGTGAAACCTTTGGCGAGCGCGTGGACGGCGGGAACGGCCGTCGGGAGGTCAGGCGGGGATGCGAGGTCGCGCAGGGCGAACATAGCGCGGTAACGTTCGAAGAGCGGACAGTTTCGGTCTAGTAGACGGGATTCTAGCTCGTTGATTTCGGGTTGTGTTGTGGCCATCGGGACTGGTGGCGCCGGGTCTATTGAGGCAAAATCGCTGGAAAAACAAATCAGATACACAAATAAAAAAAATTGGTTAGCATGAACTCACCTAGCCTTTAGCTTTTCTTTTCTCCCCTCTTCCGACGTCTCCCATTCGATCCTCCCCACCGCAATGTCGCACGTCTCCGTGACCACCACTTCTTCCCCTTCCTTATCCCGGAATTCCCTCAGCACCCCCAAACTCTCCACATCCCCAATTGCCCCCAACGCCTCCGCCGCCTCGTGTCGACACATCGCATCCTCCGTCACATCCCGCAGCACCTGGTCCAGATACGCCACCGCGGCCTGATTCCGCGTTTGGCCCAGGCAGTATGCGAGTTCATGTTTGAGTAGAGCGGAGGGCGAAGCGAACGCTGCGGCGATCGCGTCGATTGCGGGGCGTGTCTGGGGTGTGGGAGGGTGTTGCGAGGCGACGTGCTTGAGGGAGAAGAGGGCGCGGAATCGGTGGGCGAGGGGCTGGGATTCGGAGGTGAGGACGGCGCGAAGCTTGGACACGGTGTCGCCAGCGGTTTTTTCGAGGGTTTCGGCCATCTTGAAGGATTTTTTGGGAGGGTTCACAAAACAAGGCGTAGGACAGAAATTATTTTGATCCTGGTTCACCTAGAGTACGATATGCCATGGATATTGACCTTGATGGTCTCAAAAAACTTATTGCACTGTGGGCGTCTATGGTCCACTTAACTCTTTCCCCTCCATCGTGATATTCGCGTCACAGCCTTTCCCCTTTCCCTCCCCTCTCCTCCATCCATATACCTCCCTCTGAAGAGACTCTGGTCGCCGTGATGTCCTGATGTTGTAGATAGGAACTGCTGTTGTCCATTAACCTGTTTTCCATTAGCCTGTTATCCATTAAGCGCCATGTCTGTTTTGGCCTTTCATATCAGCTTTGTGAAGTTCTTCATGCACTTTCTCTCGGCTCCCATTGGGTTGTTACGCGTCTCGTGCTGACGATAGAAAGAATCGATCATGGTCTAATCTGGAAATTTACGAAATATGATCGCCGTTATCGCTATCAACCCTTGGCGCCCGGTGAGTGTCGTTTTCTTTCGTTCCCGAATGACAGACAATCGCTTCCCATAAACTTTGAACTTGTCCACGCCTCATTGAGAGTAGCGATGTTCTTTCATACTGCTGGGGAGATGGGAACAACTTAAGAGTTGTTCGGTGTAATGGCAAGGCGCTCAGGGGAATAACTCCGTTTGAGCACCAAGGCGGCCAGATAGCTCAGACTCCATTCTCCCAGCTGCCTTTGGACCATGGAGTATATTTCCAATAATATTGGAACCAGGCGGGAAATCGTGCTCAAATATCGGCTCCCCCTCATTCCTCATGTTTGCTAAGACTGCCTGTTTGAAATGTCACCGTAGAAGCGAATCAAGAGGTGCATTAGGACGAGCAAAATACTCCTGATCAAGCTGATAGCTACCAATGCCTCTGATGTTAGGCCTAAAGGCTACGACCTTGTAGTTCTCCTGCGATAGAACATTAGCTACAACCTCCATAAATAGGTATACAACGTACGTCTGGATTAATTGAAATGCAGCAAGTGTCGAATAGCTGGTGAATGACGGAATCAAGCAAGATGCCATTCTGGACCGAGTTTGATAGTGCCTCCGCGATCTATGTATCATTTCGATAGAGTGAGCTGATGCGGACAGCAACCCCTGGAGAGGCAAACTTCCATGACCGGCTGGCATGTGGTGTAATTATGTGTCAACTGCCGATTTTTTATGTGCAGGTACTAAAGCAGAAGATATCGGTACCAGAACGCCACCGTCCCTCCCGGCTTCAGAACCTTTGCTGCCCGCGGCCAGAACGCCTCCATATCGAACCAATGCGCCGCGGTGGCCGCGACGATTAGATCGACGCTACCCTCCTCCACCGGGGGGTCGAGCTTTACTCCCAGCTCCTCGGCCGTCGAGATCTCGAAGCGGATGGGTTCGGCGGTGGAGGAGGTGCCGCCGAGAGAGCGGGCAGTGGAGACCATGCCTTCGGAGGGGTCGAGGCCGATGGCATGGGTGAAGTGGGGGGCGAGGGCGCGGATGACGATGCCTGGGCCGCAGCCAGCGTCGAGGAGGGTGGTGAGGTGGCCGCCGGTGGAGGTGTGGTGGTCAAGGTGGTGTCTGCAGGGGCGGGGGTGAGGTTGGGGGAGGGAGGCCATGGTGAGTATTGGATTTTGATTGATACAGATGTGTACTGAGATGCTGCTGGCAGAAGATGACACGACTAAACGGATGGACTTGGTGAATACAGGACTGTTTATCCTACGTTTTGAGAAAACCAGTTCACTTCCGACTTCCCTTCGATTAATATCCTCATAAAGTTGCTGCCTGATGCCATCGACATGAACCAATCACTACAACGCAATTCCCATTCTAGGGTACGCAGGCAAGCGCAGTTAGCGGACTCTTTGAAGTTCAAACCCGCGCTTTGGGTTGCAGGAGTCGGATCAGTGCCGTCCTCCTTACGAACCTAGGTACCGATATCGATAAGTCAGTATCACTCAGTAGCCTATCAAAACCACCAGTCACCAAGATTCGGAACTCTGATTCCGACTTCATAGAATGCGCACAGGCATGTTGAGCACTAGTTACAAGTACCATAGTAAGCATTCGACCAAAATCGGCCTGCAGCCTCCATTCCTCTCGTCCACTCGCTCTGCATCGTTGCCAGGGGAGTGAGGGGTCGCTGTTTCGACAGATTATGTCACCCGAGCTAGGAGAGAATCTGAGAAGCGAACTTGGTGATCAAGGCCGAAGCATGGAGTACACAGCCGAGAGCTGCGTGGACGGGCAGATCCTATTAATATAGATCTCGCCACATATAAGCAAAGGTACGATGCATCAGCTTGAGAGGCAACATTACCGGATTGGAGAATGACAATTATCTGATGGAGGGAGGAGAGGGATGGGGGAGGATGCTGATAATCGATACGACGGATGCAACACCGGGCCATGCCCCCTGTCAGTGTGTGGCGTTGAAACATGGGGGATAAACGTCGGCCTATCTCTGAGTGGCTGGTATTTTTGGGTGACGCGTAGTCGTGCAATCGATTCTGTTCCTTGTTCCTTCCTGATCTGATCCCGTCGTGTCCCAATCTCCCAATCGTGATGCGTTGCTGAATCTCGTGGAACTCGCCAACCTCCTTACAACAACTCCTGGTTCTCTCCTCCTGGCTTTCCACCCATCGGATCCCGCTCCACCCAATTCATGCCATTGTTGTGTCATTGAGTGTGCGCTGCGCTTTCCTTAACAATCGTTTGTATCCGTCACTCGTTAATACCCTACAAATTCTTTCTCCTGCTCTCCCTATGACGTTGCCATCATAACATCCTTCTTAACGATAACGCGATCCATGCAAGCAGATGGGCAAGTGGAGTTACGGGGTTATTTTGGATGCCGGGTCATCGGGCACTCGACTCCATGTATACAAATGGTTGAAGCCGGATAAGGCCCGCGCGAAGGCCAACGCAAAAGACCTGCGTAGCCTTCCGAGACTCGAAACCAGAAAGGACTGGACCGTCAAGAAGAAGCCTGGTACGGTATATTTAAGCCACGATTGCAATTGTCGAGATTAATTCTCTCCTAGGGATATCCACATTCAACGATAAGCCGGAAGAGGTCGGCGGCTATCTAGAAGAATTGTTTTCGCATGCTCTCAACATCGTCGAAAAAGATGAAGTCGCCAATACCCCGATCTTCCTCCTCGCCACGGCTGGCATGCGACTCCTCCAACCATATGAACAATCGGCCATCCTAAAAGAAGTCTGCGCTTATGCACAATCCCACACCAACTTCCACCTCCCAGACTGCGACATCCACATTCAGATCATCCCAGGAGAGACCGAAGGGCTGTACGGTTGGATCGCTGCGAACTACCTACTACAGAGCTTTGATGAACCGGAACACCATGACCATGGGAAAGATCATCATACGTATGGGTTCCTGGATATGGGGGGTGCATCGGCACAGATTGCTTTCGCGCCAAACACCACCGAAGCCGAGAAGCATGCGAACGACCTGACGCTCCTCCGATTGCGAACCATGGACGGGTTGCCCCAAGAGTACCGGGTCTTCGTGACAACGTGGCTGGAGTTCGGCGTTAACAAAGCACGGGAACGATACGTCAACAAATTGCTGGATTACACCGAACACAAACTCGCAGAGGTGCCCGATCCATGCTTGCCTCAGGGACTCAACGTCACGACGCAAGGAAAACCGATTACTGAGGGGTCGGAGGAGTGGCTTGGACGCAAGCCGCACTTGCTGGGCACCGGAATCTTCTCGGAATGCTTGCACGCAACGTACCCGCTCCTCGAAAAGGATGCACCATGTCCCGACAAGCCATGTCTCGTGCACGGCGTACACACTCCAGCGCTCGACTTCGATGTGAACCATTTCGTTGGCGTCAGCGAGTACTGGCATACCACCCACCAAGTGTTCGAGATGGCGCACACCGACCGGGGTTACGATTTCAAAAGCTATCAAGCCATGGTAGACCAATTCTGCAGCCAGCCGTGGGGAGCGATCCAGAGCGGCCAGGTCGGCAAGCAATGGGGCAAAAAGGTGGACGAGGAGACGGCGAGGGAAGTGTGCTTCAAGGCCAGTTGGCTCATCAACATGCTTCACGAGGGGATCGGCGTGCCTCGCGTTGGGATCGAGCAATCCTCCCATAACACCACCCTAAAACACAGCAAATCCAAAGGCGACAAGCACGGTCTGTCCGCGAGCTCAAAGTCGACCACCGATTACGTTGACCCGTTCCAAGCCGTCGACAAGATCGACGGAGTCGAGGTCTCCTGGACCCTTGGAAAAATGATCCTCTACGCCTCCTCCCAGGTCCCCCCCGCCCCCAAAGCCATGACCGATCCCTACCTCGTCGGCTTCGGCCCCAACAAACTCAACGTCGAAACCACCCCCGACTGGCACCCCGCCGGCGGCTCCTCTCTCCCCTCCCACCCCTCTTCCTCCACCAACCACACCACCTCCCCCCTTCCCCCCAAAGACCGTCCCGACCCCCTCTCCACTGACTCCCCCCGCCGCATCCCCGGCCTCCTCCTCTTCGCCCTCATCCTCCTCCTCGCCACCTACCTCCTCCTCGGCCGCACCCGCCGCTCCTCCCTCCTCGCCAAACTCCGCCGCGCCCCGCCCCCACCAACCAAACGCCACCGCGCCGGCCCCCTCAAGCTCGTCACCCAGGTCTTCGGCTCCCACCGCGATCCCCGCTACGAGCGTGTCGCCGCCACCGACCTCGACGACCCTGCGGCCTTCGAGCTCGGCGACGTCGAGGAGGCGTACTCCGACGAGTCGCCGGTATCCGCGTCTGCGATGCGGCCGTCGAGTTCACGATTGGTGTCGGCGGCGGGGCGGAGTTCCGGATGGGCGACGCCGAGGGGGGATGGACCGTCGGGAGGGGATTTGATCGGGCAAGGGGTGGCGTTGGGATTGGGGGTAGGGAGTCCGGGGAAAGGGAGAGGGGGGGAGGGGTTGATGGCGCGGGTGGAGAGTCGGGATCGGTTGGTGAGGAGTCGGACGGGGAGTCCGGTGAGGGGGGGGAGGAGTCCGATATGGCATGTGAGGGAGAAGGAGAGTGTGGATTAGTTTTCGGCGGGGTGATGATAGAGTATTAGGCGTATGGCTGGGATGGGAATTTGGCGTTTTTGGACGTAGGCTTCATGGTTGAACCAGGAGTGTTTTATCGATTATTCTGTAGATATTATCACGTTTATCATGCGTAAAGCAGCGTTACGATCGAGAAAATAATGTCTCTGTTTTATATTAACTCTTGGTGAAGATTGTCATAGGCCAACCCCTTCGTTTTACAGTGATTGCCTGCTCTACCATTTTTCCCCTCCTAAGAGAAGACCTCCGAATACATCGTTATATCGCCGCATTCCCTCCAAACGACCGATAATAAAATCATCTTCAACAGACCATCCCCTTCGCCCACTATATTTTCCTACAAATCCCCGCACGGGCGTAACCATGGTCTATTTCTTCACCAGCAATGTGGTGTCGCCCTCCGCCTTCATCTATGTGGGGAAAGACAAATTTGAAAGTACATGCTCACGATCCCTTCGCGGCACGCATCCGCCGATTTATCGAGGAAGAACGGATTAGGCTAACAGATGTTTCTGTATCAGATGAAGAATTGATTAAATTTGGCTGGGAGGAGGATGTGTGGTGAGTGTTGTCGCCGACTTCGAGCCTGTCTGGGTGGGTTTATATGGGTGCTGACTGCGCTGTAGGGTAAGCTCGATAAATTTTCTATGGCGGCACGGAGTATTGGGTTGACTAGAGTACTCGATATAGTTCCACGTCGACAATTTGTCGAGTGCACATGTCTACTTGCGGTTGCCGGACGGGCAGACGTGGAATGAAATTCCGACAGAGTTGTTGGAAGACTGCGCGCAGTTGACGAAGGCGAATTCTATAGAAGGTATGCCACCTGGGAGATCATCCAGATCGAAGTGTTCGTGTAATCTAGTCTAACCTCCTAACCAGGAAACAAAAAGGACAACGTCACCGTCATCTACACTCCATGGTCCAACCTCAAGAAAGACGGCCGTATGGACGCTGGCCAGGTGGGCTTCAAGGACAACAAGAAGGTACCGTTCGAGATCATCGTAACAATTTGTCATAAGGTATCTAACGGCCATCAGGTCAAGAAAATCCACATCCCCCAACGCGAAAACCCCATCGTCAATCGCCTGAACAAGACGAAAGTCGAACGGCATCCAAATCTCCGGGAGGAGAAAGAGGACCGGCAGAAGGACTTGCGGCGGCGGGATCAGGCGGCGCGGCAGGCGAGGGTAAGTTTAAATTCACCGCACTTGAGAGGTCTTCCGATTGCAGGGCCGTGTTGACAAGATCTACAGTCGAAGGAGGAGGTGCGGATCGCGAAGGAGCGGAAGGAGAAGGCGTATCAGAAGGATCACGCGTACGACGATTTGTTTTCGGAGGAGGCGATGGAGCAGTCGAGTAATCAGAATCGAGGGGCGAATGAGGAAGATGACTTCTGGTGAAGAGATTCGTGAGGGAGGGGATTATTTAATGAGTTACATAGATGGCTAAGACGGTTGTTGGGTATCTCGTGGACCCCAAAGCGCCTGATGCTGTCTATCCAATGCAACGCGTGTTGATACATATTTGAGGGGTATATACGACCCTTTCCTTCCAGCCCAGTCCACCTCATTGCAAGCACATCCCCATACTCTCATTCAACATCCTCACCTCCCAATCCAACCCCTCATACACTCTATGCATTCTCACCCCCCTCTCCACCGTCCCCACTACCGGCATCGCCTTCCCCTTCGCCAGCCGCCGCTCCCGATGATACCCCGCATTCAGCAAGTTCACCAACACCCGATACTCCACGCTCGCCGGCTGCCGCCGCGCCGCCACCCGCAGGAACGTCACGGTGTTCGCGATCTTTTGGGGGGAGAAGGCGGAGGGGGGGTTCGTGCGGAAGGCGTGCCGGAGGTGGGTGAGGAGGGCGCGTCGGTGGTGGAGGTGGTATTTGAGGGCGCGGAGGCCGGTGCGATAGAGGGTGCGGTAAGCGTGGATGATTTGGGGGGGAGAAGGCATGGTGATACGGGATTGGGACTACGAGATTGGGATGGAGGGAGATGGGTTAGGAAGTATACGCCTAAGGGAGAGGGCCTGCATGCTTGTCCGCCCAAATTACTATGGTTTTATTAGCATTTGGCGAGTAAAGTTGGAACTTGAAGCTCATACCTGTATCCATACCTCTCACTACTGCTGAATCTCTAGCAGCGTTCACTCGACAGGGATGATGGAGATGTTTGTTGATAGATCTGCACGTGACATGACGCCTATCAAGGCACGTGATTGCTAAAGTCACGTGCATGCCGGTGCATCTGTGTTGGACCAATACTCTTTATCACCACCAACAACTCGCCCTTGAACCGCCTCACTTTCCTCCTGCATCTTCCATCCGCACTTCATCACTTTACAAGTGCCCATAGTGTCGTAGCTTCAGAGGCAACCGTAGTTGCATTAGATTCCTCCTTCTCTTTTAGAGATCTCTCGTCTGCTTGTCCTTGTTTGCTCCAGTTAATGGCATGCTAATCTCCAGGTCCTCCTATTACCTCGGAACCTTTCTGTGATTGGAAGATGGGGTGTTCGCATTCACGGACACTGCGACGAACATGACGAGAGTGAACGATCGCTCTTTAGCCTCGAGGCTACCTCGCCTTGGCGAGCGTCATACGCAAAGGAAGAAAAAGCCGTACAAAATTGTGTTGGAGCATGTAACCCAAGAGAAGAAGAAACTCCAGTCCATTGTCAGCAGATGTTGTTCCGTCCGTTGGTGTTATTATTAACAAGTCTTACAGATCTCATATAATGCAAATGCCCCTCCAGGATATACATTCGTTCCCACGGGCGCCCCCGAGCTCACTGCTCGATGTAAAGAGCTTTGCAGGAAGCGAGGACTCGATGTCCATGTTGTCTCGGTAAGTCGCATCGTCCGAGCTTAAATTGTGTTTTGAACAATATCTGACATCCATGTAGGTAGCACCAAAGAACCGAGCTCACAATAACCCCGAAAAGATCGCCCATCATGTTCATCGAATAGGTCATCACTTTCCCAATGATATCGTTGATCTCGCCTGCGAATGGGAGGGATATACCATCCATCATGGTCAATTCCGGAAGAACAAAGATACAGTTGACACATCAAGACTGGCCAAATCCTTGCAATCGCATAGTTCCAAGGAAACGAGCGAGCAAGTTAGACTCGCCATTCGCGATCTATTCCCCAAAATCCCAAAAAAAGATCTTGATAATATCATCAAACACGCCTTTCGGAACGGAACCTCCCGTGTAGGAAATGCCGCAGAGCTTTCCCTCCCTCGGCGAGTTCAACTCGCGGTGGTCGCACATATCCGACACGAATATACCAATTACGACAAATTGCTGAAGCAAAATACGTATCATGAAGCTCGGTCGAGGGTTGAACCGACGACACTTGATCGACTCATGAAATGGCGTGGCGAGAATGACTCTGGCAAGCGTGAGCTCGAGGAGATGTTCCGCGAAATCATCGTCATCGATGATTCCGAGGATGAAGATGACGGCACCACAAGTGACGACCAAACAGAAGAACGCCATGAGAGCGTTGAGATCACGTCGCGTCCACTGCGGCACCAAGATATCCGATGGGATGAGCCAGATAATGTTGAATGGGTGCCTCATCCTCAATCTCGAAGGCATCGTGGGACTTACCTCATCCGCGTCCCTGGTCGTATGCGGCTACCATATCCTCCTCCACCCACTCTGTCCACCCGCCCTCGAGCATACGAGCCTCCTCCCCGGCTAATTCCTACGAGACCTGAGCGTGTGTACGTCTCTGAAGCAGCGCCTCCACCTCGTGGAGTGTACGCTGCTCCACAATCCGAACGATTCATCTATGAGTCACCGCAGCACCCCACAAGACCAATGCATCCATATGTCGACGACATACCGCGGCAACTTGCGAGGTCTCGCCCCGATGATGCGTACGAGGTATGTCCTCCCGAGATCGCAATAATATAATTAGATGTGCTTACTATTCACGACAGAGATCTCATCGACCAATCCCGCCACCAGTAAGAGCGCTGCAAGTCTCTGAACCTCATCTTGAGCAGCGTCGACAGCCTCCATCACGTTTTTACGTAGAGGACAGCCATATCCAGGATCATGCTTCCAGACGTGCGCCCGAACTAACACATAGAGAACCTATTCCAACTAGTAGCCAGCCCACTCAGCCCACCACCAGACAGAGTCCTCCCCGGCAAGTTCGCGATGAAGATGTCGCGCTACCATCCATTGAGGCGGCCAGTCCGCAGAACGTTCCATTCAGCAGTGATCCAGCAAAGGATCAGTATGCTAGGATAAATCGTCATGAACCCCCTCGTGATCGAGTTGAGCCGTATGACCCACGTCAGGCTATTCCAGAAGCTCGTGGTCCTAGGCAACAGGCTAGCACTGCAGCTCAGGGAAGACCAAATCTGCTGGTGAAACGGAAGTCTTGGCATGACGCTTATACTGATGAGGTTCATGACCCTTCATACAAGCGCGTTCGCCCTGACTACCCTGGCGCACACCAAAGTGCACAACTGGTGGAATCGTCGCGTCGAAGGACACCACCAAAGGTTGTGGACCTCACCTATCCCAGCCTTAATCGGCCAAAGTCGCCACGAGGGCAGGATCGACTACCTGTAGCGCATGATATTTCTCGTCCCATTCCGCATTACGTTGAATCCCCAGGTAGGGGCGCGTTGGCAGTTGAAGCACCTCGACGTCTTGCCTTTCCTCCCGAGTCTTCTATTCTAAGTCACAGTTACCGCAGAAGAGAAAGTCCGCGTGTTGTTGAGCGTAGTGTTTACTCGTCTCATCCTCATCCTCATCATCCGTCTGAAAGACCTGCTTTCGAGTCACAGCCTAGTCATCGTGAGATATATGGGATGGAGCGGAGGAGTCCGCCTGGCTACGTTGAACTTCAATCGCACCCGAATCCAGCCGCAAGGGCGGTAAGGGCGCCTGAAGAGGCAAGAATTCGCACAGTCAACACCACAAATCGCACCCACTTAATGGATTTCCCGCGGGATCGACCTCGCCCTGTGGATGTGCGTCCACGATAGTATGATAGGCACACTGTTTTTCTCTCTTCCTTCTAACCGTTCACAGTCACGAACCTCCAGTTCATCGGCCCCAGCACTACTATGCACAATCATGAAAGTCCGACTTTGATGTCGTTTTGCTGTACTCGTCGGAAGTTAGGATTGGCGATCTTTTCTCCGTCAGCAGCGTGCTGGCTGGACGTTTCATCATCACCATCTCCTTTGCTGTCCATAAAACATTCTCACCTGAGCATGTGCTTCCAGGCTTTGGGTCTCCCGCTGAAGAATTCACGCAGTTGTAAGTGATATTGGCATACCCATTAGAGCCTTCTACTCGGACGCCTCTATGAATCTTTTCCTAGTCTGACGAGGGCTCGCGTCCTCCACTTTCTTTTCTCTTACATCGTGTTCGATGCCTGGGCTGTGCTGACCCTTTTGCACCAGTTGAGTCATCGAAGGCAGTCGTTTGAATCGCATCGGCTACGATATGCATTTGGTATGCCAGGCGGAATTATTGCAGGACATTATTGGACGCAAGGGAGGATACATTGGGATGCAAGTCTTGTGCATATCATGGAGTTTGGAGCGGCTGGATACCTTAGGATGGGTTTGGGGGTTCGGAATTCGAACGAGACATGGGCATTAGCGAATGGATCGGAACGGACGGAGGAGGCTCATTGCTATCTTGTATAGTGCATCTATCACAGGGCACTGTCCCAACATAACGGTTTTATCTCCGCATGACCGTAGCAACGTAGACTATGGTTGTCTAAATTTCACTCGTCGTCTCCTTCACTTCCGATCCGTCTAAACCGTCTTAATGCCGTGAATATATATTAAGTAGCAGTATGCAGCCATAATCTATGCAGTCCCATTGAGCCATGATCATTTCCCAGTGAAGCGCCTCCGATTTCCTATGCTCGAAGACATACCCCGATTACTCCGTGGATCTCCACATTCATCTGATCCGAAACTCGCGCCCGTATTAGCGCCTCTAGACCCCTCAGATACCCTCAAGTTCAATCCCACCCATCATCGTCCCCGCTGCTAGTACTCTTCCTCCTCCCTCCCGCGCCACCCTTATTCTTCGCGCTCCCCGGCCGCCCCCGCTTCTTTTTCGGCGTCATGCCCAGATGCCCCCCCAGACTAATACTGCTCTTCCGCTTCCGGCCCCGCTTCTCCGCGCTGCCGCCGTTCTCGCTCGCGCCGCCCCCCGCGTCGCTCGGCGTCTCGTACCCGGCGGCCATGCGCGCGACCTCGTCGTCGTCCTCGTTGTCGACGATGCGATGCTCGTTGTCGACGCTGAGAAGGTGCACGAGGGACTGGCAGGCTTCGATCTCGGATGCAGGGGTGGCGAGGAGGTGATGGAGGGACGCGATGCGCTCGAGGAACTTGTCGTGGGGGAACGCGGGGTTGCGGATGGGGGTCTTGTTCATGTCTTTGACGCTCGGTTTGGATTGCTTGGAGGCGTGTGGCTTCGCGAGGTTCCAGGCACGGCGGAGGTGGCTGCGGGTTTCCCAGATCGTCAACAGGATGACGGCCGATAAGGAGAGCGTGTTGAGACGGCTTGGGTCGATATCGGGAACTGCTGGAAGGGATTGATGGTTTCCGACATCGCCCACCGCTAATCCATTGGCTTGTGCGTAGTCGAACCCGTTGACTTGCACATCACCATTTTGCATCGCTATATCGGCTTGCGGTCCACTGTTCGTCGGGTTTTGCTGGCTGTTCATGCCCATCTTTAATATCTCCGTCTCGATGCTATGGGCTACTGTCGTTCCGCTAGAGGTAACTAGCTTTTCCATGCAGGAAACCACATGAAGCAGCTCATCGACCCGAGAATAGTCGAAAAGAGCAAGGTTCTCCATGCAGAACCGGACGAAATGTCCATGCCGACTACCTTCCGGATTGCTCTGAAATTTCACCGGCTCAATATCGCATCGCGAGCAGAGATTTTGCAAGAACCGTTTGCGCACTTTGCTGTTTCCGATCTTGAGCACTTCGTAAAGCGGCTTCATCTTCGCAACGGGTGGCTGGCCCGTGGTGCCCTTGGAGTCGCTGAGCACATCCGCTTGGTATGTGAAGGCTTGATTGGTTGCCTTCATATACTCCTTCTCAAACATGCTCTCGTGCTTTTCATGCAAGCTGCGGTGTTCTTGGAAGGCAATCGCAGCAATTTGTTCATGTGGAGAGGTCTCGAGCGCGACAAGGGCCGGACCGCATTCCTTAGGATGCACCAAGCCTTGTCGGTTGATACTTGCAATGATCTGCGTCGCAAGGAAGGCCTGTTCATCCGGCTTGGCCAACGCAAGCTTGAGAATATAGTGGAGGTAATTCTGCGCAAGACAGGTCGAAACGCCATCATTTTCATTGGCCGCGAGTGACTTTTGAAGACGTGCCTGGCCGTGTTTCACACCCTCACCAACCTTGATCTCTGCACCTGTCTCGGATCGCTTCTCTTCGGCGGCAAAAAAGTCGCGTATACAGAGGAGCACGACATACTTCAGCTTCATGTCATCGTTGATAAAGACTAAGTCAAAGGCTCGAGTGACATCCGGCCGGTTGAATTGTTGTGGCCAAGCTTGGCATATCATGCCGATACTCTCGAGGGCTGCTTCACGAAGATCGATCGGCTGTTTTGTCTTCACAAACGGGATGAGGACATCAATGATGATGCCTGATACGGTAGAACCTGGATAGCCCAACTGTTTCTTGAAAACGTTGAGATACTTCTCGAAATCACACGCCTTTCCGAAGTAGCCAGCAATCATGATGTACCGCTTGACTCGGTTGAGTTCCACGGCCTGTGCAGCGTCATTGAAGTTGACCAGTTTCTTGGCACCGATGCCGCGAATCACGGACACAATAAGCCGGATAAGTCTCTCCGTATTTTCAAGGACGCTATCAATAATCCAGAGACATGAAGCGACCTCTTCGAGTTCGCTTTTTCCAAGTTTCGCAACGCTGCTGAGGAGCGCTTGCTGGACGTTCTCTAAAAATCCTTTCTGGAGAGAGGACAGCGACGGCATCGTATATCGGAAGATGCTGATGACCGATCGGTAAATTAATAGATCGTCGGTGTTCGAAAGGTTCTTAATATACGGCTCCAATAGCTTCAATTGATCCGCCGTAAAGAGCGCCGGGCTGGCTTTGGAAAATACTGCCATTGTCTGAAGGATACTGTGCTGCGGCAGACCGCTGAACGCTTGGTCGTTGTCGATAATCGCGTCAAACATCGCTGCAACCATGGTCTTGCAAACCCCGGTGTTGATAGATGCATGCTTCGACTGGGGAGAGAGAGCACTGTGGAGAAGTGACTCGAGGACGCTGAGTACGCCATCCCCGCGTTGTACAGTCCTGACAATCAGCGCTACCTGCTTCTTGAGGCGTAGATTCATGTGCGGGTCCTCGTCTGTTCCCTTGGACTCGACAAATGGTGTGATCCAGATCTCTTCGAAGGTTTGTCTCGCCATATCTGCGATGGATTCTTCGGTATCCCGAATCCGTTGAAGAAGAGTATCCGCGATGGCGGCCTTGACATCTTGACTCTCGTTCCTCAAGTAGATGTCCTTCAGGGTCTTCATTACGCGCTTTCGGACTACAACGGCCGCATCCGCAGATCGAGCTATGATACGATCACAGACCTCGTTCTCGAGCGATGGTTTCAGTGTCAGACACTTTGCTAGTAGTCCTAGCGCGGAATCTCGGACCATTGTCGAAGGATCTCCCATGCACCGAAGGATGTGGTTGATGACATGGTTGCCTTTGTCGAGAATCTTCGGGTCCTTCTCCAGGAGTTGAACCACGCTCTTCAAACTCCGGCTCTTGAGAGATGCTTGATCACTATTCATTGACAGGAGCAGCGTGTGGAATATCCGTTTGAAAGATCTGCAGAACGGTAGATTCAACGCTACGAGTGCGGATGCGATCCTTCCTTGGGTGTCGGACACGGTCTCGAATTCGTATTCCGTTTGGAGCCAACTGTCGTCCGCGATCATGTTCCGGACTTGAAGGAGAAGATCGCGTGGCAATTCTGCATCGGCGTCATCGCCTCTCTTTCGCGCTGTTTCGAACACTACCAAAAGCTGGGCCGCCCATTGGGCCATGGTGAAGCCTCTTGCGCTCTGATTCTGGGGATCATTTCCACTCTCCCTCGTGTGAAGATATTCAATAGCGGTTCGATAGGGGCCGTCGAATTCCAGGCCGTCGAGATCTGCTTGTCGCTCTTCGAGGACGGTATCGGCGATGATCGATAGTCTGACAGAAAGATCGGAATCCCGAGTATCGAGAGACCGGTAATTGTGCTGCACATATAACTGAACATCGGAGATGCCAGAGCCCATCAATCCCATCAGGTCAAGAGCCATGACTTTTGCGTTGGTGGCCATCTTGTCGGTTTCCACAAGACCGACCATCTGCGTCAGGAGGGTCTGCAGAAGCAGTTCGGCTGCAGGCCATTCCGCGTGACCGAGAACGTTCAAGAAATCTTCAACAAAAATGTCCAGGAGATTTCGGAACGGAGTATCTCCAGTCTTGGTAGCGCCTAGAGCTTTCGAGACGAGGAAACCAACCAGGTGTCTCGCACTTTGCTGTGCACTCGAGAACAAAGGAGTACTAATACTCCTAAGCTCCTTCATTGCAGTGGAGATAGTCATGTCACCAACCATATCAAGGTCCATAGCTTGGACAACAGCCTGGGGCTTGGTTTTCGCCAGTGGCTCTTCATCACTTTCGATGTCTTCCTCGTCTTCATCCGAACTTTCTCCACCATTGGCCATTGCAGCCTTTGCCCTCCTTCGGGCGTCTTCACGCAGGGGTGCGCCAGCCATTTGAACCAATCTCATCAGCAGAGCACTGACGAGTTGTATGGGTTTGCCCTCAATGAGGCGATACTGCCGCGCGGACTGCCTCTGCACCGGCAACCGTTCCAGGCTGGTAAGAATGTCGTTGAAAATTCCCTGTCGCATTTCGGAGTACTTGGCGAACACTCGCGCCAAAGTGTCCATGGCGGTACGACGGAGTGTCTCATATTTCTGTGTGCCAAGCGCCGAGTCCCTTTCTGCATGAGCATTTTCCACAAAGATGAGCTTGACGGCAGTGTCCTCGACTGAATTGATAGCCGTTTCCGCGACGTCCACCTTCGCAATAAGATCGCCAAGAAGCCTGAAGACGCGGCCGACTATCGCCATGAGGTTGGACAATGGCTTCTTGTGTGTAGCCAATATACGGAATACGTCGGCTTGAGCTTCCATATTCCTCGTCTCGACTGCTGGCAATAGGCACATCTCAAGCACATGTTTCACCGCGTCAAGAGTCTGGCGGACCAAATGTTCCGAATACAGGACCTTCTCTTCTCTTCCTGCACACATGATACGCAATAGCAATTTTGCTGCTTGCATTCCATGCTCCGCAGTGGCAAGGCTGCCGGCCCAATCTTGAATATCCTGATCGGTCCAGGAGCCACTCACAAGAAGCTTCAGCCTTTCAACCGGCACAATTGATGCTTCGCACATTCTTTGTATTCGCACCAAGCTGTCCGCGGATACCTCTTGGAACCTCTTGGCCGAGATGACCGTTTGTATAGCCTTGTCCAGCTTTGCTTGCGTTTGGGGAAGCAAACGGGGAACAGACGAGCTAGGTGCATCTTGGTCGACCCATGATGCACCAATGATGAAGTAGCGACCAACATCTGATTGATTGACCTGTGATGCGTCTGGATCCCATGCATTTTCTGTCTCTAGCAGGTCTTCCACCAGCTCCAACAACTTGTGTAATTCTGCGTTTGCCTTGTGTCGGACGTCGACGCTCATTGAGACGTAACCTTCACCGCCTGTCATCTCATCGTGTATTCGTTTCTTCGAGATATTAAAGGTGTCTCTAGCAGCAACGCGAGCATCAATTCGTGGATCCGCAACGTAGTCGGCTTGAGAGGAGCTCGGAATGGACGGGGTCATGATCATGTCATTCCCATTCAACTGACGCTTGACAACGGGCTCTTTTGGAGTTTGAGATGGAGGAGCACTGTGCTTTGAAGTAGACTGCTGGGATGGAGGCTGGGGGTTAGATGATGGAGGAACGCTACTCAGAGGGCTCGACGGCGGCGGAATAATGACTTGTGAAGTTGGCTGAGGGGGGGCCTTCATCAGTAAAGATGGATTGATCGTCATCGATGCATTATGGTCGATGGCGGTCGCGTTCTGAGATTGAACTTCCACGTATCCCATACTGGATACTTGGGATTGATTATTCGAGGGTGCCCGTTCCAGATGTGGTGGTGTTACGCGCGGTTTGACCTCCATATGCGCCGATCGAACTGGTGGTGGAAGCGGTGACTTCCTCTCAACCGTAGGCGTCCTGCTTTCCGCCTTGATGGTTTGACGAGTGCCCGGGGATTGCATGGAAACTGGAGTCGTTGATGGCGTTCTCTGCTGTCGCGACTTGGCAGTCGATGCCGGTGCTTTCGAATATGCAAAATCGACATTGGTTCGCTTTAAGACCATCTTCGCGAAGGGTGACAGTTCATCGAGAGCACTTTGGCCTGTTCGCTTCTTAGAAGGCCTCGATGACGATGCCGCTGTTTCCGAAGTGAAACCAGGAGGTTTCGCAAACTTATATTGAGTCAACCCATCTCTCTGTAGCAGATCACCTAGGTGTTTTAAAGTCTGTTCCAGTCTGACTGAAGTTGGTGCCTCTTGTGCCAATCGACCGAGGTTCTCCAGCTCCACTTTGCCAGTCTCGCGCTCCTTCGAAGGTGTAAAAGCTGTCGATGAGATCGGGGGGCTCACGGATGGGGCGCTTATGATCTCTATAATCAGATTACCGGTCAGTAGTTGCTTCAAACCAGTTACTCAGAGGTAACAGTCACTCTTGACCTTATGCAAGAGTTGACATGCAGACACGCGTTAACAGGATATGCTTCCTCGTGAGAAGGCAAATAGCATTGAATTGCGTCCGTATAGTTAAGAACCATATCGTACCTGGATTGAAAGGCAAGATCGAAGTGACTGGAGTGTATGCCAGAGCCTCCTCCAGAGTTGGCGGTCTATATCGGGTATCTGCATTGTGCCCACCGGCCAGTTTGCCAGTCTCTGCTTGATCCATATCCGCGTCGTTTTCGATTGTGCGTGTATTCAGTGCATCATTGTGCGGTGCTCTTCACGCTTGAATTGATCCCAGTGGATTCCGTATTGGCATGCAATGCGCGCCGCAGCGATTGTCGAACAATATGCGAAACTGCCCGGCCCGATGATCGACTTCGCATTTCCTAGATGGATCTTAAACGATGATCCAGTCTCCAGGCATGAGGGAGGGGTATTGAGATTCAAAAGAGAGATGGAGGATCAAACAGATATTCCGAACTTGCCGCGACCTTCTTGACCTGACGTCCATCGCGACTTCCCCAGCTGGACTGGGATCTGAGCAGTGTCAAGCCACATTCGATGTCGATCAGCCACATGACCCCTGCACATGATCTAACCCCCTGCATTGATTTGAGTCGGGCAGCAAGATCTGCTGCCTAATCATGCCTTCAGCTTGTTGCCTTGGCACCACCAAGGAGGCAACCCCAAAACACTAGTTATAGGTAGGAGAATGAACTACTATAGTCCGTCATCGGACGGAACTGAATCCTATAGCTTATATCGAGCCTCGGTCTTTCAAATATCGGTATCTTCAAATGCTACGTCCCCCGGTGATGAACTGGTGATGGTATTCCGACTCGAACAAAGGCGCAGAGCTCTTAGTAGCTAGAGCCCTCCCTAGGAAACGTTCAAGGTCAGCTCGCCACCAAATATTACATCTACAGCGTTTTCTCACTTCAGAACCTACGATATCCGAACAATTGTCAGCAAATGCAGCGATGTATCGTTTGGCCAAGGAGTCGGTATATAATTCATAGTATCGCACGAAGGGCTTTTCAGCTGTTCATTCCATTTCAATTTCAGAGTTCTGTTAGTTATTCCGTTGGGTCAAGCTGTCGTCGTTCGAATCTGAATATGGCGGCAACCGAAAAGGATATGGCGGAGTCATTGCCACCACTTTCAGCGGCGGAGTTCAAAAGATATAACCACTTGGCAGAGATGATGGAGTACTATGTATGGGAAACATGATATTCCGATACCATTTGCTCACCGGTGCCTAGCACAACCATTTCCGACAGTCGTGGACCACTTTGCATGACGCTTGTAAGGCCAACAAGCGGCCTGCGGGCATGTCCATTCGTCAATTTATCCAACTTGGACTCGAATTTTGCACGAAGCTTAGTGTACGATACGTCCCTCAGTTAAGTGTTTGATACCAGCTGACCGTTCTAGATGCATCATAGCATTGAAGAATCCTATGTCTTCCCAAAGTTGGCGAAACGGATGCCTTCATTCAAGCGCCATATGTCGAGGAAGCTAGCAGATGGTTCCACAGATGGTCCTGAGCTACTAAATCAGCATGACCTCATTCATCCGGGTTTGGAGAGAATGGAGGCATATCTGGAGGGCTGCAGGAATGGTGAGCAGGAGCTGAGGTTGAAGGAGTTGAAGGCCATCATGGACGAGTTCGGGAACATCCTATGGACACATATGAAGGAAGAAGTGGATGAACTTACCGCTGAGAATATGCGGAAATATTGGAAAATCGAGGAGATGGATCAACTCCGATTCTAAAGGGCCGTAGGCCAACTAATAAGGTGGCTTTTGATTGATAGTATCGTATCAAATCGCCGATAATTATCCATACCCACTTCGACCTCCTTCAGCTTGCACCACTGACTACCATGCCACAGAATTCCTTTAACTCCTGGTATTTACAAGATCTTCCCAAATCCTGAATGTGCCCTTTACCTAGGAAGGGATGGGGGTTGTATTCCATGTCTCTTTCCATTCATTGATCAACCTACTATTACCAGCGATGAGAGACGACTAAGCGGTGACAGTAAAACAGTTGCGTTCAAATATACTCTTCCATAGGATGACCGATTATCACGCTTTAGTATCATCAGCAAAACCTCGATGGATGTGGGGGCTCTAATAATTGTTGTACTCTGCTTGCTTCAGGCCACCCACAATTATCGTAACTATATGTTTCGCCTGCAAACTACATCGAAAAGAAGCCTGCTCTCATTTGCCATTCGATAAACTATGTTCGCCAGAGTCCCGTTCTTGTCTTGGAGTCCTCCTTTCGTCCAGTTCTTGCTCGGAAGGTTTCACGCTGCGTCCACAATCTCTCGGTGCCAGTACTCCTGCCAATTTCTTTCTCTGTCTTCAAATTGCCTAGGCCTTCAAAGTTTGAGGAGCGACTAGAATGGACAATCTTTCCTTAATACTTTGTTTCAGTAATCTCTTCAAGTCCTGTCAATCGGCAACATGGCCATATTTGCCTACAACTTAACATTCCCGATATCGAGAGCCACGGCGGTGAGAGCAAGTCTGAACATACCGCGTCTGAGAAGAGCATTGTGGCATTACATAGCTCCGAGTATGCTCAAGTCAGGCCAGTTGAAACCACCGAGGAATTCGACTCCGCTACTATCGCCTTGCCTGAAAAGCTAGATTTTCCGGTCATCGCCGCCACGGAGAGTCCAAGTCTCAATATAAGTGACAGGACGAGGATTGAAGAGTTTTTCTCATGAACGCCGCGTTCCAACTCGATTCAAAAGCTTTCTCCATCGGTCTGGACTATGTCGTCGCGGCGAAAGATGGAGCGGGGATTGCCGCGAAGGTCGCCAAGAAAGGGATGCTTCAAAAGTTTGGAGCGACGGTTAAGAGGTTCTTCACCAGGTCTCCTTAGGGGTCAAGGAAATTCGAGGAGAATGGAGGATACTGAGCTGCAAGCCCGGGAGACTCCTGCAATGGGTTGGGGAATCGCTGTGCATGTGAGGAATCGATGTCTATATGCGCCAGAGTATCAGGGACAGGGATCCACGGAAGAAAATAGAGGATATTGAGCTACAGGTCCGGGGGACTTCTGCAGTGGGCTGAGGAACCGCTGTGCATGTGAGGAGCTGGTGTACTACTAGTTTATGAGAGGAAAGGTAGAGGATGCCCCAGAGTGTGTTCATACCTCATGTGATGAATTGATTGCTTACTTACCATATCGTTAGCGCCCGTTTGTATTTTCTTTTTTCCTTGGCTCTAGAGTAGTTAAGTTCGTATAGTTATCGAAAGCTTTTCTTTCTACATTACGGTCGTAGGCTCTAAATTATGACAACGTAACATTTACCGTTTATATATTTTTTATATTAACGAGCAGATTTTCGGATACTACAGTACTATCCAATCGTTGTCACACTGAAGACACTGAATGCATCACCAAGGTGTAAAATTGGACTTGAGAAGAATGCATCGCAAATTATACAATTTGGGGTTCCTTGCAGCCTATAATTAACTGGCAGAAAGGCCAGGAAAATCGCTAGCCCCCAGGATGAGAATCTCTTTAATAATGTGCCGCCACATTATCGAGTGGGGATAGAGTTTGATTTCGATGTGACGAACACCATCTACTTCGGTGGCATTGAAGCTACCGTTTCTCTATCCAATGAAGGTCCAAACACGATCGCCGTGGAGAATGAGGATAGCAACCAAGATGGGGGCATGCTGTCTCATCCTTAAAGGGGTGAGAACGAAATAAACCTAAACGCGGGAATGTTGGGCCAGAGAGGTGGCGCCACGACCACAACCAACAACAACAAACCAGAAAGCCATATCAGCCTCTGGCTCCTGAAATCCACACAATTCCATTTCGCAAATACTTCTACGGCACCTTTGCCGGGCAGATCGACGAGGATTATTGGGCCGTGGTGCATTCCATGGATAAGCTCCAGGACAAGGCCATATTCAAGCGCATCGAACGGAGCAAGATCGCCTGTATCGCAACGATCTGGGGCACCCTCCCGAATTTATACGCGGAGGATGAACTCCAAGCGATCGAGATGCCGTATGAGCTGAAAGTCAACCCGAAGAAATCATACCGGAAATTCTCAGCGACCCGTAATAACGAGTGTCCGAGCGCGAGAGAGCTCATGCTATGTCATACTACACGCTGTGGATGAGGTTTCCCGAAACAATACTACCTGATCCTACTGATCTCAGTCCAACTCCTCTTCGAACCTCGTCATTATTTCGAGCCCCTTCTCCCTCTACTGCGTCTCTCGAATCTAGTAAGTTCCAGAGGGTAGTCTCCGACACCGAAGATAATCCAAAGAGGAATAAAGATGATCGGGCACTCTATGTTCTCACGTTCCCCGAGTTCAACCATTGCTCTTCATGCGAGCTCTTTTCAACTGTCGAGATGCTAGCTCATTCTCGAATTCGGATTGAGTTCTGTTTCGACGTGACATCCTGCACGCCATGGAGCACTCATACAAGGTTGGTTATCATCTCAACGCTCCAATAGAGAACTATCTAATCCAGGCTAATTCGAATCCATTCTGTATAAGTTTTGGTAGAGCCAAGGTGGTGTTGATGCTGGTGTAAAGCTCACATTACCGGCATTAGTGACTGATTATCGTTGTTAAAAATGTTCGAAGGTGGCTCCTGCCAGTTCAGTGTAGTGATAGATGACTAACACAGGTTTTTCCGTGTTCCTGATGTAAATACTAAAACACTTCAAAATGCAACTTAACTTCCTTTGCTCTTCTCCATATTCCATGCCGCCTGGCAGTCATTTCGTAACATCGGTCCATTCGTCCCGCCACCAGCGGACAGACTGGCTTGACTGGCCATGTCCAACCACTGAGTCTCATCAGTGTTACTGGCACCAGATTCCAGTTCCAGTACGGGGAACGAATCTGGCGGTCCAAGCGTGCAATTGGTGGCACCCATCTTTGGAATCACTGCAGTACGACTCTGGTATTACACTGCCTCCAGACCGTTGTGCTGCACACATCTTTTCATCGACTGCTCTGCCTGGCGTAGGCCTTCGGGGAAGGGATTGGAAGAGATATGGGACACTAGCATATTTCACTTTGGACGAGGTGACATGTCAAAGTTTAGTAGTAGGTTATTATTCAGGTCATCTGTACGCTAGACATGTAAGCATATATATCACCTCCTTCGCCTCTGCCATATCCTCGTTCTTCTTCCTACTCCCCGTAGCCGTAACCGGGAGACGTTTTCACTTGACCGTGGGCTACCAACGGTCTTCAAGCCCCGTGTCTGTCCAGAGATGAAGTCCGTGCTCACTCCGTACTGGCGACGGCGACTTGCAGTGGTAGCGTTCATAGTTTTTGGAGGCGGAAGCATGACTCCAGTACCAACCCCGGATGTTGTGTGACATAACAACCTTTTAACCATTCACTGCCGGGTGCAGGATTTTGAGGAAAAGATATTGGCGAGGCCAAAGGAGCTCATGGCGTTCGGTGAAGCACAGAAACGGCGGATGGTTCAGTGGCATTACCTATGATTTCAATATTGGCTTCTATCAGCCTGCTAAATCATTGACACCCTAGACAAAGCTCGCTCAAATGGGGTGAATACAACATAGACATGTTCAAATGCAAGTAATAAAGGGATTCTATCACACCCCACTAGAAGTCTTTGTGCTGGAATGGACCTGAAAGATCGCCGGTCAATAACAAGGGAACTAGTCAGGAAAACACCGACCCATACACGAAACACCCGAACAACCCATCGGTATATACACTCCTAGATCCTCCAAAATGTCTTTACTCCTTTACACACACCACTATCATAAGCGAATCCGGTGCTATTACCCCCTGACTATGTCAAGTGAACGGTCGGAACGTGCAACGGACGTTCAGCCATAAGTGGAGACGGTGATAAATCTTCCAAGACTTGTCCAATTGGTAGGCCAGGCACTTGTTGTGCTTCCCGTCATGGTCATCCCAGTCTTCGCTCCGCTGCACGTCCTTTCACGTACTACACCCTCTCAGGCCCATCCTGCTCAAAGGGATTTGCAACTCAGATTTACTGATATGGCCACCGCGGGGTTTTCCAGGAAGAGAGTGAATGACCGAAGAATATACCACTTTGGTGAAATGTCGAAAAGATAGCGAAATTTAAGGTCCGCCAGGTTTCACCAAGCGCGTCTTCTTGTTCCTATGCAGCGTCGCGCATGATTGGGGGTATTAGAAGTCTTAATCTTGCCCCCTCTCCACCGGCTTCACATGCTCAGCCAACGGACTCGGTCGTGTTGACCTCGTCGCGCTGGTGGGACTCACCAGGGAACTTCCCATGACCGTCGGGGAGGTCTCACTGCTCACACCGCTGGGTGGTAGACTCCGACCCGCCGACGAGCCCCACGTGTCCACGTACTCGTCATCGCGGAGGTCGACTGCGTGAGGCGGCCGCGCCACTTGCTGCTCATCGAACATTTGCTGGTACTGCAGCTGTGGACGCTCGACGTACTCCGTAGGGACCGATGGATTCGCGCCAACAGGGGTTCCGGTTCGCGAGATGCCCGGGGTATCGATGGGAGTGTGCATCTCCGATCCAGTGTATCCGGCATCCATCTCGAAAAGTCCACTGGGCACGCCATCGACCGGACCAAGTTCTGTGCCAGTCTTCCCGTCGTGCAGATCCGTGGGCAGTTCACTCGCCTTGATGCCATCCGCGAGCTCCACTCGGCCATTCTCGCCGGGCGCCTCCACAGCGTAGAAGTCATTTGTTTTCGTCTTCGGATCTACGCCACCTGGATGGACGGTGGTTTCAATAGCGTCCATCTCGTGCTTTGGGTAGACGACGCCGGCTGCGACGACATCGGCTGGCCGTTGCTCCACTGTTTCCTGGACGTCATCTTCTTGAGATCCTTCCTTTGCGGCTGTTGCCTGCTGTCGTCGCTTCCGGTACATGAACCAGAACACCAGAGCGACCCCAGTGATGGCGGCAACGACGCCGATGACGATCCCGGCAATCGCCCCACCGCCGAGGCTGCTGCTTTTGGTGGTGGTTACATAACCTGGGACTCGGATGGGGACAATCTCGGCAGTTGGGTTGGTCGCACCGGGGAGAAGTGCGGGGGCAACAGTGAAGTTCATGCGTTCATAGTCGGTGAAGACGTACGCGTGTTGGAGGAGGACGCGTCCGAGGGTATATGCGGTGTTATTCGGAGCGACGTGGATAGGGAGGTAGCGTGCTTCGCTACCAGCCGAACCCTTTAGGAAAGGAGACTTGGCTTGCAAGGCTAATGACGAATATGGAAGAACAATGTCGGTGGACAAAGCATCGATAAGCGACCCGCCAAGTTGCATGGTGACTGACGGATTTGATTGCTTCAGAGTTTCGTGCTGGGTGTCGTTGATTAGGTAGAGGTCCGTCCTATTGTCGAATGTGATTCCAAACGCCTCCGCAAACCGATCGCAGACGGGCTTCGGCAGCCACATCCCACCCACATTAGTGTTGATGTTTGCAAAAATGCCGTCGCTCGCAGCTGCGAGGTTTTGAGGGGATGAGCCCGAGGTAAACGTGATATTTTGCACGGCGATGAGATGCTCCCGTGAGACATCCGAGCCCAGCGAAAGAGACACCTGTTGCTTGGTCGGATCTATTCTGGCTAAATCGTAACCACCAAGGATCAGACTTCCAAATACTTGCGGCGCGTTATAGTACGCTCCAGCGGTGTATCCCCAACTAATGCTCGGAATCGATCCGTTGTCCTTCAAAGTCGTCAGAAAACTCGGGAAGGGATTTTGAATATCGGTGAAATTGGTCGCCCATGGAGTTAAAGGGATGCCGCCAAGGTAGAAATCCTTGGTCGCAATGCCGGCGATGGCTTGATTGCTGACAGTCGGTCCATTATCCCCAGGCCACCCGATCGTGACCGAATCGAAGCCATAGAGCCCATTCCCGGACAGGCCTAACTTGGCCTCTTCGTATGTCTCCAATTCGTATAATCCTTTGCTCTCCCAACTGGTCGAGGATCCGGTGTTAAACAGGAACCCGCGGTTCTCACCGCAATCATCCGGGTCGTCCTTCGTGCATCCTTCTGGTACTGGTACCCAGAAACTAGTACTACGGGTCGACGCGAATAATCTTGATCGCTGCGGAGGCGTACCGATCTGGATCGAGAAGGAAGACCATGGCCCATCGTCACCGTCCCTACGCAGACCCGATTAGCTTCGATTCGGATAGAACTGAGGGGTCCGGATGGTCAACTTACCAGTACTGGCTATAAGGTACTAGTATTGCAGCTGCGGACGCATTTGGCTCGCAAGACCCCGACGGAATCCCGATAAGCGAGAGAAGCAGCGCCAATCCAGCGAACCGAGAGCGTTCCATTATTCTCCACGTCATCGCAAGAAAGGAATCCAAGACTCGACATCCAAAACGCTACCCGATTCCACCAATAGCTATCCAAGTCAATTGGACGGGAAAATATCAAAGAACGTCGTACCCGATCATGACTCTAGAGGGTTCCCTTAACAGACTCGGAAGTGATAGACACTCGGATAAGTATTAAGATGAAAGAAACACTGTCAGCAACGATGGCCAGTGTTTCTTGTCTCTTGATATCGGTGCCCGTGCCACCTGGTAAATGGTGAGCAGTCAGCGTCTCGGGATCTCGGCATACTATGCAATGGCGTTAGAGGGCGTCCAATAAAACGCAGCACCCTGTAGATTCTCCGCGAGCCCCTAAATCCTCTAACAGGCGATCTTCTGCTTAAACATAAAACGGTAATTATTCCGTAGGCCTTTGCAATCCGTTGGGCGTTGAGCCTTCCCTAAAAAGGTGAATCAGCGTTAGGCTCCGTAAACACGGGTGGTAGGGATGACAGATTTACATTCTAAGTACTGGGTACGGTTAGGTACTACGGTACCTATAACTAGTGCTTATGCTAAGTTCAGGCTCAGTAACCGAATCTCGAGTTTCATACAGAGTAACGTTTGTGTGCTACCGAAATTGCCTCCCAAAACGGAGGTTTCTGACGCCGTTTTTGGGAGGTTTTTGGAGGGGTTTGCTATGATCTCGGGACAAGGAAGTATTTGAACTACCAATCATGTTACACCATTGACAGCAGAGGGGTTAGTGACCGTCGTGGGCGTCGATGTCTTACTTGCAGCAACTGTCACGACGAGGATCTCTTACAGTATAATAAGCATCGTGGCGTACTTGGCTATCGTGGCCAAAGTGGCCACAAGCGGTCACTACGGTCACTTCGGTCACAATAAAGGGCTCTAAGAAGATAAGGAAGCACATCTAGTATACAGAATATAAGGAAGCAAGACCTCCATTCTCTAGGTCTTACGTTTAACTCAAATGAGTTACTTTCGACTAGTTAGCTCTAACTACATACTCTGCTTACCTGCTTGTGTACCTACTCTACTGAGACTGATGTTCCTCTCTAACGAGATCAAACCCATGTGATCATATCACAACAGAAGCTCCCTTCTTCCTTTCGGGACTTCTGGCAAGTACCACACTTTTTGTAGACTTTGGCGAAATGGACGTCCTTGTATCCCACGCAGTTGTCTCGGACGCAAAGAGGCTAGGAGCCGTACGTGGTTATGACATGTTTTGGAGTAGGCGTGCGGTTGACGTATGATTTGGTGTACACATGCCGAGAGCACATGATGGCAGAATTTGATGAATCCGATATTGAAATATGAGGTGATGTGAGCCTACTGGCAAGGAAAATGGATCCTAGCTCTCTACATTGACAACCTTCACTCGAACTCCCTTTGAGTCAAGCTTCGGACTTGGCAAGAAGAAATCGTGCACAATGATAACATCAGAGAGGTCCGTTTCGTAAAGCTCGAAGCGGAAACGCCGAAAGATTGATCCAATCGCTGTGAAGAGCTCCAAATACGCCAAACTATACACAGTACCAGTCAGCTTCAGCGTTCTGGGAGGCGGACATTCCCTAATCGACGCCATAAAATGAGTTTAGACTTACTTGATGCCCAAACAGAGCCTCGGCCCTTTCCCGAAGGCAACAAAGTACCTGTCCAGCGAGTTCCCGTCCTGTGCCTTGGGATTGCTCATCCACCGGTCAGGCACGAACTCGGTTGGATTCGGATAAATCTCCGGGTCAAAATGCACGTCTGTGATGGTCATGGACACGGGAGTCTGCGGCGGGATCGTCCATTCGTCATAGGTCAATGGCACGCTGAGGACTCGGGGATTCCGCGCCGTCACCCCGTGCGACAGACGGATGCCTTCTCGGATGCAGGCTCGCAGGAACGGCAGCTGCTCTAGTTTCTGGAAGCTCAACGCATCTGGGGAGGAGAGGTCAGGCACGGCGTCGTGAAGCTCTTTGCGGAGGGTGGCATGGATTTGTGTGTCTGCGAGGACATAATACATGATGTTGGTGAGAGCCCAGGCCGTGGTCGTGAGACCGGCACCGATGATCGTCTGCGCTTCGTCTCCTAGCCGCTTCAGCATCTTCTCCTGCGAAGGAAGATCGGACTGCAAGATCTCGTGGAAGATTGTCGGCTGCTTCGGTTGCTTGTCCATCTGATCTCTCTCCTGACCGATGCGGAAGATGGTTTTCTGGAGATCCTGTACGAACAATTAGCACATGTGGAGGCCGTCCTTTCGATGCCACATACGCGCTGGAGCTGCAGTAGCTTCTCGAGTGGCGGATTCATTTTCTGCACCATATCATCCGGCAACATGTTCAACAGCTGCGAAGACCTTGTTAATGTCTTTCGAATGTTCGTCTCCGAGTAACCAGACTTACAGGTGTAACCCAGGGGAACTGCAAGGCAATGTGCCCAAACTCGCTGACGGCCATGAACGCATCGTGGAAGGTCTCCTTGAAATCTTCTGATGCCAAGTGATCGTAGTTGAATCCAAATGAATACTCTGTGATCACATCGCCCGCATAGGCGTTCCAGAGTTTGTTGACGGCCAATACCTCGCCGGTGCCTTTGTATTTCGCGATTCTGTCGCAGAAGAAATCGACCTTTCCCCGAACAAATGGCTCAAACTGGCCAATTGCTCGTTTAGAGAACCTACTTGATCAGATGAGCAAGTGGCAACATTGTAGAAGATCAACGACCACTGAAATGTCGTACATTGGGTTCAGTGCGCTGCGGCGAAGTCGGTGCAGAGCCTGATCCGACGTAGTGAAGATCGAACCATGGTTGCCGAACCGACCATTCATCCATGCATACTTGTCGGTCTTTGGGTGCTTCGCATACAACGTGTCCCAGAGGCTACTGTCTTTAACGTGAAGCTCATGGGGAGTAATGCGCACCACAGGACCTATCGGTGATATTAGGGTGCGCTCGCAGCATATTTCCAGGCAATCTCACCATATTTCTCATGGAGCTCCGAAATATGGCGACTGAACTGGCCCCTCTGCACCACTTCATAGTGGAACTCGTACCATTTACTCAGTGCCGCCAGCTTGGGACCCGGGAACTTAGCGAGTGGGTGGAGATGTAGTCGGTAGACAAAGAGGCTAAGATACCACCCGACAGCGACGCATGCTACGACGACTCCCGCCGGAGGGAGCCTTTTGAGCTCCGCGATGATATCCATTTCCTTGCATAGCTGAACCGCTCTCGGTCGGTTGCTGAAATTTCTGTACAACTTGCGCCGAGCAAGTCGACGGGGCTGGTGGTTTTTGGATAAATAGCGGTAAGAATCTCGCTTCTAAATCACCCCCACTCATGTAGATGGACTGTGGTCTGTGTCACCACGTCGTGGAGCTTGCCAGCTTGCCAGCTTGCTCTCACAGCTCCATGCGACGCGCAATAGGCAACCCCAATCATTGGGGCCGAGAACCAAGTTCATTCAGGGTTCGGCACCAAAGTTGAGTTCAGAGGTCAACAGCCGAAGGACAGTGCAAACAATATCATCAATTCATCATTAACCGGGAATAGGAACAAAGTGGCGTGGCAAGTCGGAACGGACCGCCCCCCTCAACTTTGTGTTCCTCATGCTACAAGGAATGACACGAGATAATGAGACCCATATTAGTGGAACATGACACTACCCCAAGAACATGAGGTGTTGGGATGCGGTCATGCGGGGCCAGAGAAGATATCTATATTACGTTGGACTGATTGAATTCAAGTTCACCAGTCCATATGTTTCCGACAGCACGGGAATGTCCTGAGATGGTATTGTGAAGACTCCGAACAAGCACGCAAGCACATGTTTCAATGGTAATATTGTCCCCAAATCCCTTCCTATTTAAAACCCCTCAAGGCAATTCACCTATTACCCCCTGACCTCCTCCACCTCCCCTTCCACTATCCCGCGCCGCTAACTCCGCCGGTGCATCTCCTCCGACCTGCCTACCATCGAGCGCCTGTCCTCCATTTGCAGGTAATTCCGGCCCCCTCCATTCCTTTCCATCTAACTCCGCCGCCTCCGCACGACCTTCCGCCGCGGGCGAAAGCTTCTTCCTTCGTCCGATGAAGAAGCCTGCGGCGCCGATGAGTATAACGCCGATCGGCACAGCGACACCGATGGCAACTTTCTCGCCCGTGGAAAGCCCGCCGCCGCTCGCTCCTGTGTTCCCTCCCGGAGTCGGTCCCGGTGCTGGGCTTGAAGTATTGGAAGGGTTCGTCGAAGCGGACGATGCTGGCTCTGAGGCAGAGGCAGAGGCAGAGACAGAGGAAGGGAGAGTGGTTGTAGATACAGAAGAGATCGAGGAACGGCTTGGTGGGATCAATTGTGACGAGGCCCCCGTCGTTGTCTGTCTCGGTGGTCCAGCAGTTGCGGTGGATACGGCCACCGTGGAGCTGGACCCTCCGATCATTATCTCAAATTGCGCCGAGTAATTGGGATCTCCTCCCCCTTGGCTGAGCTCCAGCACATAGTCGCTAGCGGGCTCGAGACCTGCCGAGGGCGTCCATATGTAAGTTCCTCCTGTGGCGGAAGCTTGCGAATACGTTAGTGCGGACAACGGGGACATGCATCTATGGGAGATGTTGTAGGCAGCCTACTTGTTAGAACCTCGACAACCCTTAGATTACGAGAATCTCCTTTTCGTAGAGTGATAGTAACAGGCTTGAAACGCAAGTCAGCAAAGCACCGACGGACTGAGACGTAGCTTTGATGCGAAATGGAAATGCCCTTACAACGTTCAAATCTGGAGCAGTATAGCTGATAAGGGCCGCTTGACCAACTATCGCAGACAACGGGAAATTGACAAGTCCTAAATCTTCCCTGCCCGTAGGCGCCGCCCCCCTCTCCTGCAGGTAGACAGGCTGAACAAAGAGAGCAGCAAGACAGAGTAGGTGCAACCATAGGCTCGCTGACAAGATCATTTTCAAGAATCCAGCTGATGCTAAAACGCATTGGATAGAATGATCATGGTATCAATGAACTCTCCTCGAGCCCCAAATAGACGCACTTCCGTGAAAGAAAGAGGGAAGCGAAACCTCGCGGACGGAAAGGCTGGCGTTCTCCATTGACGGTGGCTTCGAGGCTGTAGTTGGAAATATCATTAATTATTATTGGAAGCTATCCATTCGCTTCTCAGTTCTCGGCATTGACGGACGTATTCTTCCCTTATTGGAAGAATGGGCAGCCTTTCTACCTCTGGATGATATGGCTTCAACAACATACAGCCATTGGACATAAATGGACAGCCGACTCCAAGCAATTGGGCGATATTTTCCTGTTTCATCAGTCGCCCAAGCCACAGCATTAATCATCCAATGATCCAATGCCCATCCCGTGGCGCTGCAGATTACCGAATATCGAATCTTCGGAGATGACCCGTGTCTGTGTCTTAAAGCTTTAGTGCAACAAATGCAAGGAACTAAAGAACCCCACGATCCTTGGATGGCGCTTCAATATGTACTGAGTTCCTGACCATGCAACTTGCAAGCCGGCAAGTGCCGCAAGGCGCAAGCCTGCCAAGCCAAGCCAGCGTTCAACGTCCCACGGACCCTCCAGCCTCAACGGCCAAGAGGCTAGAGCTAAGAGCCGAAAAACTGACCGGACAAAATATCTTGGTTAGTACGGAATAACTAGTGTTTCGGCTTCCAAAACAATGACCAAATGGAGAGGGGTTCCCCTGCCTTTAAATCCATCGCCGTTCTCCGTAATTGCGTTGCACGTGGGAGATTCAGATACCGCCATACCGGGCACTGGGGAGAGAGAGAGAGAGATTCATACGCCCGTCAGGCCTCTCAGCGAGGCCCATGTGGACCGGGCACTGGGCATGTTTGTTGAACATTGAAGATGTGGGTGCCTTAATGGGCTGATCACGGCAGATAGTGCGACGAAACTTTGGTGTCGGCACTAGTACTCTCTCCGCTCCTGTAGTCGACTGTCTAGTCCACCGGCATGCTCCCGAGTCCCGACTTGTCGCTGTTACGTCGATCAGCAATCTCCCATCTGACCCCAGCGATTCTAGCCATCGGCTACCAAAGTGCCAATGGTAACGCGATCGGCGCAGGAGCTGAGGAGTGGGATCTAGATTCTGGAGAAGATTGAGTCTCGCCCAGCGTCCAATTCTTCCGTTCTTCCATTTATTCACTCACTCATTCATTCATTATCTATTGCTATCATTCAAACGCTCACTAAGTTATTCAATCATTGAGTTTTGCGAAGGAACCCGTTTGAGGGATAAAGTGATCACGGAATCGCAGTCGAACCGACAGATAAAGCGATAACTACCGGTACCTACTAGTTGCTACACAGCAGTGGAACGATTGTTCATATCACCAAGGACAATTCCACCAAGGACAATTCCATCCCGAATGGCGTGGAACGCTAAACTGTCCTTCATTCTCGAATTGAAAAAAAATTTCGCCCTATTATTATCAGCATGTTAATTCCTCCGCGTCGGTGGATGTTACAATATACTTAAACCAAGCGATTGCGATTCAAGACCACAATACAGGGAGCATAGAAGAGGTTTGGATTTTTGGGAAGAAAAGCTGCCCTCATGGCGAAGCTTGAAGGCCGATCACCATTCGCATTCGCAAGATGTTGGCTATGGATTCTGTTGTTTTTCGCGGCGGACGTCGCATATGGGACACCACAACGGACAGGTGAGAGGCACCCACTGATTCATGCACATGTATCAAGATCCTGTGTCACTAACATTTGCTATTGCACGATAGATGCACCAGCCGAATCACTCCTGGCACCTCCAAGTCCAACTCCCGCGCCATCATGTACGAATGACTGCTTGGTCTACCAGCCAAACTTGGTCGGTTATATATGGCAGCGGTATACGGTGAACACCACCATAACAGCAGCAACTGTAATCACCGTCATCAATTCTGTCGATAATTCCACGGAAATAGTGACTGAGTACGCCGAACTTCCAGCCGGTTATACCGCACCCGAATGGAATTCCGACGGCACCGTCATCTCCACAGTCACCTGGGACAATGGTCCTTTTGGGTTAACAAGCACTGTTCTCACTTACCCAACCAGATATACCGACTATCCACTCGACTACACGTGGTCAGGTAGTTTGGTATCGACGAGCATCAACCCCAAGGAGACTATCAGCGGGACCTTCCCAACCTATGAGGCATGCATGACAAACACCGGAAACGCAGTCCCATTCCAATCTCATCCACCTGTCGAGGACTTCATTTTCCCGAAGACCGCATACGATTACCCCGTCGACTTTCCCGGCGATGACAATGAGAAGAACCGGGATGGCACCTTATTTGCCCTTGTTTCAGGTGTTGTGCACCCTGGAAAAACGCAAACATATGTCTATCCCACCACCTGCCCACCCATCGACCCCTCAGCTCCTCTTCGCACATCGACGCCGGAATCGGAAGATATCTGCGAGAGACTTGCGGTGGACAGCACCATCGGCACTGGCCCCTCGTTCTGGGACATCGCGTTCCCCGACGAACTCCCTTTCAAGGCCTGCGGAGTGGCCGCCCGCCTGCCGATCGCCGTTCTCAACGGCGCACTGTTTCTGACTGTGTCACACACTCGGACGGAATTGAACTTTGATTTTGTTCATCAGGAATCTTCGATGTCCTCACTCGATGGTCCGAAGACGCCGTCGCCGAGTCCCGCTTCGTCCACTGCGGGCCTTGAAAATGGCGAGGATAGCATCGTGCAGAATATGAGCAGGCAAAGCGGAGTGACACGAGCGACAGGGGTGATTATGGTTACTTCACAAGCAGCAGGAGATTCTAGTTCACCACAGGCTACACAAGTACCAGCAGGAGGGGACGGAGGAATGAATTCAGTTGGTGGAGGAGGGGCAGGCGGAGAGGGAGAGAACGCAGGGGGGTCACTGAACGATGGATCCGGCTCACCAGCTACCATCACTCTGGCCGATGGTATTCAAATCACCGCGAACCCCGTGCCCGTCTCCACAAATATCAATGGCGTCCCCACTGCCGCGACGGGCGTCATCATCGGCGACTCGACGTTCCTCCCCGGCCAAACCGCCACCGTCAGCGGCGTCCCCGTCGCCATCTCCACCGCCAATCCCTCCTCCAACAACGGCAACCCCAGTGGCTACCTCGCCAATCCCGCCAACAACGACAACCCCAGCGGCACCCCCGCCAACCCTTCCGGAGACTCCTCCTCCACCAACGGAGTCGGCATCCTCATCATCGCTAACCCCGACACCCCCTCCGCCACCACCGCGCTCATCCCCGCCACCCTCCCTGGCCCAAAAACCACCCTCGCCATCAACGGCGTCACCCTCACCGCGATTCCCTCCGCCCTCGTCATCAGCGGCACCATCATCTCCCCCGGCACGCCCATCACCCTCCCTCCCTCCTCCCCCGGCGCCGGAGGGTCCTCAACTATAGTCCTCTACACGACCGCCGCCGCGTCCGGTGCGACGGAGTCGCTTATTGTGGTCAATGGCGTGACTGCGACGGTGACGGGCGCGAGCGCGAGCGCGAGCGGGAGTGGCAGGTATGAATGGACGGGGTTGACGGTGCCGAGCGGTACTGGTGGTGGGAGCGGGAAAACGACGGGAACAGGGACGCCGAGTGGCACGGGGACGCCAAGTAGTGGTGGAAGGAAGGGTTGGGAGAGCGGGGCATGGTGGACGCTGGCTGCGGTGATGGGTGGGGTGGCGGTTGGGTTGTAATGTCTGGGACTTCAGGCGATCCCATTTTCTGGTTATATGCATTGTGTGTGGGGTCAAAGGCGGCGCTATTGATATATGAATGATTTACGAGCTTTGGTTTTTTGGGTACGGTGGGTGAAGTCTTGCTCTTTGCGGCTCTACGGGTTGGTATTGGACATGCGAGCTGTAGAGATCTGTCTGGGGTCCTAAAAAAGGAATCCGAAGAACAGGGTCATGGTTAAGTTGACAAATACATAGCAAAATACCTGCATTGTTTAGAGATTTAAACAAGCGACTTATGTACACTACCAACCCCAAACCATGCAATGCACCCTCATGAAATTCGTCACATCGTAAACGGAGACCGCTTCAACGGCCGATCCCTCGTCTCAGCCATCTTCCTCTTGCGCCCTCGCACGGTTGCAGGTTGTTTCGTCGTGGGATCTTTGCGCGGTCCTCGATCGGGCATGGCATCGCTCGTGTCCTTGACCGCGTCACGGATGGTCTGCTTCGAAAGGCAGAAGTCGATATGCGCGTTGAATACTCGGTCGTTGGCAGGCTGGGGGAGTGAGCAGATCGGGCAGAACCACGACTCTGAGGCTTGAGGCTGCGTTGGTCCTTCGGCAGGAGGATCGTCTCCGCGGTCAACTGCGTCCTGGGGATCTTGGCTGAGCGCCTCGATTTCGTTCATCTCATCCTGCCGTTCCTGACGTGCGGCTTCTTCGAATTCCTCCTCGGGCCAGACCTCCCACTCGCCCTCGTCCTCAACCTTCGCCTTCACGCTCTCAGACGGCGGTTTCGGACGCGCATGCATTCCGAAGAAATCGATCCCTTCTTTCTTTGTGCTAACGAGGTGCGTCACCCGAAGACCCATCAATCGGAGCTTCAGGTCCCCCATCTCCTTCTCCAGTTTGGCCAGGATGGGCAGCGCGAACCGGTAGAGATCGTCGGCTTTGTGGACCGCGAATGGGGTGACGACCTGGCGCGTGTAGACTTCGTACGTGTGCAGCTTGATCTTCAGGACGAGGGTTCGGCCCTTCACCTGCGTGCGCTCGAGATCCTTCTCGAGCTCGTCCGCACTGTATCGCAGCTTTGCGCGCAGCACGTCTTTGCCGCTGAGGTCACCGAAGGTGCTTTCAGTCCCAACGCTCTTCCTTTCGGATTCCTCCGCCGGCTGGATGTTTGTGCGGCCGAGGCCCAGGTAACATTGGATGAGAAACAGGAATGCCTTCTCGCCGAATAGCTTCTTGAGGAGGCCGCGTTCGGCGTAGATGTCACCGCATGTCTTGACGCCGACGGCGTCGAGTTCGCGCTCGAAGACGCGTCCGACACCGTTGACTTTTCGCGTCGGCAGATCGCGCATGAACTCCATGATCGTATCCCGCTCCGGCGCGATCTGGAACTGCCCATTCGGCTTCCTCTGATTCGATGCGATCTTCGCCAATTTCGCGTTTGCAGCGATGCCCGCAGACACCGTGATCTTCGTCGTCTCGTGGATCTCCTCCCGCATCTGCGCCACGGCGTCCCACGGCGTCTGTTCGTGTAGTCTGCAATACTCCGTAACATTCAAATACGCCTCGTCGATGCTCGCGCTCTCAAATCGCGGGTCATATCGCGCGATGACGGCGCGCACCTCCTCCGCTTTCGCGGAGTACTTATCGAAGTTCAACGGCAGGCATATCAGCTTCGGGCAGAGCTTCATGGCCACGAAGCTCGCCATGCCGCTGCGGCAACCGAACTTCCGCGCCTCGTAATTGCATGTCGTGAGCACGCCCTTGCCGACGGCGAAGGGGAGGTTCTTCAGCTCGGGACGGTCCAGTTCCTCGACGGCGGCGTAGAAGGCATCGCAGTCGAGGTGGACGACGACTTGGGAGAGGTCGCGGCCGAGGTCGAGTTCGGCGATGTAGTCGTCTGCGCGACGGATGTCGGAGGTAAGATCGAGGCGCTCGAGCTGGCGTTTACGGGCTAGGATGCGGGTGATTTTTTCGGTGAGAGTCCGGTCTTTGACTTCTTCGTTATTGAAGAACTTGGAGCCTTTAGAGGCGTGGTAGATGATCTCCGAGACCTGGAAGAGTCAGACCGTCTGGTATAGACTGCGATTTTTAGGGAACACGGAATACCTTCTTCTGATCCACCGCATCCTGTCCAGCTTTTGTTAACGACGGTCCAAGCAGGCTGTATTTCAAGGTATCATGTTCCCCATCTCTCTCCTCCTCCGGCAGTCCAGAAGGGCCGGCAACAGTTGGCTCATCGTGCATGTCGTACCATGCTGTAGATGTAGTCACTAGTTCATAGGCAGATATCTCTCGCCAACACGGTCCAAGGGATGCTACTTGCAGACTTTGGTGTTGTCCGCCACAAGCCGCGGGGTCTGCGAGCAATGTTTCGATTCTTCAAAGCGTGATTCTCCATACAACGCGTCACGCGTGACTGGAAAGCGATGAAAGTGATGAAAGCGAAACAATCCATGTCACCCAACAATCAACAACCATGTCAGAACAGGGGGCGAGCCATGAGCCGGGGTGAGGAACTTCCAATGAATTCTATTGTCATTTGCCCCCTTAGTACATAGGAATTAGAATACGTAGTATGGAGTATCATATTATATCGAGGCCGCAAGCTGAAGGTCCTTGTTAGGGCTGGACACAAGTAATGATTTTGGCTATTCATATTCGACTAAATTTCGAGACGTCTTATTCGCATTATTCGCATTATTCGGCCAAAGCCGAGCCAATGAATGAATGCCCAGCAATCGCGACCTTTGTTTATGTATCCGAACACGCTCTAATTAGAGGATTTGAGTTCTAATTAGGAGATACAAAGCATAGTTACCAGTATGTTGCAACTTCTTTCCCAATAATATGGATGACTCATCCATATCTCTTGGGAGTTGGAAAGCGCCGTCTTCGCTCCCGGAGAGTTGATTATCATCTTCTTAATGATGGCAGTGACGAAGAAGTCTCCCCAGACTCCAGAGAACAGCACCAGCAAAAGGCGTTGTTCAGGTGGATCCCGCAATAGCGTCGAATTGATCACTCCTGACGATTCCGCAAGCCAAGTGACCCCAGCTGAAAGCTCTCTGTCGATTATCTCTCCGCTACGAGATATGGAATAGCTTCAGAGATATACGAATAATTGCGAATATTAGTAACTAGTAAGCGGAAATTCCAAATTTATTCGTATTCGACTACGAATATTCGTGTCCACCCCTCACTCACTTCTGGTGGTGGGCAATTCGATGATTTCTCACTGTCCCGGTCCATTTTTATTCTTCTATGTACTATCCATATCCATAAGGGATACGGTACTGTGCGGAAAGCCTCCACCGAGTTTTTTAAGCTATAAATAATGGTTCTTGTTCTTAAGTCTTAATGTTTATGTTCGGATATCGAGCGTCTCATTGAAACTTTTCCTTCCAATTCTGTCAGTTCCAAGCATCGCAATGGCTAGTAAGAAACTTATCATAGTCGTCGGAGCCACTGGAAACTAAGGAGGTGGTGTGGTTTCCGTACCATACTACTCAACCATCCCAGCTATCAAGTTCGCGCCATTACCCGTCGCCCCGACAGTGCTGCTGCGGCAAAGTTACGAAACAAAGGGGCCGAAGTAGTTGCAGCAGATGTTAATGGCGTCGAATCGTTGAAAAAGGCCTTCCAGGGCAGCCAAGTCATCTATGCCATAACCGATTTCTCGGAACCCTTTGTTAAGGCCGGCCCTGAGGCATGAAGGTTGAAGCACAACAAGGCATCAACTTGGCGACTGCGGCGGCGGCGACATCGACACTGGAGCACTATATTTGGAGCACACTGCCGAACGCGTAACTGATCTTAGCGGGGAAGTACTTGGTGCCGCATTTTGAGGGCAAGAACCGTGTCGATGCCTTCATCCGTTCCAACAAGACGTTGCTTGCGAAGACCACCTTCCTTTGGATCACTTTCTACATCTCCAACTACTCCTCCCCCGTATTCACCCCGAACTTCATCCCCACCTGCAACAAGTACGCTCAATTTGCGAACTACTCCCCGGAGACGATGACCCACACGATTGGCGATGTCCGCGCGAACATCGGCCCATTCGTGAAAGCCGTCATAGAGCAGCCGGACTGGACCCGTAACGGTGCCATTGTCAAGGCTGCGATCGGAGATACCACGGCTGGTGGGTTGCTGCAGACCTGGGCCAAAGTGAACAGGGTCGCCGCTGCTTTCGTCCAGACGGATGACGACACCTTTCATAACCTGTGGCCCGTGTCGGCGGAGGAGCTGGGTATACTGATGCGGTTTTGGGATGAGGTTAAAGAGAGGAGCTGGACCGATGACGGACCACCCCTACTAGACAAGAACGATCTTGGAATTGATGTAAGCAGCCTTGTTGAGTTGGAAACGTCACTGAATGGACTGGCGGTGTCACCGTCTTGAGCCGTCGCTACGACTTGGTTGTTTGGCCTTGCGGCCTGACTGTGATGTATGGTAGTTAATGTGTCCCGTGTAATATACAAGACGTAAATATCTGCAGACTCGACTGTAGAGGTTTTCTCTTTAGCAGATCATGAACGTCAAAACTTCACTGAATCCAATTAATTCTAACTGTCACAGGTGGTATAGATAGCATAGGCTTGACTTGGGGATCTTGGAGTAGAAGTGCAGAATGGGGTGACCTTGGGCGGGGAGATGCGGGATTGATGCCAAACAAGTAACCAAACAAGTACCTAACTAACAAGTAACCAACAAGTAACCACCCGGGTTCTGACGAGTTCCTATAACTAGTAGAAAAATAACCTGACTTGATTTCCGACTTCAGTATCAGACAGTACATATGAAATGGAGGACAATACCGTACTTCATTAAAGACTTAATTAATGGATGAGAGATACTAGATGCGGATCGGCTCACCAACAGTGGTCATTCCGCTAATCCACCGAGACGCCACAGTTGATTGGCGGGGCGTAGTCATGACTCGTTCCCCAGGGCCTCTCTCCGGTTCTCGCGTTGTTGTTGATGTTGACGGCATTCACCATCTCCATCACCATCGCCATCATCCCACCATCCCCCAGTCTTCCCCATCCACCTCGTATCCTGATATCGACATCGCAAAGGCAAATCGGCCCTCCAATCGACCCTCCCGACTCCCGATATGGCGGACATCTCGTCGTTCACTTTCCGGACCACCTAACATCTCCACCATGCCCCCTTCCGAGCGGTCCAACCATGCGAATCCTCCGCGCCCATTGATGCCGACCTTGGCCTCGAACCGCACCGCGAAAACACCCATCACTCCTCGATTAGCTGCAAGTAAATCGCCAATTGTTTCGTCCGCCGGTTCAACCTTCCCTCGTCCTACCGTGCGCGGCGATTCGGCGGCGTCATCGCCGAGGTCCCCGATAAAAGATGAGATATCCACCCCGGTCAAATCATTCTTGAATAGCAATGTCACCCCGAGATCGTCTGCGCGCAAGTCAAGAGTTGACAGTGCGAGCTCCACGCCTTCTGGGACGCCGGTTTCTGGAACTCCAAATACCGTCAAGTCCGCGTCAACGGCAGACATGTCCAGGGTTCTCAGCCCTGGTTCAGCTTCCAGCGCCGATCGCAGCACACCAGGCCGGTTCGCCAATGGCTCCCGAAGACCATTGAGTATGGTTGGGACTGCAAGCTCTACTCATAATGCGCCATCGGTCGCTTCACCCTCCATAACTTCGCCAACGGGCAGCTTAAACGGCAGATTGGGGGTGGACAACAGACTACGCGCAGGATCTCCCCTGTTCTTCCACGCAAACGATCCGAAAGTACAAGAACCCGCCCCTCCGCGGCCAGCGAAGAAGCCTGCCGCGTTTTTCTACGCAAATGGTATCCAAGAGGAAGGAGGGCCGAAACAACCAGATGTACCCTCACCACCGTTGTCCTCGGTCAGCACGCGATCGCAGGCCAAGTTCTTCCATGCGGACGGAAGGGAGGAAGGACAACGTCATGCAGCACCGACTCCACCTCCGATGGTCGTATCCCCCGAACCGATTCTCCGCGACATGATGAACCCTCTAATGCGGCGCTCACCTTCGCCGACCAAGGATAGCATCCATCTCTCGTATAGAAAGGGCGCCTCCCAAATCATGAGGCCTACAAACCATCCAAGATCGGTAGTGAGTCCGGTCTTGCAGGCGGTATCCGAACAAGATAATACACGACGACGATCGAGCAGCGGTTCTGCAACGCCTGGGCACGGAAAGTCATCGAGCATATCGTCCATCGACTCTAACCCTTCCCGGCGGCCGCGCTCTATCTCCAAGGCTGCAGCAACCATCCCTGAGCCCCGATCCACCCCCACTCCTATATCCGCCCCCTCAACTCGGACGCAAACGAGCGCCGCATTACCATTACGCCGATCAGATACCAGTCAAAATAGCCTGAGCCCGACCTCCCTCTCCAGTGGACCAGCAAATACAGCGCCACCTCTCCCCTCCCCTACCTCCACATCCCGTCCCCAAAGTCCCACCAAACCAACCCCACCCCCCACAAATTTCGACGAAATGGCCGCCAACGCCCGCCGCGAGCGCAAGGTCCTCGACCTTGAAATCAGCAACTCCTCCCTCCTCGCCATCAACCGCCAGCTCGAGCGCGAAGTGCGCAAGCAAAAAGGCGAACTCCGCCGCTTCCGCCGCCTCACCCGCGCCGGCCGCCTCTCCGAATTCTCCGCCGCTACCGCCCGCTCGTCACTCGCGGTGGGGGAGGCGCCTGACAGCGGCACCGACTCCAACTTCGGCCTCTCCGACCTCTCCGAATCCGAGGACGAGGACGACTCCACCGATGAGTCGTCGCTCTCGGCGGCCGCGAACGACGCGCGGTTGATGAAGGACGAGAAGCGCCTCCGACTGGATCTGGAAAAGCATCGGGAGTTGTTAGTGGATTCGCAGCGGATGAACCAGTCGTTGCGGCGATGTCTGGGCTGGACGGAGGAACTGATCGTTTCGGGCAAAAAAGCGCTGGAGTATCGGGTCCGTGTCAGCGACGTTAAGCTGGGGGGTCGGGTACTCCATCATGCGGATGAAGAGGATGCGATCGGGGCCGCAGTGGAGTCGGATGGGGAGATGGACGAGAGTCGAGACTTGATGGAGGAGATTGGGGCGTTTAGTGCGTGGATGGGGAAGAAGCCGGGGGAGGCGTTGGTTGCGATCAGGCCTCTTCCGGGGGAGACGGAGTTAGCGGGTGAAAAACCTGCCTCAGCTGGCCATGTCCAGTTGGATACGGATTCGGATGCGCTCTAACTGGCTTACGGCGTATTCCACGTTCTTTTCCTTTGTTAACACGTTCAAGGCCGAACCATGCATTGGGTGGGATCCGGCGTTCGATGACACTCTACACCAGAGTCTGACCACTGGGTTTGTGAAATTTGGGAAAGGGAACATTGGGCGGACGGATTTGATACCCGGCGATAATATGGTTCGAGGGGCATTTGTTTTGTCAGAACGAGACTGATCTGGCCCGACGCCACCTTTCTTTCATTTTGCGGTTTCCCGTCGGCGTTTTGCTGGCACATGTACAATAAGTGCTGCTGTACAAAGATACCCCTCAGTCACTGAATTTTTCGAATGGATTAGAAGGCATCTACGGATGTTAGAATGGAGCAGATGAGCTGTTTCTCACGATCAACTGAGTGAGGTGCCTACGATGGGATCGCTTGGAAGCTTTCGCATTGAACTTCTTTCGTTCGAATTGGTGTAATAGTGACATTAATACGAAAACTTCATTGAGGATTCATACCATGGAATTTGGAAATGGTTGATTGATTGATTCCCGCATCCGTCATGGACTTTGGAAAGGAACTGCACTGAACGAATTCATGCCGTGAGACAAATATGATATTGGCCTGAGGCACCAAGGCAACCATACCCATCTCTCGTCCAGCTTCAAGTGTCAACCTCATGGTGGACAACTCCGTTTGATCGTGTCCTAAGTTTCCCTAAGTCGATCTATCCAATATCCACGGTCACAACCCGAAATGGCAGGACGCGGACGTGTGCCCACCGGATGGGCCGAAGAGACCGTTATCAGCGATGCGTCATTCCGCCTCGCCCACCAGTCGGTGATATCATCCACCAACAAAAAGCGCAAGAGAGAAGAAGCCGGCGCGCCGAAACCTCGCCGAAGTCCATGGGACAAATTCGAAGATGAGAGAACTCCGGAAGCATCCTCGGACGAGGAAGGCGTGGAGGTGATCTACGAGGAGGATGAGATTGAGGAACAACCGACGGCACCGGCCACCAAAGCTGGGACGGCATATGAAGAGACGGGAGATGGACATGAAACCACAGCTTTCTATGGCGAATCAATACACGACTATCAAGGGCGAAGTTTTCTTCATATACCCTCCGAGCTGCGTGGCGAAGTCGCGCATACGCAGAATTACGTGCCGAAGAAGCTCGTACATACATGGAAAGACCACACGAAAGCCATCTCCCAGCTTCGATTCTTCCCGGAGTCCGGTCACCTTCTTCTCTCTGCTAGCGCGGATAGCACCGTCAAATTGTACGATGTCCAGAGCCGTGAGCTCCTCCGCGGTTACATGGGCCACAGCAAATCCGTGAACGACATCTGCTTCAACAATGACGGCACCCGCTTCCTCACCTCCTCCTACGACCGCCAGATGAAACTCTGGGACACCGAAACCGGCGCCTGCCTCTCCCGCTTCTCCACCGGGAAGACCGCCCACGTCCTCCGCTTCAACCCCGACCCGTCCCTGAACCACGAGTTCCTGGCCGGTATGTCGGACAAGAAGATCGTGCAGTTCGACACGCGCACGGGTGCGCAGGTGCAGGAATACGACCATCATCTCGGTCCCGTCAACACCATCACCTTCTGCGATGAGAACCGCCGGTTCATGACCACGTCGGACGACAAGTCGTTGCGCGCGTGGGAGTACGGTATCCCCGTCCCGATCAAGCTGGTGTCCGACCCGAGCATGTTCAGCATGGTGCGGTCGTCGCCGCATCCGTCGAAGCCATTCGTGGCGTATCAGTCCGCGGATAACCAGGTGCTGATTTACGGGTCGTCGGATCGGTTTCGGCAGAATCGGAAGAAGTCGTTTCGGGGGCATAATACGGCGGGATACGCGATTGATGTGGCGATCAGTCCGATGGGGAATATCGTGTCGTCGGGAGACTCCGGTGGGTATGTTTGCTTCTGGGATTGGAAGACGACGAAGATGTGGCATAAGATCCAGGCGAGTGATGCGGCGGTGTTGGCGTGTCAGTGGCATCCAAGGGAGAAGAGCAAGTTGGTGACGGGGGATCTGAACGGTGTGATCAAGTATTGGGATTGAGTGTCCCCGGTTCTTACCGGGGAACTCAAGCCACCGCTTTATAAACCGTCATCCAGGCAGAGGCCACGTGCATTTCAGGAAACGGTGCATTTTAAAAGCCAGGTTTACAGACTCTCCCATAAATTCAACCCCTTCCCCTCGTTTCATGTCATGCTCAACTGAAATATAAATCGAGGTTTTCCCCAGCCTATGCGATGCACCACCCCACGGACTGCACGATTCCCGATAGATACGATGCCGGTTTCGCTCCAATGAAATCGCTCAAGACGAGAAGTCTCTACTTGCTCTGATGTCTGGTCGTATAGAATGTCAAGGGGTGTCGACACGGGCTCCGAAATCACGGCCACCTCGAGCTTCACTCGGAACGAGGGGCCGTCTTTTGTAGTTTCTAGGCGGCAGAGGATAGAACCTGTCTTGTTGGCGTATATCATCAGAAAATGAGGTGGGAGAACTTTAGAACCTCCATGGCGATTGTTGAAGCCATTTAATACAGATAATGGTATCGGAGGATACCATCCCCGACATTGCCACCCGTCATCCCCCCAGGCGGCACCAACGCCCTCAATTCTCCACTCAACCATATGGTCATGGGGTAGACAGGTGGATATTTCCCATTCCGTAGTGGTATGGTGCTGCAGATATATCGTTGTACTGGAAGAGGGTGGCCGATAGTCCTTCGGCAGGATGAAAGGGTTGCAGCCCGGAGCGGTTGTGAAGACATTTGAATATAAGTGATTTGCACGCACGAGGGGCAGTGCGACTCTTTGATCCAGACGTCTAAGGTAGACGTCAAGTATGCCGAGAGCTAAGCCATTAGAACCATCTATGAAGTCGAGAGGTAGTCCGATCAATATTCCTCGGCTCGTTACTATTGAGTGTGATGCCATCTGCGATCGTTGAGAACCTTCATAACGACAAGTTCGTCCTGTATTGTCACCTGTGGTTCCCTCCTTTCGGCCATTGATCAGACCTCCGACTTTAGCAAACGCCCTTGGAGATTGAGCCAGAGCGCCAATTGGCTTCTCCATCGATCGTTGATCGGCTCGGCCTAAGCCCCAACAGAGTATCGTCTCATCCGGGGTCATGCGTATGATCTCCTCTTGCAAACGATGAAACGCACGCTTTCCTTCACCATAGAGTAGAGGCATGTTTACACCAAAAATTCCGAGTAGACAATATGCCACATCCTCTTCTCTTGTTGTTTTCCTTCGAGACGCCCAAGACATCCGCTCCGAGACTGAGAACTCGTGCAGTGGCGTGCGGAGCCGCCGAGATCGATTGGCTATAGTTTGAAGACACTCGATGCGGATATCGGTGATTTCACTCAGTATTCTCTCTTCCTCAAGGTACCTGGAGCCGTAGCCAAGGTCTCTTCCGTCGTATCTTATGCGGTCCTCTATATCAAACTTGACTTGCTGCCAGCTTGAATCAAACAACATTCGATTCTTTGGTGCGAGCAACTCTTGCAGGGTCCATCCTCTTGTGAACCATCGACTCGACCGAAACAGAGAGCCGGGCTTTTTGTGCTCATCAAGGCTTGCAGGCGGCACATCGCTCAGGTATATATAGCAGACCCGCGATCTTGCATACCACTCAAACATGGAGTTGATTGCTTCAGATAGTTCCGCACTGCTTGACTTATTGATACAACAAGTATCGATCCAGACGTATTCGATCCGAGCTTTTTGAGCCTGCTTGCAGCACCCATCGATCTTCTTGTACCCTAGCTTCTCGGTATAGTCGCTGGTCTTGAGGTCCTCAAAGGTTACCTCCTCTTTGCCCCAGGTATGTGATAGGATCGCGTACCGTGGCCGCGGGCCCTGAAACTCCTCAAGTTTCCGTGTTGATACGTTGAGCAACCGCATGGTGCTTTGCCTGCTTCTTTGGCGCTTCTTCGGCGATGCTTCGTAGATAGAAACATGGGTAAGTAGTGCTTGCTGCAAAGATACAGGTTCACTTGATAGACATTATGAAATCCAAAAAGTGCCTGGACTGGAGAAATATCGAGGCAAGAACGCCTGGTGGGATTCATTGAGGCTTAGCATCCAGTCCATCTAATACATTCTCAAGGCTGCGTTGCATGATTGCAATCTTGCTTTCACTGCCCACTGCACTAGTCCTTTAAGCCTCATGGAAAAACGGGGTTGGACGAGCAGGTTTCTGTAAACAATTGGCCAATAGCGAAATTCAGTGCTACAGTGGTGTTCAGGATGCCACAACATGATGTTGCTGTCTATACAGTGATATTACTTAGATTTAGCGTTAAATAGCTCCCATGCTGGATTAGAAACAGCCTTTAGAAGTTGGAGACAAAGGCGTAACCCATCCAAACATAGACCGATCCAACTAAGGGACCTGTCCATAGACCTATTATGCACACAAACGCCGGCGCATACGTCCCATCGTACCCGCCCCATCCAATATGGTGTAGTCCAAACCAAAACTCCTCGCAAGGCCCAGACAGCACAGTACAGATCGTGAAGAAAATTGCGAGCAAGTATTATATCCCACTCTTTAAAACCTCCGTTCGTCTCCCCCCATTGGCGGCGTCACCGGGGAGTGACTCTCCGTCACCGTGATGCTCGGCAACTGCTCCAGCATCGGCAACTGCGGCGCCCCCACCCTCACTGGCGACTCGTACGGCGGCGCATCCTCCAACGGCACCGCCTCAAACGCCTCCTCGTACATCGGCGGGTCTAGTTCGGGAATCCGCTGATCCGCCACATCCCCTCCCGTCCCCTCCGCCGTCGTCCCCGTATTCGACCGCGCTCTCGCCATCGGCGACGGCCACGATCCCCTCCCCCCCACCGCCACCATCTCGAACTCCGACTCCCCGTTCCCGTTTCGCGAAGGCTGTGACAGCGACAACGCCGGCGACGCTGCCGCCGTGTGAAACCCGTCGTCCGAGGCGTTTGTCGACACGCTCATGACACTCGACGCCGACCGTCCACGATGATGCGTCGTCAACGTCGACCTACTCACGCTCCTCTCCTGCCCATCCATCCCCGCCGCCCCCTCTAGCAGCGGCCGCTCCGATTCCGTCGAGTGCGATCGCAGCCGCGACCCGTCGTGCTGCACAACGCCGATGTTGCCATACTGCACGGACGAGACGCGGCGGTCGCGGTTGACGGTCTGGTGTGCGGCGATAAGCGCGGCGGAGTGCTCCGGGTTGGTGTGGACGGCTTCGGAGGCGGCACGGGTGGATTCGCGGAGCTCTTCGAGGGCGGCGAGGTCGCCGCGTTCGCGGGCTTCGCGGCGGAGGCGGCGGCGTTCTTCGCGGTCGGTGTTTTCTTGGCGGCGGGTGCGGCGGATTTGGTCTGAGAGGTTAGGATGCGACGATAGGGGGTAGGTGAGAAGAGTGAATGGATGGATAGGGTAAGAAAGACAACGGGAGCGACTTACATAGTGACTCCATTTCCTCTTCCCTTCGTTGTTCCTCGTCATCGACAGTCTCGGGGAACTCGACCACGGTATCCATGCCGCCTCTTTCGCCTTCTCGAGCGATGACCTGTTCGGTGTCTCTCACAGAAGGGGTATACGGCGGCAGGGTCATGATGCTGCGAACGCTCGTGTTCCGATTCACGTGGCTCGACTGGCTTCCGTCTCGATTGAGATTCGTGACGACCACATCCGTATCGTGCTCATTTCCACCGGCCTGTCCATTGTTCGCCAGCGAAACCGTTGACGGATCCTCCTGCAGTTGATCGGAATATTCGCCTCGCGTCGACCGTCCTCTCGACCATGATGTCGGGAACCGGGGAGGCGGTAACCGGAACCGTGAAAACTTGCTCGGGGCCTTCGCTTGCGTCGGCGATGTCGGTAATGCTTCTCGTCGTTTCCGTTGGAGATGCCAGCGAGTTACGAAATATAAAAGGATGGCGACGGCGAGAAGGACGACGCCGATGACGAGGACCTGGAATTGTCAATTCAACATTTACTTCCTATCGCCCGGCTGGAATCACCACTTACCACCACCAGCGACTTGTTCCGCTGACCAGGCGTTGCTCGTCTGCGATGCCATTCCCTCCCATCATCTCCCCAGACCACTGCGCTTCGTCGTGACTCTTCGGTATATGGGAGGAGCATTGCTTTGCACAGTATTTCTGCGCCACCAGGCACCCAAATCGATGATTTTGCTTGCAAGCGTCGAATCTGTGAACACAACAACGGCGGAGAACAACCTGCCTCGTGCTGACGGGCGGAGCTGACGGAGCGCTGCAACGCACCAATGACCGACCAATCCGTAGGTACAGGGCAACTGGATCACAATTCACAACATAGCGATAAGGCAAGACAATATGATACACTCGAGTGGCTGTTTGATGTTCTCCGAGAGTGTGGAACGGCCTCAGGCTCGGCCTTTGGACGGTTGTTGCAGTGAGCAAGATGGGACGACCTGGTGAACCAACATGTGCTGGAGTCCCCTGGTCAGTCAGAGTCGTAAAAGTAAGCGGCTGTCAGGGAGGCGGTGGGCTCTCAGCCTGCTCAGAGAGAGTGCTTACGCCTTATGGGGTCCGGATCCGCCACTAATTAATTTAATAGCTTGTCATTTGACACCCGAAATTATCCTTGTCCGAGTGTTATGCCATTTCACACATGTGAATTGTGAACAGTGGTTGATAAATGATATGGCCTTATTTGGCCTAACAAAGCACTGGTGGTTGAAGCTGCAGGTTCATCGATTTTGCAGATAGGTACGGGACGGAACGATTCATCTAGACCCATGGTTCGTCTTGAGACGCATCAACCACTGAAATGTTAAACCCTTTTTCACTTTGTCCAACGAGACTACCTTGCCGTACTACCTAAGAATAGAATAGTGGGGTCTACAGCATTTGCTCATGCCTAGCATTGTTTAGATAAAAGTCCGGTTGGCCAGCCATGAATTGGATATCTACACTACCGGTACACAATACGAACTCGAAATAGTTTGGAAAGCGTAGGAAATCATCATCGTGACTCATTAGATGCAGGGCTCCTTTGTTGGAACCGCCACAATGGGAAATCGATCAAGGGAATCTACGAATTGAGATCGTCATGTCCGTCCCCCTCGTCAAATAACCAACAGGAAATGGAAGAGACTGTATGAACAGATACAAAACCGAGCCTGGATTCGGCGTCTCTCGTTGAACCGTGAATCGAGCATTATCGTCCGGAAATCCTCGTAAAGCAGATATGATGTTTGGGAAACGCCTTCTAAACGTAATAGCGCCTCGAGCTGCGGTGGCTATGACGCGAATGATGCGAACGACGCGGGCTGCCAGAGTACGAACCACGATGGGAGTGGCGCACGACCTCCTTATCATTAGAGCGGTGCATCCACCATGCCAGGAACTACAACAGAGTCAGCCAGCGCTCGCAGTCAAATGAGAATCCTTTTCGAACGAGCGAAAAGGTCCGCCGTATAGATTGGAAACTTACCGCTGTGAAGAAGAAGAACAGGGTATTCATGATCCCAAACGCAAAGCTGGCCTTCAACATCGCGCAGTTCTTATTGAGGTTCACCGACCACTCGTTTCCGCCTTCTCGCCCATAGTACCCGAACGGCCCAAGATTGATGTAGATCTTCCCGGCCTCGAAGTTCGAGCAGCTCACCTCAGTTATGGCGCGCATCTCGTAGACGGCTGCAATGAAGGCGCCCACGAAGCCCAGGTCGACCAACCCGATGAAGTGACCGCTGTGTCCGACGTGGAAGAGAGTGACGAGGGCCCAGGCGCCGGCCAGCACGGAGACGATGAACAGGATCAGGATGAAGTTCGGGGTCAACTGGTTGCTCTCGACGTAGCCGTGCACGAACCAGGCGAGCATGCCGATGACGGGGATGAGGGTGATGATTTCGGAGAGGCGCCAGAAGGTATAGAGGGTGCGGCGGAAGATCATAGTGGCGGTGGTGATGTGGTTGTGTCTTGGTGTAGATATCGGGAGTGGGGTTTTCGGAGAGCGGAGGGCGAATGCGATGCCCAGCGGTGGTTGGGCGCGATATATGGCAATGTCAATGCGATGCGATGCGCTGGTTGCGCAGCTGAACCATCCGACTAAACTTGTATCACAGCTGCTACTTGTGCGACCTGCTTGGCAAGATGCGTGATTGGATGTGACACCACAAGCTGTGATCTGGTGAACCAGGCAATATCAAGCTCAAAGGCTGGATCAGACCGTGGTTAAAGGATTTTTGACAGGGTAGCGAGGGAGGATTTGTGAAGACGCTGAAGCAGAGTGAGGAAAGAAACGAAGAGAAGAGGGAAGATGGTTGTGGGACAAGTGAGTCTATATTAGACGTGCGTATGCATGAGAGCGAACGAGGTGTTGGGTTGGTTGTGATGAAGGTGTGTGAGAGGCAGTGTGACCAAGGGAGAAGTGACGTAGCAAACAGGAAGTATTTCCGTAAGATAGGTTGGTAAGGTAGTACTTATTCCTTCGCATTAAAGGGACTTTAAAACTTAACAGTTGCTCAAAAACTTGGACAGGATCCTGGGAATTCACGAGGTTGGCGGAATGCGGGGGTTGGGTGAAGGGCCGTCTGGGGTGGCTGGGATAGATACTGTAGTCCCACGTGCGGGACACCATCACCAGAATTAAAAAAACTTGCTTTGGGAGAAAATTGGTGTTGCAGCTATGCCTTGGTCTTTGACAGTAAGATCAGATGTTCTGGAGAAAGCACAAGAGAGAGGACTAAGGGTGTAGATCACCTTCAATATGGTGATCTTGACCCAAGCCATTGCTGCCCATCCCCCATTGATACCTCTTTCTGCAGCTGTTTAGCAAGCCGTCAAAGTCTTTCGTTCTAATGTATACCTCTGTATTAGCATAATCAGATCCCATCTAGAACATACGTAATGTCCTATGCTCCCATTGCCTGGCGGAAGCAAAACTAGATGAAAAGCGCCATATGCAAAGCATTATGTCAGTGGCTCGGGAGATCGACAGAACTCGCGATGCGTTATGCGGCCTTCCAGATCTCTGGATGGGATCAAGCTGCACACTCCTGGATATTGCGAAATCTAGCCCGCCTTCTATCCGAGTACCTTGTGCAATTCTATCGAGGGAATATGATGAAGGGTTAGACATGACATTGGGTTGGTCAGGGGCGGGATGCTACAGGGAGACAGCTGAGGAGGGAAAAGAGGGACGAACACGGGCGGAACAAAGTATTTGATTAGTAATACTACCATTGGTTAAGTCAGAATGTCAGATCTTGCAAGCATAAAGATAGATTTTGGTTAACTAACTAACGATAGGTAAGAGATAACTAACTTAAGTTAGTTAACTAAGTTAAGTTAACTAACTTAAGTTAAGTTAACTAACTAACTAAGTTAAGTTAACTAGTTAGTTAGTAACCCGGCATCGCCCTATACTTTAATACTCGCCCTGGCGTGCCAGTGAGATGGTTCTGTTCCCTCTCTTGCCAGTTCCCTTTTCCCTTCTGCGCTTCCTTGCTGAAGCTCCATCTACAGCACAGCCTGGCGGGATGCACCGAGCGAGAAAAACGATTGGGTGAGTCTTTCTATTACCGCATCGCCGCCTTTACTGTTAACTACTACGCAAAGGGGCGGCACGCTGTCGTGCAGAATTCGTGGCGGGTAGGCGTGAGCAGAGAGGAGTAGGAAGGAAGCAGAGTTTATGAGACTGCGAACGAGCGCTAATATATTCAGAGGCTGACGCGAGAATAAACCGCTGTAAGAGGGGAGCTAGCCGTCTACACTCTTTTGGCGCGGCATTCTTCGTGAGGCACGCTGGAGCATCTTCTCGCCATCGACGAGCCTACCTTGGCTAGTTGCCTCCTTTGGCATAGCGCCGCCAGACTTGGTATAGCGCCATCTGTCCGTACCCACCGGTTCTCCCCATCACGATACACCAAATCTTTCACGATACTAAACCTCCCGCCCGTCCACGATACCATTAATTTAGATTCTTTAATCCTTCTTGCCCTAACAAAGGGTTTGCACCGCCGGGCTTTCATTCGGTAGCGCTTCCTGCATGATCGGAATATTGCTTCCGGAATCCTGATCGTGATCATAATCCTGTATCAAGCTACTTAGGAGCGACATCCCCCGAATTCGACCAACAATGACCGCTTGGTTTCTTTCTACATTAGCAGCCATGACTCTACGGACAAAGGTCTCAGCTGTTCCCGCGAATGAGGAAGGGACGAAAACGAGGCTGGCGCAGAGTCACCTCTCTATCGTCCGAGACTGGTAAAATGCAAAGCCTGGTTATGGAGGAGATCGATGACGATGAATATCTATAAAAAGAGATAGGAACAGCTATCAAATTGGCCCCCTCTCCCTCGAATTCTTCCTTCACTTTTAGAGTTCCTGCTTTCATTTCTTAACTCGCTCATTATTCTGTTCGTACTGATGCTGGGCCTAAGATCTAAAGTAGCTTCCATGCAGAGTGTCTAGACTCTTCAAGAGACTCGCTTCCCGGACGAGGAAGAGGACGTGAATGTTCGTCCCGGAGTTCGAAGGTACAGCTATCCTTCTCGTCTGTTGCCCAGATCTCTACAGAGTCGAGGATTTCAATCACGAGGAATGCGCCTGCCCCCGAAGACCACATCGTCGTCTAACGTTCCGGCCTCGAAATGTCTTTCCGCGGCCGTATTTTGGCGTAGATACTGTCTTCGCCACCGCCCCTGATTATCTCGGTAAGTGAGGGCGGGAGATGGAGTCGCGAGTGTAGGTAGAATGTCCGTTAATCGATGCGTCGGCACAATCACGGCTACGGGGGTAGCCTTTATATGGCTGTGCTCCGTGGCTGACGGGTTTGTATCTTTTTGTGCTGAGAATTGACTGGCGCTGTTCATGCGAGTTCATTCTCCTGCCAAGCTCAACCCTCTTGCACTGCCCCATACCAGCCTTATCTGCATTTCCAAGTCCACCACTGCATGTTATCGCCTTTATTTCTTCCCAAACAAAAAAGAATGTATGGCACTATTAGTGGTTTCACTTCCGCGAGCGTTTTCAAGTCCAAGCTAGAGCGATGCGTCTCCTGAAGCGTAACCCCAACGGCGAGCTCTGTGTGACGGAAGATTTTGTGACGAGAAGATTCCCCAAAAGTATGCTATACTCTCGCATACATGGACGGATGGTGAGGAAGTAAGGTTCGAAGAGTTCGTCGAAAGTACGGGAAAGAATAAGACGGGTTATAAGAAGATCGAGTTCTGTGGAGAACAGGCAGCTCGTGATGGCTTGGAGTACTTCTGGGTGGATACCTGCTGTATCGATAAACGAAATAATACGGAGCTCTCCGAAGCTATCAACTCCATGTTTCAGTGGTACCATAATGCAGGGAAATGCTACGTCTATCTATCGGACGTTTCGATACGGAACGCTGGAAAGAACGACGGGGACGGCTTGCATCACTCGACTTGGAAGTCGGCCTTTCGGAAAAGTCGATGGTTCACTCGGGGTTGGGCACTTCAAGAGCCGATTGCTCCGGAATCGGTTGAATTTTTCTCAAAAGAGGGTGAGAAGCTGGGAAGCAAGAGATCGCTCGAGCTACAGATTCGCGAAATCACCGGAATTCCAGTCGGAGCCCTTCGAGGGGGGGCACTCATTCAATTCAGAGAGGCAGAGCGACTGTCATGGGCGAAAAATCGCGAGACTACGAAAAAGGAAGATAAAGTTTACTCGTTACTGGGGGATTTTCGGCATTAATATGCCCTTAATCTATGGAGAAGGGAGAGAGGGTGCATTCAGACGGCTGCGGGTGGAGATTGAAAGAGCATCGAAGGGTATGTCATCGTCTCATACATCTTCTCAGATCGCAACCGATGAATGCAGGAGCTAGGACACAACTGATTAGAATAGGCGATCAGATCAACGATTCCTCTATTAGCTTTAGTCTTGCTGATATCTCAGAGACAGAGCACTTTGTTGCAAGAGAGATGGAGTTTATAGAAATACATACGGTACTCAGTGGTGATGGCAGCCGTCGCATCGCAGTTCTTCATGGTCTGGAAGGAATCGGCAAAACGCAGCTCGCGGTCGCCTATGCGAAGCGGTATCGAGACAGCTACTCCGCTGTGTTCTGGCTCAACGCTAAAGATGAAGATTCTTTGAAGCAGAGCTTTGGCAATGCTGCTAGGAGGATACGACAAGAAAATCCCTCTGCCAAGTGTCTAAGCGGTGTGGATTTGGAAGGGAGCGTTGACGAAGTAGTGGAAGCTGTTAAGGGGTGACTGAGTCTTTCAAAGAGTACGAGATTGTTGGTAATATTTGATAACTACGATAATCCTAAATTGCCAGGCGATTCAGATATCAAGGCATTAGTTATCCGAAAGTTCCTCCCCGAATCATACCAAGGATCGATCATCATTACCACACGGTCATCACGGGTCATAGTCGGTTATCGCATACCAGTCCGAAAACTGGAGAACGCACAGGATAGCCTAGAAATCTTGTCGAAGGCGTCAAGACGAGAAGGGCTAAACAAAGGTGAGACAGACGAGACTTGCAAATATGATTTTAATACGAATAATAGATCCTGACGCCATGAAGCGTATCAAAGAGCTAGATGGACTTCCTCTCACCTTAGCCACAGCTGGAGCATACCTCGATCAAGTGACGATCAGTTTAGCCCGCTATCTCCGTCTATATAAGGAATCATGGTTGAACTTGCAGCAGGCAAGCCCCGAGCTAAGCTCATATGAGGATCGTATGCTATACTCTACATGGGAGACCTCCTTTAAGCACGTTCAACGACAGAACAGACTTCCGGCCCAGCTTCTTCAGCTGTGGGCATACTTTAATAACCAGGACATCTGGTTCGAGCTTCTTCGGCACAGCGACTCCGGGGATCCAGAGTGGATCCGTGAGCTCACTAAAGACGAAATGAGCTTTAATAACGCGATTCGAGTGTTGTGTAATCACGGACTAGTAGAGGCGGACTCGTCATCGCAAGAGTTAGTAGAGTCAAGAGGCTACAGCATGCATAGTTGTGTACACTCGTGGACGAGGCATGTTCTGAATCAAGAATGGAGTCAGGATATGGCGAAGCTTGCTCTGAAGTACATGCGAGCGCTATGGTACAGGGGTACGAAGAAGCGCTGGGTCCCGATCATCCATCCACGCTCAATGTGATGAGGAACTGTGGTGAGCTCTAACGAAGCAAGTCTCAATTCCGTTAATAAGACAGCAGAAAACGAGAGGGGATGAAAGTCACTATTTCCTCCATATATATATGCTGGTTGTCCTCCCTTTCCTCCTCAAGGACCTTAACTCATTCCTAGACCTTGTTCCGGTAGCAAGGTCCAACCAGCGTTGAGACCCAGACATGAGTCAACTGTCCATTGTTGAATGACCGTGTCAACACTTAGCATCCATATATCTCTGTGACCAGGTCATGGTCATAAACCTGAAAACTTAGGCAGGTTGACTTTCTTTAGCTGTGCAGAACTGTCGGTTGCAGAGAAGGCAGGTCTGAATAGGCCCCAGCATTTGAAAGTTGCTATGCTTTCAATTCCGATGTTGTTGCATGCCGTTACAAACGAAGCAAGGGGAGGCCGTAACTGATATAATTGCGGCGGAATAATGGGTTGTTTGAGCCTAAACAGTTAGAGCTTCAGGACTTAGGTCCCGTTGTGTTTGTTCATTCGTAGAAGGATTGAAGGAATGGCTTGAATATTAACATTACTGGCATGCGTGGCGTGATTCATTTCATGTATATACAACACATGACTCTCCTATGTCGACTTATAACGTACACCCTCACTTGGGAGACGGAATGCCCTGTAACCAATCGACTTCGACTTTAGGCGAGTAGAGCTCAACTCATAGAGGAATGTTGAAGGATCAAGGTAGCCTGAAATCCCATGGTCTTTGGGCAGTCTCGCACTTTGTATTACTCTCGCAATCCCGACGCAGGAAGTCCTGGACTGTTATCACAGAGCAACCTGAGAGTTTCTTTTGCGCATGCAAGGAAGACATGTCGAGCGAGCATATATCTCCGCAGAACCTCAACATGAAAAGATGGCTGAGAGGAGAGAACGGACATCACGAAGTAGCTGTCTGCTGCTTCAAAACTCCCCTATCCGCGTCTTGTCCATCCCGAGTCTTACTTCTGGCCTGTCGTGCTCCCAAATGAGGCCCTGTCCAAATAGGACTTGTAGTAACCACACAATCTTGTTCCGCATTCCCAGCCATTGGGGAGCTCGATCGTTATCGATCGTTCTAGGGTTGTTCTAATACTGCCAACAGGGTAGACCATGCACATTGGCTAGCGTGGACAGATGTCGACCACCAACCATCTCACCAGCTAGGAATTGTCCTCTCCAGAGTCCACGAACCACCAATGTAGATACATTGGTGGTATTAAATGATGATTGGGAATCACGATCTGCACCTAAAAGATATCTCGGTCCTGTTATAGCTCCATAGATTTGCAATTCGTGGCCTGTGATCGCGATCGTGGAGTCGAGGAGTCAACCAGATCAGCTCTCAGGCCCCCAAGGCTCTAGGGGATCCGCTTCCATTTTCCAGTATCTCTACATAGTACAATATGGTAGTACCACTGACCTTCCGACTTTCTAGCCTCCAGGACCGCCTATCCAGTAGCCAGGCAACAAATCCTGGCTCGAACGTGGAAGCGCTGAGTATGCGGCCCCTGCAACCCCTGCCCAATGGTTCCCGCCGTCTGATTTTCGCCAAACATAATCCAGGCTGTCAGTGAACGGCTGGTCCGCAATCAATTCTGCAACCAGCACGCAAGACATGGAGAGACCAGACAAGCCAGTCAGCAACCTGTGTGGTCAGACATGACGGCAAAAATTGGTTCTGCGTATACAAAGGACCTTTGTGGCTGAACAATAATGCAACAGTCCGTCAGCATTTGCTTGTGCAGTTGGAGAAACGACATTCTTATCTGTTGCATTACGGAATCGTACGTATGTATTTTATGAACCACTGATAACATTAAGATCCCCCAGTCGGAGGGACGCCACTCATTTCCCATGCTGTGGATTGGGAGACATCTGGTCTCTGGAAGCCTTTCTCGATCCTTTCGGCGATGATGCGACCCACACGGCAAGCAGATGCAGGAACAGACGACGAGCTCTTTATCCCAATACATAACATCCTTGAGGGTCTGAATTAGAAACAGAACCACCGATCACACCTCCTTCTTTTATATCAAGGCTAACCATGTGTTGACAAGGTTAGACTTTGAACCTTCCTGATACTGTCCAGATCCCCGCAAGGATCTTGAACCGACCGGCTTTCTGGTCTGCCATCGCGTTTCAGTCGTGGTCAGTCCGGAGTCTTCATATCCACCTCCGCATCCCGTACTTAGTACGTCGCGTCTGTTTTGCATTGACGTCCCTTAACCACATTGGCAGTCCTCGCAAACCTTTTCTTGGTATTTGAAATTTGTTGCAATCCTGTCCCTCCCTTTGTTGTGTATTTTTTAGTCCTGGGAAGGCAATTTCCTTATTCATGTTGCCCGACAGGCTTCCCTGCGGCTGAACCCAAACAGAGTCGCTCATTTGCATGTCCAATCTGCAAGGCTGTCCTAGGTCGATGAGCTGGTGCTGCATACATATATCAGGCTATACCTCCGAATCTTTGGCGCTCTCACAACTCCTTGCGATTTCTCGAAATTTTGGCATTCTATGATATTCCAGAACTGCCGATTGCCTATTCCCGTCCGTCGTTCCATTTAGACCCTTACCCACAAAAGATCGGCGAATATACAGGTCTGGGCTGATATTGATAACGGTTGCGGGGTTCAACTGCCCGAATTATAAACCGTCAAATCGTGCAAAACTCTAGGATACGGTTCGAATTCATCCTCGGACTTAGGAAGCTTGTCCACGTCCTAAGCGATCCATCTATCTGTTACGAACTCTGTCTAATATCGTGGCACCAGATGCTCCTCGTTTGACGATCGTGGTGTGGTTCCACGGCAGGACCGATTCCTATTAGGTTGCTCCTTTGGAACCCGAAGGCCAGAGTTGAAGCTCCTAGTCTTCAAGAACATACCGTAGTGGGCTCGGGGTCAGAATTCACCAATGGCTGCACGAGGGGCACGGAGCAGGAAGGTCGTTGAGAAGCAAATAGAAAAGAAAGAAAAGAAACAGGCCGCCAAGGATTTCGCCGATTCGTTCAAAAGTCGCTCCTCAAGCGGTTGGGGGTCTCCTGTACGCCGTTCGTCTACTTCCCAAACAACTACACGACCCAGTGGCCACTCTCACGGTCATGGAAGTGTGGACAGCCCCTCTCCCGGTGGCTCTCGTGCACCGAGTGAGAGCGGCCGCAGTAAAGTCAGCATCCGCTTAAAGGAGGACGAGAGGTACAAAGCTGAGGGGAAAAAGGAATCCTCGGCACCACGAGGAAGACGCGGAGGTGTCCCTACGAAAGCATCCTCAAGTACGGGCACTGGAGGAGGGAGGAACACGGCCGACCTTGCCAGTCCAACAGGATGGGAATTAATATCAGATGTCCATCGCCCTCAGACAACCGCGACGATTCGGAACATAACATGGTCAGGGATTAAGCTGTGGGTCGGCAATGGGCGTGCACCCCAGCAATACAAAGGATTTGAGAATGATTCCGAGATGTGGATGACAAGCGGGGACTGCTTTGTCTACTTCAGTGAGGAAACATCCGAAGTGGATGCAGCGCCGACGTTGCGAGTCCATGTTTCTGTACTGGAGCAGGCCAAGTCGGTGTTCTTGGTCAACTTGTTAAAGTATGGCGAGATATACCAAGAGCAGGAGATAACGCCACCCTCTAGCCGATCCAGTTCGACCGCTCCACAAATCGTAGCACCAAATCCCTCCTATCCACTGACTAAAACCAATCTCGGCTTTCTGGACGAGGAAGAAGAATCCAGCCCCTGGCAGGCAGGGGAGCGAATATCTGGTTCGACCTTACTACGCGGCTCGACTGTTCGAACGACACGGTCGTCGGCCAGTCAGACTCCCAGTGCTCGCAATTTCCGCGGTTTTAACGAGTACACTCCTCCGCTGTCTTCAGCCGCAAGCGACATTGCATCCACGGCAGCGCGAAGTAATGAACAAGCCGAAATCACTCATGAGATATGGTTCCCGGCCCCGGCGCATCTGAAAACGTCTCCGCAAATCTTACGGAGACATCATATCGCGACTAGGAATTTCATCGCCCTGCTGTACGGAAAGCCTATCGTGGGGGAGGAGTATTTGCAGATGTTGTCCGACCTACAGACGGTTATGGATAACTACTACGAGTTGAACGACCCGTCCCAGCGGCGGAACTCGGTAGATATGGTCGTGAACTATCTTGCGGACCGAAAGCTTGACGATGTTCGTGGCAATCTGGACGCCGCGCTAGGATTACTGGCATGGTGCGAACAGGAAACCGTCCGATGGGAAGAAGGATTCGTCGAGGCTTTCGTACATACCGTCGGTATGATGACCGAAGACACGATCCATTCAGCAGCATTCAAGCAAATCTCGCCTGTTACTCGGCACAATCTCGTAAATGCATACAACTCCCTCCAGCTCCGCGTGCTGAGTGCCGAAGAACAGCTCACAAATTTCGATTTCACTGACATGTACACGAACTTACTAGGAACCCAATCTGCAGGGCATGTCTCGAAAGACCATCCCGCCCTGCTTGCGTTCCGGAACTTCCAATTCTTTCTCTGGCAGTTCTACCAACGCACGTATGGGGAATGGCCTCCTCCCCCATCAAGCGCAAATCGGCCGAGGGGCAACTCTGGGATCACGCAAAACAATCCTGATGGCCGAGCGAGCTGGTTGTCCAGGACCATTGCCCTGCGATTACAAGAAGATTTCGGCGCCATGTATGACTATCTCGTGGATCGCAATGCGGCGTGGGACGCGGACGAAATGCGCCCGTCCCGTAAATGGCAGATCGTTTCAACAAAGCCACGGTCAGGGTCATTCGATGCTGATGTTGGCGGCTTCCCATTCACGGATATGGTCGTGTCCTGGGACCTACGCAAAGATTACCTCCATATCCCCCATCCACTCCCATTACTCCCGGTGTCACGGGCCTCGCTGCATGGCGAGACTGGATTGAATGGGAATGAAAAGAAAGGGGCAAAGAACAAGTTCTTGGGTTCGTTCGGAGGGTTTAAGAAGGGGAAAGCAGTAACGGTGAAGGATCCAAAGGAACAGTTCCAGATAAGTTTGGCGTTCAATGGAGCGACCAATATCAACAGGTTGGGAACGACTTTTGAAGGTAACATATTTGAATATGGAGGTATAAGCGCTTCAAGCTGACTGCTTGTATAGAAAACACCTTGCTTGACTCTCTGTCATCGTTCGAAAAGTCGCCTCAGAACGGAAACCTTCCTCCAGGCGAAGCTCGTCTCGGCCGTTGGCTTCTTCTATACGGCATCTTGCAAGTCCTGTCCACCATCTCCGTCGATGTCTCACCACTACGATATACCCAAGGCGTCTCCTACTTCCTCAGCCCGCCCCTCACTGGCTGCCCGCCCTGGCCGCCTACTAGGGATTCCGCGACACCCAGAAGAAATGAATCTCATCCGTTCCGCGCCATTGAAGCCATCCAGACCCGCAGCTGGTGCTGGACACGTCGCCTCTTGTGGGTAGATGACAGCGCTGGTAATTCTGGCCAAGCACATGTTTACGCCGACAAACGAGGCTTGCATGGTGTATTCGGCTACGAGCTGTCCGAGGAGGGCGACCAGATCAGTGAGCTAGACGGACGAAGCATCCAGCGGAGCGCGAAGATGAGTAGTCCAACTGCTACTTCAGCCTGTTTAAGCCCGAGTGTCCAGGTGGCTATGCAAGCAAGCCAGAGGAACATAACGAGTGGGGGATATACGTTCCCAACATCTCCAGCAGTGGGAACAGCACTGAGCCCAACCATGACGTATCGAGACCCAAGCGGAATTCCGCCTTCAGGAGCGACCACAGCGCTGTCTTCGCAAGAGATCGGATCTCCTCAAGCGCATACCATGCATCCCCAACATCCACACTCGGCGATGCCAGGCGCACCGCCACCAAATCCGAGCTACAACTTCAGCCATCCATATGCCGCCTACCAACACCACCAGTCGCAATCGTCGGCGCAGCGCAACATGCAACCCGCCCATCCTTACCCCTCTCAGCAACCTCCGCGGCAGCAATACGCAATGCCACCCTCCCAATACAACAGCGCCCCTCAACAAGGGCACACTCCTCCCCCAATGCAACATCCCCTTCCGCAATACTCCTCCTCCGCTCCATTATCCTACACTCACTCCCACCCTCCGCCTCCTCCAATGGCCCCCTCCCTCTCCCACTTCCCCGCCCCACCCTCTCACCCACCCTCTCCTCCCCTCCGTTCCACCCTAGGCCTCTCCCACGACCCCCACCACATCCCCCTCGCCTATCGCGAGAAGCGGTCACCACCACCTCATGGTACAGGGGTTGTCGGGAGGATATCATCCCTCGACGCTGGGCGATCGGGGTGGGTTTCTTGAGATGGGAGTGCAAGGGGAGCGGAGGAGCGGAATGTCGATGATGCCGGAGAAGAGCGTACGGAGGATGGCGAGCCCTGATTTTGAGGAGAGGGGGGATGTGTGAAGGGATCTAGGGGGTTTATGGGGATTATGTTGGTTGAAAAGTCACAGTGATAGGCATTGATGTTGTTTTGCTCATGAGCTCGAGCCGAGGAATTGATGACTACTGGGGAAGATAGTTTGGGGTTTCGGGATACATTTTTCATTCGTCAAACGACGGAGGTGTCATGGACGGCAATGCAGTGATTGCTATAAAAGGCAGCAGCTTATATATGTGTTTCATATATCATCACGCCTGGATTACCCATTGTGTTGCCCCTGTTCATATTATAAGTTATGGGGAGAAATTTCAGCACACGTGAAGAACCATCCGGTATATCCCATTGCAGAGAAGCCGCTCTGCACATGTTCTTGGGCATAATAACGCTCACCTCCTCTTCCGAAATTTGAACCGCAAGTCATCCTCACCCTCACTCTCATCCGGACTCCTCGCTCTAGCCACCGCCCTCGCTTTCTTCATAGGCGGCGGCCTCGGCGGCTCCGCCTCTGCTGGTCTCTTCTTCGCAGCTTTTGATGTTGACGCCTGAGTCGTCGATGTCTGCGTACCCTTCGTGCTCCGTTTCGATCGCTGCGTCTCGGACGCCACCGTCTGCGGCGACTCGGGCACCTCCATCGTGTCTTGATAGTCATCTTCGAACGTCAGATCGACTGTCGCGGCATTGCGCGGCGCTTCGCTCCCGTCACGTGGAGATGCCGCTGGGTGTTTGCTCTGTTGTTGACCGGTGGGTAGAGAATCCTGGGTCCGCTCGAAAGTGCTGCCCGCTGGGATCGGTGGCCTGGCACCGCTGTTCTCCTCGAAAAAGTAGTCCTGCCCCATCCCATATTCCTTCCGTTTCACTTCCTCCAGTGGCACGATGATCTTCGATCCGCGCATCGGAGCCTGCCCCCCCACCTTCCGAAACTTCTTGAAATTCCTCCGCCCGTCCCACCGGTCGTCCCACCGGTCACCGCTGGCCGGAGCTGGCTTGTTCGCGCGTGGTTGGATCAACATCTCCTCCACTTGCACTAAGCTTCTGATCGCCTCGATGTCCATCCCCTCCATCGCACTGTGTAACGCCTCCGCATCGAGTCGACCCACCTCTTCCTCTGCCTCCCGTCGTTCTCGCGCGGACTCGAGGACGTCGATCTCCACGTCCTTCTTTTTCTTCTTGAAGAGGCTAGTGCGGCCGGAGCTTTCTTCTCGCGAAATCGACTGAGCGCGTGTGCGTGACTTTGCACCCCCTTCCACGCCTTGCGCAAGTCGACGCCGTTTCATAGCGGCCGTACCGGACAGAAGCTCATCGACTAGATCTCCCTTGTCTCCTTCGACCGGGGATGCCTTTCGTTTCCGAGATCGAGTCCCTACCGGTTGAATCTCCATATGATCCACAGATTGGGCTTCAGATTCCACGTCCGCGTCCGGTACAGAGTCCGGAATGAGACTGTCCTCTTCTGGCTCTGGGACCATGGAACGCGGCTCCGGTTTATAATCATCAAACCCTGTGAAGCGGCTCTGGGTGACGAGCTTCCTTGGTGGTCGACGACGCGGTTGTGATTCGGTTTTCATCTCCACACTCTCAGACTCGACTTGAGTTTGTCGACTGGATTGCGCAGACGGCTGCGAGATATATCTCTGGCTTGGTTGCGCTATGGACGTTAGCATATACAAGAAACACAGCAGAACAGATGACATACTGGAGCTTGGAGGAGCTGGGAAGCTGGAAGGGACCTCAATACCAGCGGTCAGAGGTTTCCTCAAAACGCTGGGGTTAATGGTTAGGATAATTTCAAGCAACGCATTCTGATTTAGAGCTTCCTGCTTCAGTTCCGCCTCAACTTGTCGTTGCCAGGAACTAGTCCAGGAATCGTTATCCTTGTTTCGAACAATGACAATGCCCTTTCCGGACTTGAAATTGCGGATGCTACTCAACCCCTTTTCGCCGGCGATGTTGGCGACATACGTAATAAAGTCCTGCACGGTTGACACTTGCGGTTTTAGTTCAAACTCAAACGCTTTTCCGCCGCCCGTATTGACCACTTCACCGAGAGACTTAAATTGGGTGCTGTTCGAGAATATGAACGTATATCCGCTGAAGATGTCCGCCCGTGCCGGGTTGGGCTTGAAATACTCCGGCGGTCGAGGAATGGGTTCTTTACCGGCCGGCGGCATGTATTTCATTGGGTTTGGCATGTTGGAGAAGTCATTGTCGAGTAGAAAATCGGAATCTGGATCGGATGCATCGGCGGGAGCCTGAGCAGCTTCCATCACTGCGTCGACAAAACTGTCCGTCACAATGTAGGACCCGTTGATGAGAGCCTGGAGGCCTGTCGCAATGTTCCGCTTGTTCGAGACGATATGCGTAGTCGATCCTACAACATATTCGCGGGTAATCTTGATATCGAGGGGTTCAAGTCGCTCCTGCATGATCTTGAAGGGATCGGGGTTATTCTTCAGCGACTTGGGGTAGGAAATAAAGGTGATGACGACGGGCTGCCACTTGACACTGGGGATTTATCAGCATATATCATTGGTACTCCGCAACTGAGGAAACGTACATGAATGCCTGATCATAGAGACCGAGCTGGATACGGTGCTCATGATTCGATAGCTCTCTTGAACTTCCAGAGAACTTGTCCTCGTCCACCTTGGTACCGACTTTGGATGTGTCCGTGACTGTAATCTTCGATCTCGATCGAAGAGAGGTCTGTATTCCTTAGCGACTCGAAGATAGTGTGGTATGGACAGGACTCTACGTACAGCTGCTCCTGGGTGCACGGTCTGGACTTCGATTACTATGTGCTTGCGCGAAACGGACTTGTTGTCGATATAGTGATTGCCTGCTTTCGGTCAGAACCACGTGCTCCCATGCCACTATATCTTCGGATTCTTACGTTCAATAGGACTGCCTTCACCCTGCGGAGGTTTAGTCCGTCCGAACAAATGCTTTGTTCCTGGACGAAGCCATATTTGCCGACCTGCCAAATCGTTAGTTCGGGGATATGGAGAGATGTCGCAGCTGATATTACCTCCGAAAAGGTCGCCGGTACTCTCCAGCGTCCACATGTTGGTTGTCCGTTACAGCCGTTGCTGGATGCACGAGCAAAAGCTCCGGTCTAAAGTGCTGCGGTGGAGACCGAGGAGAAAGACGCGCTTCTCTCCAGGCGACAGCGCGCGGTTTCGCGAACTCACGTGAACGACAGTCGACGCCTGACGTCAAAGGTGGGATATTAATCTTCACCACGGAGGTTATTTCGGTTGTAGTAACTTATATGATATCGGAAAATGAGTTGCTGCTCCTTTATGATTGCTATTTAAGAGTGGTTTGTACAAGGTCAACCTATACATGTTACCGTACTTCCTAACAACATTGAACTCATATCACAATTATAGAAACATGAATCCAAACCCGGGTATCATAATCAAAATCATGTCAGAGACATAAATATGTTCACATTCAACCTCAATCAACCTCATCCAACGGCGATTTCAAGGTTTCCGCTTCTCCAACCATGATGCCTACGATGCAGGACTCAAGCATATTATCCCAATTCACCCACGGATGCACTTCATTGAACAACTTCTCCCCATCCTTCCCCGCCGCCCTCCTAATCTCTCCTTCTCCCCCAGGATGGAACGGAACATACGGCGTAACGTTATACACCTTCCCCTGATACGCCGACCACGCCGGCTTCCCCTTCCGCCCATTGTGCTGCTTCAGCTGCGACGGCGTGACTCTCTGAAGCGACGAAACCCCGGATAGGTTCGCGCTGGACCGCTTGAGCGCCGCCCAGTCGAGAGGCGAGTGTCCGGGCTCCAACGTCACTTTCTTCCGTGGGTTCGGCGCCCGGACGGCGGTGGACAGAGGGACCCCAAGGCTGCTCTGTGTCGGGGCTGCGCGGTTCGGGATTGGTCCGTTCGGTACGCGCAGGGAGGCAGCGGTGCCTGGAACCGGTGGTCGCCGCATGGGGACGGGTGGAGGCGCCATGAGTTGAGGGGACGTAGTCGGCGCACGCGGCGCGGAACTGGGGAGGCGGAACCTGGCGGGGATGGGGCCGGCGGATGCGCGCTGTGCAGAGTTGGGAGCGGGGAAGACTGGAGGGGCCATGGTATCCGTGTCATCGTAATCGTCATCGCTGGCTGTATCGGACTCTAAAGAGAAAGATGGAATCGGAGGGATGCCGTTCGTGGTGGCGTTCGCTTTGGGAGTTGAGTCGCGACTTTCGCTGGCTTCGACATCTGGCGTCCTCTCCTCTATAACAATTCCCACGCTTGATATTCTGCCATCCAACTCCTCTTTATTGTCATCTGCAGGACCCGGCGATGGTGACTTGCTTGAGGGTGACGCATCGGTGGCTGGGGCGGGATGGAGATATCGATTCCATCTCGCAGGGTCCCGCTGGTAGACGAAGAAAGACACAGATAGGAGGATAATGCATATCCCTACGATCATAGTTCCTCCGTAACCATGGGAGGATGAGGAGATAAGCACGCTATGGTCTCTACTGGCAGCGAAGATGGAGAGTAAGTTGGTGAAAGTTGAAGTATTGAATCGCGATGAAGGGTCCGCCACCTCCACTAAGATTCATCCCTGCAATTGACCTACACCGATTGCATCACTTCTTGTCTCTTGATGTCGAGTATTATTCTGTAAACATCATTTGTACCTTCATCGTCCTGATCCTCAATTCTATTGGCTTTCCTGTAATTCTTCGATTGCACTACTCAGGTTACCATGGCCCAAAGATTATTGCGATTATCCCGTTCTTCATTGAACCGGAGCAGTGTCTTGTCCGTATCCACATACGCTGCATGCCGCCCTCGATGCTTCACATCAAGGCCCGCCATTGACGCCTTCAGAAATGCGTCATGTTTACCAAGTTACGGTCTAAATTACGGTAGACGGACTTTCGCTTCTAAGACCGAAGCGGATGCGACGATGGAAGAATTGCAAGACATGTATCAACCCGCCAATACCTCAGCTGGAAGGGTTACCAGGTTGCTAACCAGAGTACAGGTACGGTGAGGCAAGAGACGAGGTGTGTTCCAAATCCACCGGTATAAAGCCTACAACTAACGACCCCAGTTCGAAATCGCCGCGGAAGAAACCGAGAAGAACACCACCTACGCCCCAGGGGACCGAGAAGCCGCCAGAGACGCATTAAATAAGCTAGCGGAAGCATACAAGGCCGTGGTGGAAGGGCCGGATACGGAACTAGGTGAGGAGATCAAACGGCGGATAGGCCAGCGGATACGTGAATTGGACAACGCGGTGGGGAACTTGGAGAAGTATGCGCAGAATCAAGATTAGTCGAGTGCCTGCTCGTAAAGTCTGGTTCGCGGGAGGTGTCCGTGGAAGGGTCGGCGTCTTGGACATGCTGGGGAATTGAATTGGATCTCGTACTGTTTTAATAAAGTCCGATCACGGCAATGGTTCGCATCTGACTTCAAAAGTTGGTGTAGAGAGCAGCGGGTCCCGAGGAATGTGCTTGTGTATGTGGGCCGGAAGCTCGAATGTTCTGCTATAAAGGAGCAGCACAGTGACGATTCATGTTGCTCGCTGTACAGGTACTTTCAATAGATCCGAGGGCTGTTCAATTACAACTCTTCCTTCTCCTCCTTCTCCTCGACCTTCTCAACCGTCTCCTTCTCGACGCCCTCAATTTCGACCAATTCCGTTTCGAAGACTATCCAACCGTTAATCATCCGCCGCTTCTTGAAAACAGCTGCACAGGTCACTTACTCAAAACGCTATTCGGAGGAATGACACCCTATAACAGTGATATCAATATAAAATGCCCAGAAAATCAAAACCACAAGCAATCATACCAAATCTCTGTCGCCATAAGCCCATTCCGGCTGGACCGTCAGCGTCCGCTTGTCGCCGGGGCACATATCGAACAATCCTTGGTCCCACCCCTTGATGACCTGGCCTGTCCCGACGGCGAAGCCCAGCGGTTGCCCGCGATTGTAGCTCGCGTCGAACTCGGTGCCGTCCTCGAGGCTTCCGCGATAGTGGACCTGGATCTTATCGCCGGCGACGGTCTTGCGGGTGCATTCGCCGGCGTTGGTGATCTTGATGTCGAGCGGCTTGTCCAGGGCCATGGCGACGGAGGCCAGGCAGGTCAGGGCAAGGGTGGTGGAGAAATGCATGGTGGGAATTGGTTTAGAGAGTGGCTAAGGTTGAATCAATTTGCTTGTACAGGTCGCTTGAACGACTGTAGTTTAAATGGAGGCGAATTGGGAGGTTACTGTAATAGTAGGAGTATTCAGGAGAGCACTTAGAGAAAGCCGATGAAAGATCGACAAGTTCCCATCACGACAGGCAACTGGGGCCAATCACGGCCTGTGAAGTATGAGATGTGGCAACATATCAACCATCATCCTTATCCGGATTTGCTCTTCTACACTCAAGTTGATTGTCTATGACTTTTTAATTGGATTTATATCGCATCAAGATATTCAAAACCTCGTAAAGGCCGTGTTGTCCTCCTTAAATAGAATCTCGAGAATTATCACGTGATATCGCGTCGGTAGCGCGTTTGGACACGTCAATTGGTCATATCAGCTTTTGACGCGTCTCCTCCTCTGTTGCGTTACGCCGTATCATCGAACATCACCCGTTTCTCATCGATGCTTCCTTCAATTGCCAATGTTGGGTTCGGTGCCTAATGGACGATCTACTCCAAAACCTCAATGACCAGCAAAAATGTGCCGTCACGAGCCCACATCCCACCCTCCAGGTCCTGGCACCTCCCGGTTCCGGCAAGACGAAAACACTAACTGCTCGAGTCGCATACCTGATCTCCAAGCAAGGATACAAGCCGTGGAATATCATTGTTTGCACGTTTACTGTCAAAGCGGCCCGGGAGATGAAGGAGCGGATTCGGGGTATCGTTGGTGAAGAGCTGGAGAAGAAACTTCAGCTGGGAACATTCCATTCTATTGGCAGGCGGTTTCTGGTTTCCTATGGGCATTTGATAGGGATCAAGAAGGGATTCGGCATTGCAGATTCTTCCGACACAAAAGCCATCGTTAAACGTATCCACAAGCGTTTGCGATCCCCCTTGGAAGCAGGCAAGATCGCCTCCCGGATATCGAGAGCGAAGGCAAAGAAGAAGCGTCCGGCAGAGTTCCATGGATCGAAAAAAATTGAAGAGCAGGATTTTGCGAGAATTTATGAGGAGTATGAAGCCACTTTGGCATCATCCAACCTGCTTGACTACGATGACATCCTCCTCCGATGCGTGGAGCTGCTGCACAACCACCCCGAGTGCGTAGCCAACGTCGAAGCGGTCTTGATCGATGAGTTCCAAGACACCAACATTGTCCAATACGAGCTCATGATGCTCTTTGCCCAACATCGACAGCGAATTACCATTGTCGGCGACCCGGATCAAAGCATATACAGCTTCCGCTCCGCTGAGATTGAGAACTTGAACCGAATGACGAAAGACCTTAAAGATACGTTGTCGATCCATCTGGAGCAGAATTATCGGTCGTCTGCGGCCATCCTCCGTTGTGCCAGCAAGGTGATCCAGCAGGATGCAAACCGGATCAAAAAGCCGCTTACAGCGACCCATTGTCTTGGACAGCGGCCTGTTCTTCGAAAACTCCCATCAGCGACAGATGAAGCTGCGTGGATCGTAACGGAAATTAAACGGATCAAAACGCTGGCAGGATCACTTTTCCATCATGATGACTTTGCCATCCTCCTCAGATCATCGGCCCTCTCATTGAAGATTGAGACGGCACTGGGGAAAGCGGGCATTCCATACCGAATGGTGGGAGGATTTCGTTTTTTCGACCGTAAAGAGGTCCGGGTATTGCTGGATTATTTACGAGTCATCAACCAGCCAAATCACAACGACGCGCTTGCCCGGGTTATCAACGAACCGCCGAGAAAGATAGGCGAAGCAACGCTTAGAGAGTTGTTGGAAGAGGCGGAAAACAAGAAAGTGTCATTGTGGAGCCTTGTTTTTGCCATTGCACAGTGCAGAGGAAATGTTCGAACGAAGGTATCCGCATCCGCTCTGAAAGGGATGCAATCCTTCGTGAACATCATCTTGACTTGCCAGAGTAAGATCAAACGGGAAAGCGATGAAATCTTCTCACTTGTCAACCTAATTGGGACTATTATTGACAAGATCGAGTTCCGAAGTTTCCTACAGAAGCGAGGAGCCGGAAAGGATGAGGGGGAGGATTTCGAGGCGAGATGGGCGAACGTTGAAGAACTTCTTGCCCAAGCGACAGAAATATCGGCGATTGACGCATTAGGCCTCGAGTTCCCTGATGAGGATCTTCTGGAACAGATGGAAACGGGCCCCTCTCCACTCGAAGAGACATTGGCCCAATTTTTGTCGAACGTCGCCTTATCTTCCAACGCTGAGTTGAAAGACGCGGATGGGGAGGCGACGAAGCAAGTCACAATTTCAACACTGCATGGAGCCAAGGGCTTGGAATGGCCAGTGGTGTTCATCGCCGGGGTCTATGACGGGTCCATCCCCCATTCTCGTGCGGACGACACCGATGAGGAGCGGCGGTTGCTTTATGTCGGGATGACAAGAGCCCAGTCGCTGCTATATCTCAGCTGTCCGCTGAACAGCTCGAGGGAAAGCGATTCGGAGCATGCGGTTTCCCCATTTCTCGCCGTCCCAGAACTGGAGCCCTATTGTCTTCAGCAAGGTCCGTCCATTTCCATGGCCATCATCGAAGATCTTGCGCGGATCTTGCGACGAGACTGTCCCTCAGACCGAACGGTTATCGACGGTGCTTTAGCGCTTGAACGTATCGAGGACGACCTGTACCCTCTAGATGGATCCCGGCTCGGCTACCAAGCGATGTCGTGGGAAGTTGCCTCGAACCTACCAGGAGCAAGACAGTTCAAACGGTCACGAATGGAAGAGAGCCAGCCCGCAAGCGGAGTGGTGGTGGACGTCACCGCTACCAATACTGGTGCATTCTCCATGTCCTCAACTACTTTACCGCTCAGCTTTATCTCCGCAGGTACAAAGATGAAGCAACTAGAAGAAAGCGTGGTGGCGGCTTCGAAAGTATCCGGGTCGAAGATGGACCAGGAAACCAATACCAACGCACAGAAACGAACCGCACCGTTCGCCAAAGGAAAAACTCAGGGCACCCTCAAAGCCTTCTTCAGCGCAAAGTCCGCGAAGGAAGAAGAGGGAAAGGGAGAGTTGACAGTGCAGACGCAGACTTCATATAAGGAGGAGCGCGGACGGTTTCCTCCACCCCAAGTCCAAATGAACGAGAGTCCACCGAGGAAAAGGGTCAACCTTGGTATTACCGCACCTCCAAATTGGAAGATCCAACGATCTCGCATACCAGGCCGTCCGACGACTATCGAGCATGACGACACCGGGAGAGAAAAGGGCCATGTTCTCCTGAGCAGCTCGCCCACCAAATGCGAGCGGGCTGAGGAGGACATCGTGAATGAAGACGAGACAGCGGAAGAAACCAACATCTTACCGGCGACATTCCACACCACCACGATGGATCAGGTCAATGGAATGGGGAGTTACGGGCAGAGGCGGACGTTGGGCACGCGGAGACCGGTGCAAGGCTGGTCGTCGAGGGTGAATCAGCCGTTTTCCGCCCCTTCGAGGACTAGATGATACCCGTTTTAGACATAACTGATTATGATTATACCCGGTGGATGTTTGAATTGGGTTGGAATGGGGCTCGTTGAGACAGGTTCCATGTCAAGCGATGTGGCGTTTATGTTTGCGTTGCTTGACCTCCATTGTTCGTGGTAGCTGATTTAGCCATCTGATATAATAATTGCTCCCTCATACACACCGTTTAGCCACATCTTCTACCTCGATCTATTTGAGACAAAGTCTGGTGCTTACCGTACGATAATAAAACCGAATTACAACGCAATGCGAAGTATCACAGAGCGTGTGCATCCATTAACTGGGACATATCATAAGGGGAATTTTGGCGCGTCATGGCCTGGGTTATTAGGCAAAAATGCCAAGACCCTAGTTCTTCACACATAACAACCATCGCGGAAATGGTACTCTCATTGCCTATACTAACCAACAACAACAGCAATAACAACAACAGTAGGTACGGTAAGCTGTTAGTCATATCGACTTATAAGTATCAAGTAACTAAAGTCAACCTTGTCATATTGAAATCCCGACTACCCAAGGTACAGTACAATAGGATGGGCCTTCTGAGATAGAAATTCGTACGTAGGTGGAAATTTCCCTTTCTAAAATAGGAATTCGTAAGGAAGGAGTGATTCATTTGACTAAGGAAGGTGTCGTTATAAGTCTATGCTTCTATCCTACTCGATTCCTCCTTTCTTTCTCTCTCTCTTTCTTCCTTCAGTGCTCTCCAACGTTCGAAGATGTAAGCATTTGATCTATTTCCACTCCGTACGGGTATTAATCTTCCTAGGGCTCTTGTTTTGTTTAATAGTACCTACGGTGCGGCGGTAGGTCCTCCTACTCCGGGAATTGGTACGCTGCAGGTTAGGGGTAACCCCATCTTTGTAGCTCTCTGCCACTCCCCCTAGCCTCGGGAGCTTCTTGCTACCGGTCCCGGCGTCCACGTCCGGTTCGTACGCAACCGGATATCGGCTGGGCAGATCTTAAGCCACCGCCCGTCATACATCAACGCCATCCTTATCCAATCCCGGGGGACAGCGGCGCCGACAGCTTGCACTGAATGCGTACGACGCGGCCTGACGCCCTTCCCCGAGTGCCGCCGTGCGATCGCTCACTTTAGTGATTGCTGCGGTAATTGTAAGTGGCGTGACCACGGTACGCGCTGCTCTTGGGATAATTCTTCGGACGAAGAATCGTCTGAAGAGGAGAATAACGACGAGGATGCCGACGACGACGACGACGACGACGACGACGAGTCCGTACGGTCGGATTCAAGTGAAACCCTTCTAGGTGATTAATGTAAGTTCAATTTCGTAAGGTCTCTTTCTATGTTAGCACTGGCAGCATCCTAGCTATCAGGGCTGTTGATAGTACTTAGACAGAATCTGTTCCTCTACGTGGAGTTCAAGACAAGTAACCGTACGGTGAAACTAAACAGATCTTTTATAGGTATATGCTAATTAATGAAAGTTTCGTACGATATCCGCTATAATTGGAATATAATGATACGTCTAAAAACTCCTTTGTTTAATTCCGACGCCTTTTCGCTCGCTCTACAGGGCCTGAAAGTTGAATCTTTCTAACTTTGCGCTTCGTACGAGGCTTCTCGTCTTTCTCCTTCTTCTTCTTCTTCTTCTCCTCCTCCTTCTCCTCCTCCTCCTCCTCCTCCTCCTCCTTCTTCTCCTTCTCCTCTTCCTTCTCCTTCTCCTCTTCCTTCTCCTTCTCCTCTTCCTTCTCCTCCTCCTCTTCCTCCTCCTCCTCCCCTTCCTTCTCTTCTTGATCCTCTTGATCCTCCTCATTTTACTTCCTCCTGCTTGATTCCAAATTAATTTATTATCGTACAAGCACCTCCTCTATCAATCTTAGAGCTTATCCAAGTAGATTACTCTTTTTTTGAGCAATCTCCTTGTAGAGATGATGTAGACTCCACTTTGATCTCGTACGTACCTCTTCCAACCGTGTTACCGCAAGCAGAGCTGGTATTCTCTTCGCCTCAGATACTACACGGATATAATCAATAATAGCTTTTCTACGACTATACCACGTCTTCTCTGAATCTTTCTGTCGCCATAAGGCGCCATACCTTAACTCTAACGCTTGTACGGAAGGATTAGGTGCAAATCCTTCAAACCACTCTCGCCAGAGTTGACCAACAGTTTCTACCGTACGAGACATAGTATAGATTGGCTCTCCATTCTCTTTTATCGGTCGATCAGGTAGCGGTCGTACGGTAGAAGGGCTAATAGCCAATAGCGGCGGAGCCGAAGAGGTAGTCGGAGTGGAGCGTGCGATAGAAACCGGAGTTTCTATTACCGGCGTTGAAGGTATTCTCGTGCCGGGAGCGGCCGTCCGAACCGCTGGAAATGGATCCTGGAGTAAGGATGAGTGTCCCACATTAAGGTAAATAGGTGTTCTGCCACTGAATACACCATCTAGAACCGTACGCTGACGGCCTTGCTCCGTACGAAGAGAGTCGAACATCTCTTGTAATCTCTGTCCAAGATTGGTCTCCATCACACTCAATCGATCTGCAATTATCGGAACAGCTTGTCGTACGAGTACATCTTGCGGTGGAACCACTTCAGCAGCAAGAGTTTGCCTCATCCTCCGCATAAAGTCAAGGTACTCCGGATCAGAGAAGATCGGATGCTGGAAGAGAGGGTGGCGTGGAAACTCATCGCGGATTAGGACGGAGTCCTGAAGAAGCACCGTACGAAGATAATCAAGTAGCCGGAGGAAGGCCTTTCCAGCAAGGTCATTCCGATCTCCCTCATCCTGTTCGTCTAACTGGTGATCATCACGCACCGTGTTCTCATTCTGTTGGAACCGTTCGATCCACTCGTCCACCCATGGCCAGATCTTCCGTACGAGCGTCTCAGGAGGCAGGATCTGTGCTCGCGGAATGAAGTAGTCTCCTCGGCCGCTGGGAGGGAAGCCAGCGGCTGCTCGTACGAACTTTCGGGGAATATGGCTGAGGTATGCATTCGACATGGAATCCGAATTCCATCGTCCCGCTCTCTGAATCTGAGATTCGCTGACACCAAGCATCTCCGCATGCTGAGCACCTTGCTTTCGTCCGGCATGCGTCTTCTTGTATGACGAGACCTCACAGCGGTCAAAGATCCCATTGACCCACTGCAGCTGAGTAGCGTACGAGAGAGGATGGGTATTCTGGCCACCTTTCAAAATCTTCGTACGATACCAATCCGAGCGCTGCTTGAAGGTCGGCGGCGGTTCTCTCTCAAGGTCCCAGCGGAAGAAGAGGTAGAACGCCAACTGAGAGACTAGACATTTCCAATGCTCCTTGTGTCGTACGGTAACACCGTACTCTAGCTTTCCAAAGGCGTTTGTCTTCCCGTTGTCTACAATCATACAGAGAACACGGCAATCTGTTGCTCCTTCATTCTGCAGCGGGACGGCGAAGAGATCAGGCAGTTCTCCGTTTCGTACAGTCTCCCCACGCAGAAACATGTTATGCGAGAAGAGGAGATCGACTGCCGTACGAAGCCATCCGCTGTAGGCCTGCGATGTCGGTCTCTCTCGCTTTCTTTTCTGGCCTGCCAGGACGGACGTTTCAGACGCCTCGGGCTGCCAGCAGCCTCGTATACATCGTACGAACTCTTCTTCCGAATAGCCGTCGAGCAGTGTGCCAGCACCGCGATCAACGTACTCTTCTCGCTTGCGGGCCGCCTCGGCCATCTTACGCTTTTGCAGCAGCTGCTTCAACGCGTACGACCGGACGGGGACATTTTGGTTCTGAGCAAGGCTGTGCTGCACTTTCCACAGCTCCATAATCGCAGAAACGTACGTTTCAATCGATCGAGCTCCGAGCGTTTGCACGATCGGATTGCCATCCGTGTCCGTACAAGGCTGCTTCAGCCTCCGGCCTGGCCGGGTCGGCTTTGCGATGCGACCGATAACCTCTTCTTCTAGAAAGAGGGTAATCTTGGCACTGGTAACGAGTATACCGTCGCTGCACTGGTTCTTCTGGCACCACGCCTAACCGAATTAGCCTCCTCCTTCGTTGGATTTCCCGTACGAAAGCGCTTCTCACAATAAACTCTTGCTGTCGTGGCTCATATATTCTCCTCGTACTCGTTACTCTGCCATCTGGCGTTGCAAGGGCTCGTTGTGTCGCGGCATTTAAACGGCTGTTCAGCTCGATCGCATGCTCTATAGAGAGCTGCGAGCTAGGAGGCATTTCTTCACGGTCTAATGGCGGTAGGTAGGGGATAATTCGAGTAAACTATTCATCTGTATGATCGCGAATGGCTCGTTCTATCGCGAAAGGAGGGGAGGGGGAAGAAATGCCTGAGCTAAGCGCCACCAAGTCACAGCTATACCGTATATAGCGATCGTTTCCACCGACGCTTTACTGCAAAGGGCTTAACGCTGCGCCATGTCTTCGCCAATAACCCAGCCACCGCGAAGGCCTTCAGATAAGTGGTATATCAAGGGGGCAGCGCTGCGGTCGCTGGCGCGAGAGGCTGGGTTATCAGGCGGCCTTGGCGCGCCATAACCCGTGGCGCTGACCCTTGATAACTGGTTACATATCCGTCACCACCTGTCAACTAACTCACAGGGATTACCCCGACTCCCCCACGATTTCGGGATGGTGGGGTCATGATCTTGGTGATATCACACTTCGAGATTAAAGCTGCCCCAGTACTTCTCTATCCCGTAACTACACCATTGTCCTTTGTTTCTAAACTTTCGTCCTGCGTTCACCTTTACTACAAAATCTCAACCATATCCTCGCATCCGAATGCCTCTAGCACGATGAGTCCCCCAAAGCCATCTAGGATCGCTTCACATGCGGGGTCATGGTACGACAGCAGCGGGCCAGGACTGTCCGCTCAACTTGACCGATTCCTCGACGCTGTGCCCGCCTCAACCACCCCGATCGGGACGGAGTCTTCCAAAGGAGCTCCGGTGTCCATCCCTTCGTCGGGAGCAAGAGCAATTATCGCACCGTAGGGCCCTGCAACTCGGCTGGTTTGCCAGAGAATGAGCGGATGGAGGGCTTACCATGACTTCTGCAGGCATGCTGGATACGCCTATTCAGGACCTGCAGCGGCATGGGCGTATAAGGCTTTGGATCTCTCCAATGCGTGAGTATCTTCGATGTCAATATCATGAGAGATCGCCACTGACCGGCAACAGGAAGCGGATCTTTCTGCTTGGTCCTTCGCATCACTATTACCTCTCGCGATGCGCGCTATCACGATGCGGAGCCTATGAAACCCCCCTTGGAGACCTTCAGATCGACCTAGCGACGGTTGCGGAGCTTGATAAGTCCGGACATTTCGATAGGATGTCTATTGACACCGACGAAGCAGAGCATAGCTTGGAAATGCATCTACCGTACATCTACAAGATGTGCTCCCGGTCAGTCCTTCTGAACTCGATCTCGTTCCCTATTCTGTGCTAACTCTCGGCCAAACGATTTAGAGCATTTTCGAGCCCATCTGCCTTTCCAAAGCTAGTCCCTATTCTCGTCGGATCTACTGAACCCGCGACCGAGAAACAGTACGGGGCGTTGCTTGCACCTTACTTATCCGACCCGTCCAACGTGTTCATCATCTCCTCAGACTTCTGCCACTGGGGTCAGCGATTCCGATACACATACTACCGCACTCCCGATGGCACCGCTCACAATCTCCGCTCAGCGGGCAAGCGACCATCCAACCCCAGAATCCACGAGAGCATCGCGCTGGTTGACCAGATGTGCATGGACGCAGTGGAGTCAGGGGAGCATGACGAATTCCTGTCCGTCCTACACGAGACGGGAAATACAGTCTGTGGAAGGCATCCTATCGGTGTGATGATGGCGGCGATCGAGCAGCTCTGGACCGCAAATCCGAGCTCCGAGGCTGACGAAGGTGGGAGGTTTAAGTTCGTGAGGTATGAGAGGAGTAGTGATTGCGTGGACGTGAGGGATAGTAGCGTGAGTTACTGTAGCGCTCACGCGATCCTCTAACTCCGAGAGGAGATCCTTGTGTTGAAGCTAAACTCAGGGTGGAGTTTGACGTGGTTCGCCTTGATAAACTAGGCAAATCGTCTCAAGAAATTCATGAAATCAAATGAAGTCTGGAAGCCGGGCAGAAAATATGACCGCCAATGTTCACCCTGTTCTCGTATTTCTTCAGAGCTAAATTTTCTTTCATCCATCCCCACAGTGCGTCTGGTAAATTGTGAAAAAATGTACTCCCGTAGCTATACGGGCCATCGCAATCAAGTCTATTCATCGTGACTGACGGCAAAAAAATAAAAAGAACAATGCGAAGAGCAGGGTTCGAACCTGCGGCCGTCTGTGAGACTTCAACTGGAAATTATCCAGAGGCTGTAAAACAGAAATGATAACCACTACACCATCCTCGCAATGGAAACTCTAATTATTTTCATGGTTTAATTGATATTTTTATTTTGGAGCCTTGTAATGGAATATAGATATTTTACCATATTTAATGCAAAAACCCTTTGATAAAGCATTTTATTATAAGAACACTGTAACTAAAAGCTTTATTTACTATTAAATGACGGGCGCTAGTATATCTCCCCGAAAAAAACATCCCCACTTGTTACGGCACGGTAGCTGGATGCACACAACATACACGTAGCCAAAGGTATTCTAGATTAAGCTAAAGAAGAGAACAAGAAGGGGAAGCCTTCTTGTTTACATTGAAGAGGGTTGGACTCTGGTTCAACCATTGGCCTAATCAGGCTTAGGCTCTAAGACTTAGCCAACCAAGGGTTTCAACGCATAACATACTTCATCGAACAGCCACATTGAGAATCAGGACCACAGCAAAGAATGATAACAGTTCTATACGCGAATCTTGCAGCCCCACCTTCTCGTATATGTACATTTAATCCCCCCCTCTGTAGCGATTTACCCACTTCCCGCGCTTTCCCTACCACTCACTCGGCTACTGCGCCCACTCCCCGCAGCCGGCTCCGGCGTACCCATCCCACCTCTCGTGATGCTCTCCGGCAGCCCAAGAGTCGGAATATTGAGATCCGTGGATCCAGGTACAAGGCCCGTTGGACCGAGATTTGGAGTCGGTCTCGGACTGCCAATCCCCAAATTCCGCGACTCCGACAAACGCGCCGCCTCCTCGTCGAAGAACTTCCGAAGGGCGACGGCATCGGCACAAAATGTGCCTAGCTCCCGCGCGATAGTTTCCGCGGTGGGTGTTCCAGTTCTTGCAGGGCCATATGCGAGATTGGTGGAAGGGGCCAGCGGCGATGCCGCGACGAAGCTAAAAGGTGCGATGGAAGCGCGGCTGGGCGTTGTGATGCTCCCTTCGGCGACTGATGCAGGGCGTACAACAGGCGATGCGGTAGGCGATGTATTGCGAAGCCCGCCAGTGCTGCTAGTCATTCGTGGTTGAGGAACGGATGAGTGAGGTGGATCGGGTTTGTCGAATTTGCTCCGCTCGGTGGTTGTGCCGCGGTTGTGAACCAGCCGGTTGGCGACCAGGAGAAACTCTCCGTCGTCGTTAATCTGTGCGAATATGACGCCGGACCGATGCAGATATTGTGGGTATTGGTAGTCGGGGTTGCCCCAGGAGAACTCTACTCGGAGGTCGGGAGGAAACGAAGAAGCTGATTCCATGTCCAGCACGAAATTGAAATGTTTGAGTAGCGCCTTGTGCAAATAGAAGAGATCTGTCGGTACAAGAGGAGAGAAAGAACTAGCGTCGAAGTATTGGTGTGGTTTAGATTTGGAAGGACTAGGTTGTACTGCGAGCTTGATAAGAAATGGAGCGCGGAAGGGGTGGACATCTATGAGTCGACAGGCTTCGGCAATCGGCACTTCAACAAGCTTCAGGCCGTGGCGCTCAGCGGTTGTTGCCCAGTAATGTAGCGATTCGTCGATGAGCTTCGCTGTCACATTCATCCAATCGATCCGGATATGATAGCAGTTCTCCGGATTGTGGAGACGGTCGTAGTGCAAGTTGATAATCTCCGGTCGGTTGGATCGCTTGTGTCGGTCGACATCATATCGCATGACTTTGCTCAACTTCACTCGTCGGGTTGATTTGGTAGGCGTCTTAGCTCCTGAATCTGATGATGAGTTCGACAGGGTTCGCGACCGACTACGGTCTACGGACTGAGGCCGGGGTTTCGGGGTGTCGGTCATCGGTGTGGAAGGGATTGAAGGTCCAGCACGCCGGGAACTGAACCAACTCCTATCACGAGGCAGTCTGTACTTGTCTGCAATCTGATAGAAGAAGTTTCCGTCTCGGAATCGATGTTTCCGCTGTACGTGTTGGAACAACCCCTGGTCCATGAGTTCGTTGCCAAGGTTTTCCGCATCTTGTCGAACTTTGATATCGGAGAAATTGTGTAGGATCCATGTCGTCAAGTCAAATCCGATAAAGCAGTTGTAATGCAGTCGCAAATGCCATCTTCTGTCCATCATCCTGATGCCTCCATCACCTTGAAGGTCCATCGCGAGTTTCTGAATGTCGATATTTCTGGTTGAGTATAGCTCGTCGTCCGAAAACAGCTGGGTTTGAAATGCCCCCTCGCCCTCAGCCAGAATAGTGCTCTCAAGGCCAGATGCGACGACAGCCGATGGATCACGCGTCTGATACTCAATCTGAAGTGGATTGGCCTCAATATAGCTCTTCTTTGCCCGCGCTTGGTAGTGGCGCTCCTCTGGGGGGATGAACCGCTGCTTTTCCCAAAGCCGGGTCAATTTCTGGATGCCCTCAATCCGAATTTCCTCCTCAGATAACTCTGGGATTAGACGATTCTTGGGTAGCTCAACCGGTATGAGGACATAACGTGCGCGCCAAAACCGTAACACATCCGTGAATTCGTCGTGGTATCCGGCCAAGAAGCTGTCAATGTAGTTCCAATTGTACTCCGCCCTCGGGTGCGAAAAGATGGCCGTGCGCGGTTCATACTCCTCGGCGAACGCTGTTCGAATATAGGATTCATAGATGAACTGTTTCTGACCACCATCCACTTCTGCCGCGGGTTTTCTATTGAATCTCCGTACTTCAACCTCCCCTCCCGCGACACAGACAAGTTGATGGATTGCACTACCTACAGCCATGAAGACGGTCGCTCCATCTCTGGACATGTACTCCTTGCTGAAAATATTCACCAGATCCCGCTCTCGAGTGCCGAGGAATTCTGCCACCGCAGGGCCGATAATAAGTTGGAATCCATGGGACAACCGGCAACCAATCAATTCTCTTACTAGTGACTCTCTCGTTTTCCCAGGTTCTGGCTCGAAGTCAACATTCGGTGCGATCCTGTAGAGGGACTCGTGGTATTCCACCTTTAACTGCTCAGCGGAAGGGAAGAAGTCATTCGTCAGCGGAACAGCTGCTGGAGAGCAAAGCGATTTCCATTTGATTTGGGAGGCAGGCAACGGTTTTGGAAAGACGTGCTGCCACCGGCGAAAGTGCCCGGCTAACGTAATGTCATTGTTCTTCGGGTTGCACGGGTTGACGAGCACTAACCACGGCGAGAGCGCGCTCGCAGGGGAAAGGACCTTCGGTATTGGGTTGACGATGCTACCTGGGGGACCCTCGTGTCTTGGATCGAATCGGCGGTTGCGCGATGCTACGGACAAGATGGCACCCGTCTCTTGTGGCTTCGAATTATCCGGAGTGGAGCCAAGTTTAATCGAACTTTGTGTAGCTTTTATCGTCTCTGCTGATCCAGTGTCCTCTACAGGTGTTGACCCTTTGCTCTGATCTGGTATCGGCAAGCTGCTGATGTCAATTGGTTTCGATGGGCGGGACGGGTCGCCGGAAGAACTCTTGGAGTGCGAGCCTGGTGTTCCTCCGCCTGGGGGCTGTGGCTGTGAAGACAAGCTTGAATTTGAGCGAGTGAGCGTAGCTAGAATTTGCCGTGTGAATGACATGGTATTGGAAGGACGCGTATTGTTGGATGGCATCCCCCGTCCAGCATTCTTTTTGTGTATTTCCCAGTCAGGGGTGGATACTTCGGTGACGGCTGACGCTTTTTGGACCTCCGCATTGGGACCGAAGAAGCTTATCTTTCTAGTCGCTGGAGGTCGACTTGAAGTGGAATCTGCATTGGAGAACAGGCTTGTGGCGCTCTGTTTACGGCGGGGGAAGGTTGTGGCACCTGAAGGTCTCTTCTTCAAGTTCCACTCGAGGTAGTCAGCAGGGGCCCTTGTAGGCTCGATAGCATGCTGATTCTTTGGATCTGATTTGTCTTCTGTTCCGTAGGTCGAGTTGGACTCTGGCATACCACTCCCAGCCTTTTGTGATTGCGCTTTGGGAGACCTTTCTCGATGCTTTAAAGGTATCGGATGAAACACGGCCTCATCGTGCTTGTCCATGAAGGCCATTGTGGCGGTGCGATCAACAAGTCCGTGTTCCGAATGGCGTCTTTTCGAAGGGTCAATGATGCGATGCGAGGGATGCAAGGGATGCTCGCGCAGCAACGGAATAGAGATGTTACTCATCTCATTCTCCATGACTCCCATCATTTGTAGCTCGTACATGCGGCATCTCACCTGGAAAGTTCGTTCCTTCGACGTTCGGGAACGGGATTTTGACGAAGTTAGATCGCTTAGGCCCAACGATAGTGCTTCTTCATCGGACGGCCTTGTCCAAAATGAGATGTCGACCCAGTGAGGCATGGCATAGCTCCATTCACCAGGAACTGGTTCGTTCAAAGTTTGCAACTTCCTGACAACTGCCGCATCATTGACCATCTGTTGTTCAGAACTGTAGCTTTGGGAAAGTACAGATTTGTCAACAGGAGTCAGACCTTGTAAAATAGGTTCGTTGGGAGGCGTCGGTTTCGGGAAGGGAGATTGCGAGTTTCTCTTCACGTCCTCCCGAACCCGGGGATTCCGGTACTTGAATAAGGGTACCGAATGCAACGGCATCGGGGAAAGGCAGACCAGATCAATCCCAATCCCACTACCAATCAAGGTATCGGTTGTGAGCTTCAGCAAGGGATAGTCCACTTCGAAAACGCCAGTTCCTGCAGATATGACCACAACTGAGATCCCTGTTCGGATGAGGTCTCGATCTATGTAGTCCTTCGAAAACTGGGATGAAGCAAGATTGATCGCCTCTAAAACATTGCCTCGCACAGCCATGGTCGGTGTACCTGCAACGGTATAGCTAGGAGCTGTAATGCCGTCGGCTAGGATACTCTGGCCTTCGGGTGAATTGCCTCTTGGATCCTGTGGTGTTATAGATACGTCCCTCAAGAACGTTTTGAATTCCCTCTTGAGTTGGTAAAGAATGTTCACCCAGTCTGCACTTGCCATATCGCTGACGACGACACGGTAGAAGTCCTTCACCCGTTGTGGTTGCTCATCCGTAGTCTCCACACCATCGTCGTATTCCAGCCTGGTAAACAGGATGATGCTGACGAGATGGTGTGAGTTCATCGACATCCAATGCTTGAATAGCTCGGGCAAGAAGCCGTTGATGACCTTATTGAACATGATCTCTCCAGATCCCTCGGAGTCAAAATCCCACATCTCCCGGGACATCTGGATGAACAAGATGTACCGAGCCGACTCGCTTCGGAAAATCGCTTTCGTCCTTGGGGAAAAGTATGCCGACTTGCGCTTCTGGCCATCTATATACACGTTCTTCACCGTCGCTTTGATGGCGCCTAAGAATAAGATCCGTTGGTCCCGATAGATAGCGTGTCCGCTCAGCTCGGAGATGGCCATTTGCCACATATCTGCTCGAGACAGATACTGGTCTCGGAAAGTCAACTCGACATGCGACGCAGCGTGAATCTCAGAGCAGGCAGCTGACACCACGACTTGCATTCGGTTTTTCAAGCCAAATGATGCTGCGACGCCTTCGGCAACTGAGATGTGGAGGCCCGGGTGTTTGGTCTTCAAGTCCGGTGTTGCATCTTTCGTTATGAAAATAAAGGCTTTCTCAGCATCTACAGCCTTTCCACCAGGTATCTGCACCCCATTTTCATCGAGGGTGATAGGACGGGATTCGGAGCTATCGTGCTTCTTCTGCAAGTTGTTCGTTTGCCCAGAGGTCCTACCCGCATCGTCTTTTAATGAACCAAAGGTTTCATTTTGGAAACCCATAACAGCACCGCCTTGCTTGATAGGAATTATCTGCGCCATTGATTCGGGGAGAAGTCCAAGCTCTTGAAATCGGTCTGCATTGAACACGACATCCTCCTTCGAAAAGCCCTCTTGGTGAGTCCATAGCGTACATATCTTCTGGATACGCGAAGTCTGAGGCGTCGCCATGATCGCGAGTCTAAGGGGCCCTCAATAGAGTCATTCGACTGTGTCCAAGTTTTCGTCCGTCATATCGACCCCTTGAGCCTGTCGCGTGATGCAGCAAATGATTACTACCGTAGCCACAAGGTATGGTGTGCGATCATAGAGAAAGGAACACTATGGGCCCCGAAACAAAAGCAAAAAGTATTTCAATGAATGATCCCGGATATGAACGGCAAATGGAATAGTTAGGATAATTAGTATGTGTACAGTACGGAGTATCAAATCCGACAAACACGAGGAGGTTGGTCATCTTAAACTCAGTTCACAAAATATTGAAGCCTTGGTGCCTGAATATGCGTGCTGGTGCAGGCAAGGTGCTCCCAGCCTGCTGGTGTAACATAGTAGGTGAGGCCAAATGTTTGAGCGGACGAAAGCCACCGGGTGCGCAAGCCCCTATCAACACCAAACTTTTACATATGTTGATATCAAGAACCATCAACAGAAATGGTTCCAGGAAGAATTTGGGAAGAATAGAACCGACAAGTCATCATATCATCACATTCAAAAGGGAAAAATCGGGAGATCGGCTTTCTCATTCCACGTGAAGTGAACCATTATCCACGTATTTCGTGTGGGTGAGGGCGTTCTTCCTCTTATCGCATTGAACGTGCATCTGTCTGGTGAAGCCCTTTTCCGGCAAGCCGTCCAGTTTGAAATCGCCAACGTTCAAGACCCTCCATGTTAGGGGCTCTTGTCTCAAATAGTGGCCCGAGACGTAATATTTTTCCACCTTCGGATTGCTTCCAACCTCAAACTATCTTACAATCACCAGGTACTCGCATCGTACTTATACACGAAGCAGCTAAAGCTCTTCCATCAACATCGGTCAAACATCCGTGAACGCCATTATCTAGCGCCGCTTGATCAAGCACCCATTCTCCAACGCATGAGAACCATTCTTGTGCTCATGCCTATTGCGGCCAAATTTCTTGCACCAATTCATAGCTCATCTCCCGATATCATAATTCTATATTACGTCTTGATTTCGTATGTATTTAGTTGATGTTGCGGTGGAATAGGTATCTCGTAACATGTCGTTGAATCGGGGGTGGGACTATTCATCCTGAGGAACTTCATCCGAAAGGCCGTTGCTGAGCGTGAGTCCGGTATCGGTAGAGGAGACAGAAACGGAGCGAGGGACCAAAGTTGCCTGCTGGTTTGAAATGTACTCGGGGCGGTCATGGATAGCACAGTGGGCGGCGTGTTAGGCGTGAGTTTCGATGGCAGCCTCGGTGGCAGCTTCAGCAGTTGATCGAGTATCAGAACCGGAGGCAGCTTGAGTGAACGCCTGGCCATGATTGTCGAATGCGTCTTCAGTGACCGTCCGAGCACCAGCATCGGTGGCAATTTTAGTAGCGGCGTCGTTAGGAGCTTGAGAACCAGCATCAGAGCCATCTTGGCTCGCAATTTCAGGGGAACTATCGACGGAATCGTCATCAGAAGGCTCGAAATCGGCTGTCCTGAGCTGGGTGGGGTCGATTTCAGGGACAAGAAGATTGGGTCGAGAGAGGATGATCTGAGGGATCTCGGTTTGAAGGACTTCGGCTGGAACAACTTCGCTGGGAGCCATTTCGGTAGCAACGCTCTCAGCTTCAATGACAGTGGACCCAGGATCTGCCAGGATGCTTGAAAAACCTGTTTCGGCGACGATGACGCTTGGGACTACCCCCACTTTATCTTTCCCTTTGCCTTTGGCTTGTGGCTCTTCATTGATATGGGGGCGTGTCTCCTGCTTAGCGATGTTCAACGCTGTCGCAATATCTTTACCCTCCTTTGTGAACAATGCCTTCATGGTCGCAGAGGCCATGTTGGCTTGGCTGATTGTATCTCGTGTACGTTCGTCGACGCGCTTGATGAAAGCCTTCAACTCTTGGAATTCGGTGGTTGGGTCGCGGTTCTGTGAAACCACTGCAAGTGAAGCTCGGAGCTCTTGGTTTTCGATCTGGAGTCGTCGCACGGCATCCTTCAGATCTTCGGACGTTCCATCCTTCTCCACCGTGGTCGTCTTCTTTTCGAGCATGTAGTTCTCCCATGCGTACGGCCCGTTGACAATGGTTGGGATGGAGACCCACGTCATCACCCACTCTGCACAGCCTCGATAGCGAACAAGGAGATCTTCGACTTTTAGGACTCTGGTATCGAAGTCCAGGTGCTTGTCTTCGAAGGTGTTGATCGACTTGTCGCTGAGCGGCGGAACTCGAGATCCCTCCAGATGGAGGCTTCTGGCATAGATCACAACGAGCCATGCCGTGGTTTCGACCAGATGCTCGATGTATCGGGGGTCCCTGGACGAGAAGTGGACCCGGAGCGCCCGGAGGATGATGTCCACGTAGGGCAAGATCGCGGACTCGTCTAGAGGTACATTCTGCCCCTGCTTGGGCTTCCACCTAAGCTTCCCGAGCTCCGCCATCGCCATCTCGGAGTTCTTGATGTACTTGAACTTGTGGAGATACTCCTCCTTGAGAATCTCCCCCGCCTGCCCCTGGGCGACCCGGGCCAGGTGGGATAGCCCCGGGTTCTCGAACTTGGGGATGGGGAGCTGGCATGCTAGCCTATCCACTAGCACCCGTTCCACAGGCTGCGGCTCCTGGGACTCGAGGAATTCTGAGACTGTCTGTGCCGCGGAGCCAGAGAGGTTGTCGAACGATGGAGTACCGGGCTCTCCGCCGTCCTTGCTGACCGCGGTACACTGGTCCTCAGTCATGGTCTTCACTGACAACCTGTGGTGATGCTCATCGTCAGTAGCTAGATTTTGCCGGGATAGCGAAGGATGGTTGGAGTACTTACTTGTCAATGATTGTTTTTGTGGATTCGGCAACGAATGGTTGTCGAATTCTTCAGACTATAGGTGGTCGGGGTGAGGGTCTTGATATCAAGTCTTGAGATTGTTCGGATGATGGTGGAGGGGATGATAGTAATGGGGCAGACGATGGTTTTGTATCGAAACTGCTCTGAATGAAAATGTGATGTTTGTAATAGGAAACAGAACTCACTGGAAGATAAAAGATGTATAAAATCAAGGGACAAGCCAGCGGCATGTCTTGCAGTGGTCACCCATCAAGAGACGGCTGACATACCCGTAGAGCATCATAACTATATCCCTTATGGATAATTAAGGTGAGAGAGAGTCTGGTCATGTTCGTGTTGACCATTGTAGCTGACCAAAGGATGGGGTCCGACTGAGGAGCTATCCTGAGTCGCCAGAAGGAATGGTTGGGCTTGATATACTTTGGAAACCATTGCCCCACTGTTGAACAGTAAAAATGTTTGTTATAACAAGTAGCTCCATGGTGATTCATGAATGATACATGTCTGGGCTCTTTAGTGGTGCTTATCGTCAGTCTACTTCAGGGGCACCGATTTTGAGGAGACCCCGGACAGAAAGAGCATTTCGATACTGTTCCGAAGGTTTCCTGGTGGCAGGATCCACGATTCTCAATACCTTGAGGCATTTAGAACACGGAGTAGACCAGATATTGCCTGTGGCAGAGGAATAGCATGGCGATGCTCGATGGGAGTCTTTACATGTGCGTTGTGGTATTGCTGTCCTAGTCCAGCCCAGAGCCCTGCCTGAGACGTCTCGCTAAGACGCCCCCTTGCTTGACGCGACCTCACGTGCTCGGCCAACCGCATCGTGAATGCAGAACATCCGTCGAATGTCCGCTCGTTTTTGTTCGCATGATGGACTGCCACTCCTCCTTGCATTCTAGTTGCTTGCCCCAATTTCATTCCTGTCATCGCATGATATAACAGGAACACATTTGACAGGGACATAATTATCAGAACCATCCCGAGCTCCCGACCAGCAATCCTGGATAGCCCCTCAGGAAAAACCGTTCCAAAGCGGCTGCGCATCGATTTCGGCATTTGTGGGCCCTTCCTCTGGGGTTGACATGCCGGCTTTAACAGAACATGCCGTGATAGGGCCGGGGCTGGCTAGAACGTTATCGTCGAGTGAACCCGGAATCCCTCTTCATGATTGATTAACAGTACGGAATACAGTATTTTGATATAACCGAAGGTGCTGATAGTGTTTCTCACCAGGTCGCCAGTTAGTTCGGAGGGTTCTGGTGTGGTACCGCCCCACATCTGGGTGGGGAAAGCTTCAGTTACATTCCGCTTGGTGCTTCAGTTGCCTAATCAGGCCCATAAAAATTGCGGGGTCCTCTCAAGCTGCACCGCACCACTCAGCCTGCAGCCGCTCCGTGGGGTCTTTCATCGGTTCATGTCATCCAATCTTCCGCGACACTATGACGCCGTCATGCATAGAAATCCCTTGCCTGGTGGCCTGGATGCGCCTGGACAATGACTGAGCAGAGGGTGACTGATAGGGCGCGACACTTTGTGGAGCGCTTTGGAGGGCGTGGGGTCGATTATGTGATACTTCCGGAGACCGCAATAAAGGCAAAGATACCATTATTAAGCTGCAGAAGTGCGCATGCACAGAAAACAGGCCAGGGAAAAGCATGCTCTTCCAAGCGGAACCCCGTGTTCCTGATCGACCGTTATGTGCCCATTCAATGATTTTTGGATCGATCCAGCCGCCGGAGCAACTGATTGGATGTTGACGTAAACCGTGGGGATCAGCGGAGCCATCAATGGCTGGATCTGGATGCCTCGCCACTCCGTGGGCAACGGACATGGTGCTCCCAATGATGACGAATGACCATGGTGATGGGGTGCGGCATTTGTTGGATCAAGGTGCGGCTGCTGAACCAGATTGACCTCTGTGTGACATTCATATCAGAGCTCTCGCGGCTTTCAAAAGCAGCATACCGTCCATTGACAAAGAGGTATCTTCAACTTGTGGCTTTTCCTCTAGCCAAACACTGTCCCGATATTGAGCAGCATCTCATAGAGCCATGTCTCCGTTATTGGAGACCATTCCGGCATCTGGGCCTTTGGAGTTTCAAATTCCGAGCAAGGCAATCCAACTCAATGTTGAAGAAAAGGCGCATCATGGACCACAGATTTTCGAGATCCGCCGAGGCGCTAGCGAGGCATCCATTCGAAACGAGATCCTTTCAGGTCTTGATCCAACGAAGGTAGAGAAGACACTCCCCACGCTCTTGCTGTACAATGAAGCTGGGCTCAAGCTCTTTGAACGCATCACGTACCTGCATGAGTACTACCTCACCAACGCCGAGATTGACGTCCTCGAGTCCCATGCCGATGATATTGCAAGCCGAATCAAGCAAGACTCCGTGATCGTTGAGTTAGGAAGCGGGTGAGTGCTGTTTTCTTGTTCAAGCGACCTTTCCGGGAGGACCAGGGCCCTAATGTTCGTATAGCAACTTGAGGAAGATCAACATCCTTCTTCAGGCATTGGAGAGACAGGAGAAGAACGTGGATTACTTTGCGCTTGACTTGGATCTGAGCGAGCTCCAGCGGACCTTGTCTGCTGTACCCCAGGGCTCATTCCGCCATGTCAAGCTCTACGGACTGCATGGAACGTACGATGATGGTGCCGAGTGGCTAAAGTCCGAAGCCATCCGGCACCGTTCAAAATGCGTTTTGAGTATGGGCTCCAGTGTCGGCAATTTTCGACATCATGAAGCTGCAGCTTTTCTGCAGATGTTTGCGGATAGCCTTGTGGGCGGAGATTCCATAATTGTGGGACTTGATTCGTGCGAAAACCCGCAAAAAGTGTACAGCGCATACAATGATACATCAGGGGTTACGCACCAGTTCATCCTGAACGGATTGCTACACGCGAATGAGATCCTTGGCGAGGATGCGTTCAGCGTTGCGGACTGGAGAGTCATCGGTGAATACGTCTATGACAATCGAGCCGGACGTCATCAGGCGTTTCTTTCCCCTGTAAAAGACGTAGAGGTGTGCGGGATCCACATCAAACGGGACGAACGGGTTCGTATCGAGGAGAGCCACAAGTACTCGCATGACCAGCTTCAGGAGCTCTGGCAGCAAGCCGGATTGGTCTCTGGTGCTTCATGGATGGGCAAGGCGTGTGAGCATGGTATGCAATGTCCCCCACCCTTATTATGTTGTGCATTCGATTTAGCTTGCCCCATGTCACTCGTCATCTCTCACTCCCATCGCGATATAATTGCGCGATGTTGCCTCTCTCCTGTTCGCTTTGTTGAATCAACTTGAAGTGTGTTCTGATCATTTTCCAGGCTTGCACATGGCGACTAAGCCGACGTTCGAGTTTCCTCTCTCCAAGGCGGAGTATGCATCCAGCGCAATACCCACGTGGAAAGACTGGGGGCAGTTATGGGCTGCATGGGACACTTGCTTGCGTGGGATGGTCTCCGAGAAGGATTTGTACGATAAACCCATTGATCTTCGAAATCAATGCGTGTTCTATCTCGGCCATATCCCGACATTCTTGGACATCCATTTGACCAGGTCGACGGGAACGCCGGCCACGGAACCGAAATACTTCGCCAGAATATTTGAGCGAGGGATTGACCCTGATGTTGACAATCCGGAGCAGTGCCATTCTCATTCGGAGATTCCAAATGAATGGCCTGCAATTGAATTGATCAACAGGTATCAGACCGCGGTGCGGAAACGTGTCGAGGATCTGTATGTTGCCTCCGCCCAGAAGGAGTTGCCTCAGATTGTCCAGGAAGCTTTGTGGCTCGGCTTTGAGCATGAAGCGATGCACCTGGAGACCATTCTTTATATGCTGTTGCAAAGCAAGTTTGTCAAGCCGCCTCCAGGGGTGGTTGAACCAAATTGGGAGGCTCAAGCCATGTTGGCTGAACAGAAGGCCGTTCCAAACACGTGGTTCCGTATCCCGGAACAAGATGTGTCCCTCGGGTTGAATGAGTCGAGTGGAGCGTTTGGGTGGGACAATGAGAAGCCTATGAGACAGTGTCGCGTTCCATCCTTCACCGCGTCTGCTCGTCCAATTACGAATCTGGAGTATGCCCAGTTCTTGGCGAGAAATGGTGTCGAAGGTATTCCAGAATCTTGGACTGCCGTTGGTTCCAACCGTACGAACGGAATCTTGTCGAACGGGGGGTCTAATGGCATCACGAATGGTGTTCATTCAAACGGATCTGCCGCTCGCGATGTCCCGAAGGCGTTTATTGAGGACAAGTTGGTCAAGACTGTTTTCGGTCTGGTACCGTTGAAGTATGCCTTACATTGGCCAGTTATGGCGTCTTATGATGAGCTCTCCGCCTGCGCCGCATGGATGGGCGGACGCATTCCGACGATGGTGGAAGTTCGCAGCATCTACCAGTATTCAGAACAGATGAAGGAGCAGGTCTTTGAGAATGCGTTGGATAAAGCTATTCCCGCCGTCAATAGGTCAGATCATCAGTGCTTGTGTGATTGAGCTGGACTTACCACCAATGTCACAGCCACCTTTCAAACAACGGCGTTCAGGAGACCCCTCCATCAGTGACCAAGCTGCCGAAGTCCGCCGAGTTCTCTTCGATCGATGGATTTTTTGTCGATCTCGACCACGCTGATGTTGCTTTTAAGCACTGGAACCCAGTTTCAGTGACCCAAAATGGCAACCACGTCCGTGGGCAAGGAGAACTCGGTGGTGTCTGGGAATGGACTTCGACACCGCTGGTCAAACATGAAGGCTTCCAGCCCATGGATGTATATCCAGGATACACAGGTATGCAACAATGCAGCAAAGCATTGAGGTTGTTATAATAAATGGGTGCTGATGGATAGCGTTTTTGTAGCGGATTTCTTTGACGGCAAGCATAATGTTGTGCTTGGGGGCTCCTGGGCTACACACCCCCGCATTGCGGGAAGGAAGACATTGTAAGTCGCATCTTCCTGATGGACAAGTTGAAGAGATCTATTGACCGTTCCACAGCATCAACTGGTATCAACGAAACTATCGATTTGCATGGGTGGGAGCGCGTGTGGTGAGAGACTGATGGAGGGAGAACAGAAACAGAAAACTGCGTGGGCGCCGAGGATGACGACGGCGGCGGCGAGGTTGCGAGGCATTGACAGACTTTTCTTCTATCAGATCCCTCGTGGGAATTACAAAGACCATTTAAGCTAATGCGATCGTTATTAACGACAGATGCCTCTCTTATCAGGGTACCAAATTGAAGCACATTGTTCATCCGGCTGCCATACCCAGCTACCCTACCCCTATGAAAAGGGATTAATTATTGCGGGCCGTGTGACTGACTGATCGTGGCCGAGAAGCCTCTTCTCCAAGGTACGTATACACGTAGCGCATGAACGCAGAATACATGGCCCAAGAAATGGACTGGCAGAGCGGAATGTGCAAAAATGGCAAGCATCTGTTGGCAAATTCGTTCTCACAAGTCTATGCCACAGCGTTGTCTATTGTTTCAAGTTTGGATTAGCCATCCTGCTGCCAGGCCACATCGTTACTATAGCATAAGGAAACCCGGATTTCCGACAGAAGCCCATGGTCAGGAAGTTGATCGATCGTTTTATGTCGAACCTTGCCTGGTCCCCTAGCAACATATATATGTGAGTCCCCATGGATGCTCTCTTTTCTGCGTATAGGTGCCACGGCCCAAGAGCCAATGGTCCTATCTAATATTCACAGCAAGTCATACGCGGTTACACAAACATGGAAACAGGAACCTCGTGGTGACGATTCCCACCGTGACCATGTGGGGTCTTCCCCGGGCACTCAAGATCACATTGAGCAAGCCGGCCAACAGGTAGCAGGGGGATTCAGCCGATTACAACTGAAATTTTCCACTATTTTGATACATTAAACTCATTTAATCCGTAAGTTTACAAAAACATGATAGTGACGTAAGTTGGATCAATCGACCTTCTAAGTCCATGGTACCTAGTTCTGCCGTTTATTCAGGCTCTCGCTTGCCTCTAAACTCACAAACTGAGTGGTCGAATTAAAAGTGTAATAATTTGTTATCAGAGCTCTAGAACAGAATATTGATAATTAGTTGTTGTTAAACCAGCCAGCGATTGTTCTATCTTCTCAGGACGGTAGAATGAAGGGGAGTGTGTCGACACAATCGAGTATCAAATTGATATATCGACGCCCCCTTCAATTGACACGGCACGTGACGCGACGATAACCTCGGCGATGATGACGGTAGCCCTCGAGGTTCATCTCATGATAGCAACCGATGGTTCTAGAATGAATTGATCGGATCTCCTTGTAGCCGATGGCCTCCTCCTATGATTATATACCTTACCCAGCACGTAAATCAACCACGCAAGCTCACGACCGTATTCACTCAATCCTGGCAATCCGGCGTATACACAGAGGGTAAATCCACTCCGCGGGGGTGCTATAAGTCAATACACTACGTGGTGACTGAACACTGCACGCAACTCGACTCTCTCCACCATGGCGAAGTCAACATCAGTCAAGCGAACCCTCGCTTTACTCCCGCTTCCACGGGATCTCGTTCTCCTCCCTGGAGTAACACTCCGCATTCCCGTCTCCAACCGACCCGATATCGCAGCCCTTCTCGCGACTATTTACAGCAAAGCGTCTGACCAGTCCCGGGCTGAATCTCCGGTGACGATTGGCTGCGTGCCGTTGGCGAGTCCATATTTGAGCAAGGATGGAAAACAGTTGATCGATGATGGCAAAGAGCAGGGCGATGCGGACAAGCAAGTCAAGGCAAGAGTGGGGCTCACCGATCCCTCCAAAGCTGGCGATGCAGACCTGTTTAGCGTTGGAGTGCTTGGACGGGTTAACGGTGTCCAAGGGAGACGAGCAGGCGACCTGGCGTTAATAGTTGAGGGTATGGAACGGTTCCAGATCGAGAAGTTTACCCAACAGAAGCCGTACATGGAGGCTGTGGTGACTATCCAGCCGGATCAACGTAAGTTAGACGTCTACGCGAGAGAAGGCAATGAATGCTAACGTTTTAGAAGCGGTAAACCCTCAAGACGCCCACATCGAAGCCCTCTTCTCGGAGTTGAAACAATCGTCGAGACAGCTTCTAGCTCTTGTCCGCCTTTCCGCCCTGCTTCCCCGAGGAGCATCGACAGCGATCTCGCCTATACTTGCACGACGGCTAGAAATATTCATCGGACGAAAGGAAATCGACGACGCCGGTGCCCTTGCCGATTTCATGGCTAATGTTGTCGAATGCACACATGAAGAGAAACTTTTGGTTCTGGCTGCCCTCCCTGTCAATGATCGCGTGGAACGGGTTGTCGATATCTTGCGCAAGCACATAAATACCATGCAAGGCAACGGTCGGATGATGACTATTTCATCTAGCAACAACATCAACGGAATTGATTCGGACAAATTAAAGCGCCTGCAGAACGATGCCATTGCTCGGCGAGGGAACGGCGGAAGAGGCTTTCCACCCGGATTTCCTGGTGGTGGCGGGCAAGCTGAAGAGGATACAAACGAGCTTGATGAGCTGAAGAAACGCATAGACGAGGCCGGACTTACACCGGAAGCGGAGAAGGTTGCCCAGCGCGAGCTCCAACGGTTGCAGAAGATGAACCCTGCTCAAGCGGAGTACCAAGTCTGCCGAAACTACCTTGAGAACCTCGCGGAGATCCCATGGAGCAAGATGACCGAGGATCATTTCGATAGGGAAACCCTGCGACGTGCAAGGCAGCAGTTGGATGACGATCACTATGGCTTGGAGAAGATCAAGAAACGGCTCCTGGAATATCTGGCGGTCTTGAAACTGAAGCAATCCGTCAATGCCGACTTGGAGACGCAAATCAAAATGTTAACAGAACAAGCAAAAGAGGCAACGCAAGACAACAAGGCGAGTGCGGATACGGCTCCTCGGAACGAAGACCAGCTTCAGATCCTCAAGACGAAGCGAATGGTCGACAAGTCCCCGATTTTGCTACTAGTTGGTCCTCCAGGTACCGGCAAAACTAGCTTAGCAAAATCGGTTGCTACTGCTCTTGGAAGGAAATTCCATCGCATCTCCCTTGGCGGTGTGAGAGACGAAGCTGAGATCCGTGGCCATCGGCGCACTTACGTTGCCGCCATGCCTGGATTGATTGTCAGCGGATTGAAGAAAGTCGCCGTCACTAATCCTGTCATCCTTTTGGATGAAATCGACAAGATCGGCACCAGCAACTTCCATGGTGACCCCTCTGCCGCGATGCTTGAGGTGCTTGACCCGGAGCAGAATCATACTTTTGTTGACCACTACGTCAACATCCCCATCGATCTCTCGAAAGTTCTCTTTATCGCCACTGCGAACTCTCTAGACACAATTCCACCTCCTCTGTTGGATAGAATGGAGATGATCAGTCTTCCAGGATACACAACCTTGGAGAAGAGGCACATCGCAACCCGCCATCTCCTCCCTAAGCAGATCACAACGAATGGTCTGGAGTCAAGCCGCGTGGAGTTGTCGGACGATGTTATCGACAAGATCATCACCTCTTACACTCGCGAGAGTGGGGTTCGGAACCTTGAGCGCGAGCTCGGCAGCGTTTGCCGGTCTAAAGCGGTCGAGTTTGCGGACGCCAAGGACTCGGCCGCGCTCGAGAAATATAACCCCAAGGTAATGGTCGACGATTTGGAGAACATCCTAGGCATCGAGCGCTTCGACGAGGAGATCGCAGAAAAGTCCTCCCGCCCGGGCGTCGTCACCGGACTCGTTGCCTACTCCACCGGCGGCCAGGGCAGCATCCTCTTCATCGAAGTGGCCGACATGCCCGGCACCGGCCGCGTCCAGCTAACCGGAACCCTGGGCGACGTCCTCAAAGAGAGCGTCGAAGTCGCCCTGACGTGGGTGAAGGCCCACGCGTACGAGCTCGCCCTCACCCACGATCCGGACCAGGACATCATGAAGAACCGGTCGATCCACGTGCATTGCCCTGCGGGCGCGACGCCGAAAGATGGGCCGTCGGCCGGCCTCGCGCACACGATCGCGCTGATCAGCCTGTTCTCGGGGAAGAGTGTGCCGCCGACAATGGCGATGACGGGCGAGGTCAGTCTCCGCGGCAAGGTGACGCCCGTCGGCGGGATCAAGGAGAAGTTGATCGGTGCGCTGCGGGCCGGGGTGCATACGGTGATGCTGCCGAGGGGAAATCGCAAGGATGTAAAGGACTTGCCGGAGGAGGTCAAGAATGGCTTAAAGATTCATCATGTTGAGTAAGTCATCTCTGCTGTCTGAGTTTGGATATTGAGCACCCTGCTAACCGACGATTCTAGGCATATTTGGGAAGCACTCCGTTACGTCTGGCCTGACTCACATTGGCCCGGTGAGCGGCATTGGAGTGGAGTTGAGCCGCGACTCTAGTTCTCTTGCACAGTTGTTCCCAACTCCCTGTTCTATTTGATGATATAATGCATAAGCGTGGCCAATGGTATTGTGTACATAACTCGAATCTATCTTCATGAATATATTGTGTATTAATAAACAGCTGGACACTATTATTGATGTTGCTGTTATGGTCCCAGGCCTGTGGCCTAGGACCTTGAGTATGGCTGACGCCACAGAGATGTGGCTAGTGGATTGCATAGAGGATTATCGAGGAGATAGTCATATGGGAGTTGTATGTTAGGACGGTCATGAGGGAGCTGTGTTAGGACAGCAGAGAGGATATCTCGCGCGCAGAGGCGCTGGGAGATTTCTTCCATTTCTCTCTCTTCAGTTTGGATCAATGAAACTTGGTAATCGCAGATCTTGCGCATCCAGACCGTGTCAGTTGCAACGATTATACAACTCGAGAGAATATTAAGAACTAAATCTTTTTAACTTCAGGATTTCATTTCATTACTCTGTCTAACTATCCAAGATGTGTAGGTAGACCTTGCGTAAGAGATGGGGGGAGAAAACAAGATGACAAACTAAACACTTCCTCCCCTAATATACCCCCATATACTGGTTCCTATCTGCTGATGTTCTACCCGTTCCCTAGATTTCTAATCATATTATTAGACAAGTATGATCCGGGTCTCGACGTGATAGAGATAGTTCCGCCTCAATGGGCCCGAGACCCTGTTGATGCCCAAGCCAACAATGTTCACCAGCTATCAAAATTCCCTTGGTGGCGGATCAGAATTTGAGTCACTCCAGTGCTCAACTTTCCTTATACAAAACTAGTCATGACAGACCCTTTGGGGGGTTGAGCACTGTAACCCTGCTCGGCCACCAAGGGTATAACCACGAATGACTTTGCCAACATCTAGCAGGAAAGCGCTGAGACAAGTTGTAATTAGGAAAACGAGAACCAAGGAGCAGTTGAAGTCGTGGATAAACAAACCCGATAAACTTAGAAGATCTTGATCGTCTTGGAAATGCTGGGAACACCGGCTGCGTCCATGGCGAATAACATCCAGTAGCCAGGAAGAGCAACACCACTGTCACTGGGAATGGTGATGCTGTAAGTATTGCCGCCATCCGAACTGGGAGTGAGGGGAATCCGCCGCTGATCGGTGTTGACCGTGTGGGTGGCGGAACCCAAACGGACGATGGAGAAAGTCGTGACGGCGCTGTTCATGGTGACGGTCAGAGAGCCACCGAGAGCGACGTTGTCCGCTGAAATAGAGTCGATGACGGGGCGGGTGGCTTTGGCGCCGGAGGACGTGAATAGGTAAGGAGGGTTGAACAGCTGCCCATCGTAGTGGTTCATGCTGCAACCGTCGCAAAGGCCACCGCCGCCGACCATGACGGAGGCATCGGGCATGAGGATCGCAACACTATGGTAGTTGCGCGGCACGGCCATGGGGGCCATGACGGTCCATGTCTGGCTTGACGGCGTGTACAGTTCTGGATACATGATTGACGAGTCGTCGTTGAATACCGAACCATAGTCCTGGCCGCCGACGACAAACACTTGGCCATTGGGCAACCCCACCGCGTTAGCGAAGATGCGCTTGGAGTTCATGTCGGCAACCCGCTCGGTTTGCGCTTGGGTCCCGACGTTGTCGATGGTAACGACATAGGTGTTGGACACCGCCGGAGCGTTCTCATAGTCCCGAGACCCACCCATAGTGAGGATTTTGCCGGCAACGGCATCGTACATGACGGCCATGCCGCACATGGCATCTCCGCTATCCAGACGGTTGCCGGCACCGGTAACTCCGCCACTGCCGGTGGTTGTGTACCAGTTCATCGCCGTGCTTGGCCCGGCGTGGAAAACCGCCTGATTCTTCCAGCCGAACAGCCAGGCGTGGTTGTCGGAGCGGTACAGTCCGCCGGCATCATTCGTGAGCATGGGTGTTACATCGGCATCGTTCAGCATGTTCCAGGTGTTGGCGGATGGATCGTAATATTCACCATTCTTCTGGAAGATACCGCCAGACCACGAACCACCTATGGTGAAAACCCATCCGTTGGACAGGGTCGCCGAGGACTGATAGCCACGAGCGATCTGCATGTCCGGTCCAGAAATCCAACCATGGCCTGGTGGGTTGTAGATACTGGTTCGCGGAGCATCATTGCCACCAGTGATGATCATCCGACCGTTGAAGTCGAGGGAGATACCAGGGCAGAACATGTCATGATGGGTGTCGGTGATCAGAGCTTTTGACACAAGACTGGTGGAGGGATTGTATGTAGCAGTGACGGTTTGACCACCCGGGCTACCGCCAAAGCCCGATGGATTCCAAGAAGACCAAGCCAAAACCTCACCAGTATCGTACACCAGACCGACCGCGACGGGAACAAGCGGGAAATTGACAGTCAGGCCCCATTGGCCTCTGGTTTGTGGTGCGGGTGCGATGTAACTTGCGTCGTAAGAAATAGCAATGTCCGCTGCACTGCTCCATGGCCCACGATTGCCGGCCTCGCTAGTGGCAGTGAGCCGGACATACCGGCACAACGTTTCTTGGAAGTTGACCAGTTTGGCCTGGGCATTGTCGGCGAAAGCACCGGTAGCCACCGTGGTCCAAGAGTTGCCGTCCGTACTCACATCGATCGTATGCTGACCGATGTTGCCGTTCACGCCACCGTCTTGTCGGGGGGTGTATTGCAGGGCTTTGACCGGTAGATTGGTCTGCATGTCGATGGTGATGAAGTGAGGAAAGCCAGGAGGGTTGGCGCTTGACCACTCGGTGTGCCAATAGGTGCTGATGTCGGTATCCAGAGCACGAACCGCACTGTTGTTGAAGAGAGCGGTTTCCTCGCTGTCAACCGTGACCCTGAAGTTCGCCAATTGATTTGCTCCATCAAGCAAATTGATCTCGGAAGCGCTGGTCCATTCACCACGATTTCCAGCCTCTGATCTAGCCACAAGACGCCAGTATCGTGTGGTTATCGGTTGCCATTCGACAAGCTTCTTGAATTCAGTGTCTGGCCAGGTACCACTGGTCACGTCAATCCAACTATTGCCATCATCGCTTCTTTGCACTGTGTACTCGCCAATGCGCCCATTTGGCCCGCTTGAAGGTGGCCGAGGGAGATAGCTGAGACCGCCAACGGTGGTAGCAGCACCCTGGTCGATGGTGAAATAGTGTGGCAGAGGATCAGCGCCCCCGTAGTATGCAGTGTGCCAGAAGGTAGTTGGGCTCTCGTCGATAGCATAAGTAGCAGCCCAAGACTGTTCCCCAATTTGCTCACTATCCGCAGAGACGACCCAGTTCGTCCGTGGAAGCGATGAATGGGGGTTTCTTAGGATGTTGATTTCGGCCGCACTCGAGAATTGTAGGCCAGTGTTAGATGCCTCTGTAAGAGCGTTCAAGCGGATCCAACGAGCAATAACAGGGGTGAATAACGATGTCTTCACGGTATTATCGTTGGCCCACGTGCCTTGTGCCGCGGTTGCCCAGTTGTTGCCGTCAACACTGTACTCAATCGAATGCATCCCAATGTTGCCATTGGTCTCCTCGTCTTGACGTGGAGTGTAGGAGAACCCGCTGATGAGGTATTGGGTGCCCATATCAATGTTGAGCCAGTGGGGCAAAGGGGCATCTGGAAACCACGCGGAATGCCAGAATGTCCCCTCGTTATTGTCCAGCACAAGCGTCGCCTCATTGCCTGGCATGGCACTGTCCGTGGTTATCACCCAGCCAGCCCGCTCATTCGAAATTGGAGCGACGGATGTTGTACTAATTGCCGCCACTAGGGTTGTTCGATAGGTGAGGATGCATAATGCAAGCGCAAGAAGCGTAGCCGCGTCGCGGAGCATCTTAAAGACGAGTAGAAATTAAGAATAAAACAGTAATTTCTACCATATAGTGCGAAATAGATGACTTGACTAGAAATAGAAAACGAGTGACTGCTGGTTCGGAGCTGGATGTATGATTCTATAAGAGTTCGAAAACGATTGACTTCCGCTTAGAGCATCACCTATGACCGACAAGAAACAGGGGAAGCTACCGCTCTTAAGCAGCGACGTCACGCGGACCGATGAGGAGAGACAATGTTGCAGAAAAGAGGTGCAATTTTACTATCAACTTCGTATTGCCTCGCCCTGGCATGGAGGGGAGCGCGAGGAGGGAGGGAGTGTTCGCCCACCGTTGTGTGGGCCTGGGGGAGATCGGATTGACGCCCACTCCGGGCCGTCGTCACGATGGACTCCATAATTACGAGATTGCAACGCTGACTGTGATTATTAGTCGCAGCCACCCCCCTTGGCTGTCGGATTAGCAGGAAGATCCAAGCCTCTTGCGTATGGATTCCTATGCACCTCATGATCCTCACCTTTCGATGCTGTGTGTTTCCTTGTAGTCGCATTCCGCGCCAGATCTTGAGCGATCTGTGAAAGATATCGGCCTTATCGGGTAACAGCAGATGCTGGTGTTGACGATCTCCCGTAGACCACTTTAAACTTCCAAAGACATCTAAAGATGAAAATGACGAACCGCAATTGAAATGGATAGTAAAGCGATAGTTGTCGAATGACGACATTCAACTGTTGAGCGATACCATGAGGACAACGAGGATATGAGGTGAACGTCGACTATGCAGTGGCGTACATGTGGGGGATAGGGGCACGGGGCAGCAGGCACACCAGAGGCAGGGACTGCGAGAGAGACCAGAATCGGAGATGATTAGTCGGAAATACGAGGCCGACGCCACCAATAGACTCGGCATATCAGATCGTGATGCCGACAATGCCGCCCATCTCGATGCAGAACAAAATCACAATGCCAATAGAAGAAAAGATATAAGACAATGGCATTCCGCCTTCCGGTCACCCGACATCCCTGAGCATTGTTGAGCACTGAGCATACATAGTAGCTTGACGTTCCAAAAATAATTTGGACATGGGATAAACAGTAAACCGATCCTTCGAGCGCTTTTCTTCTGTCACCGAGCAGGGTGTTGGTAATTCCCTTCGACCAGGACTGCAGATTTGGATCGCTTTCTCTTTTCCTCATCTTTCTTGTGCAATCCCAAGCGTGGTTCGCTTAGATTTGATCTGGTGTTGGTCAATGTCGTAGAAGGCAGACGATAGATTTAGGTTGTTGGCTTGTGTTCACTGGAAGCAGTTCGTCCGGTGTCCCGGTACTGCTGCAGGGGTGTTCGCACTTCTGGTGTCCTAATCCATACGACATGCGGAGTCCTAATAGTAAAATGTTACTTCGTAGGGATTAATTAGCTAGGTATGTTACATAATACCTCATTTTCATCCGAGTCGCATCCATCCATGGCTGTCCAACTGCTATTTTTGGCATTGGGTTGGCGATTCTGTTAGGGATAAGAGCCAGGATGCGAAGAAATTTGAAACCTACTACTCCGTAGTCCTTGGTGTTTAAGTCTTGTCCTCGCATTCAAACCAAGCTTGCATCTAGCTCTTTGCTGTGATTATGGGCCGTAACTGACACGGTCTGGATGCGCAAGATCTGCGATTACCAAGTTCCATTAATCTAAACAGAAGAGAGAGAAGGAAGAAATCTCCCAGCGCCTGTGTGCGAGATATAAACTCTTCTCTCTACTATACTAACACAGTTCAACACAGCTCCTTAACACAGCTCCGTCCTAACACATAGCTCCCATATGACTATATCCTTGATAATCCTCCATGCCATCCACTAGCCACATCCCTGTGGCGTCAGCCATACTCAAGGGCCCAGGCCACGGGCCCGGGACCATAACAGTAGCCTGAATATATTCATTGCGGACTCCATTATATCAATGCCCATGCCCGAACGCTCATCCAGGGATATCATCTAAATGTATCTACCCGAACAACCCGCCCCAGCCGCCGCCCATCCTACAACCTCGCCTTCCCCTCCCCAATCGCCCTTCTCGGCCGCCGCTGCTTCACCTTCTCATACGCCCCGGGCTTACTCTCCGGACTCGCCGCCGGCCGCGCATGCTCCCACAAGCTCTCCGCCACCAGCTCCACCAGCCCCAGCACCCGCGTTCGCACCGTGTTCCCGTCCCGCCGATTCTTCCCTTCACGTCGGCTATGGCTAATGTGCTCGGCAAACGCCCAGAGGCGGCCGGAGGGGAGGAGGTGGTTGCTGGAGGGGGCGCGTGGCGGGACCCAGTCAGGGGCAAGGCGGACGGTGGTGGGGATGCGGGCGTCTTTGGATTTGGCGACGAGGAGGATGCCTTCTTCTTCGAAGCGCTGGTAGGCGTTTTTGAGGGTTTCTTTGTTGACGGCTTCGAAGTAGGAGAGGTCGCCTTGATGGTAGAGGGTTTTACCGAGCTGGGTGCCCGCGTTAGCTATCGGCCGAAGAGCTGAGGGAGTTTTTCAATATTCACTTACCAGTTGAGCCATATCCTGCACCTTCTTCATGTCCAGCCACATATCCTCGCCTTGCCCTGATGGAGGCGTCAGCGCCATGAGAGATACCGCACCGAGCCAGCTGGCTTCGATAAATGGCCAAATCATGAAGCAGTAGAAGTCGTAGTTCTCGCGTCCCTGGTCCCGCTCTTCTTCGCTCAGTTCCACGAACTCAATCTGCGACGGATCTTGCTGGTTCCTGACGATGTGGATGACCTTATCCTGCTCGAGCCCTTGGAGCGTTTTGGATAGGTTCGCTTCAAGGCCGTCGGTCGGGAAGATGAACTCCCCGCGGAAGAGCTGCGAGAGGAACAGAACTTGATCACGAAGCTCCTCAAACGGCATGCGCTGGTGCTCGAGACCACCGCCGAGTTTTACTCGGCCATATAGACTAGCCGACACGATGGCCTCCGAGACGAACAGATGGATGGTCATGTTACGATAGAATGAAAGCTGGAACCGATCCACCGCATAGAACGTCGGCTCCACAAGGCCATAGACGACCCCGACCAACTCCGGTCCCAGAACTTCCAGCCCGCGCTCGACGACCGTCTCCGTTGGGAGTCCAGCAAAATGCGCAACTCTCCCACCTCGGGACTTGACGCGTGCGCACAGCCAATCCACCCTCCTGACTAGCTCGCTCTTTCCAACGCCGCGTCCCCGTAATGTCAGGAGAATGGTGCCGATCAATGCAGTCGGCATGACGACCGACACTTCGTTGATTTCCGCTAGGACCTTAAAACCGAGCGTGCGAAGCAACCGGAGCCGGGTCGTGTCCTTCCCATTCGGCTCAGTGGGCATTTGCGGCGGCATCTTGGTATAACTCGCCATCTGGTCGTCGATGAAGGATCGAAGGCTCCAGGGCTCGTGGAAACGGACGTCGACGCGCCCCAGTCTGAGGCTCAGAATGGATGACGCGGAGAGGAAGTCCATCAGGTTCTCTTTTTGCTTCGGCTGCCCCAGCAGCTCGGAGACATAGCTGTTTACTTCGATGACCTTGTCATACTGTGTGCTGACGGGGCAGATGATGGCATCTTTAACCCGGCCCGAAAGTACGGAGTCGAGAAGGAAGCCCAAGATCCCGAACTTGGGCTGGAGCAGTTTTCCGGTTCGCGATCGCGTGCCTTCGACGAAGCACTCGAAGTTGAATCCTTGCTGAAGCAGAGTGTCCATGTATGCCTGCACGAGCGTCGTGTAGAGCTGGTCGTCCCCAAACGACCGTCGGATCCACATCGCTGCAGCACTTTGCAGGAACGGACCGACGAGAGGGAAATTGAGGTTGTCGCCCGCCACGACCACGGGTAGAGTAAGGCCGAGACGGTAGCAGATGATTGCCAATGAGACGTAGTCGACATGAGAACGATGGCAGGGGAGGAAGATGATGGACTGTTTCTTTTTCTGAGCTTCGATTGCGACTTTACGGAGGCGGACGATTTCTTCGGAGGAGACGTGGATGCCTTCGCGGGTTGGATGTCAGCTAGAGAGAGCATGCACATTGGAAAAAGCTTACCTTGGTGATATGCTCGCGTCAACAACTGTGTGACCATGTAGTATGCTCCACGTATGAACCGCTTGCCCTCCATCTTGGCAATCATGTCCTCAGTCATCTTCTCGAGCACCTGCTCCAGACTCTGCTGAACGTCTTTCTTCCTCTTTTCTCTCCTATCCCTCTTCGTGCTACCCGTATAGTTTTTCTGACCCTCGTCTACAGCGAGTCCCCACCGCCCTTCCCCCTCCTCAACCCTCACCCTCTTCTCCGCCAACTCCTCCACCTTCGCCTGTAACATCGGGCTCGACAATACGCTCTGCTTCATCTTCTCGCTGAACCCGGGATAGAACACCGGCTGCCCCACGATATTGTCATAGCTCCGCCACCCGGTACCAGAAACGTGGAGGCTGACTTCCCGGAGGAAGGAGAGGGGCGTCGAACGGAAACGCGCCATTCGCTCGATGAGGTTCCGATCCGGCGCATCGGCCTCAGGTGGATCGGGCATGTCGATAACGGAGACATCGGACGGCGATTCGGGCGGCAGGATGGATGCTTTGGACGGGACCTCTTCGTAGCCGGAGGGGTGGAGGGTGGCATTGTTGCGGAGCAGGTCAACGTCTGGTGGAGTAGGATGAGATGACGAGGGAGGATCGGAATCGTCGCCCATGATTGTTATATGTCTTGCAGGACACGGCAGCAGGTCAATTGGCTCTTGGGGGGTTGGAAGACTACTTCCGAACTTCGATGGTAGCTATCTTGGAGAGGTATCAATCAGGTTTCGCGGGGAAAGAAATGAGTGCTGTCGATCTATACACTAAATCAAGGAATTGGAAGAACGTGCCAAATGTGACTCCGTTCTTTATGTTGCTTCGTGCTACGCATGACCCAGCGCCTCAGATCCGAGCCGAAAACATCTTTCGGAGTCGTCTTTCACCCGAATGAAGATCATAAGCTAGCATCGCTTGTTGGTACGTACAAGTTGCTAGGGACCGACTCCGAGTTCGAGGTAGAGTTTATTCCCGCCCTTGCACCCGGATGCCCCACATACAGGCCGAGGCTTGGATGTTTACTATGGTTACTGTATAGGCAAAAGTATTGTTAGCGCGGCGCTAAGCAGGAGTTTCCAACCTAAACCGTTTTTGTTCTTTTTTCCATTACTAATTGGATATAGATTTCATTATCGTGTATAGCCTCCATTTGCGCCTATCACATCCTGGCATCTCTGGCCCATCAACTCGACAACTCTTACACGAATTCCTCTGATAGCCTCCCAAGCATCGTTAATTCCCTCCTGAAGCTGGTCATAATATAATCAGGCATCCCCATAGTGGTCCTGGATCCAGCCCTTCATCCAATTCCATACTGTCTCAATAGGATTGGGGTCCGGAGAATGAGCAGGCTAATAGATGGTGAAATCTATATCTAATTAGTAATGGAAGAATGAACAAAACGGTTTAGGCTAGACCCCTAATTAGCGCCGCGCTAACAATACTTTTGCCTGTAACCATAGTAAACGTGAAATCCGGGGAATACCTGTCGCAGGCCAAGGCATGAGCTCTAGGAGTCCAAGGCTACAAACTGCATTAATAATCTTGCCGTGACTCTCGTATATCTGTAGGGCCGGGGAACCAGGCATTCAGCTAGAACACACAACTTACACACAACTTACACACAACTTACACACAACACACAATACAACAACTTCGCTGCTGGAACAACAGCACCTCACTCCCAACCATTTTAGCACATCACGTGCGACAATACCTGTCCTAGCTTATTGTAAATATTTAACTTTGTACGTGAAGTTTTGGTTAATTCCCTCCTTGAGTTTAGCGCCGCCCGACCAGGTATAGCGCCGTCTGTTCGTAACCCATCCATCCCCGAAATCTTTCACGATAACCATCATCCATCGAAACCTCCCGCCCGTCCACCGACTACCACACCATGAATTCGGATCCTTCCAATCTCCCCTCGTCCCAACAAAAACCCAAACAGGTTTCGCTCCACCCTGCATGAACGCATGAACCGAGATACGGCTTCCGGCTCCCTCAATATGTCAGTCATTCATGCTATCGCCGATCGAGGACCGACGGCCACTCGTTTCTCTCTCTACTTAAACAGCCGTGGCCCGCCGACTGGCTATCCACAATCACAGGGGACATCGACCGACGGTGGAGCTTCTTCCATGAACGCATGAACGCAGGATACAAGGTACTCTTTCGTATCGGTGAATCCATTGAGAAGCGGTCGTCACTTAGGGGAAACGGCGGCCACTCGATTCCCTCTGATCAACCATAACCCGCCGACGAAGGGGCGAGGACGTAGGGGCTGGCGCCGAGTCACACATCCATCTGTCAAGAGACCGGCAAAGCGGGTATAAGGGTCAAAGTAGCTTTCACGCAACAGGTCCAGGACCTTCTCAATACTCGCTTTCCAAACAAGGAAGAGGATGTGACGGTCTACGTGTCAGAGCTAGACGATGGCGCAACATCCTCCGCATCTACTGTCCAGATCCGCACGGAGTCGAGGAATTTATTCGCAAGGAACTCCGCCTCGCACCTAGAGACCATATCGTCGTACAGTATTCTGGCCTGGAGATGTCTTTCCATAGGCGTCTTCCGGCGCAGTCGCCAACGCCGGCGTCTCCCCTGATCACCTGGGTAAGGGGATAGAGTCGCCATTTTTTTTCTATTCAGCTAACCGGATACGTCGAACAGAAAGCTACGCCGCCTCCCTTGACTTTGGTCGACCGTCTTCCGTCACCTTCGCTACCCGCTTCGCCCTCGCTGGAGCTAGAACCTAGGATCACTGCCCCACCGGATTCCCCACTGAAGGACGGCCACAGTCTCCATGCACATGCTTCGCAAGACCAAACCCTGGTTCAGAGCCTACCGGAGCTGCTGGAAGCGATCCGCAGCAACGCTCAGACGCAGTCCGAGATATCGGGGAACCAGGAGGCCCTCATGGATATGGTTCGGGATATCTTTGACCGCGTGGAAGCGTTGGCTACGGTATCGGCCGCTTCACCGGTGGCGAGGGAACGTCAGTTCTCCACACTAGAGGACATTAGCGACGACGACTTCGATTTGAATTTCATACCAGAGCTAGAGCAAAAACGGAGGAACCTTCGTGTAGCCCTCACTTCTGCGGAAGATTCCCTACTGCTGCGTCTCGTAAAGGAGTATGGCGAGGAGTGGGTTAAGGTCACTAAAGAATTCCAGATCCAAGAGCCGGTAAATCTCGCGCCCCCGTCACGTTGATGAATCGCTTCCGACTACTGGCATCCGGTGAAGCGAAGCAAGCTCTGGGGGGCGGGCCGTAGCAGCCTCTGATCTACGGTGCTCAATCTCAGTTGATCTTTCACGCTTTTTAAACGACATTGGGAGTAGATCTGAAATTCAATTTGCTGATTTCTTTACATGAAAGATGTTCTGATACGACGAAATGATGGAAGGGAAACACCCTATGTACGCCAATCTCCAACCTAAGGGAAATAGACAATCACAGAGTCCCAGTATCCGGATCAATCGATTTGCTTTCATTGCGCTTTCTCTTTTCCCTCCCTGGCCTCGCTTATTCCTTGACCTGCCTCCGGTGCGCTGCTCGCCATCCAGAACAGCCCAGAACTACCTATCCACGCTGCCCAGGGGCTGTGGCGTGGACGCGGTTAGGGATGGAACCGGCAGCCGAAGTAGCGGGCGAGCCTCTTCCCTCCTTTCGTATGAATATGCGGCCTAGCAGATCCACCGCATGAACGAACACGCGACTTCTGGATCCGTTATAAGAGCAAGCGCTAAGACCTACTCGAAAGTCGACAGCTATCATCCACTGAATGATTCTCTTCCCCAAATCCCTCGCACCTAGCGTCAACCATCATTTCCATCGACACCTCTTACTCCTTGCGCTGCCTCATCCGTTCGCATGAATGAGCGCACCGCCTTCTGGGAATCCAAGGATCGTGATGCGGAATAGTCTCCTCCCTTTTCTTTCTCTCTCTCTCACACACATTCAGGCGGCATGCGCTAATCCCAATGATTTCAGTTGCTCTAACTGCTCATGCAGTCTCGCTAGCTTTTTCCTCCAATTGTCTGGCAACTTGATGTTCCGCACGTCGAGCCACACCTTGTCCCCCGTCTGATATGCTGGTGCTGGGTCGCGTCGTTTGTTGGTCACGTCTTGTTATCTCTGCTGGGACGTAGCCATAGCGGCTTGCGCGAATTCAACGCATTCGTGGAACTTCTTCATCTTCATCTCCGCTGCTGCTGCCGGACTCTTAGGTGGACTCTTGTTGTCTGTAGCCCTTGTGAAACCGGTTGAATCTCCCAAATACGGATGGTAGCCGTGCGTAATGAAGAAGGGACTCATGCCGGTTGCCACTGTCGTTCTTCCGAGAATCGCGACTTGGGCGAAGGGTAACAATGTGTCCAATCGTCTTGCCTATATGTACTAAAATGCCGTACGAAGTCTTCGACATTCTAATTCATTCTTTCGGTAGATCCACCTATTTCTGGATGATAGGCGGTTGACAGCCTCTGCTTTACCTTCACTAGCTTGCAGATCTGCGATCTGACTCCTTTGACGAACTTGTCTCGTCTGTCGGATGTGATTACTCTTGGTAAGGCGCAGTGCGCTAGGTAATGCTCGATGAACGTCTCGACTGACGTTTCGCTCGTTAGGTCAGGCCGCGAACACTGCTCCTTTGTTTAACCGGTCTACGATAATCAAAAGCTCAGTGCTCCCTTTCTCCGTCTTTGACAGGCCGGTGATGTAAGTAGTAGATTTCCGGGGTATCTCTCGAGCTATCACCTGTCAAACTTCCCTGATCTCGACTCTTCAGGTGATAAAAAATACCGCCATTCAAGGACAAGAATTGGAGTCGTTTTGTGCAACTCGATAGCAATTGCAATGGACAAGTGAAGGACGACAGTCTCCCTTTCCAAATTTATTTATTCGAGCCCCACCGTATCCAAGATGCGCGACGGTCGAGCGTTGAGAAATCGAGACGGCTGGACGCTTCAACACCAGATTCCGAATACAAGCATCCAACGACCCACACTCCCCAGACTTCATCCAACGCTGAACGGCAGCACCTCGTGTACAACTCCATGGGGAATCATGAAAGAATAGAAAATGCTCGATGAGGTCGCACTAAGTGAGGTTAAAATTACATCCGACGAAACTGCCGAATCAAAATACTCAGATATGGTATTATTTCTACAAACAATCCCCCGGTAACTAAAGGTCGCCCTCCAGCATTACTCCATATTTGGTGTATATCACAGAGCTTCATTTTGTGGGGGTTCATTCATGTGAAATTGCGCTACTGCTGCAGTGTCAGGAGTAAGTCCGGGTGCAATAACTCGATTTTGCCTCCATATAAGTCTGTCGCAATGCCTGTCCGCTTCACTGTTCGGTTGAAGTTATCCAGTTCCACTGCTGGCTATCTTGACTTTCGTTAGCAATGGCTCTTTCCAAGGTCTCTCTGGCGCTCATCCTGTCTTTGTTTTCGGCCAGCTCTTTGCAAGCTCCGACACAGTCAACAGTGAACGCATGCGATGCTCTCACCCAAGCTATCCCAGGGAAGCTCTTCAATCCCCGGTCATCAGGATATAAGGAGGAGAACGATGATTACTGGAACGTCGGTCTTTCAGACCTGAAGCCGGCCTGTATCCTGAAGCCGACCACTTCCCAAGAAGTTGGTAAAGCTTTCCAGGTTCTCGGTGAATATACGGATGTGAACTTTAGTGTCAAGAGTGGTGGACACGACCCCAATCCTGGACATGCCAGTAGCCAGGGTGGCATTCTGATCGCACTGAGCAAGATCAAGGGAACGACATATGATAAAGATACTAACCTGGCTCAAGTCAAGCCTGGAGGGCAGTGGAAGGATGTCATTGGCCCGTTGGAACAGTACGGTGTTACTGTGGGAGGGGGTCGTCTAGGTAAGAACGCTTCGCTATTGTACATTCCTTGTCTGACTCCACTCCAGATACTGTGGGCATTGGTGGGTATTTGGCTGGAGGAGGACTGTCCTTCTTGTCAGCGCAATACGGGATGGCTGCAGATGTATGTATGGCTCGAGCCGACCGAAAGAAGCTTGCTAATAATTCTAGTCTATCGTCGGATGGGAGCTAGTAACAGCGAACGGCTCAGTTATCAACGTTAACGCGAAGACTCATCCAGACCTTGCTGTGGCGTTGCGTGGTGGCGGCAATCAATATGGTAATTCTCAGACTTCGCCAAATGGTGATCCTTTTCTAACAAGGGCTAGGTGTTACCACCAAGTTTTCCATTGAGGCCCATCCTATCGGAAAGGTCAGTAACAGCATCATCAGCAGGGAAGAATAATCGGACTGACAAAGATAAGGTCTGGGGAGGCATACGGGTATACGCTGGCTGGGCCGAGCAGGAAGTCTTCGCTGCCCTGCATGATTTCATCGCCAATAACCACAAAGATCCGAAAGCCGCAGTCATTCTTACCTCCACCAAACTCGTTAGCGATGTGGAAACCTATATAATATTTTTCTTCTATGACGCTCCGGAGGCTCCGAAGGGTGCCTTTGGAAAGTTCGAAGATATCAGCTCATTCTTGGACTTGACTCAGTCAGATACGTACTCTGAACTCGTGAGTAGCACTGATGCCAATTAAGGAGCTATCGCTAACCAATGCAGCTCGCAAAGAACTCCGTGGGAGCAGATTTGCTCCCGACCAGAGCATCTTTCCGCGTAAGAAACATCCATCGAGAAGAAAGAAAGAAGCTGACCACAGTTTCAGAGCATCACTCTCCCCCGCATCCCTTCCAGACCTCAATTCTACCAAGAAATTGAGGCCCAATGGGAGACCCTCTTCAAGGACTATGCCGAATCCCACCCTGGATCGGCCGTAGATATCATATTCCAGCCGTTCCCGGCAGTCATAGCCAAGAACAGTGCCTCCCGTGGCGGCAACGCGATGGGCTTAACAGAAAATGACAAAGATCGCTTCATCCTTACGATCACGGGACAATGGACACCCGCTGATGATGATAATACCATCTGGGACCTGTCCAAGCAGCTCACCGACTGGATCGAGCAACAGATTCCGCATGTAACCACTCCTGAAAGTGAACAGTACTTGCCCCTGTTCATGAATCATGCGGCCTTCAGTCAGGATGTCTTTGGATCATATAAGGACGTCGAGAAGTTCAAGGTCCTGCAGAAGGAAATGGATCCTACCGGCTTCTTTGCCAAACGCGCAGGCGGGTTCAACATCTAGTTACAACCGAATACTGTTCTCAGACCCTGGCCCGAACCAAAGCTTCTTGAGACTTGAGGTGATAGAGGACATTCGATTAATATAATTCGTCACCGGCGAATGACTGTTTATATTATTCGCGCCATTATCTCCCATAGAGAAGTTTGCATGTATAGCACACTATCAATGTCAGCATACAACCATTGTTAAATTTGATCGAGCTTGTGATGATAGTACAATTCAAGTCCCAGTAAATCCCAGAGCACTGGACGTTGACCAACCTCTGACAAGACATAAGTCCAACGGACCGCCTAGACAGGTCTCACGAGCGTTGTATCCAGCCTAGGATAGGAGGGGGAGGTTGTCTCATAGCTTAGAGCCAGTCGAGTGGACCCCAAAGACAACCAGTTTATCCAAGACTGATATGTTCTTCCAGTTTTGCGTTTCAATTGAGGCTTTTGCCTGCTTTTCACCGATCCACCTCTTTGAAACCTCGACCATAACGGGACGATTGTCCCTTTGTGCGTCTCCGACAAGGCAAACGGTCGACATAATCCAAGAGAGGGAGTCAAGCAGTTCTTTTCCGCGGAATCGCAGCTCCGTTCCATTAAGGCGAGTACGCAGGATACTTTCAGAAGTTTTATAGGTCATTGCAGCAGTTAGAACGCGTTTTATTTGGCCTTGCCTGATAGCTGATTTCGCTAATTCAATTCTGGCTTCGTTTGAAGGCAATTGAGATTGTTGTTGTTGAGACATTGTGAAAATAGGGTGGTGATCGCCATGGTGAAGGAAAATTCGCAGCTCAGTGGTGGATTACGTTAGAGTAAGAAAGCAGTTGAGTTTGTATCATAGCAAATGATTAGGACTTAGATACATACTTGCTAAGGAAAGATTGGAAAGATTTGGACGATAGAGTATGGAGGATTTGAAGTCGAAGAAGGTTGGGCAAAACTTCGGGTGAGAGCTGGCTGGCGCTAAACCCGAAAAGAGATGGGCTAACCCGTAACGGGGAACTTCCAATCAGGCCGATCTCCGAACTATTCAGAGCCTCGAATTACCTTCTGTATGCATCTCTCACTAGGGTGAAGCCCAACTTCGAAACCTTGATGAACTCGGCCACGACTATGGTATCGTAATCGAAGAACTCGGCCACAGCGGATTCCGATTTCTGGAGGAACTCCTGATAGGGTCTCTGTATGCCTATCTTATGCAGCAAAGTCGGTGGGATTGGGTCAGTCAGCCATGGCGATTATATTTTTTGATGGATTGGATGTGAGAGAGTCTTAGGGACTAGGCCCCTTTAGGTCCCTTGCTGAACCTCCTGGTTAAATAACCTGTGAAACGCTCCTGAATTACCTGCGTTTTCTAAGGTAGTATAACCAAAACCTATCTTTATCGTTGTAAGATTAAACAATAGGTAGTTACGTATCTCGATCTTGACTAGATTGTTTCACTTAGAATGTGCCCTTCAACATTGATACTGCGCCGTGGTATTTGACAACCGGAAAGAGTCGGTGCACATACAGATGGATCGCACCTGTATTTCAACAAGTGAGACACCGGCAAGTCTACCAGACACACGATGGCCCAGCAATTTGGACTTAATCCTCTTCGAATTCTTGGATCTTGCGATTATGACAAACGTCGCCCTTCTAAATACATCTTTAAACATCATGACTGTGAAGCACGCTTTGCCTTTCCCTGTGAACACGCTCCAAAGCTCCCGAATAGCCCAGCAATATCCCATCCCATACCCCCATGACGTCCGGTTTCCACGAAATATGATGTACGGTCGAGTAAAATGGCAGTCAAAAAGCCATCGTGCTCCCGTAATCTATCGTATGAAATGTCATGCCTCCCTCCAGGAAACCGATTGCTAATTCGCATCGGACGAACGATGGTCCCCATGTGAAGATGATACACTAAATTTAAATGCCGTGAAGTTAAAAGACTAGTTCCCGAATGTGCCATACGACAGAAATCCCGTACAATAAAGATTAGGTGATGAACTTAAGGTGAGGATGAGAAAGTAGAATTCGGAGAAGAGCGGCCGTCAGGACATCACCGGAACGTAGGAGATATAGAAAGGGGAGAATGAGAACAATGTCGGAAAGAGGTATAGAGAGGACCATAATATGAGACTGCCTTGACACCCGTCTCTTTTGCAAGCTATATTTTAACAGCGTTGAAGAAAATTCATCACTCGTCAAATCATCCTCGGAACAAAAACATGGAAAAAGGTGGAAGATGCAACCACAGTGAAAGGAGAAAGAAGTAGATGATAATGACAAAACCTCCTCTTGATATATAAATCCCATCCACATCGCCCTCACAACACCCGATCCCACCCTCCACCCGCCCGATCAAATGCAAACGGCGGCACCGGTCCATGGGTGAGCCCGTGTCCCAGCGTCGCCCCACCCGGTTGCCCCGGCATCGTGATCGCCGGGACATACACCGACTGATACGGATGCTGCGCTAGGCTGAAATCCGCCGTCGCCAGCAGCGGATTCAAGATCCCACTCGGCGGCTTCCTCCTCGCCTGCGCGGGCGGCGGCGCTGGAGCCGGTGCGCTTGTCACCGGCACCGCACCAAGCGGTCTTCCGGGACTATGCCCCCTCGTCGGCAACGGAGCGGCGCTGGGGACGCTCGTCGGCTGTGCGCCGAGGGCGCTCATGGAATGCGAATTGAACGGCTGCATGGAGGGCGGGGTGGGCATGATTTCGGCGGCGAGGTGGAGGGGTTCGTCCCAGGCCCATTTCTCGCGTAGTTCCTTCTGCACGAAGCCGATGCGCCAGCCGGTTTCTTGGCGGATGCGGTCGAAGATGTGGAGGACTTCTTCTTGTTCGCGGCGGTCGGTGAGGGTTTCGGCGGCGATGGCGAGGGAGCGGAGACCGACGGAAGCGACGCCGCTGCATGGAGGGTTAGTGGTTTGGGATCGCGGGGGGGAGCAGTGGTAGTGGAAAGCAAGTGAAACGAGATCTGGACTCACCGATCTTTGACATGCGCAGTTATGCCGCAGATCATTACGCTGTGCTGTCGCACCATGTTGTGCATATCCTCCAATTCCTGCGGACTCGCAGAATTCGCGAGGACCAGGGGGTTCACCTGTCCCAATAATAACATCGTCGTATGATAGAACAGCCTCGCCACGATCGCTGTTCGCTTGATCAGCCACACCTCGGGGAAGACGCTCTGAGCCATGGTCTGATATGGATAGAGGTATCCCATTGGATGCATGCTCCGCGGGACGCTCTTGTTCCAGCCCTCTGCCCAATCCCTTAGTCGCTCCCATTCCGCATACCGCCTCTGCGTCCGCATTTGCTCGTCACTCGGCGACGCTTCCGCTTTCCGTGGGATCGTGGCGCGGAAATTGGCGGTTTTCCCGATGATGTACATGATTCGGTACGTCCACAGCTCTTCGCGTCCTTGGTCGGTGTTGACGGGATTCTCGTGGGAGAAATCCATGTCGACACCCCAGTCGTCCGGATCCCAGGCAACTTGCCAGTTGAAATGGAGACAGGAGAGCAATTCCATGCCGACATTGAGCCAGAAGCAGGCGGCGCCGATGCCGGTCGACCGTGCATTCCATCCGCACTCTTTGATCAGGGCACGGGCTCCGGCGATGTGATTCATCCGCTGCAAAGCTCGCTCGCACATGATCTCGTAAACGTTTAGAATGACGGCGGTGGTGGCACAGATTACCACATCGCGAGCGGGGTTTTGCAGCGCATTTAGAAGGTAGCGGGTGGCAGTGTCATAATAAGAAAGGGCTTTGTCTTCGTTATATTTCTCATTTACCAGGGAAAGGTGCCGTGCACCGCAGGCAAGAAAGGCGTTTAGAAGCATTGGTTCTGATAATGCGTGGAAAGGGAGCAACCGCGAGAACTAGAGCCGATGAGAAAATGTCCCAAAAACGAAGTTGGATGTCCACTTACGTGTTTGTGAGGATCCATACTGTCCATCCAGATTCCGACCTCCTCGACGAACACCTGCATAAAAAGGACTTCCTCTTGAGTGTTCAGATAATCTCTCCTTCCCTCGGCGCTCGGGTTGGGGTCATGCGCGCTATATGATGAAGCGACACCTCCCGTAGAGCCCCCGTACGCCGAATCCGCTATCGAATGTGTATGACTGTGACCGTGTCCGTGTTGCCCATCCCTTCGCTCAAACATCACTCCAGATGTGTCGTCGGGATAGGTTTCGGGGAGCATCATCGGCGGCAAAGCACTGTGCTCGAGCACCGGCACAGGCGGGGGGGCTGTAACCGAGTATTGGAAGGATATCTCTGAGTCGACATTCGGTACGAGGCGCTTCTTGTCTTCCAGAGGCGCATATCTCCCTTCCCCGCCTTTATACTCGCTTGCGATCAGTCGGCTCTCGTCGACGAAGCTAACAGTCCAATCGTGGGCGTTTGCGACGATTGGTGGCGCCGATACGCTTGTGTCGATGAAGTTCAACTTCACCCCGTACTTGCATTGTCGTTGACTCTTCTTGCAGTTGAGACAGATCGGAATTGTCTCGTCACATTTGAGGTGCCGTTCGCGACAGGTCAAGCAGCCCGTCCGCACCCGCCGGGACTTGTTGGCATTGGGGTCGGCGGGCTGTTGCAGTATCTGGAGGCCGACGCTCGCTTTGTTATCCTCTCCCCCGGACATGGAGGTCCGGATGGCACCGCTGCCCGTCTGTTCCGCCACCTTCCCTTATGGCGACTTCGATTGGAGGCCCGGTGCGAGCTGGATGCCGAACTGGAAGGTCGCTGGCTGAGTGTATCCGACAGAGTTGGGTCCGTATTTGGAAGGTCGCCCACGAGCGCGGGATCGGATATAGGCGGTATAGAAATTCCTGAATCGTTCAAGAAGGGTGTATGTCCTAAGACCGATCGAGAGCCCTCGTTGTTCGTATGTTGTAGCCACCGTGAATAGGACAGGGAGTATATATTCGTATCGTGGGACTAATGAGCCGTTGTAGACGGGTCGGGGTCGTCCGCTTGAAATGAAATGTTTTAACAACTATATTCCAGGCTCTCGTGCTCAGAATGAATTGGGTCCTTCTTTCGAATATTGGGACACCTTCTCTGCAGTATCATTAAGGAGCGTCGAACGCAGCAGATGACTCAAAGCCCTGCGGATACTCCATGCGACAATCTCGTAAGAAATCCTTTCTTGGGTAGGGTACGAACGCGGTTGGAGAGGTCATGCGCGTAAAGGAGGCATCACAGTCACCGCAGAGCAGCGTATTCCGCTGGCTGCTTGAGGTTAGGGATCACACGGTCGTGGTAGACGGCTGTTCTTCCTGTGTTGCAAAGGTACGCTCGACTAAGTGAGCTGCGGACTTGGCAATGGATTGATCGCAATCGTATTCGCGGCGCGTATTATATAAATATGACCGGAGCGTTATGGAGGCGGCTTGTGGAAGAGGGGGAGGAGTAGATGTGGAAAGGGATGTGGTACTGTAGGTAAGGCGGTCTCTCTGACAGAGCAGACGATGAGGCAACAGTCTAGAGTGGATCAGTGGTGAGTGGATGGCTGAGATGCGCTAATATTGGGAACTGGCAACTGGCAAATGGTGGCGGTTCAGGGTTCTGGCTGTCAGTTCTGTCGATCTATTCGCCTAAAGTTACCAGCAGATCAATTAAGATCCTGTATTACCTGATCCTTGAATCCTCGGACAACAGGGTTTGGGCTTCTGGGTAGAAGAGAAACCAATATTTATTCGTCTGCAGAATCGCTGGAAGACGGACGGCTAACGGCGCGCCTGGCGGCCTCGGGAACAGAAGTCAATTGAAGGGATCGGTAAGGTACGTCTGTGTCTTTCCTTGCTTCCAAATTCTCCAATATCTATCCTGGAGAGTCCAAAATGCCAGACGCCACGCGGTCAAAAGAGCTGGGTGTCAAGCCGTGGCGCCCTTGGAAAAGAAATAAACGGGAAGGTCTACGGAGGAACGGATCAAGCGAATGCCGATATCCAGTATTGATGTTGTCCGTCGTCGCAACTCCATTGAGCAATCTGGTGTCTTGATATAGTCATTACCTTTCCTCCTCGTTATGGAAGAATCTGGACACAGCCGCTCTACTTCAATATTGAAATAGGGGAGGCTATATTGAGGTTCGCGACGACTTGCACATACGTGTATACTAAGCGCGTTGCGGCTGCTTCTTGAAGCACGTGGAAGAGACGACTTTCCATTCCTATCTTGTTCACAGTCATAGTTGATGCTTCCCAGACCAGGCGTTAGAACTTAAAGTTCTGGAAAATTCTGGTCAGGGAGTCTTTCCTCTCAGGGCTCTCAGTGCATGGATATCGGGCTCTTTAATATATCGAGATGGACAAGACTGCCAATCGCTGCATCCTTATATGGCCCCCAAAGTATTCATCCAATAGCCGATTTGGCTGTCAGGCTGCGATAGAAGGCTTGCGCTGTCCACACATGGGCTATCGATGAGGCTGTGATGGTTCATCAGTGCAACGATTTTGCTATATCGACGGCACCTCACCCTTCGATTGCTTCTAGAACATAGTTTCAGGATTTTTACTCTTCCGCATATGTTTCAACCTCGATCAACCGTTTACTAACTTTAGGTTTAGTACGGAGTTATTTGCGCCGGTCTAATTCTATGGGCCTACTCGTTTCTTCCTTGCTCTTGGCTACATCTACCCCTATATCGTCCTATCGTCCTATCTCAGGTTCGACCAGGACCAGGACCAGGACCGCACGATTTGCCCCTAAGCTAGTGCCGCAATCATCGGAATCTTGAACTAGAATCTTCCAAGCCGAACGGAGAACCTCCATCTTCGGAAGGTCATTTTACCTGACTTCGTTCCGTGTGCTCCGAGCCACCCCCCTTCGCTTTAGTTCCTACAGGGCTGCACTTCCCGTCCCATATACCGGACCACATTTCCGCCATCATATCCGCACGAAGATGTATGCCTCGCATCTAGAACCTCGTCAAAAACTACCACCACAATCTCCACTCGGCGAGAGAACAACTACATCCACTGACATCGGCGGACAACCACTACCACCGCCGCAACCCGCGTACATATTTCGTGGTCATACGGCTGCCACCCACTGCGTTCGGTTCATTCGGAGCAATGAACGGCTCCTGTCAGGGGATGCCGACGGGTGGGTGGTTTCCTGGGACCTAGCTACCAAACGCGCAACTGCGGTATGGAAAGCGCACGAGGGCTCAATCCTCGGATTGGACCCATGGGGCTGTGAGAGGATCATCACGTATGTTTGAGGGAATTTCACGTTTATTGTTGTTGTTTCGATCTCGTTATTCCGGTTTTCGTTACAAATCTACTCTTATCCAACCCATCATGGATAGGTTTTGGATATTTAGCCCGAATTACCCCTGTTTTTCACATCGTCATGCCTTCACGTCAATGCTGTCATACAATTAAGCTCAATGTCAAATTTCCTCGTATTTTTTCTCTTTGTCAAAATGAACTAGGGGATTCCTACATACCTCGAACGACCAATCGTTTGCAGCTCAACACACTAACCATCCACGCAACAGTCACGGAAGAGATTCCCGTATCCGAGTATGGCAGCTCAGAAAGGAGGACGAGCCCAATTTATCCAAAGTATTACCCACGGAAACCACTTCATCGGAGGAGCACAAGTCCCCGTGGCTGCTCTACTCGCTTGGCGTACCTTCACTGAACTTCTGCGCCTTCTCCTTATATGGAATTCCAAGAGGCTCTACGGTGCCGGGCCGCGTACAGGGACTGGATTCTCACCCGACCTCGTTACCGTCCGAAGAGGCTCTCGTAGCCATTCCAGGACAGAAGGAGGGTGAGGTGCAGATTTCTCATCTGCCGTCTCAACGAGTGGTTTCAACTGTGCCAGGAAGCAACATAGGGAAGACAGGTACGTCCATCATATTATCATTATATCGGTTCATATTTCACCGTTATTTCCACCATCCCATACAAACCCTCGCATCCACGTGTGGTAAAATACCTTTGGATTCTACGAAAATTCCTACACTAGATGACATCCCCTACTTCTAAGTCGTTATCTTCTGTCTCTTGAAATACAACTGAAAATAACATGGATGGCAATCGGTTGCTTTCTCAATTTTTTCCTTGTCATCGCAATGTTAAACCAGTCCTTCGTTTTTGGAAATTGCTCCAAGCCATACATGACTACTTCGAAACTTGCCTCCTGTTTAAACGATAGTCCACGTATCTAACGCTCAGCGCTGTAGGGATGGTCATGGCCGTGCATATCATGCCTCGTTTGTCTGAGAAGTCTCCCCGATCTCAACACTGTGGCCCCACGAAATTCTCACCTGCAGCCGCAACATCGGAAAATTTGGATAAGGAGCGCCTGCCTTCAACTTCCGAGTGGAAGGACTCGCAAAACTTGCATGATACGGAACCACATCAGGAGAGCGAGAGCCTACGTTATCGACACTACCCCTCTGTTAGTCTCGTTATCATTGTCGGGTATGAGTCTGGTCGAACGAGCGTTTTCGTTGGTCATGAGTGTACCCCAACACCACCAGCAATGGATGCATCCTCCCCACCGACAGTCGACGACTTGGCACGTTCAACACTCGGCCCCGACAACCGGGAAATGGATCAGTTTCCGCTACAGCAGAACTCGAGAGTGGGGACTGAAAATGAGGCTCAAATTCGATCAACCGAATCTCCATCACACAGCAAAGAAACAGCAGGATTCCCCTGGTCTGATACGTCACTCACCTGGAAGGAGGTGTATTCCTCCTGTCCACATTCCCAACCCATCCTTTCTCTCGACATATCTCCAATCCATCCAATCTACTACACCTCGAGCGCCGACGACAAGCTCGTAGCTCATCCACTCCCGTCCCCAACATATTCATCCACCACTGCGACTTCATCCGCGGACCCTCTACCCCGTTCTCATTCTCCACCCTTGTCAAATCCGCCCTCTGGACTCTCTCAACTCATTTCGTCCTCTAAGCAGGCCGCAATCTCCACACCCCTCAAAACTTCCCCGCTTCAAACAGCCTCCACCCACCACCCCGGGCAACAAAACCTCCGCGTCCGCTCCGACGGTCTCATCCTCGCGACCGCCGGCTGGGACGGACGCGCTCGTGTCTATTCTGCGAGCACGCTCGCCGAAGTCGCGGTGCTGAAACACACGGGGTTGTCGACGAAGGTGGCGCAGGGGCTTTATGCGCTGGATTTCGCAGGGCTTACTCTGCAAACCAATGGCGGGGAGGGGGGAGGATCAAAACAGGAGGGCTTAAGCGGTGATCAGGGGATGGTGTTATCTAGAAATGAGACTGATAGAAGTGGTGGGGTAGTGATGAGGAGCGAGAAGAAGACATCGGTTAGGAGGGGTATGGTGAGAGAGCGGAGGGGTGAGAGGGCGAAAGGCATGCATTGGGTTGCGGTGGGAGGAAAGGATGGAAGGGTGAGTTTGTGGGAGATATACTAGCACAAACGTACTAGATAATAGATGGGACTTAGTGTGGAATGATATCAATGAATAGATTACGCATTGTTGGGGTTGCGGCTCACGACCTTCGTCGCACTTTCCCCCTCTATCCTAAATTGAACTCGGAAGCCCCAGCCATCATGGCATTCATTGTCTTCCTCATCTTCCTCTTCGCCTCACCCACATCCGCCTGGCCCATCCCATCGCCACCCCCATCATCTCTCTGCCTTTTCCCGCTATCCACCTCAGACGCTTCCCTATCCACATCCTTCCCCCTCGCCTTCCCTCCATCTTTGTCAAAAGTCCTCGGTGGAGCACCCTTCCCATTCTTCTTCCCTCTCATCCCCTTCATATTCATATTCCCTGGCGCCTCCCGCACTCCAAATGCCTTCGCCGCATGGCCCAAATGCAGATCCTTCACATCGAACCACTTCCGCTCGCTCGCCACGTGCGTCGAGTACGCGCGCACGTGGCTCTGGAACGCGCGGATGGCCAGCTCGTGTGCCTTGGTGTCCGCCGCAATCCATCGCTCGATGTACATCTGCAGGTCCGTCGCGCGGGTGCGCCAGTCGTCTTTGCTTGCTTTTGTTTTCTTCGGCCCGTTGTCTCCCGCGCCGCTCGCGTCCGGGACGGAGAACACTCTTGAAAGGATCCCCTCTGCTTCCTCGCGCCGGACCGGCACGCCGACGCCGGTATCGAGGTCTTTGTGCACGCACCCTTTTAGCGCTTCAGCGTAGCCTTCTTCGAGACCGGGGGAGAGAAGTACGGTAGCTTTGCCTTCGCGCCCGGCGCGAGCTGTTCGGCCGACACGGTGGAGGTGCTCGGAGAGGGAGGCGGCGGCATCGAGTTCGACGACGAGATCGATGGGGAGGTCCAGGCCGCGGGAGGAGAGATCGGTGGTGAGGAGGATAGCGGGGGTGGTGGTGCGGGTGAATGCGGTAAGGGTGCTCTGACGGAGGGATTGTGGGAGGGAGGAGTGCAATCGGAATACAATGGGTGTTTCTGGGGTCGAGGAACCCGTGGATGAAGGAGCGAGAAGAGCAGCAGGGAGGGAGGTGGTGTCAGAGCCGGGAAGAGAATGAGAAGGGGGTTGAGTTTGAGGTATCCCGACTAGTGAAGGCATGGTCAGGGTGGTGAAGTGGAAATCGACAGAGTCTGCGCAGGAGATAAAGACGATAATCTTCTTCGCCGGAGGTCGCTGTGTGAGTGCCCGTCGGATCAGCGCTACCAGCGATACGAGCCGAAGCTTCGGAGGCGTGACAAGGTAAGACTGATTGAGCTGGCGATTCGCGAGGAACTGGGTTTCCACAGCCTTCTTGTCACCGTCGGATCCAGAGTTCTCGCCATCAATTTGCGGTTGCGAATTGTCTGCTTGAACATGGATCGCGTCTCGTAGACTCATGTCGCCCAATCGCTGTACATCCATCCTCATGGTCGCAGAACAGAGGATCGTCGTCCGTTTCTGCGGCAGGTTTTGAAATCGAGAGGCCTTAAACTGTCCGGCACTCATGTTCTCATCCAAGCGACCCAACAGCTGCTTGATATCATCTTCGAACCCGAGTTCCATCAATCGATCGCCTTCGTCCAACACCAGCCACCTGACGAGGCTCAAATCCAAGCTCTTCGTATTTTGCAAGTGGTCGATAAGTCGTCCCGGCGTCGCTACGAGGATGTTCAGACCTTTCCGAAGCCTGGATTTTTCCTTTTGCTTGTTCTCTCCACCGAAGACTGTCCCGGGAACGATGTATATGACACATCGTAGGAGTGTTTCAAGAACTGTTGCGATCTGCTTACAAAGCTCCCGAGTGGGTGCGAGGATGATACCAAAGAGTCCCGAATCGCGAGAGACTTTTGTAGGTGAAAGATTGCCGGTTCCGCGTGTCTCCTGCAGATCCATGATCTTCTGGACGAGAGGCAACAGATATGCCAAAGTCTTCCCCGAACCCGTCTCGGCTTGGATGAAAGCATCTGCATCACCTTCCAGCAGCTTCGGGATTGCCGACTTCTGCACCGCCGTCGGAGCTTTAAATTCCATCTTCTTTGTCAGATGTCCGGCAATGGTCGGGCTGACACCAAGGTTTATGAAGTTATACGCCTCAGGATCGAGGGGTGCATTCGATGCCTCGACGTTCGAGGGAGCAATATCGCAAGTGTTGTCCGCTGGGACGGGCGGCGCGTTCGCAGGGTTGTACGAAAATAGAGACGCCACAAATGGCTTCGAACCTTGGGCGCCCTTCTCGGGTCTTTGGAAGTGAGGTCCGGTTCCCCCAGAGGGCTTCGTATATCGCGGTTCACCATAACCCTGCTCCTCCACTCTCTGCCGCTTAACAGGCCTCTGGGAGGCATCGGCAGGACCATTTTTCTCCAGACCTCCTTCTGCCGATTCGTCACCTCCATATGCTCTCGTGAAGCGATTAAACGTCCGTCTCTTCTCCGCGTTCCTCGCCTGCATGCGGGCTTTCCAGTTTCCGCCTTTCAGCTTGGCTTCCGGCGCAAGAGGGCCATCGCCCACCTCGAAATTAAGGAGCATGCCATCGTCGGCCATGGCTGTGTAGATTATCGGAGATCTATGACATTTCCTGCAGTTATGGTGCTGCAATATCAAATCGTGAGAAAGCCAGAATATGAAAACACGAAAATTTCCCGATGACAGGGTAGAGTTGCCAAGATTTCGCCCCACTTTCACGTGGGTCACGTGCGGGTCAATAGCCACGGCGGACTAGAAGAGCTCAAGATGCAAGTATAGAAGCTCCTGCGAATAATTAAGAACTGGCTGCTCATCCGAGGGATTCCTTTATATACCGCGGCCTTTCCATTTCATCCCGGAGTCTCCTTCATTGGAAGACTTCGCAGATGGTCAATTCCGCCGTATGTGTCATTTCTCAGAATCACGCTGCGTAATCCCCGTTAGAAGATGAAGTATTCCTCCGTACATGTCCCCGCAATGCGGAGGTTCACCAATATCGGCGGTGTCACATCAGGGCCGTCGACAACGCCTACGTACGCCAGAGTCGCGGGACGGCAAATATCACCGAATGGTTCGACATAATCTGGTTCGTATGATGCAATTGAAGCTAACACTTCTTAAAATTCCAGCACTACGATACCAATCCTCAGCCTCCTTTCGCTCCGACATCCAAGTCCACCGCACCGTCCCCGACCTCCGGGCCTACCGCAATCAATTCTCTCGCTCCTCCCAGTCCGTTGGATTGGTGCCCACTATGGGCGCTCTCCACGAAGGCCACCTCTCCCTCGTCCGACTCGCTGCAGCGCAGAACCCCGCCGTCTTCGTTTCCATCTACGTGAACCCGACTCAGTTCGGAGTGACTGAGGATCTCTCCACATACCCGGCGACGTGGGACTCGGATATGAAGAAATTAGAGGCCGTGGATCGAGAGCTGGCATCGACACCGGGCTCGGGGAGGGTGGTCGCGGTGTTTGCGCCGACGACGGAGGTCATGTATCCGAGTGGGTTTCCGAGCCAAGAGATCGGAGGTTCTGGGAGCTTTGTCACAATCAGTCCGCTTGGAAGTGTTCTGGAAGGCGCCAGCCGGCCGGTGTTCTTCCGTGGAGTTGCAACGGTCTGTATGAAGCTGTTTAACATCGTGAAGGCCGAGAGGGTATACTTCGGTCAGAAGGACGTGCAGCAGACCGTGGTGATCCAGAGAATGGTAAAGGACTTCCACGTTGACACCAATGTGATCATTGGAGATACACAAAGAGAGGTCGACGGCCTGGCCCTGTCGAGTCGGAATATCTATCTGGGTTCGAGAAGGCGGAGTGTCGCCGTGGTCCTGAGCCAAGCACTAATGAAGGCCGAGGAGCAATTCCTCAAGGGCAAGCGGACTCGTGATGAGTTGCTAGGTCCCGCTTGGGAGTTGTTGAAAGAACGACATGCGGGGCAGGATACCCTTCCATCTGAGCAGCGAGCTCGATTCGAAGCGGACTACATCAGCCTTGCTGATCCCGAGTCCCTGGAGGAAATCGATGCGGTGGATGATAGAGGCGCCATTTTGAGTGGCGCCATTAAGATGATGCCCCTTGAAGATCCCGTATCCGGCGAAGATGCGGGGATGGGCGGTGGAATCGGGACGGTTCGGTTGATTGATAATATCATACTGAGACCCACGTGAGATGCGGAACGGGCTCAATCTTCCAACCTGAATGTGTCCTTGAGCTTCTTGTTTGCCCTATCGGGGGCCCTGTTCTGTAGTCTAGAACCGTGCAGTTCGAACACAAGTGTCCTGCCTTCCACCTGTCCATTGGAATTGATGGCAGGATTGGAGGCGAGTGGAAGCTCCATCCGGAGTATTGTGAATTCCTTCGGCACAACTATGCGTCAGATCCGTTAGTGCTGCGATTAATACTATCGGTTGGGATAGAATTTCCACACCTTTAATCTCATTGTCCCTCGTAATCATTTCATAGGTGAACTTCGTGTCCTTCAACACGATGCCCCGAAGGCCAACCCGACTCACACAGCGGCATTGCACCACCTCCAGATATGCGCCATGAAAGTCCGCAGAAGCAAGCAACGGGCCCCCATTCGCAACGCTAACGAACTGGTGCTTCTTCGACTGCTTCGCCTCCCCATCCTCGACCCCCTCCATCGCATCCTCACTCTTTCCTTCTTCTTCATCGGCATCAATCCCGAGCAGCCCTCTCACATAGTCAGCCCACATAGCCCACAGCGGCACATAAATTTCCCATCTCTTCTCCTCCTTCGAGATCTTGTGGACCCCGAGCGCACGCTTCATCTTCGCGCTCAGCGGCTTCGGTTTGCCACTCGCTCGGAACTTCCGCTGCGCGAGCTTCGCCTCCTGTTTCCTCTCGCGAGCGAGACGGCGACGGTCACGCGCATCTCGGGCGGCGGATGGGTCGAGTTGGGTGTTGGGGATGAAGGGGAGGGGTTTTAGAGAGACGGTGGATTTGAACAATGATGCTGCTGTTGTGGGTGGATGTGCCAGTGACAACAGAGCTTCGGCGGGATGGAGAGGCTTTCTTGGCTGGGCTATGGATGTCATTCTGGCTTAGCAGCCGATGGTTTAACTGCTTATTTTCCTGACACGGCGGCTTAGAGATGGAACATCAAGTCCATCGCAATTGAGATTCTAGGTGTAGAGGTGTGTCAACATGAATATATAAAAAAGTAGTTGAGATAAGCCCAGTAGAAAGCAATCATCAAGGTAGGAAATAGTAATAAATATTCTGTTCTCAATTCTCTCTAGTGTTAATAATCGCCAACTGGATGTGGCTCCACCAATCATGTCCTCCTTAAAAAACATATCTCTTCTAACTGGAATTAGCGTATAGTCGGCAATTTAGCAATCTTAACGCCGACTGGATCGTGGTGTTCTGTTATTTCTGACTTCGTCGGAATCATCGACCATGACAAGAAATTCCAAGCCTGCTGCGCCTCCATCCTCGCAACCTTGCTTTAGTTTGGTCCCATCTTGCCGATTTCCACGCGTTTTTTCTAACCAATATTGGAATTTAGAGTACTGTCGCTGAGTCAAGATCCTTACTTCGAATTCGTTGCCAATTCTACCTGGACCTTCAGTTCTGTGTTGTGTTATCATTCTCGTTCGTATCCACGTCATCTGGCGTAGATTCCGCTTACAAGCCGAAGAATGGGTTTCAGAATTCAATAGTACTTGTCTCGTCAATTATAGATATGTCTATGAATATCTCTCTTTATTTTCTTTAATCGCTCGGTCCAGTCCAAAATGGCGTTCCTACGCCAGCTCCTCACCCTCGTTCGGAAGGACCTCCTTCTTGGTGTCAATCGACGCAGTCTTCACACGACCATTTTACGTGCGTTCCTTGCGCCGCTGATCTTCTCGTTCTTCATCACGTTCGTCATCCGTGCCTTCTGGCCTCAACAAACATATGGAATTGGCAGTCCCCGGCCCATTCGCTCGCTCGCCGATGCCATGACCATTGCGGTACCGGAACGGCCCACTTTGATGTTTGTCAACGAGGTTTCCCCGGACGGTGATATTGACCGAGTCATCAATGAAGTGGCTGGCCCAGTCCGCGAACGCGGCCACCGCGTCGTGCTGACGCGCGATGGGAATGAGCTGCTGAATAGTTGCCGCAGTACCCTTCGTGGTGTGACGAAATGCTACGGTGCCGCAGTCTTTCATTCCTCACCAACTGAGGGTCCCGATGGAAGATGGAACTACACATTGCGATTTGACGGCGAATTTGGTCGTTCAATTGATGTGAGCAGGGATGACAACGCCGCTCAAGTGTTTCATCTTCCTTTGCAGCATGCGATTGATTCGGCTATCGCTGGCATAGATGCGAACGCTGCGGAACTCCCGAATAACGCCCAACAACTCCTGTTCACATCGCTTACCCCAGAGGAGTATCGTAACTTGATCACTAAGAAGCTACTCGAGGCCGTTACGAACTTTCTTGGAGCGGTTTGGTATCTTGCATTTATCGGCGTCTGCTACCACCTTGTTGGGACCATGTCAAAGGAACGTGAAATGGGCATGGCCGATCTCCTGGAGTCCATGATGCCGAACATTCGACGTTGGGAACCGCAGGTTGCGCGACTGGTGGCTCGCCATCTTGCCTTCGATATCATGTACGCACCCAGCTGGATCGTCATTGGAATCGTCATGAAGACCGGTCTTTTTCGCAACACGTCTGCGGGCATTGTCATCATTTTCTCCATCATTGCCGGACTGTCCCTCGTCTCGTGGAGCATCCTTGGTGCGGCTTTCTTCAAGAGAGCCCAATTGAGTGGCATCACGACCGTCATCTTAACGTTGGTATTGGCCGTCGCCGGACAAGTCACGTCGAAGTATATGAGTGTCGCAGCTGTTGGTGTTTTATCAGCGCTCTTCTCCCCTATCGCGTTTACGCTCGCAATGATCAACATGGCTCGATTCGACCACGCCAACAGAGGGACAAACCTCACGGAAGGCGCCCCAGACGCACACTGGGACTTCCCATCGATCGCGTTCTGGGTTTTCTTGATCGTCCAGACATTTGCATATATCGTTTTGGCCGCATTTGTCGAACGAGCTCTCTATGGGAGTGCAGCGACTCGCAAGGGTCGTAACGTCAATTGGCGCCCTACTCAACCGAGTAGCGATGCTGGCGCACAAGTGAATGTCCCTGTGCGGCTCGAGAATTTCAGCAAGATTTACCAATCCCCTTGGTGGGCTCGGACGCTAATGCCGTTCCTTGGACTCAAATCCTCCCCAGTCACGGCGGTGAAGAATCTGTCATTGTCTGCCCTGAAAGGCCAAATTCTTGTCCTCGTCGGTGCAAATGGATGCGGGAAATCCACCACCCTCAATTCCATTGCCGGACTATTATCGCTAACATCAGGCTCCATTACTCTGGACGGCACGGGTGGAATCGGACTTTGTCCGCAAAAGAATGTCCTCTGGAACGGATTGACTGTCGAACAGCATGCTCGAATATTCGTCGGCCTGAAGAGGTCTGGGAAAATGGATCGTAAGCAGGAAATCCAAGAACTGATTGACAGTTGTGGCCTGAGCGACAAACGTAAGGCCATGGTACGGACTCTGAGCGGTGGTCAGAAGAGAAAGTTGCAGTTAATTTGCATGCTCGCTGGCGGATCCCAGGTCTGCTGTGTCGACGAAGTCTCCGGGGGACTCGATCCGTTATCCCGGCGGAAAGTCTGGGAGATCCTCCTGAAAGAGCGGGGCCAGCGAACTACTATCTTGACAACACATTTCTTGGATGAAGCTGAATTTCTCGCCGATCACATGGTCGTCATGGGAGAGGGCAGGCTGAAAGGAGCGGGTAGTACTGGTGACTTGAAGAGGAGGGTAGGAGGTGGTTACAGAGTCCATGTCCTCCCTATGGCAACATATGAAGATGAGAAAGGGATGCATGTCACTGAAAAGTACGACCACGATGAGACGCATTTCGTGTCTAGTACCGCCGAAGCCGTCAGCAAAATGAAGGAACTAGAAGCGGAAGGGAAGCGAAACGTTCAAATCACCGGACCTACGATGGAGGATGTTTTCCTAAGATTGGCCGGAGAAGAGATTGACTCCTCCTCTGAACACGAGCTAGAGCACGAGGCGGAGTTGAGTATAATGGGTACTCCCTCTACTGGGACGCCGAAAGAGACGCCGAGCAAAGTGGCTCAGGATCTCATGAGAGCAAGAACTCGAGAGTCGCAAGCCGGCCAAGCCGACCTCTTGACAGGCACCCGAATCGGCACGCTAAAGCAGATGCGCATCCTCTTCCTCAAACGCTGGACTGTTTTCAAGCGGAATTACGTACCGCACTTGGCTGCGTTTGCCCTCCCAATCATTGCTGCTGGCTTCATGTTGCTGCTCCTTCGAGACCTGCACAACCCCGGGTGCGATCCCGTCAGCCAGGTCAACGACGCGGACATTGAAACTCTCTCAGATTCCATACGTCCTCAGATTCTGTTTGGTCCGGCGTCGGCGTTGAGAGGGAACAGCATCTCACTAATCCAGGGGATTCTACCCAGTCAGACTCTCGGCTCAGGCGACACGGCCATCAACGCAAACAACCAGAGCAGCCTCATGAGCGCCGTCCACCTTGTCCCGACAGTCGATGAGTTTTACACTTTCGTTGATATAAACCAGAGCACCATCATCCCGGGCGGCATATTCCTCGGCGACTTGACAACTCCTCCTACCCTCGCTATTCGCTCAAACATGGGTGTCCTCGCAGTATACAGCGCTGTGTTCCTACACAACGCTTTGAATGTCCTCCTCTCGAACGTCACCATCTCCACTCAATTTGCCGTTTTCGATCTTCCTTGGCCCGCAGATACCGGCAATGCACTGCAATTTGTCTTTTACTTCGGACTGGTCATGGCTGCATACCCGGCTCTCTTTGCTCTATACCCGAATATCGAGCGCACGAGGAACGTCCGAGCGTTGGAATATAGCAATGGCGTGCGACCGCTGCCGCTATGGGGCGCTTATCTTGCTTTTGATTCCTTTGTAAACTTGGTCGTGGCAGGTATTGCTACAGCCATCCTTACTGCAGGGGCCTCCGACGCGTGGTGGCAGGCCGCGTATTTATTTCTTGTCTTCTTCCTATACGGCATTGCGAGCACACTATTAGCCTATTTTATCTCCCAGTTTTCCAAGTCGCAGTTGTCGGCCTTTGCCTTTGCTGCTGGTTCTCAAGCGTAAGTTGCTCCGATATCTGCTTTCCTGGGCTGGTTGCTAATTGATCCGGATTGCAGAGTAATGTTGTTGCTTTACCTAACAGCATATTTTATCATTACCTCCAACGCATCGGGGTATACGGCTGATTCAAGCATCCTAATTACACACTTCACCTTTGGCCTTATCACCCCAGTTGGTCAGCTGGCCCGTGCTCTTCTGGTGAGCTTAAATGTATTCAGCATTTTATGCAGTGGCTCTCCGCCAGTGAAGGCAGAGTATGGAGGAGGAATCTTGCACTACGGTGGACCCATTCTCTATCTTATCGGACAAAGCCTCGTCCTCTTCCTTCTCCTAGTATGGTCTGACTCGGGATTTACTCTCGGCTTCCTTGAACGTAAATGGCCATTCAAACGATCGGACCGATCCAGACACGGAACATCAGACCTTGAAGACAGGACCACGGAGGAACCCGAAGTCATCGCAGAGGCCGCGAGGGTCCCTGTTTCCGACGATGGGCTCAAAGCCCTTGGCCTCTCAAAGACCTACAGCGGAGTCGCATTCGGCAAGCTTGTCGCCGTCACCAACGTTACCTTCGGCGTGCGCGAGGACGAAGTCTTCGCCCTCGTTGGTCCGAACGGCGCAGGCAAGAGCACGACAATCTCCATGCTCCGAGGCGAAGTCAAGCCAAATTCCGGCTCCGGCGACGTCCTCGTTGATGGAGTCAGCGTGCTCTCTGATAGGCAGGTAGCGCGAGCTAACCTCGGCGTCTGCCCACAATTTGACGCATTGGACAAGATGACAGTGCTCGAGCATTTACGGTTCTTCGCCGCGATCCGTGGCGTCAGCGACGTCGACCGCAACGTCGAGGGAGTCATTCATTCGGTGGGATTGACGCCGTTTAGAGATAGGTTGGCGCACAAGCTCTCGGGCGGCAATAAGCGGAAGCTGAGCTTGGGGATCGCACTGATCGGCAACCCAGCCGTCGTGCTCCTTGACGAACCCAGCAGCGGCATGGATCCTCTTGCGAAACGGTCCATGTGGCGGACGCTCGGAAGGGTCGCGAACGGGCGTGCCATCCTCCTAACCACCCATTCCATGGAGGAAGCGGATGCACTGAGCAATCGCGTGGGCGTGTTGGCAAAGCGATTGCTGGACATCGGTGACACGGAGCATCTGCGCAGAAAATACGGACACGGATTCCACGTGCAGCTGTGCTTGAAAAGTGCGCCACATAGCAGCGAGGAGGAGATGGAGAGTGTGGAAAAGTGGGTGAAGGAGAGGTTTGGAGAGAGTGTGGAGCGGGAGGGGAGGCATTGGCAGGGGCTGATGCGGTTCCATGTCCCCTCCAGAGCGGTACATTTGGGGCTTGAAGGAAATAAGGATGAACAGAACAAGCCAGAAGAGGGTGCCTCAGTCTCGAAGCTGTTTGTCGAGCTAGAAGAACATAAGGAGACTCTGGGGCTGGAATTCTACTCGGTCAGTCCGACGACGTTCGACGAGATTTTCTTGAAGGTTGTCGCGAAGCATCATGTTGGAGAGGAGGATTCCATTGAAAAGACGAGTAGATGGAGGAAGTTCTTGTGTTGATAGCTGTATAATAGAAATATATACCTATGCATGATCTTGGTATTTACTTCGGCCTGTACGTCAACCCATATACAAACCGAACATTCTCTGGTCGATCCGCTAAGCAGGGCTGTGCTGAGGAAGATTGAATAGTTATGTCCAAAGGGACTACTTAACTAACTTCAATGTATTAAGGGTTGCGCTTTTTCTGCTCAGTCTGTCCTTAAAGCAATACAGGCTTGATACCGCTTTGTTTACGCTACGCTAGTTACGTGTAGGGTACATTACCTCCGGATGGGCAAGGATTATTATTGACGTAACTTCACAAGGTGACCTTCGGTAATCTGTACATGCAGCAACTACAGAATACATCATCATTGCTTATAGAGAATTTTTCTTGGGCTTGCGAGATTTAATATATTTTTCTGTATATACTATTTATCGTCTATCGAGTCGTTTCATACCTTTTTTTGTCCAAGCCGGCCAGAATTACTCTCCAGGAAAAGCGCAAGATAATAAAACGGGCAATAATTATATGTACTAGACCTAAGAGACCATCCTGACAAGCAACAATGGGATCAGTCCTTGAACTATTCTCCCTCGAGGGGAAGACGGCGCTGGTCACTGGTGGCACTCGAGGCATCGGTCAAGCCATGACTCTTGCTTTGGCCGAAGCCGGCGCAGATATTATCCTGATTCAGCGAGATACCTCAAATACCGCGACCAAGTCCCTGATCGAGTCCCTTCCCGGATCACGAAAATGCACGATCATCACTGCGGATCTCTCCTCCGCAGAATCAGTCCGCTCACTGGTCCCAGACCTTCTCTCGAGAAACCCCTCAATACGGATCGATATCCTCCTCAATTGCGCAGGCATCCAGCGCCGCCACCCCAGCCAGAAATTCCCGGATGAAGACTGGAATGACGTACTCCAGGTCAACCTCTCCACTGTCTTCACCCTCTGCCGCGACGTGGGCGCGTACATGCTGTCCCAGTCCCCTGACTCCCGCGGCCAGCGTGGCGCCATTATCAACGTCGCGTCGCTGCTCAGTTTCCAAGGCGGGCTTACGGTGCCCGCGTATGCAGCATCGAAGGGGGGAGTAGCGCAATTGACTAAGGCTCTGAGCAACGAGTGGGCGGGCCAGGGAATCAACGTCAATGCGATCGCACCGGGGTACATTGCAACGGATATGAATACGGCGATTATCAACGATGAGAATCGGGCAGGTACCATCCTGGCGAGGATTCCCGCGGGGAGATGGGGGAAGCCGGAGGATTTTAAGGGGGTTGTGGTCTGGTTGGCGAGTGCAGCGAGTGCTTATGTAAGTGGGGAGATTGTAACGGTGGATGGGGGGTGGATGGGAAGATAAGTATCTATCAGGTTTATAGAGAGATTGGGATTTAGAGAGCACGAGAAAGATCTGCGGATATGGAAAGATAAGAATAGGGATTTATTGCGCGGTTGATGCAGTCAGATAAATTTTGATAGATTAAATAAAAATTGGGGATGTGTTGGCGCTTTACCTGCTAGATTTGAAACTCTTCCGCTCAGACGTCCCTATTCATAAGCTAACATATCGCGTACTTGAACAGACTACTCATTCAGTCCTCTTCCTTGTCCTCGGCAGGCCATAGAATGACCCTAGCATTAGTCCAAACAACCCTATGCAAACCGGATGCATAACCCATACCCCTTTCCATCCAGCAAGACCACCAATAAGGAAAGGTCCAATCGCTCCTCCTGAGCTACCAGCACTTGATATGAAACCCAAAGCCGCTGTCTGCAATCGATGATCAAGCATCCTAGCAAATATCGTTGTGGCACATGGATAAATCGGGCCGAGTAATACCCCCAGTATCGACACGCTAACGGCGCTTGATATTAGACTTGGTATTTGCCAGGTGAGGACCTGGAAGACGATCGATAGTATACCAAGAAGGTATACCGATTTGCTTTCTCCGAGTCTCTTCAGAAGAGGGGTCACGAAGAACCTGCCCACAGTGATGCCGCCCCAAAATCCGGCGGTGACGTAACCGACAGAGCTAGGAGTGCCGTCCCGATAGTCAAGTAAGAAGGAGATGACCCAGCCAGAAATCGCCACTTCGGCTCCTTGGTAAGCGAAGAGGAACAAAGCACCCATGATCGTGGTGCGTTGCTTGATGGCTTCAAGGATGGTTGACTTCGGTGTAGTGGTGCCTCCCTGTTGACTCGCCATTGTCTGCAATGCGGCCTGGGGTTGAGAGGGTGAGTCGGCTTCGTACCCCCGAAAGGCGAGCCCGGTCGCAATGAGCGCGATAACGCGGACGGCGATGGTAATGATGTAGAACCTCGACCACACCATCCCATTGGACACCATCGTAGTGGCGATGATCGGAGCGACAATGCCGCCAACGCCGTATGATCCGTGAGCAAGCCCGAGGATGACCGACGAATCCGCAAGATTGGCACAGAACACGTTGTTCAGCGCCAAATTCGTCGCCATTCCATATCCGAACAGGAAGAACGCGATCACGACGACCGGAAATGGCGGGGAGCAAGCAAGCGCAACGCATCCAGTCAACAAAAAGATCTCGGAGAGCATCAGCGTCTTGGATCTACCGAGACGGAGCAACGTCGTGTTCGTGAAGAACGCTGCGGCGATGAATCCAACCGCATTGGCTACGAAGACGAGGGATACGATCGCATAGCCAATGCTGTAGAACTTTTCTAGGTATGGGATCAACGCGCCAGGAGCACTGTCATTCATTCCGTTCCCCATGTATTCAAGACAACAAGCAAGGATCCGCCACTTATTCACGGAAGGGGTCCGCCATGTCTGTACCAGGCTGGCGGCATCGGGCTGGATGGAATTGGGAGGGGAGTCCCGGTTTCGTTCGAGGTCATTTGGTGTGGTCGGGGAAATTTGGCCGGATAGGAGTGCGTTTTCTCGTTCCGGAGGTGGCCCATAAGGTGTATGCGGGATACTGGGAGGGTTCCTGTTCGGGATGAACTCGAGTTCGAACTGGCTGGGGGTGGCATCGCGTTTTGTAAGAGCAATAGGAGGGTTCTGAATAGGTTTGTCTGATTTGACCTCAATCAGGGCCCCGAGTTGTTGAGCCATGACTGAAGACTCCGGAACAGAACAAAGCACACAATGAGAAAAGTTGGTGACTTCAGACGAGACGTGAATGACAGAGTAAGAAGAGCTGAGAGAAATACTTTGCAATGTTTTGGCTTTCCTAATGGAGTACCGACTTTAGATATATATTGACATAATTATGGACACTTACTAAAGGCCATCCGGTGCAGAAGCTCTGCATTTCAGCACATCAACAAATTGGATGTGACGAGGAAGTGCGTTGTCTGAGTGAAAAGTCGTGATGGGGTGTGGAGAGAACCAGTTGTCCATAGGGTATATTTCCTTATTGGGAAATGTACCCGCCTATCCGCCCGGAAAATTCGCAAGCAGTGAATCACCCGCCGAGCTCCCTCTTCTAGTCTTTCTCGATCATTATTAATGTTCCGAATACATTCTCCACCACCCCGATTAACTTGACTCATACTACGACGATATGCCGCGCGGAAAAGCTCCACCAAGGAACAAGCTGGAGTCCATCGGCCTCGAAACAGCGAACCCCCCGGAAACCCTCGAGTACAACCAGACCATTGCACGCATCGCGAAGAATGAAGGACGAAACCTTTTCACCGTCTCCCTCCCAAATGGGAAATCCGCACTGGCTGAGTTGGACCAGAAGTTCGTTAACACCGTCTGGATGAAGCGAGGCGGGTTTGTGCTCGTTCAAAGGCGCGAAGATGAAGATACGGGGAAGGTCGGAGCAGATATCATCAATGTTGTGAGAGAGGACCGGATATGGAAGAAGATGCCTTGGTGGTGAGCTTCAGGCCGCTTGATTTCTTAAGAGTCCAATACGCTAATATGTTTATCTCACCAGGCCGAAACAATTCGCCAAAACAGCAGATGTGGAGGATGAGGAGTCCAATGTTGGCAAGATGCCACCATCTGAGAGCGAGGAAGAGGACTCCGCGGGCGATGTCTGAGACCAGACCTCGTTTATTCACCATGCACTTTTTTCTCCCTCCTGGTCTCAAAGAAATCCTTCCTCGTCCCCCACCATACGCCGCCAACCTGCGCCGCAAGACAGGCTACCACCACTGCGCTACTAACTGGCGTGCTCGGGAAAATGTTCCACGCCACTTCTTGCGCGGCCCACACCGCAATTATTCCTATCGGTGGAAATCCTGCTCGCCAGAGTAAAAACGGTGTGCCCCAATAGCCCCAGGCATAGAATTGATAATGCAGACTCCTTGCGCAGAGCATGCCGACGGCGTTTGCGGTGAGGATGGCGGTTGGGATAAAGGTCGCTGAGGCAGCCGAGACGAGATCTGATGCCATGGACGGAACCGGACCGCTGGATCCTTCCGAAGCGTAAGGGTCAAGCAAGGCGATCTGGAGCGCCTTGAATGAGGATATCGCCTTGCGGGATTCATGCCTCGCCGATCCGGACCCTCCTGAGGCTGAAGTGGTGGGAACGGAAGATCCGCTTACGGTCCGCAGCGGCGCAAGCCAGCGCGTCGTTGCGAAGACCGAGAGAATCCACGCATGTGCCCCAAGAAGGGCGGACGAGAATATCTGGGAGAGAAAGACTTCCTCCGACACAAACCGGAAGTTAACGGTCCATTTGTAAAGAAACTGCCTTCCTAGATCAAACGCTCGTTCGAAATATTGCGGCGTATGCTTGACCAGAAATGGATATCCGATCGCGACCTGAATTTGGGCCATGACCAGTGCCTGCGTGATCGCCCGTTCTCGCCCAAGTGCTTGCAGTAGGACAATTCCGATGGCAGGGAGAGGAAGCAGCATGGACATCTTGACTCCCACGCCTAATGAGTAGAAAAAGGATCCTACTGTGAAGAACTGGCGTTGATAGAAATAGATCGTAGCCCACAAGAAGAACGCGACGAAGGAGTCATTGAACAGCCGGAGCAAGAAGATCGAATGAACCCTCTTCGAAAGGACAAGCAGTCCGAGTAGGTATGGCGGTGCCTTTGCCTTGCGATAGACGGCCATGACCAGAGCTAGGGTAGCTAGGTAGACGCCTGCGAATATCCATTGCGCCGTCCGAATATTTCTACCTTTGTCCGTGACAGCATATAGTGCTCGATAGATGTAGACGTGCATTGCAGGATATACCAGAGGCCCGGTACCGCCTTTGATATTCGCGTATTGACGCTCTCCTGCCACGAATTGGGAGACTTGTGACATATATGCATCCCAATCGATCTCGGTGTCTAAGGCATTCACGTTAGCTATGTTGACTTCGCTCTATAACATCGTTCCATCCTAGCAAATCCAACTACTTAGAATATGCGCAAACATACATGGGACGTAGAGGATGACCGCAACGCAAAGGACGGCGTCGGCCAGGATGAGTAACGATGCAATCCATCGTGAGTGTCTCGGATTCGTCAAGAGATCCTTGATCAATCCCAGAGGATTGTCCATTTCTAGTTCTTGAGATGTATACTAGAACAATACAATTTCCATCATGGAAAATTAGATGATGGCTCAAGTTAAGAGCGCACGATCAACGATGGTTGTCAGTGTGCACGTTTCACTCACAGTTTCAGGGCTGCTGCTCCACTCACTGAAACGTAGAGAACATTAGGATTTATACTTCCCAAAATCATTAGTTAACATATTTAAACCTTTCGCTGACAGGACTAACCCCCTAAATTATTTATTTGTCTACTCCTACGATCTCCATGCTCGTCCTTCTAGTTGATCGGAGGTATTCCACAGGCTCGAGACAATTATGGTAGGGGTCACATAAGAGTAGGAATCCGCGAGTTTCTCATATACGGCACCAGATAAGGTATACCAGATATCTATATATATGAATTCCAGCGAGGGAATCCTCTACATTTACTAATACTAGAACGCGGTCAGAGTCGCCTTTATCATTTATGATCATGTCGGATTTGCGTGGCGTCAAGTTGTTTGATATCATGTTCCATAGACGTCCACTGCTGCCTTGCCTCTTGCGTTCTTCTGACTATGAACCAGAAGAGGCTGGCCCCCTCAGCGCGTACAGAACGGTGATATTTTAAGCCCGCGGAATCTGTGTATTAGTATCTCATATTCCGAGTTCTGACGGACGCAGCTTAGCTAACAGAACCCCCAAGCCGTCTCACCTGTTGCAACAAGTCCCAACTTTCGTGGTCAACAATCATCAGGCAGCCGGTATGGATTCTCCTGCAGAAGTCAATATTATGGTAAGGCTTTCTCCTGAATTAAATACAGGATGCTAAAGTTTGAAGACATTCCGGTTAGGGCTGTAGACCATCTCTGCCATCGGACAATGGTTCTATCCTAATACGTCCATCTTCGACTTGCGTGTCAAATATACCAAACTCGACAAGCTCTTGGACTCGTTTTCAAATGGCCATTACAGGGCTCTCGGAAACCCCACTTTTATGGAGTAGCATACAATAGGTGGATGCCCTGCATCGTTCTATTGAAAGCAAAAGGTAAAAGAAGCATTATACGAGCTTTCCCCTGAAGAACGACTCCAAGCTCTCGATGCGGTACCATAAAGGATGCTTACAACGAGCTGACTGGGCTGGTCCTAGTCATGGCGATCCCCAGCCTCATAACACTCTCATTGATGGCAATCATGTAACGTTCATAGATTTTGACTTAACCAGGAGGTAGAAGATGCGAGATGGAATCATGCGGACTATAAATCGCTTCGGAGAAAGCTGAACAACCATTGTCAGAACCGGATCGTCTCTCTAGTAGCTTGACTGCCGCTGGAATGGGATCTGGGTCATCTCATCCTGAATCTGGACTTGGAAAGATGAATATATGGGGTTTGGGCGGCTTTGGATCAGATATGTACCCCTTATCCCAATTTTGAATAAGTTGTAGGGAGACTCGGACCTGCTACTATGGAAGAAGACAGCACCGGGGTCTCCTTACCTTTCAATTCCAAGTCGTAAAAAGAGAACCCAGTCGATTTACTACCGGGAAATGGCTCAAGATTAGCCCAACTCTATAACCTGTAGGTCGAAGCCACTATCATCAGCTTGAGAACATCTTACATCACATCACACTACGGTGGCACGAGTCTAAACAATTGTCATTAGATGATGTACAGGTGATATGAGCTGTACATTTAACATTTATAACTATTACATACTTCACTTGCTGACAATTCGATCGCCTGCTCTAGAAGTTCATCATGTCTGCCATCTCGTCAGTATCCAAGTTTCACAAGTCCTAATCAGGTTGTGTACTCACCTCGACCAAAGATGGCCCTCTTCGCCCAATCCATTGCCAACATCAACCGCGTCCTCAAACTAACGCTCTGCGCAAAGTAAATGCTCCTCCAAAGATACACCGCCATCAACCCTCCTCCAAAACTCATCCCACCCCCCCAATCGAAAATCGCCGCGTTCCCGATGTACGCCAAGCTGCCCAGATGCCGATACGCGAACGGCTTGTACACCGCCTGGTCCAGATCCCCGTACTCCACCTGATTCACCCCCATCCCCGGCGCCATCTGCGCCATCTTGTTGAACTTCCGCGCTAGGTACTGCCCCTGCTGGTGCGCGCGCTGCGCCGTTGCCGGCAGACTCGTCAGCTTCGCGTCGATCTGCCTCAGCAGCTCATACACCTCGCCGAAGTCCAGCGTACCCGATCGGTCCTGGTCGTACTGGTTGAACAGCTTGTCGAGCCGGCGGAGGTGGTCGGCCGCCTGGGGGAAGCGCTGCTTCACGCGGGTGGCCACCTGTCGCCATTCGCTGTACGTGAGTTGTACTTTCTCGGGATCCTGGCCCTTTTCCCAGGCGACGGTGCGCAGGAACGATACGATGTGCTCCGATACATTGTTCTGCACGGTGGCGCAGTCGCCAATGGCGTAGACGTCACCCAAGGGCGTGCCGATGATGCGGCAGTGCGCGTCAGTTTCGAGGGCGTGGCGGTTTTTCTGATCGGAAAGCTTCGCAGCGAGGGAGCGGGAGAGGGCGGTTTGGGAGACGCCGGTGGACCAGAGGCAGAAGCCCATGGGGATTTCCTTGACGACCACCTCGCCGTTGCCACCGATCTGGGTGAAGTGGATGCGGTCGGAGAAGACTTCCTTGACGCGGGAATTGGTCTGCACGTCGATGCTATCGTGCTTGAATCGCTGCTCCGCGTACTTGGAGAGCGCTTCGTCGTAGGTGTTGAGAATGTGGCCGCGGGATTGGATGATGTGCACGGAGATCTCATTGCGGAGGAGGCGGGGGAAGAAGTGGGAGAGGTCCTCGTTTAGTAGATCGTAGAGCTCGGCGGCGAACTCCACGCCGGTCGGACCGCCGCCGCAGACGACGAAGGAGAGGAGCCGTTTTCGCTCCTCGTCGGATGTGGTTGGCAGGCAGGCATCTTCGAGGTTCTTGATCACAGCATTGCGAACCCGTCTCGCATCGCTCACATCCTTAAGGAAATGACAATGTTCGAGACCTGGAACACCATGCGGATTCGTGACGGACCCTAATATGATTGTCAGCTCAATCCTCCATCTAATACCGACTCATGCGACCCCAAACTCACCAACGCCAACCACCAGCTTATCGTACGGCAAGTAAAACCGCTCCCTCTTCCCATCCTTCCCCACCGCATCCCCCTCGATCTCCACGAACTTTGCGCTGAAATCCACATCTACAGCCATCCCCTTCATGAAATGCCCATGCACCCTCGCCACAATCCTCCGCACCGGCTCCACCAAGCTCTGCAACCCCAGCGTCCCCACCGTCGCGCTCGGCAACATCGGCGTGAACAGAAAATGATTCGATGGACTCACCACCACGACGTGGTACTCGTCCGGATTCAAGTTCTTCAGCAGCGCGATGCTCCCCCACCCCGTCCCCAAGATCACCAGCTTCGGCTTGTGCTTCTGGTTGCGCTTCTCTGGCGAGTCGTCGTCGTCGAGCAGGTGCTCGGCGATGGGGAGGTTCTTCGGGCCGCCGATGCGTGGGTTGAGTGCGAGCGTCGAGACGGGGCATTCGCTGGTTTGCGGCGTCATGCGGTAGGTGGTCGCATCGAAGATGAAGAAGCCGAGGACGAGGGCGCCGCCGCTGGCGACGAGGAAGCCGATGTAGAAGACGGAGCGGTAGAAGAAGCGGGAGAGGGGGCGTTTGGTAGGGGGTTCTTTGGCGGTAGCTGCTTTGGCGGCAGCATCTTCGGCTGGGACATCTTTGGAGGGAGTTTCTTTGGTAGATGCCGTTCTTCGGATGAGGAGAAATGGTGAGTGTGATGGAGAGAGTCGGACGGTTGATCCAAGCCGTCCATCGTATGGTTTCAACGAGGGTCCTTGATGTAATCGACGGGTAGTGGTTGAGGACGCATATCGTCGAGGGAGACGAGCACGCGACACGTCCAACCGATATGCATTCGATCTTCCGAGTTTCGCGATGGCTCGTCCTACGAGACGGGAGGTACCAGAGACCTCCATGACGCGCTGTCAATGGGTTTCACGCGTGTTTCTTGGGTAAGAGATGAAGACCGTGTGGTGTAAAGCGATTGAAAAGGGTTCATTTGAGACCAAAACGACCGTCGTATATCACCTCACACTCCTTTATTCCCATACAAATGTTGTTGGGAACAGAATAGAAGATTTGATGATTACATCAAGTAAGGGCACCTTTACAAATAAACAGGGATGGAGAGAGAGCCTGTGGTAGTGCGATGAGTGACGTCGCAGCGCAACGATGGCTCCACTACTCACAAGCTTTATCGCTGCTAGTCCGGCTGTCGATCGTCTCCTTGTCAAGCGTTCCCGGTATTCGGTCACTGAGAAATACAATCGGAAGGGGGATCGAATCTAATATAAAAATTCTATTTGCAATTCGACTCTTCCAACCTTAGGTAAAAATGCCAGTATCCCACTGCAGAGGCAAAGGTATCTAATTGCAGTGTCATAAATCATATCATCAGGTCGTGTGTGCGTGTAGTTCGTTATCCACCGACGGACATCATGCAGCAATTTCCCGCGCCCGAACCGCCGACAAAAACGCCCCGTAGCTCCACGTCAAGTCCCTCGCTCCTCGCTCATACCCCGTCACCCTGTCGAACTGCTCCGACATCGATCCCTGCGCCCCCGAATGCCTCTTCACCACGCCGAGGAAGTTATCCGCAACCTGCGTGAGCCGCTGCACGACATGCTCGTACGTCTTACACGCTGGACCTCCCGCATCTGTCGTGCAGCCGTAGTCGCCCGGTTGGAGGTCTGGGTCGCCCGCGGTCGCGTTCCAGACAACGGCATTCCAGAAGGGCAGGCCGCGCTGGGTGATGGTGAGAGAGCCGTGGCGGGTGATTTGATGGCGCGTGCGGTAGAGGACTTCGGCGGCGGAGCTGGTGCAGAGGAACCAGGGGTTGCCGGCGCCAGGGATGGATTCGTAGCCATTGTAGGCGTCCTCGGGGTATCGGCCGATGCCGGCGGCGCGGAGGGGATCTTCGTCGGCGGAGGGAGTCGGGACGGAGTTGATGGGGAATCTGGCGCGTTGGTCGCGAAGAAGGGCAAGGAGGCTAAGGAGGATTTCGGGGGAGTGGGGAGGGAAAGGAGTGTTGGTCTCTTGGTCGAGAGAGGTGCCATGGAGGGAGCCAAGGAGAATACTGCAGTCCAGACCGCTACGCGGAGTATCTTGGATGCTAATCAAGTGCCCCCGCTTCTCATCCCAGAACGTGTGAATCAAGTCTTGAAGCTGCGCCGCCTGCGTGGAATACCACGATGCAGCTCCTGGATCACCAAACGCGCCTGCGAGTTTGGCGCCATCCCTGAGCGCGCGGAGCTGGACCATCGCGGTGAAGAAATGCCGTCCATTCACTTCTTCCCACAGATCGAATCCGGTAGATCCCCAGTACTTCGAAACGTACTCCAAGTCCGCCTTGACGGTGCTGTCCGGCACTGCACTAGGCATCTGAGGGTCATAGAACGTCCGGTACCAAACCGCCCCGGCAGCCGTACCCCACACGGACGGGTAGGTGCGGTTGTACTGTGTCAGAAACTCCATCATTGTTATGGCGCGGAGGGCCGGTCCGTCCGGTTGAGGTCGACCCCATGGTCCTGTGAATGGCTCGCCGGACACCTCGAACTTCGGCTCGCCAAGAGATTTCAGGTCGTAGAAGCGCCCGGACGGGTTGGTGGTGCGCTGCAGGCGGTAGGTGAGGTGGTTGTAGGCATCGAAGATGTCGAAGACGTGCGAGGAGAGGGAAGATTTGGCGTCGAGGTAGGGGACGGTGGTGGAGAGAGTAATCGCGCCATCTCGAATCCAGTGGTAATAGTAATTCGGGTTCTCAGTCGATGGGCTCGCAATGACGGTACCCGGGGCTGCGGATTTCGTATTCGCGCCACCGGGAGCGACATTCGCTAAGAGGCGGTCCAAGGCGATCTGCTTCTCGTCTTGGATCCATTGCTCGTATGGATCGCAAAGTGTTCTAGACGCAGGGGAGAAGATCCGCCCAAGTTGGGTCTGTACTCTAAATGGTAATCGATCTAGGATGGGAATCGCTAGAGCATAGGAGAAGGACGCGAGGTAGGTCAAAACTATGAAAGAAAGTAAGGGTATCATCTTGAACAGGCTAAGGAGAGACTTGAAGTGTTATGCTGGACTGTGAGAAAGTTGCTCTCCGATAGTAGGCGTCTTCGCGGGGCCATCTGTTGCATACAGCTTTTTCGAATCGATCGAAGACATGGAATGGAAGGGAGAATTCTAACGCGGGGAAGCAGCCGTGAAAGAATAAAAGGAAAGGAAAGTGAAACAGAAAGTGAAGAAGCGATGATGGAGCCACCCGGACACTCCACGATGTGGCCATTACGATGTGGCCATACGATGTGGTCATTTCGCACAAACTGCATGACCAGGAAATCTTCACATTTCTCTCATTTGCTGTCCGTCCGGCCGATCCGATCCATGTGGATGGTCCCAACTCCCCCAGCCTCCCCGCATCATCATCGGATTCACACACCACACCGATCTCCGTCTAAGCTGCAACTGGGTTAGTCGAGTCCGATCAGAAACGTCCAATCCGCTCATGTAGAGTGCCACATCCTGGCAGTGTATCAGCCACGCGTCAGCCTGTTAAACAAGGTCGAGAGAGGGCAGTTTGCTGAGGCTGTTTACTGAGCCAGTCATGAAGTCGATGATGGAGGTTTGGATGCGCGTGTGACAAGTCGGCTGTCGGCTAGGGTTTGGGGGTGGTCGGCTGCCAGGAATTTGACAGGAATCATCTCCAATCCTGTCGGTTCCTGCGTGTGTCACCGCAGCTGATGCCAGTCTGCTGTGTTGTGCGTGTTACGTACAGAATTGCAGAGCGAAGCACAGTCCTGGTTACGTTGGTGGCTCACAGTCTGTTGGACCGGATGACTAAGCCAGACAGCAATGGCTCTTCGCCTTTATTTTATATTAGAGTCAGAACACCGCAAGCACGGAACAAATAAGGCTATCAACGGTATTAATTAACGCTATTAGTGGAAAGTGCAGTATCGCCATGGGATTGGGACCGCAGCGCTGGTAACAGGACTTGACCGTCGCGATGCACTGGCATATAACGTATGGGATCTTTAACTCCTTACATCTTCCAGTCTCGTTTTCCTAAAGCACACCTCCTGTGGTCCATTCGACAGGATCATTAATTAGCTCTTCAAATCGGTACGTTTCAACAGGGCTGTTCAACTGTGATCTACTTAAACATTGGTATTCCAGTGCTGTAAGCCATTCTCTCCCCGCTATAAACATTGCGATACCCGATTCATCACACGCCTATGCCATGGCAGGCCTATCCCCTATCCACCTTACTATGCCTCTAGCTATACCCCGTCCCTCCTGACTGCATAGACTTAAGATGTACCTTCACTAAGTCAAGACAGTCTCGACTTACAGGCTTTTGTGGCTCAGTAGCCATAAGTAGACTGCTAGGTTTGGCGTTCACCAATGCAGCACCTTTGAGTAAAAGGGCTTGATAGGCCGAAGCGGGATTGATATTTGGTGTAGTATTAAATTGATTCTGTTTGATTGTAGATGTGTATGAGACACAGATAATTGCTGTGTGAAAGGGGAGTAGAGGAGGAGCTTAAGCCTAAAGGCGTGGTTGAAGTTAAGAAGAATACAGGCGTGTGTGTGTTGGTGTTGACGGGACGTCGACTTGAATTGAGTGGACAGAGCATTGCAAAAAGTTACCGGTGAATTGGTTATGTATTTTCAAACTTCTGATATACCAATCACTGAAGATCTACAACGTTCGATAGAATAAGCCTTCGCCAATTTGCATAAAGCGGTGCGAATTGCGAAGCCCCGGTGCGTTCAGTGGAACTCTAGCCGTGATTCGATACTACGATTTTCTTTGTCACTCACGATGTAAGAATATAGAACAACTTAATACTGGGGGAGTTGGAAGGTGGTCTGACGCTTCATAACTTTTCCTCCCGACCCCATCACCCACCCGACTCCTCTCCTCCCCACCACCCTTCCCCCAACCCCAGGCGCCTAATCAAGGCCGCCCTCGAAAAGCTCTCGCCTTCCAGTTCTTCTTCACCACCCGCCCCTGCATATCGGTCACAGTGCCCGGAACCGACACGATCAACCCCCGCTCCTTCGCGACCCGCCTCGCCTTGGAGCGCTTGAAAGATTCCTCGGCGATGCGCACACCGTCCCGTAACCACGGCGAGTAGTGGTCGAGGTGGGCGGGCGGGGGCTGGCCGACCTGGATCCGGCATCGGAGGCCCGTCTGAACGAAATGGGATGGGCTAGTTAGGGGGGGAGGACGAGAGGGGGAACGGACTGACTTGGTGTACTTCGCGGGCGAGGGAGGCGGGACGAGGGAGATGCCCATTTCCTTGGCCATGCGGGTCAGCTTGAAGAGGCGCTTGGCTGGATTGGGGGTGCACGCTTCTTCGTGGTCTTTCTTCGTGCGGGCTGGGTCTGAGGGTGGACATGTTAGTCTATGGTTCATTCTAGAGTGACAGGAAGAATTACTGGTGCCGCCTTGGCAGGACGGGGAGCCAGCTCCGTCATTGATCATGTCTGCATCCTGGTTCGAGGAGGGGGATTGTTGGTTTGTGGTTTGTGGTTTGGATGCTGGACAGATGTTTTGCGTGTGCGATGCAGTGGGAAAGATTTGCAAGAGTTACAGAGTGCGGGAAGTTTTATATAGGCAAGGTGAGAGCGAGAGGTGCACTGGATTTCAATCCCATTGACAAGACTTGATAATTAATTCAATAGCAGGGCTATTCATGACTGATGTATGCGATACAATAAGGATGACCGAAGTGAATAGGAAGGGACTTGAATTCTACTATGGAGTGCCCTATTCATAATGGATGGGCTTAACGCGATCGAGAACGATGGACACAAAAATAGAATACTTAGAATAGCAGTATATAGAAACAGTGTTAATCATATCAAGAACAAATAGTAGAGTCAAAAGCACAGGACAGAAGCCAATGAAGTGATAGGTAATGAAGGATTAGCTTTGGGATTTAGTCACCCTAAGATGCCAGCATTGATAATTATGGTGTTTGGATCTGCCTGCAGGATGGATGTTCGGAAAAAACCAATCCAACATTTATACCGACTGTAAGTCCTGCAATTATATTGAACTGGAACCATTAAGGAACCATGTTAATATGGGTTCTCGATGTTCGTAACTCGCTGGACTGTTGAGAAGGAACTCGGATGTGTTTCGCTTCTTGGACTGGATCCTGATCTACATTCTTTGTGATGCGAGATAGCAAGGCTTTGAGGGTGAAAGTGAGTTGGAAAATTGCGACGTGGAACATCCCCTCACTAGTCAAGTGTTCTGGTGCTTGTATTTAGGGGATATGCCAAGTGTCGCCATCTGTCAAAGTCAATTTCGCATCGCGAACAAATAAAGCATTTAAGTGCACAGAAAAATCTTGGACGTGAAATATGGTCAGTGTTGCTCTTGATCAGAAGATTTATAATCTTGGTTGAGTTCTCATCCTTCTAATGTCCACGGACTGCCCTTCCACTATTTTCGAGTGAAGTCGGAGAATCCAGCAACGGTGTCCGTTCGCTTGGATCCCGCTCAGATTGCATTGAAGCGTCCCGGGGGCCATTACTATCCCTTCTGTTTTGCAGCTCAAAAATGATAGCCATCGCCAGCAAGCACCCCTGAAGACATCCCGTGACGATGAACACCCCCCACACGCTCCACCCTTGCAGACCATATCTCAGAGCCAAGCTGGTAGCGAAGACGAAGGCTCCGGGGGTCTGGATGAGCATCATCGGGATACTCAGGCTTTTCGCGGCTTTGAGCTTCCAGGTGGTCCAGATCTGCGGGAAGTACTGCATGATGGCGAGGATGGCGGAGAGACCGCCGAGAAGGTTGGCCCAGAGTTGCAGAGCGGAGGGATAGCGGGCAAAGATGACGATAGAGATGATGAAGGTGATGATGAAGTGGCCCATGGCGACGCCGACGGTTATGACGGCATCTTGCCAGCGGTGCGGGTGAGCTTCGAAAGGGGAGTCAAGAGTGGACCCTTCAGAGGTGTCGATTTTCGGGAAGAAGATGATGAAGAGGAGCATGCTTTGAGCGGTCAGCTAAGACTCCAAGCCTGAAATCCGGGCGTTGGGGGATATACATCACGAAGAAACAGCACCATTGGATTGCTATTTGCGCAATGCCCAGCAGTGCTGAGGCGCAAGCAAGGCCGCCGATGGCACTACAGCAAGAAACCGCATTTTGACTCGCTGGTAAGACTAGAATATTGCCAAGTGCACACGATGCAGATATCGTCCCCAGCATCACAAAGTATGGTGACAGCCCCTCGGAGGAGCGCCGCGAAACGATTCGGACATGTTGGGGGAGGTACGATATCAAGATGCCCACAAGGACGGTTCTACGGTCTCACATCAGCGACCGGTTCTAGCGTGATCTTTCCCCGTATAACTCACACTGAGAGAATGAAGTTTGGGATATTTGGACTGGCAAACTCGTCACAACTGCTTTTAGGCGCCTGGAAGATATCGAACGCGTCCATGGTCTTCATGGTAGGTGGGGAGCTGCGGGTCGGACTATCACGTTTGTTGTATCTAGCCCCTTGGAAATCCTTTGGTGAAGAGACTTCTAGAGAAGCTCATTTCGCGCATGTCTTGACAGAAACACAAGGGAGACACGTCCGATGGATTCTCATTTCCCATTGAAGGTCGAGTGACGTTGATCGGTTCCAGTCGTGACATGGAGCTCTGACCAGTTGCTCAACCCCTCTGCTCAGCAGCTCACCCGTGTTCCCGCCGATCGCGTGGCCCGGTCTCCCGACTATGATTAAGCGTTCCGTCCCTTCACTTAATCTCCGCAGTCCTTTCCCAAACGTCTCTCCATTGTCGTGGGCGAAGTATCTCCTTCCGTCGTCGATGCCTTACATGTTCCGATAACGCAACTCCTCAACGGAGCGGATCTGGTGGAGAGACGGAACTTTATATACGCGGAGTTCTTCGACGAGAACCCCTCGACATGGCGCCGCCAGCCACATTCGCTACGAGTCTGCTGCAGATATCGAAAGCGCGCTTTTTGCTGTTGGCGTTGCTGTTGTGCGTCTTTTTCTTCTGGACTCTGAGACCGGCCGACGAGTCCTGGGCGGATTACACCTGGTCGTCTACACATGTCGAGGTGCCGAAGGTGCCGCTGGAGGCACACATAATGTAAGGAGAAAGAACCCAAGAGTGTGCGGAGGGGTCCGTCTGACAAATCGCCAGGTCGAAATGCCCCGATGCTCGAGACTGCCTCGAATATCTCGTGCTACCAGCCATGGCGCAAGTCTCCAACAGAGTCGATTTCCAACTCTCGTACATCGGCACCCCCACCAACCACAACGATGGGATTGAGTGTATGCATGGCGAAACCGAATGCCTGGGGAACATCGTCGAGCTGTGCGCCGCGAACCTGTATCCGGACCCGAAACGGTATCTCGGGTTCACCATGTGCTTATCGAAGCAGTACCAGCTGATTCCCGACCGCGACTTGATCGCGGATTGCGCGCTGGAGTACGGGCTGTCGTTTGAGCGGTTGAATGAGTGCATGAGCCAGGAGGACGGGGCATATGGGATGGGTAAGATGTGCGTTGATAACGATTGCTCGGGTTCTAACATGTACTAAAGGTCTTCTTCGATCAAGCGTGGAGCGTAGCGCGGAGGCGAATGTGACATATAGCTGCACAGTAAGCAACGAGACTTCGGAGCAGACGTCTTCCTAGTGACTAACTCTTCTTAGATACGACTTAATGAGGAGATACGATGTGTTCGGGACGATGGCACTTGGAAACAGTGCGAGCGCGGCTCCAGCGTGGAATCTCTGATCGCTGATATTGACGATATATATAATAAACTGGAGACACCACCGACTACAAGCGGTGTCCCTGGAGAGAGATAAGCGGAGATATATTAGAATAATATCCAACACTGCATCTGCGCCGCTGCCGTCCTCGAAGTTATGCTTCGCTCTGTAGCCGGTTTGACCATCCCGCGTTCTGCAACACCACTCGATACCCATCCGGATCCTCAAACGTCCTCCCATGCACATCCCAGTACAGATTCAACGACCCAACCGGACGATAGCCCTGCCTCTCCATCCTCCCGACCGCCTTCTCCCACTGCTCTGAATCCGGCAAGTAGAACACCAGCAGGTGATCTTACGTTGGACATCGTCCCACCGAATGTTCACGGTTCGATGTGAATTCGAGATGATAGTCGGCGGACGGATGGCCGAGCATGACACCGTTGAAGCCAGCGTGGTCTGCGAATCGGAAGAGCACGGAGAAGCCGAGTCCTGCCTCGTAGAAATGAAGCAGCACGTCGAGGTTGTCGGTCGGTCGGGCGACGCGGAGGTGGGCACGAGCGATGCCGGCGTCAGGTGGAGAAGACATTACGAATAGATCTTGACGAATGGCTCTCGAAATGTGGGTAGAGTGGGCAATGAAGTGAGGGTAGAGTATATTATATATCTTCTGTTGGGATAGTTCGACTTTATAAATTTCACCAAGCAAGGAATTGGCTCTAGAACCTTTTGATTGTTTAGCTTCTTCCCTGCATCGCGGTGTCCCAATTCGACACAATGCTTCCATGGACGCCTGAGAACGATGCAATTACGGCCGAAGCGGTATCCTAACAAAAAACAAAGCTTCTAAAGTCCTGATAACGACGTAGCTGTGGTAGAGATTTGCCGGCGTTGCACCGCTCATTTCAACCTACCGATATCCCAAATCCGCCACGCCTCCTCCTGCCATCTCTTCTTCTTCAGCGCCGCCTTCGCCCGCTTATCATCCCCACACTCCTGCAACTGCCCCAACAGCACCCGACTCGCCAGCGCCATCGACGTGACCAGCTCCTCCATGCGCCCGGCCGCCACGAACGCGTCCGCAACGAGTGCCCCGCTCTTCCGCGCGATGTCGCGCGCGACCTCGTAGGCGACGGAGATGTAGTCGCGCCCCGTGACGGTGGTGGCGACGCTGAGGCAGGCGAGGTAGGCGAGGATGACTTCGGGAAGGTAGGCGCGGCGGACGGAGGTGAGGGCGGTTTGGAGGTTGTGATATTCGGGGGCTGGGAGGGGGTTAGTGGATGGGTGGGCGGCGGAGGGGGGAGAGTGACCCTCGAAGTTGACTAGGTCGAGTAAGAACTCGTCATGGAGGAGAGGTTGCATTGCTTGCTGGAGATCGTCCATGATGTCTCTGGCTACAGCTCGGTTATCAGGCGAAAAGGCTGCAAGCGTGCCGTCCCTGTATAGCGGTAAGCATGGACATCTCATAAAAGGAAAGTACAAGGGTGTTCTACCCAGGCCGATGCAAGGCGACGAACTCCGCCCATGTCTCGATGGCGCTGATCGCACGCACAAGCGCTTCCATATCGATAAACGCTTGAGCTTGCTCGATCATAATGTTCGCGCAGGAATCTTGCCCCTCGCTGTTCACATGCTAGAAAGACCATCAGTACCAACCATAAACTCGCAGATACAAGGTACTAACGATAATGTCCTCCGCTTCGGCTGGAAGTCCGTCATCCGCCAGGTTGAACGAGTGCTTAAAATAGTACGGCGTCTTCTGCTCCGACACGTCCTTGAACGACGCGACGTCGAGGAGCGCCTTCGCCGCGTAATACTTGCCGCTGCGGAGAAACCCGACCATTGCCAGCGACAGCACGACGAACGATGTCTCCCAATGCCCGTCGACGAGCAAGACCCACTCCATGGCACGAAGGATCATGGCCTCGTCGTCGGGGATGGTCTCCTCCAGCGGTGCGGACGGCGGGAGCTCGCCGAATCGATCTCTGAGAATGTCGGGATACCGTTTGCCGTCCCATTTGTCGATTATCATTCGGAAACGAGGCTGCGCCGGGTTGTCGTTGCCCAGAGAACTTGTCTCTAACGCCCATACGAACAGGCCTTCCAGGAGATTTTTCATGCTCAAGTCGTTCTCTTCCAGCAAGTTGACAATCATCCTCTTCTCATCGGTGCTCGTGATCTGTAGAAGCTCCGGGGCGATACGCCTGGGGCCTATCTCGTGCCCCAGGTGAGCCGCATAGGTAGGGATGAGCTCGAACTTGCCTGCGCGCTGGAGGAAATTTATGTAATGCAGGATGATGTTCCGGTGAAGCGTGGCAAGTGGTTCCCCCGCGTTTGGGGACCGAGATATCGAGTCATCCGCGGATGTCGGTGAACACCAGCGGAAGCTGTCGTAGATAAGGACTAGATGGGTGACCAGTCGAAGAACGTTCTCGTCATTAAGCAAGGGGTCAAGCTTGAAAGGGAAACTCCATTTCGGGTCGTCCTGGGCGACAGGAATATCCGGAGCCTCCATTCTAGAACGTAAATCGGCAGGGACTCCGTCCGCCTGCGTCTCGTGCTTGCTTAGGAACGCGCCCAGAAACGTGGTCAGGTTCAAGAATCGATTCTCCATGAAAACATCTTGGACACTCTGTGCGGGTGATCGTTGCCCCCATTTATGCGCCAGAGAAAATAGAGCCTCAGAGCCGGCATCTGGTACGCCCGCGTCGAATCGATCGATCGTTCGAGGTATCAACTCCGGGTGTTTTGAACGAACATAGGCATCAAACTGCCAGATCAGTTCCGCGTTCACCCTTGCATATCGGTAATCATCGCGGTCCTCGGCAACGGCATCCACAGCGGGAATATATCCCCCAAGAAGGCCGTAGCACGCTTGTTCGTAGCGATCGGCCTTGGGGTTTCGGGCAGCAGAGTAGCACATTCGTCGGAACAGGGCGCCACAGTCGGCACCGGGGATGCACACGCGTTGCTCGGGGGCCGATGAAAAGACGCCCAGCGTTGCGGCACGCCATGATTCCTGCCTGTCCTTACAGAACTCCTCGACCGTCTCCTCGGCGGATCGGGTGCGGAGCATTTGATAGCAACGGCCCCAGTGTGCCATTTCTCGATGTGAATCCTCCTTCGCAACCTGTCGTAACTCCCGGGAGGGCGCATCGGGATCAAGATGCGAAACCAGCGTCGCGATTCCATCGTTTGCGCGGATAATCGGCCCGTCCTCGCTGAGCGGCCCATCCACGTTGCGAAACCGCTTTGCGTTCTTAACTTCCGCTCGGGAATTCATCCATCCCCCGGACCAGGTGCCGTTTGTTCCCGATTGGATTTCCAACTGTTGCATTTTCTCCTCAAGCTTGTCCTCAGTCACGCCAGACTTGCCCTCCAACCATGCCAGAATCTCACAACGCTCCCGGGCGGAGGCCTCCGAGGCCAGAAACTCCTCCCAAATTCGCTTCGATTCCGTGGACACATCTTGCGGGGACGTGATGCTCGGTGTGCGTTGGGCCTCCTGCTCCTCAATCCGCTGTTTCAAGGCTCCCTGGAACTCGAACTGGAATTTGTAGAGTCGCTGCACCAATTTCCATGTATCGGACGACTCGAGGAAGGTCTGCGGATTGTCCAACTTGGGAATTTCCTTCCCATTAGGGTCGAGCTGGAAACTACCCGAGAATCGTAGCGCGCCACCTGACTCCTGGATCCTCTTTTGCGCGCTCTTGTCGGCGATGTCGCTCAAGGTGTTGAGCAAGCGCAGAGTATTCTTGAAGTGCAACTCCTTCCGACGTTCCTCCGGGACATCTTTGTGACGAAGAAAGTCCGTGGTCCACACATCTACCTGCTCCGCGAAGGCTTCCACTTCATCACTGATTCGATCCACGGCGGTACGGAAAGATCGGAGGTATTCCTCGTTCGATTGCGCGGGAGCGGCGGGTGGTGCTTCTTGGGATACCTGGCGTAGGGGATGACCACGTTGCTGCTCGCCAGAGTCAATCATCAATGAAATAAAACGCGCTGGCACGAGGTTTGTGAACTCACATCACGAAGACCTAGGTTCCGTGAAGGCGCGGACCGGAGATTGAAAGCTGCCATTTCAACGAGCTTGAAGATGTGGAACGTTAACCACTACCTTGGGCATAGAGGACGTGAGCTGGCCAACGTCAGATTTAGGCGGCTGAGCTCATCCTGATCGATAATAGTTGAACGTTATGAGCTTCAAGAGGTTGCAGAGCTGGGGAGCTTCACTTTTCGTGAGAGGAAGATCCCAAACACGCTGCTGTATAAACTAAGCTAACCATATGAGGCCTAGCGTGATAAATTACGCACCAAGGCATCAAGGCATCCGTACTTTCTCCTTCACCAGCATAAAACCGCCAAAAAGTTTCTCTCTTCTTCTTCTTCTCTTCACAATGTCTTTTACAAGGCTGTCATAGAGTCTCGGTCAAACGAAATTTTACAGTGTTTGCTCAGGTCATCAGACCTCTTGCGTGCTCACGATAGCCTAAGATTAATTTCCACGCGTCTACCGTTGTTCCCCGTTCCATAATCCTCTAGAGATTCGCGCGGCTTCAACCTAGACGTGACACACTTATCATGTCAAATCCCCTATTGCTGGATGCCTCGCTGCTTCATCTTGAGTCTGGATCGGGTCAATTCACTTGATACCGACAGATGGATGAATTTAGGAGCTTGGAGATGACGCACTTGAGAAGCGAGAATTTCGGACAGCTCACTGTGGACGCCTCTTCTCCATTCTTCTTGTAGAATGCATTGCAGCATTCATAGAGCGCGTCAATCTGGCGCATGGGTTAGACATCCAGAGACAAGGAACTTGAAGTGTCTTACCTCTTTCTTGCACTTGTCTTCGTTGTAATTCGACTTCTGTATGCAATCTAAAGACGGCTCTCAGTCACCACTACCTGAGTGAAATAGGAAGAGATTTCTAACGTACTCTGGATGGCACATGCGCGTGGATGGCATGGCGGATCTGTTTTGAGATCCTCCTCGACGCCCTACATGAGAGGTTTAACAGATGGGCATGGCAGGACTGACATCGGCCTCATACCATGACTTGCTCTAATGATGTCAAGAGAACGGGTTGACAATGTGCTGCATGTATCTCGCATTGAAGAACGGAGCACAAAGACAAATTGAGGACACCAAGTGGAAACTGATCCGATAACAGTGCCACTAGCCAATTATATAAGTTTAAATTCAATGGTGATAATAGAGTTGCACGTTTTGCTGTGGTTGCATCTCATTGTATGCGGTCTGAGCAGGAAATCCATCACGGTTCTCTTTTGCCATTAGCTGAGGAGAGAACCGAAACAAGGAGGCAACCTCTGCTTAGGCATCCAGGCAGGCAGTCAGGCAGATTCCAGGCATTTCCATCATCAATTCTCTAACTAAAGTTTACTAAACGGAACAAAAAGAATCTCTTAGTAATAAGAATAATAACAATACACCCAGTCCTAGCACCTGAAACCTTCTTTACGTCTTTCATCCCACCAATCGACATCCAATATCAACCCCACCATCAACCACCAACACCTTCTCCAAACATCATCAGACTCACTTTCTCGCCTCCTTTCGCCTCTGGACTTCCACTTCTCATCATCTCGTATCCATACTCTGACTCCAGCAACCACTACTCTCTCTCTCATCTACCACCCGAGCAACGACCAACACAAGACGCGCTCTTACCGCTCTTACCGCCATTAACTCCGACAACCGGTTCGTGACCTATCACTTCCTGGTAAGTGAGCCCAAGAAGACGGACTTCTCAACATCATGCCCTCCTGTCGTGTCGCACTGAACTCGATATATTTCATGCGATCACCTCGTTGATCTTCTCACCTCTAGCCTTCACCTCTAGCTTTCACCTCTAGCCTTCAAACTCTGACCTTCTCGCCTCTAACCTACTCACCTCTGACCTTCTCACCTCTTCAGGCCTCTAACTCCAACAACGCACCAAAACCGCTTTCCCACTACTACTCAGTCCACGAGACATCACCGCACCAATGACCAATATGTCCGGAGAAAACTCACCCGACAACGCGGCGCGTCAAGAGGATGGCCCGGTACCTCCGGTGGAGCACCTCAATATCAAAGTGACCGACAACAATAACGAGGTCTTCTTCAAGATCAAGCGCTCAACTTACCTCAAAAAGCTTATGGACGCCTTCTGCGAACGGAGTGGAAGAAGTCCACAGAGCGTGCGGTTTCTCTTCGATGGCCAACGCGTTCATCCGACCGATAACCCCGATTCGGTAAGTAGTGCGCTTTACGAATGGATTGTTTCTGTCGCCTGCGCCGTGACTAACCCATCCGTTCTCCCAGCTCGAAATGCAAGACGGCGACACCTTGGAAGTGCACCAAGAGCAAGTGGGTGGCAACTTTTAAACTGGCTTCACCACGCAGCCGGAGGGCGATACCGTGAAGCGAGGAAGATAAATCGTCATGCGTTACGATAGGTACGCCTACGTTGGCACATGGAATACCTCCCTCCTTCACATCACCTACGGACGGACGACGCGAGAGGCGTAATGGCGCCCTTGTGAATGTCGTCTCTGATACGGAGTTGGGATTGGTTCCCTCGTGTGGCACTATTATTTAGCATCTGATTATCAGCGTTTCCAATTGAAGGTAAAGGTTCACGACGATCGGCTGACACCCGGTATGTGATCTCGTCGTGAACCGGTATCGAGTATCCTCGCGCACGCACGATCCGGGTTTGCTACGACCTGCCGGTTCGAGCGATACTCCGGGAAGGCCATCGAGGAATGCACAACCATATCACGATGTGCCCTGCTCTACGCTCGGTCTATCATGCTATCACGATCACTCTTTGCTATGGCACCAAGGGATGTACTTAAATGGCACTGCACCAATTTGACTATGTTGCTGAATTCACTCCTTTTCAACCACGGCTAATCAAGCGTGGAATCACCAAAACACGAGCCACTTATGTACTGCTAGGGACCTCGATTAATGTCCATTACAGTAGACAGCCCCCCAGGCGAGAATTGGTTTAAGTTCGTCGGCGGTTCAGCGACTAAAGTCTAAGGAGAAGTCGAGTGCTATGGTCGATATTCCTGCTGCGAATAAAATCCCAACAAGGACAACCGAGTTGACTCCTGCAATATTCGTAATGACCGGAGGTACAGCTGGTGATACTACTACTATCTGTATGGCTGCATTATTGATGGAATTTCTGGTGGTATCTTGGAGCCTCAGGCATAAATATTTAGAGTTGCGCAGCCCTGGATTATTAGAACTCACAACTGATGGAACGAAATCGAACTTATATTCTTAATCCCATTTTCTATGACTTGAACGCCTCCATTCCGGACTACGTTACAGCCTCGAACCCAGGAGTCGACATTCCTACATACTGAGACAGCACGTCTTGAAATCGAAGCATGCTCTCACCATGCCGTTCGGACAGCTAGTGATCGGGCCGCCAGGCTCCGGAAAGTCGACATATTGCGATGGGATGCAGCAATTCATGGGCGCAATCGGGCGCAATTGTTCCATTGTCAATCTCGATCCCGCCAATGATCGGACCTCTTATGAAGCGGCGCTGGATATTCGGGATCTCGTCACCCTTGATGAGATCATGAAGGACGAGGAGCTGGGGCCGAATGGAGCGATTTTATATGCCCTGGAAGAGCTAGAACATAACATGTCATGGCTCGACGAGGGACTTAAAGGCCTCGGAGAGGGTATTTTGTCCCCGATGATATCTAGCTACTACGGTCTAACTTTCGCTTTAGATCAGTATGTCATATTTGATTGCCCTGGACAAGTCGAGCTCTTCACCCATCACGCGTCCTTGAAGAACATCTTCGTGCACCTGCAGAAGATAGGGTACAGAGTCCGCTCTCCCTCCCATATCCTTTCTCCCCAGGTAGAACAGGACTAACCATTGCAACAGCTAGTAGTTCTACACCTCCTCGACAGTCATGTCCTAACACAACCATCACTCTACATCTCCGCACTCCTAGTTGCCCTCCGCGGCATGCTGCAAATGGAGCTTCCCCACCTGAACGTCTTCACCAAAATCGACAATCTCGCGAGCTACCCGCCTCTTCCCTTCGGTCTGGAGTTCTACACCGAAGTCCACGACCTCACCTACCTCCTCCCATACATGGAGGACGAACAGCGCCTTTTCCCCCGCCAACCCACCTCCCTACCCTCCGACACCGGCCACCCCGACACCACCAAGCCCCAATCAAAGCTCGCCCGCCTCGGCCTCGCCCTCGCAGAGCTAGTCACCGACTTCGGCCTCCTCTCTTTCCACACCCTCGCCGTGGAAGACAAGCAGTCGATGATGACCCTGCTCCGTGCGATCGACACCGCCGGCGGCTATATCTTCACCGGCCGGCCCGGCGATGCGGAGGCATCAAACGAGGCAGCCGTCTGGCAGACGGCGATGCGGGAGGGCGCGACGATGATGGATGCGCGGGACGTGCAAGAGCGCTGGGTGACGCGGCGGGCGGAGTTCGATGAGATAGAGCGGAAGGGGTGGAGGGAGGAGGCGGGGTTGCCGGCGGAAGAAGAGGAAGGTGGCGAGGTGCGGAATGCGGCGGATTTGCGGGGTCGAGGCGGATCGCAGGAGAGGAAAGAGGAGGGGGATATGTGGAATCCGAGCGACAGCGGGATCAAAGTCGTAAAGAAACACGGTTAAGAATCGCAAGAATTGGAGAGAGTGGTGAGCTCGTTCGTCTCGTTGTTTTGGTAGGTATGCATCTAATTGTGTCAAACAGACTCCCACAAACTATTTCTACGCTATCCCTGGTCGGGGAGGCCATAATATTAAGTCCATGAAGGAATTCCCTCCGCAACGCCCAGGCTCGACAGATCTATGGGACGCAGACGCTCTCAATGTCGTCCCAACTCTAAAACGCTCCTCGACGGTGGTACTGATCCTCGACGGACCCGAGTTCCGTATAAATAATGTCCGACCCTGGTTTTGGGGGAGTAAGTCCTTGGCCCGCCGCGTACGACCCCGGTCCTTTTGCGCCATCTGGAGTTCTGAATCGTTTATCGATCCGAAGGAAGAAATAGAGCCACACCACCACAATCTCCACGCCGAAGATAACGATGTAGAATGGCGCTTTGCCGAAGTACCCGGGTAACGGCTCGCTCCGTGGGACCGGGTCGATGTACGAAGTCAACGCACGGTACCACGCGCCGAAAGAGAGCAGCATGCTCGCCGACAGCACCACCAAGACCTTCGTCCGAAATCTACCCTCGCCAAACTTGTCCACGCGCGTTCTCCGCGGCAGCACCACGCCGAGCAGCATCATCAGCATCGGCAACGTCGCCACAACCGCCAGGAACGTCGCCGCGTACAGCTGGACGCCGCGCGCGGCGCGCCGCGTGTCCGGGTTCAGCGTGTAGAACATCAACACGGTCACGGCGACGGTGGCGGCGAGTGTGGCGCCGATGAGCACGAAGAGGGCAATGAAGCCGGCGGAGACGGTGCGGTGCCAGCCGAGGCGCGGGTGCTGGGCGCGGATGATGCGGCGGGCGAAGATGAGGTTGACGATGAAGAGCAGCAGCACGCCGGAGAGGATGAGGACCTGCGCAGCGATGGCTGTGCCGACGCTGGTCGGGTTTTTGACGACCAGGATGCGGAGGACGAGGGTCGAAATGCGGGCGCAGCAGAAGCCTATGGAGACGGTTAGGAGCCAGAGTCATGGTGGTGGTGGCACGGCGGTTTGCGTACCGAAGATGAAGTGGGAGATGCCAAATCTTTTGCCTTTTTTCTTGTTTGCCCGGTGGATGAGCATGTGCGCCGCGGCGCCCAAGATGAACAGGCCTAGGAATGCGCCTGAGGCGGCGAGATCGGGGGTGTCCTTGGCCACTCCCCCTAAGGACCAAACCTGAGGAAGATAGGGCGGCCCTGCTTGGGTCTGCAAATTCGATAAGTTAGACTGTTGAGGTCCGCATTGCGCACTTGGGTGGGCATACCTGATTTGCTGGCATCGCCATCTCGTCCTTACCGGGCAAGGTTGTCGGATTGCTGGGGGGTCAGTCTCGTGATGAACTCGAAGTCTGTTCAATAGTAGGAACCTGTGGAGGCTTGCGGATATCAGGATGGTCTTCTCGACCTTTTCTCGTGACAGGAGGGCTGGACCATCATATATAGTCACGACGATCCAAGCGTCAAGTTCGTACGTACAGGTGGAGAAGATTCTCTTCCTCTGTGGCTGTAAAATTCACTCAGCTCGCTGAAGTTACCCCTTTTGAAATATGCGAGCATGGCACTGGCGCGTCGTATGCTTCTCAGTCCTGTGTAATACCTGTCGGACAAGGCACCCATTCTAATGCCTGGCATGAATCCATTGCCTGCACCGTTTCCGTTCAATACTGCAGGGTATTGCATTGATTATTCCACAATCGATCTTTGTGATTGGCTTGAGGAGGCGGGCATTCAAACGTGCCCATTGCGTGGTCCCGGCAAGTCGGCATCTAGCATACCAAGCATACATTCTTTCGGCCGTAGATCGTCGCCTACCTCATATCGTACCGTATCATCATTCACTACGACCCTGACACGACACTGATCAGCTCTCACCACTGGAACTCTTTATGGATCGACGCGTGTAGATGCATCAACACTTCTTTAATCTTATTTTTGGTCGCAACAATCACCCCAGGGGGGAATTTATTAAGGCCGGCGGTAACGGATTGGGTCATAGTACGCACCATTGCGCGATTCTTGCGATATGGCTCTGTTTGTTCTTGACTCTGCTACAAGACGATCATGGTGCTCTAAATATCTTTTAGCGCAGTCACTCCACTCACTAATTGAATGGTAGTACGTATCCATACCATACGGACGTACGCAGGCAAGCATCCACCAGCAATCACCACAAATGTATCTAGTTGTTTCAATTCCGTCATTCTAAATTCCGATAGACCGTCCTAACCCGCCCGTAATTTCTTTTCCTTTAGTCTTTCTTATTCTCACCCTCACCTGGCCCACAATGATAATGTTAGGTCCTCTGTGGCGCTGCCAGATACTCAGTTCAGCCCTTCAGGGCTGTGAACTCGGTTATTCCGTGATCTAAGCATTGATCGCCCGATTCAAGCGTTCCAAGCTTCCCAGGCGGTCTCCACGTCATGTCTTAGTAACGAGAGCTTAATTCGATTTGGACAAAGAAAGTCCAGAATGCTGACTGGTCCGACTCAGCCTCACTCTTGGTGCAGGCCGGGAGCCCCGGAGTCTGGAGTCTGGACAGAGGATTAACTCGACCTTAGTGCTGACACCGGCGCAGGCTTGATGATGGCGGCACTAACCTTAAATACCTACCCAACAGTTATCCAAACCAGCAAATCTCGATCCGCCTGGGCACTGTTCATATTCCCAGCAAATTCTTGGGCCTGCACTTCAATCTTGAGTCAGACATTCATTTAGGGCTCTGGTTGCATCCATGATCCATCATGCTCTCGATTCCTCTCTCCATACCTTCAGTCTTGCGTCCATGTCACAGCGGCTGTTTCGCAAGTCAAAAGTCCTTTCCAACTCCTTACCGCTAGAAGGTCTTCCTTTCATTTCGTCGAAGTCCCATAGTCTATAGTCCTTGCAATTGTTCCTATTCGCTGGCTCACACTTCACAATGATCAAATTTGGCCCTGTACATGCAGAACGGCCTCATGGGTTGGGCAGCACCAAACTCAATGCTAGACAAAAATAGATGAAATCGCTTTAAGGGGTAATAGTACCCCTTTTGGCACCCCATATTTTGCGACACTCGAAGCTGGTACTAAGCATCAGCCCTCACCAGCCACCCACGCTAGGCTGAGTGTCTACCTTCCTCCTTTTCATTATTGAGAAAAGAAATTGTCCTCCTTGATTGGATGATGTATCGCTGTTGAACTTACTTTTTCTCGTGGACTCATGGTTGGGAAATTATCATCGTCCACATACTTTGTAAGACCTGTGTCTTGACCTCTTCCAAGAGACTGGGTCGCCTGAGTTTGACTGGGAGCTGAACTTCAGTGGCTTGGTTTGGAATCCACCTCCTGAGAAGGGTTTCATCACTTTCATGGTGCTCGAGTGGATCGACGCTGAATGAATGTTGTTAGGCATGGCCTGGCCGTATTGCTAACAAAAGGTACGTAACAGGTCATTCGAGTTCGCCGCGGGGTCCATTGGCCATGGCAAAGGGAACTTTCACTGTTAGGGGTATAAAAATGGGGAATTTGCATTTGGAAACCAGAGCCTTGCTACCTCCTTCAACTTTGAATGTTGATGCCCCGAATCCATCACCTTCTGCAAACTCTACGCTTCCTGGTCACGGTAAGTAAGTAACCAACACCAGTGACCCAATCTCTCACTTCACGTGTCGTTTTTCTCAGTGAATGTCCTTCTATTGACCCCGTCTTGCGCAGCGCAGATCACCGAGACTCCCTCACCCTCATCGACTGAAGGATTGCAGAGATTCTGGACAGACCCGATACCGCCGCCAGTCGCTCGTCGTATGCGGCACCTAGTTTCCGTGGGAAAACCTATAGTCGGTTCTCTATCACTGCAGCCCATCCATTGTCTTATATTAATTCCAAGTCCTTTGCGCTTTGTCAGGAGGTTTAGCATATAATGCTCGGCTCCGGTCCTATGCTAGGCTGGAGGGTTGAAGTCAGCCTCAAACTATCATATTCAGTGGCCGCAGACGGACCCTGAAACTACTCTATACTGATAAGCGTCAGATGCGGTATAAAAACGCCCGACACGACTGGTCCGCCTTCGTGGTTTGAACTCTAACGACTGAAGCGCCATACCCCCTATCTTCCAAGCAGCCTATCCGAGCGGGCACAAGTTATTGGTGAGCTGCAAAGGATTGCTTGGATGCTTCTTAACTACTTCTTGAGGACGTTGGCTCCTTTGTACAAATGTTTGTCCTTCTCTGTGGAGATGAAACTTCAGGATTCTACCATCTGCCTGATGACACCTGTCCTTTCCAACAGTCATACCATTCCATCTTCACACCAGCCCATGCGGACTCAAGCAAATCCACCCCAGTGCCACACTTCGTTGCATTTGGAGGCGAAATGAAGGCTTGGTCTCAAAATTTCAATCGAAACGGAGGACAGATATTCAGTGGCGATCAGACCGTCTTGTGCTGCGGAGACTAGCGAATTCCGCCGTCTCCTGTTAGTGCATTGCTTGCGCAAGTGTCTCCTTCTTTAACATCATGGAGAGCACTTCTTTAAGCTCTTAAATTAGCTCATATTATCCTTTTCTTCCTCCGAGAGGCCAGGATTTTCATCCAAATCTTCAATTGGGTCGTTTTGCCCTCCCCCGCTCTTCGAGACTGGGGCCTCTTGAGTCTCATCAATTGGATTAGTCTTAAGGACATGCAACTTTCATGACTTAACATTGCGATATTTCTCACTCATCCTAATGGGCTCGGTAAATTGGAGCCGACGATATTCCATTCTAGATATGGATAGAGCACGATCAGGGTTACTGGTTTGATCTATGGTTGGATTCACTGAGAGTGTAGCCGAATATGATACGGCATTGGTGTGACGCTCTGCAATTGACCTGTTCATCATAGAAAATTTCAGGGACAGTCTACCCCACCACTTCAATTCCTCCATTAATTTTTTCAGTTAAGAGTTGTGACCTTTAAAATATTCTATGGCTTCCACACGATTGGTCGTTAACAAGAACAAGAACCCCTATTCCGCCATGGCCCCGGTCTATGCAACCCCAAGGCAATTCAGCTCCTCAATCATCGCACCATTACCCTTTTAAACAAAGAACAAGGCCATTACATTCCATTAGCAAAAACGATATTTCTTTTGTCGAGAATTCAATATGGCTCAGGCCACCATTCGGAACGAGTCCGGTTACCTCGCTGCTACCTCTTCTTCCGAGGCCGTCTATTTAAGAGCTTCGGATGGATTCCGGTGCGACGATTCATCAAAGAGATTCCCATCTTTGGTGGCATGAATCTGACCACGTCGACTATCATCGTCGATCGGGTTGGATTCGAGTCTCATTTTCTTATAGGCTGGTTCCCCTTCACTATCCTCAATAGGGTCGAGTTCAATTTTCGCCCTCTTAATAGGACCCGTTTCAACTTTCCTCCCCCAAACAGCCAGTTTCTCCTCACTGTCCTCAATCGGATCGGGTTCGATTTTCCTTCTGTTTTAAGGTGTCCTTCTGACTTGCCTTGTATTTCTAGCTGTTCTTTGGTAGAGGTTGCCTTATAAGTTAATGTAATAAAGAAAGGACGACTCTTAGAGACTGCTACTTTGGTATTCGCGTCTCTGCTGACGATTGACGGGACCACCTTATTACCATTGTTCGGTCCCATCTTGCTGTTTAAGCTTATGAAGATTGATGATGCCCCAACGACAACGCTCTCTTTCAGGCCTCACGCGCTCCTAGTGCTCTGGTTTGCTTCGGGAATTGTTGGCACGTTGATAATGCTCCTTTTAGGTCCTCCGGATTTTATGATATTCCACAGGATGTTTTCCGGGGTTGATGGAACAATAACAAAAGGTGCCGTCCCTGACACTGGTTTCTTCTTCGACTTGTTCATGCCGGAGAGTGGAGGTCCGATGTCAGCTTTCTTCACAGGCACTGGTATAACCTTGGTCGATTCTTCTCATCGTGTGGGCCAATCTATTAAAGAACTCATATCCGTATTTTCCTTCGTTGTGATTGCAGTCGGGGTGGCCGGGTCGTCTAGATGTGATGTGAATGAAGAGCTGCGTGGCGAGGATGCAGGAGAGCTAATGACAATAGAATACTCTTCGGCGCCGTTCCCAAGGAGGCCATAGCGCTTTTGGTAAGCCACAAGGCGCTTCCACTGCTTATGAGGATTAGCAGCCATTTTGGATTTGGATAGTTGACAGTCAAAGAATTAGTAATTAATGTAGGCTTCGGATAGAGGTAGAAGAGCAGGAAGTGCGCGGTGGTAAGCGTAATTTTTGTCGTGAATAGATGAATAGGTGAATAGCACCACTGTCTCAGTTGGCCTCTCCCTTCGCACCCCTCCCTCGTCGAGGCCATAACACAACTACACTATCTCTGTCTGCTTCGAATTTGAGGCATGTGATCAGATCCAGTGCTCAACTAGTGATTGGGCTGTCCTTCTCAACTTGGAAACTCAATTGATTATGCTAGAATGATAATAACCATTTCAGCTAGTCGTGCTAGAAGAAATGAACCTGTTAATTAACGATAGAGATGTGTCAAGAGCACAAAACACTAGTTTGTTGCTCTTCGGCTCGATCAGTCAAGAGAGTGCGAATCTAAGTCCTACAATATTAGTTTCATTTCCCGTCAAAACACGCTACCCAATGTCTCTCTTGCTTTTCTCTGTTCATACCATCTTCACCCTCCAACTACTTTGGTCTGATGCGAAACGGATCTGACTACCACGTTCCAGTCATCTTCGATCTGCTTCGTAGAGTGTCCTCGTTAGTGACGCTGATTGGACTCTCCACCGGCCAACGCAGAAGCTTGCGACACGTCTTGCATCTGAGTGAGCAATATATTCCAGGTCAACTCTTAAATATTTTCTACCGCCCGGGACCTTAGTCGAAATGGCAGTCTAGAGAAGCGATGGAAGGCTTCCTTGCAACTCGATTAAAGAATACAGCGGAAAAATAATAGAGAATATGTAGCGCTCTCAAATGATTAGACTGTGATATATAAATCCGAGGCAATGTAATCGAATCTGCGGTGATACGAAATGGTAGAATATTGCCTTTTGTCCATAGGGCACTAAGGCGCTCCCTGAGTGTTTGGCAGGAATTATGAGTGCGACCAACACTAATCTAAGCAATAGCCAGGCACCATTATACTGTCCAATGTAGCAGCAAAAAAAATCCGCTATTTGCGTTTTCCAGCTTCTACAGACAATGGCCTTCCCTGGTTTTGATCAGATTGCGGTGTCGTCGGAGTCCGAAGTGGCACGGGTGGGGTCCTGATTTCAACCCTAGCCCCATAGGCCATAATAAACCAGTGGACCCGACAGAGCGGTTCTGATGCAGGTGCTAACTGCAGGAACTGCTCGAGCCGCGGGAAGCGCCACCACACCCGACCCATGCGATACCCGCGCGCTAACGGCACCCCAGGTTTCACATGACTGGAAATGAACGCGGGTCCGAAGTGGGTCCTCCAGCGCTTAATTCCACGTCAGGTCCCCACTTGAGCTCTCCTGGATTTCTTTCCGTGTCTTGGGTTGTTTGCCCAACCTCCCAATGATGCCGATTCTCGAGAGTTCCTTCCCGTTCTATTCGAATGACGGGTAATCGAATATAATGAATCAAGACGAAGCTTCCGTCACGTATGGGGCGTGGTTGGAGGCTGATCCCTCGATACCGATAATTGACGATGCGGAGCCATTGTCCGACGTCATATCAAAGCTCTCGATGTAAGACAGTCCTAACAGACAATGCATTGACTTATGTGGCTGATCTGGTGATCTAGCTATATCGTTGGAGCTATCAAGAGCCCATACACATTTGAGGAACTAAGGCGCCCTCAACATTCACAGTCGCTTGCTCCTCTCATCGAGTATCTTGGCGATCGGGTCCACCATCGGTGGATAGTGCTAGCTCTTTTGTGAGTTGACTGAAATGCGCTCATCAAATCAACGTACTTACTTACATTTGTATAGACAATTAAAAGGCCACTTCGCTGCATTGGAACCTGATGATGATCGGGGAATCAACGATGCACGAGGGTTTGCTTGTGAGCTGGTCGCCTGGAGATTTGTCCTCGGCCTATCGCGACAGGAAGCTCTGGACTATCTCCTATCAGAGTATACCCCTCATGATCCCGTTCCCGCTGAGCTAGGAGACGAAGAGAGTGGAATACCGAACGGTTTATCAAGACATACGAGCGAGCTCGATCCCCTTCTCGCCTCGTCCTCTACTCTTCCAGTGCGTCAAGCTCAATCTCGGACGGCGTCCTACTTCGGACAGGTGCAGGACTCCTTGCATGATGCCGATGCAGACTCAAACCACGTATATGATCTCGTCTCGTCTTGCGTGAACCTGAACGCCTTGGAAGTTGCGGCTGTATCTGAAGCCAAGAAATTCTTGAGCCAGAAGATTGTCCAGCAGATGATCGAACGTATCTGGAGAGGCGATATTATCTTCTGGGAAACGTTATCTGTTGACTCAGTGAAGCGAGCGAAATTATACAACCCAAAGTGAGCACAACTTCTGCCCAATTTATTTAATGTTAGCACTGACAATCATCAATGTGCAAGACGTGCAGATGCGTACTGCCGGCTCAGAGTCCCTCGGTACCTCAAAACATTTGAGGTCCTGTTCTTCGTCACGTTCCTTTTCCTTTATTATGTTGTCCTTGTCCAACGCGATTATGACCAAATCACCGTTGCTGAGATCCTCTTGTATGTTTTCATTGCTGGGTTTGCATACGATGAATGTATGTCCATCCTCATCTCTTCGGTCGGTGCCCTCTAATCAATGGCAGTTGGTGAGTATCGAGATGCAGGGCAAGCCTTTTATGCCACGGATTTCTGGTCTCTGTGGGACTTATGCATTGCGCTCGTGGGCTTCAGCTTCCTAATTTCCAGTGAGTTAGGACCGTACGAGTGACCGCTAAATGCTCACCCACTAACATAAGCATAGGAGCCATTGGCATCGCCAGAGAGTCTGATATAATCATTGACACATCTTTCGATATTCTCGCGTTAGAAGCGCTCTTCCTCGTTCCAAGGTATGATTTCGATGTCGGTGGCTCCAAGAGCAAAATACTTATCTCGATGTGTGGTCTAGGACCTGCTCTGTCCTTAGTCTCAACCCCTACTTTGGAACATTGGTAAGCATCACGATAGTGGATCTTGGAACTGGTACTCACATGGAATTAGATGCCCTGTTTGAAGGAAATGGTCCGTTAACTAAACCATAAAAGCGGTCAACTACTCCGCTAATTCATAACCAGACCAAGGACTTTGCTAAGTTCCTTAGTATTGTTACCATTCTATATATCGGTCTGGCCCACTAAATCTCCGGTGAAAGCCCTCGAGCACTGCATTCTGACCGCACTCTAGGCTTCTTAACAACATTCACCCTTTTGGCGAGGGACAACTTTACGTTGAGTGAGATGTCATGGATTCTGATCAAGGTCTTCTTCGGGTAAGCCGCAATCAACAACAGGGTGCTGACGCCGCTAATCCAACCAAGCTCATCGTATCTTGGATTCGTAAGTGGAAAGATCGTGAAGACCTGGTTGACCGGTCACAACTAACATGAGCATATAGGATGTTGCAGCACAAATGTAAGTTGATTGCCTCTGAGATACAACTAAAGAACATTCTAATGGTTTCTACAGAAGTCCAATCCTTGGGCCCCCTGTCATGGTTTGCTAATCTCTCGATCTGTACACAGCCATCTTCTGACCGGATTTAGTTGATTTTCATTTGCCTCACGAACATTCTACTGATTACTAGTTTGATTTCGCTCTTGAGCAACTCCTTGACAAAGGTGCGGTGTCCATTGTCCCTCGAACTTCCTCGTCACAGCCATCATGATCATGATTATGGCTTGTGCCAAGACTCACTGGCCACAAAACCCCTGCTTGCTATGAAATGATTGGCTAACAGCGTGCATTTCGTGAACTTAGGTGCTCGACCATGCCAAAGAAGAATATTTATTTATGTGAGCGAGACAAGGCATACTTGTTTCTTTCTTCGCTGCACCGCCATATTGACTAAAAATCCAGATATTCCGTCTATGTGCTGGAAGCGTCGACCTCAAACCGACTGACGTATTATTTGCCGCCTTGGGTAAGTGACGTTCCAATTTTCAACACTTCCTGGCCATCGATTAAGCGCCTGCGTCCTCGTCACCTGCAGCACCGCCTCGAACTGTTAGGCGGCGCTTGGGATCGCGTGTGCCACAATCTTGAATTTGACAGTTCTGTGATGACATTGCCAATGAGATCGTGAAACGTTGGCGTTTGTTTCCCCGCTCCGTTTTCGAAGTCATGCTATCCTAGTATACGCATCCGGATAGACTTGGAAATCCGCATTTCTTGAGGCGGAGCATATGGATATGCATCTCAATGCTAAGATTCGAAAACAGAACCTCATCTCATTGGTCTCGAGACCTCTCCGACTGTTCCTCCCGTCCGATCAGCTTCGGCGGACACGAATTGCCATTCTCAAAGTTACCCATACCCCATACGTCGCGGCCATTTGGGCGTATGAGTCTTTGACCGAGGGACTGGGTTGGTCCAAGAGAGATAGGACGAGCTGGATGTCGTCTAATATTGCCGGCCCCGGCTTGATTCAACCTCTGAAGCGCCAAACTTGGAAGATCTCCGCCGGTACGCCGCGGGCATTGGTGGCTTCAATGCAACCAACGGCTTCAGATGGGCGAGGCGAGAACGGTAGGGCGTCGACCGCCGACTACGGGTCCCATAGTGGTGCCGACAATGCAGACGAGCCGCAAGACGTGGATCTGAAATCATTGGTTCTGAAGCTCAGCACTCAGGTTGAGCAACTTATGGCGATTGTGACAGAACGGCAGGGAGGGAATTTGCAGGACGACGAATAATGCCAAAAGCGGATTTTCCGAGTTGAACCATCACCGCATCAAGTCATGGGTGGAACAAATTAATTTCGGGCAGCAAAAGGTAAAGAGATTATGGTGGTGAGGGAGTGTTGCCTCCCTTGTTGAGTGATATGTGGGGATTGCAAATGGGGTGGTGAACAGGTACAATCATCGGTCAAAAGACACCGACGACCACTGAACAGTAAAGTTCCGCAAAGGCCAACAGAACAGACCAGTTACCATGCAAATCCAGAGATTATCTGATTGGAGCCTTCTCGCATCCCCAGCAAGGCCTTGAATGATGTACCGGTAGGTTGGGTCGAGGCTTGGCTTAGTCGAACACAGGCCTCCTCTCATTCAAGGTCCCTTCTCTCACTCAATCCTGTTCTATCAAAGTTGTTGTACAAATAAACGCCCAACCGCGCTCTATATTCTCATCGTCAGCGCGGTTATTTTGAATATTTGGAAATCTGCCTCGAGCTTGTCGTTGCGGCATCAGACTACAATTATCACCACTGCCTCATTCTATTTTCTGTCCTCGTGCCTCTTTCAGCGCGTTTACGTGCTCTGAAGAGAAGGAATACGTTTATCGCCTAGAGTATATACATATACTTTGGATCGTTGGAATTGTTTCTCTTCATCACCTTGTTTTGTTCTGCTCGTTCCTCGTGTATGATCTTTGCCCCGAACAGCCCGTATGGCTGCTTCTGAACGTCTTTCCACCATGGCTCACCTCCAATTCGACAACAAGCGTCACTACCCGACCAACATCGAGCACTCCCCAATGGACGCATCACTGACGCCAGTGAGCACCCACAACGGCACGTTTCAGGACCAGCTTGCGTGTACTTCATATGCCGAGCCACATTATCAACCGTCCCCTTGTGTGGGCATCGTCGAACCATTCCCTCAGGCCCCTCATGGTCTCGGTCTCTTCATCGACACCCACGATGCCCTGGTCCCTACTGTCCACCCTCCAACACCGATATCAGCAAACCCTTGGAACGCGACCGATCTATCGAGCCCACTGAACGATCAGCAGCGCCTCGACTTCTACCTCCAGGTTTCAGGTCCCCCGTCGACATGGGAGGCCACACCAGTCGTTGACTGCAGTCAGCTACAGGCTGGGGTGTTCACACCATGTTCCAACTATCGAACGAACAGGTCGCATCGATCCTCCATCTCCTCCACCTACTCCAGTACGGACAGCATCCTCACTTGCTCTCGAGGATCGCCGCTCCCTAACCCCGTGAAGATTGAAAACGTCGAGAACTGGCAGCTAACGACTCCGGAGTTTCCCTCTACTCCTCAAGGACGGAACCTTGTCCCTTCAAAGGTCAACCCGCCGTTCATTCCTCACTCCGCGCCACATTCGGCGCATGTATTTTCGTACGTCAGTCCTGTCGCGTTGCAGGAGATGCGCCCGCATTCAGACTGCGCAACCGATCCGTTCTACTGGCAGAATCGTCGGTGGAGTGACTCGTATTCTGCGGAACGAATCAAGGCGGAAGCACTCCACGCCGTTGCGCGGACTCGAAAAAAGAGAAGACACACCACCCAGGCGGAGTCGAAGTTTTCATGCGATCAATGCGGGAAATTCTTCAAGCGGAAGCACAACTTTACTTCTCACTGCAATACCAGGCATAACAAAGACACTGTCGGGCTCCGGCCGTTTCCTTGCAATGCGTGCGATCGAGCATTCAAGAGGAAAGCGGATCTTGAGCGACACAGGACGAACGTGAGCATTGTCTATTTTTATTGATGCATGCGTATGCTCACTTATTTCCAGGTCCACATCAAATCTCTCGAGCATAAGTGTTCTGCTTGCCTTACGGGTTTTGCGAGGAAAGACACATTGAGGAGGCATGTACATCAGAGTCTCTCCTAAACAACACTGCTAACTACATGCCAGGCATGTCGAGAACGGGGGCTGCAAGACACTCAACGATCTTGAACGGCAGCAGAGCATCAGCGCAAGCCCTCTACCACCAACGCCAATGTTCTAAGCGAACGACAGCAATTTCGAAATGCAAATTCTAACCATTATCCAATCCGGAATGGAAGCATTTACAATCACCAACATTTAGATTTTTGTCGGTAACGAATCACGAGCCGATACACATGAAAAAGGATGTGCATCAAAGTTGAACCCGAGTCGGAGGCCGCTACGGACGATTTCTCGGCTATCGCTATCAAAATGCGCCTTTGAAACCGACCGGTCCGTTATTTGTTTCATCATCTGCATTTGCACAGCCTTTCATGTATTACTCGAGAGCTATTGGAACGGCTGGTAATTTATTTGTTAGGGGGGTCTGGTGGGGAAGGCGTTCTGCTCCACACACACAACATTTCAGTTTACCTTATTTCCTATTGGAAGCGTAATTCATCATATCTGATAGACTGGGTTGCGAAGACCACGAACTATGAAGGGCGACCTTGCTCACATGCATTCCTTTTGGCTGGCATGGGGTTAATTGAGTTTTTCTGTTACTTTGCGATTGGAGACTATAATGCTCATTTCCACGTTCGTAATCCTTTCTGGAAGCGTAGATGAAAACATACGAGCTATCATATAAAAGTTGGTCTGGGATTTGTGACTATTGTGTGACTCTGCTCTATCCAGGCAGCGAGACCAGGTACGTGCTGCGCAAAGGGGGCACCAGATCACCAGAGGGGTGTTGCAGTCAGATGGCAGGATCGGAATCCCAGGTTGGGCAGAAGTTAATCTTGCTTGGCCGAATCTGGAGGCAGCGATCCACACGACCATACTATTGCCGTATGGGCATCAGACAGGCATGAAGAGGAGGAAGGTTTTGGCGAGGGGTAGCCCTGCTGGACGGCACGAAGCTGGGAGGAAAATACAATTTGATGTTCCATGATGGGCGATGGCTCGGTCAAGCTGCCCGCACGCCATCCATCCTTGGCCATTACGTTCCTGTCACAATCCGCAATCTGTGCGGATTGTCGTTGCGTAGCTAGGCTCTCCTTGCGGACTTCCCAGTGTCGACGGACTACCTGGGCAGTGAACAGTCGAGTCTGAACGGGCTAAACTCTGACTGAACGTTCTGACCGAACCGGGGCATTCGGGAAACTAATGGTGCGGCCCGACAATCTGGGTCCGACGCAAGGATCAAGGGTTCAGCCCAACCCGCGGCGGGCGCTTATTTGGCCAGCAGCAGCTAAGCAGCAGAAGAGTGGTGAAGATTTGATAAGGAATACCCACGGGAATACGGATACTCCGACCCCCATTCGCTCCATGTCGCCGACTGCCGCCTCACTTCCTGAAACTCCTTATTTCTCAGTCCTCACACCCTCTGCCGTGTCATCTCAAGTTATCAATTGAGATTGCTTCTCGAAGTATTGAATCGGTCCTAGAAGTCGTTATTCGCCCTCAATATGACAAATATGTCATATTGGTAATTATTTTATGTCAATATACCGGTCGTCCTTGTTGTGGTTGCCGTAGCATCAGCTTCCTCCGCCCCGCTTCTTCCGGTCACTGTCTAGCCGCGGCTTACCCCAATCCATAACAAGATGTCTACTCCGTATAACCTCTCCTAAATGATTTATTGCTTGAGCACATCTGTTCCTAGTATATCGACTAGGATCCTCTGACTTTAGATGCCTGCGGCAAACCGGACAGTCTCCAGTGGTTGGTCGTCGTATGGATAGCATGCAAGTCCAAACGCGACATGTCGTTCGATTCCGTGTGTCAACCCATGTTGGAAAATTTGATATTGGAGGCATCATCGAGCAGACACACCACTTCATCCGAGCCGAGAAATCGACGGTTTGCATGTTAGATGTGCTGTTGGTTTGCCCTACATTCCGCGTCCCCACTGGACCGTTAAGCGCTATGTCGCTCAAAAGGGTATGATAGAGTATTTTCTTCAACGTCTTTTCTCCCACAGCTGCAGGAACACCTGGTTGCACATCGGTCACATCATACCTTTCTCACGAGAGTCGAGATGCAATGTTCGTACCTGCCAGACATCGACCCGTAACAAGCCACCCTGCTGTCTGATCACAATCCCGACTTGCCATCTAAGATCTACTACGCATTGGGTGCCATCATAGGCTGCTCCCTCGCTTCCACAACCCACCGGCTCCTAAAGATCTGAACATGGCTTTGTACTACACGGAAAAATCTCTTTCGGCACAGCCTGCTCGACTTCCCCCACTATTCATAACTCCCCTGTATTTTGCGCCTTGTGTCTGTGCGCCACACTCTTTTCCAGCGGACCAGCATCGTATCGGTGATGGTGTATGGCCATCTGCAAGTCTTCACCCGCCGCACCACTCTGGGGTAATCATCGCCCGCATCGGTCCTCCGAGCAGGCTTGATTGTAGTGCCATGATCGATTGAAGCGGGCAGATCCGTGAAGGATTAAAGGATACTGATGCAGATGTTAGATCCTGCCATCGTCTCCATCCGAGGTGTACCGATCACATCGACTATCGTCACCCGTCAGGCACCAATAATACCAGACAGATTACAGATTACAGATCCGGAAACGAATGACCGACTCCACAGTGGACCCGTCGATTAATGCAGCCCAGGGCGGATTCATCACTCTCTGATCCCTTCCATCGACTCACACGCGAAGAAAAAGTTTACTGCACCTAAAGACGCCAAATGAACAAAGGACCAGTGAGAATTCACGCAGCTAGAAAATGACGGGCCACGGTTTGCAATGATTTCCTCCAATCGACGGTGGAAATTTCCCGAAGGCCGACTGAACGATCGCCTATAGCACTATCCTCCCGTCTGTCGCATCTCTACTGCCCCCATCCCTATAACCGTTGAGCACACTCGGGAGGCACCGCCCTACTAAACGGCAAATCCTATTAGGGTGGGATCTTTCAGAGACATCAAGGATGGAGGGGAGTCTCCTGACTTTCTCCCAAACGTTCTAGCCATCAGTAACTGAATTAGGTCAAGGCGCTGTTATTACTTGCATAGCTGCATTGCCGTTTGTTCGACCAGCGCTTGCACTGCTCTAATGACTGGTGGACTCGTCAATATCCTGACGTCGATCCTATGCAGATGGCCAAATTCACGGCATCCTCCGTTTGTACAGGCTTCATCCTTATTCTTCGATTCCGAGATGCAGTCATCGGTCTCTAGGTCACTCTTAACCTACAATTCGTTCTCCTACCAGTCAACCTGCATACCTTACCGTGTCTTGCAATACCACCCACAAACCAGCGTCCATCCAAGTTTGGCTTCTGGACTCGGCCGAGACTCCATCCCACACCCACTATCCCTCGTGTGACTCAGGTCGCATTGAATTCTCCATTGAATTCCCGCGTTCACAACCTACCCCTTTCTACCTTCTACGTTTTGCTTTGGGCATATTCACTATGCCGTGCCATAAGGCTCCTATGATGATGAAACAAGCTTGCAGCACTGTGTGCAATGCATCTATGCAGTCCATACCGAAGACAGCCTAAATCTTGTTACCAGAGACAGCAATGGGACACGGCTACCGGCCCTCATCAGACGATATCTCAAACCTATGGACTCAAGGGATGTTGTCCCGTGGACTTCTAGTCCTCACAGTCTGAAGCGGGTATGGTCGACTCTTCGGATAATACCATCACAACGCGGTATCTGGTCATCGCACATTCCTCGCCTCAATCGGTGGGCATTTGCATTGATGTGACCTGCCCTCGCCGACCACACTGGACTCAGTCGGGAGCCTGATAATTCGTCAGCTGAGTCTCTCTGATAGGAAACGATTGCTGCCGGTTCTGCAAGGCTATGGTACAGCTCATTCTACTCCTCCCGTCGAAGTTAATGTCGAGCCTGTCTCCTATCTGCAACCAAAGGCGCCGAGCATGCTCTGAGTGGCAGTCCTGATATGAGACCTCGCGGCTGTGGCATCGTATCCGTACAATATACGGTGTTTAATATGTCCTAAATATGAAAATGTGTTGCCGAAAACCCGTACACGGCAACTCTCTAGCTCGAGCATGGCTTGTGGTCGCACAAAGGATCCACGTGGTACAGAACTGATACACAATGCGGCAGCCATTGGGGCAACCGCGGAAAACGTTGACTTTGACAGGTTGCGCGCGCGAATCCCCTTGTGGTTATACCGCATCTCAGAAGTCGCTCAACTATTTGGGGAACCTTCGCCTTGACAGGTTTCTCGTGCCAATCTCTTTGCGGTTCCATGCGGTTACACAGCAACCCAGAAGTCGCCTAACTATTATTACCATATCCCCGCTGCACTCATCGAGTATTCGAAGCGCTATTTTAATCTTATCCGGACTGACGTGTCCTCCAGCACTCCCGCCTCCAATCTGACTCAGTCAGTGACCTTTCCGCCACCTACTCCATTCGATCCCCCCTGTACCTGCAGCCTCTGTTACGTTACGCCCGCCTCAGCAATTTCTCGATCATTCCACTCCAGGTTGTCGAGGAGCCGTTAGATACGTCGCGTGGCTGGCAGGGATGGCCCAGAGCGGCGAACGAAGTCACAAGGTAAGGATCGCGCTTCAGACAGGGAAGACCATTCCGCTTCTCCTAGGGACTTCTGCCGTTCCGACTGTGCGCAGGAGTGAGTTGCGGCACTGCGGCTACTGATCGCCGAAGGGGCTGTTTCGCGGACACGAAGGTACTCAGAGTCAGGGGAAGAGGGAGGGTGGATAGGATCTCCGTCTCGCATCATCGGACACAAGCAAGGGATTGACAAATTGCTCAAGGATTGTCGGCACGGTTCACTTCATTTGGGGACTAACGAAGTAAGAATAGCGGCTGAGAGATATGTCACGCAGCAGACGACAAGAACAGGAGAGTTCACAATGAACATCTACATTCAAAGAGGAGTGAAACCTAGGAATAAAGGGCGTCCCAGAAAATGTGGTTTAGATTCATTTGATGTCACAATAGAGCCTTAGATGACGTGATATTATATCATAATATTGTAACCGTTGGCTTTGATGTGGAATCGCGACCCGTGAACAGAGTCTATGCTTCCCAGACTGGACCTACCTCGATGACTTCAAGTGCTACATGTCGAGTGTCTAACAAAGGAGTAGGTCACGGTAGGTATTTTGGTGCATCTCAGCACCAAGGATAGCATCGGATATCCGTCCCTTACGTATCTGATTTGTCATCCGACAGACAAACGGAATTCCGAATGTCCCGACCCATTTGGCTGTAAGTTGAAGCTTCATCAACCTCTGAACATCATCAACTTATCTCCAGTTGATATGCTGCTAGATCGGTATAATTGACCAACAAGTGCGTTAGCATCAGGTCAGCAGCATACCCATAAGGCTAAGCACCGCTCCCTAATCAAAACTGGGACCTAACGCGATCAAACTGAATCGCAAATCCCCGCCCCCCGCCTCCGCTTCTCTCTTAAGGAAGCTCCGGACGCCCAGATCCAAGGCCGACTGGCTGAGCACATCGTCCTTTTGGCCGATGGTTCCGCGATCCAAGGGCCCGGTCCTCCGACCATCGAGCTCCCACAGATGATTGTCCTCGGACTTCACGAAGCATACGAAGTGGAGATCGACTTTCAGGTCGGCTTCTGGAGCTTCGGAGTCCCCCACGGAAGCCGCGGCGGCGTGTGCGCTTTCGAGCGCTTGGGATTCGTAGAGGAGGTCGGCTCGCTCGTTGGGTTTTAGGGGGATGGCATCGGTGAGGAGTTGGGAGAGCTTGGAACCGGGTTCTAAGGCACGAGAGTAAGCGGGTAGGTACCATGGGTAGTATCAACGAGTGGATCATACCAATGAGATCTCGCACTTTGCCATTTGAAACGCCGTGGAGGAGAGCTATCAAACCGCAAGCGTTGCCGATGGTCTGCTTGTACCAGATGACAGGTTCGTCGGGGCCGGATCCTTTGTATTCATCTCGCTTGCTGTCTTCCTCGACCCTGAACTTCTCGTATGTGTCGCTGGTCGGAAATATGAGCATGAGAGCATGTGCCGGCCGCGGTACGAAGGCGAGGAGCTCGGGGTCATCGATGCTGTAGACATCGTGGAAGGCAACCGCGTTGGAAACACCTAGTTGGTAAATGAGCTGGTTCATGACCTCGGGGTTGTTCTCTTCGGGGTCGTCAGCTGGATCTTGCGTATCATCAGATGTGACCTACCGAGAGGGACGAATCGTTTCCGTTCTTTCGCGGCAGCGGTCGGCTCACCCACGCCATGAGGGTCAAGCTCAGCTGCTGATGTTGAAGCCATAGCGTCGTATCGGATTCGTGATTTTTGGATGGATGTTTTTGTAGCTCTTGAAAGATGAGAATAGGAATGAACGATGCTCGGTATTGCTAGCGGTAGGGTTCCGCTTGGCTTGACCTTTACTCAAATAGAGACTAGAGAATTATCAAGTGTCGAAAGGTGATTGTTCAAGGTGTAGAAATAAAGGCTTGAGTCATAACGGTGGTTACGTGTATTAACAATAAAGGGATCATCACATTATTCTTGTTGCCTTGAGAGTTGATGCCAACGGTCCACATATCACTAGTAACCCGCGTTCCCTTGCACGTCATCGGATTCGTGTTGGGTGGAGGAAGAAATGCATAGGGGAAGAGGGGTATTGACTTGGTTAGGGGCAGTCCGATAGGCAGTCGAGACACCAAGCTGGGCGGTAGGTGAAAAGGAATGGGCAGTATGGCCACCAGGATGGGTGGGAGGGCCACCGGGATAGGCGGTAAGTTCCTCCAGGACTCCTATGTTATTAACTCTAAACTTACGTAAGATGTACCCACATAATAGACATGAATAGAGGCTAATGTGGGATGTAATTAAATGAAGTATTTCTCTAATTCTTTTAGTTTGTCTGCTTGTGATGGAACCTACCGGGCAGTGCTTACTGGAAGTTCATGCTGACGATATCAGGACAGAAATCTGCAGAGACAAAACAGTGTTAACCCCGGCCAGACCAGGATATAATTCCAGAAACCTAAGTTAAGTTTTGTCCCCAACAACACTCAGAGACAACCCTAATCGAATACGTTGGAATTTCCTCTTCATTATTTGGGCCCTATTGTCCATTGACATGTACCCTCCTTTCGTCTCCTGATCCTTACCACATACCATCGCGTCTCACGTACTCCGTAGCCGCACTGTAATTCTCACGCTTCAAGCAATTGATCCATTAGATTCACTGAAACATAATCAACGTATTTGTAAGCCAAGATGGGCGCTCTCAATGCCTGATTTAACGTCATACCCCGGAATAGGTAGCCTGCTTCGAGCGTCGATATCTGGCCAAATGACAAGCACAATTCTGGACGCCTGATCTTACCGGACTCAAATACTCCGTAGTGGTAATATTTAAAAAGCTGGGACCGCAGGTTTCTCTATCTATGATTTTCAATTTCCAATCCGAGACTAAAGCTTTCTCACACCCGTCCCGTTGATTTGAGTCTCATCCTATACTAACCATGTCATATTTCGCTCCAGCTCCCCCTCCTAAAACGGCACTGGGCCATCATCGACTGCTGAGTCCCAATGCCTCGATCCGCGTGTCCCCTTTGTGTCTCGGAGCGATGAACTTCGGCAATGCTTGGTACGTGCCAGTGGGAAGAAGCCAATGCTGGGGCCGAAGAGCGCAGCTAATCTGTGTGATAGGAAAGGCTCGATGGGCGAGTGAGACAAGGATACTTCTTTCGAGATCCTTGACTACTTCTGGGAGAGCGGTGGGAATTTCATCGCCACGTATGTTGATATTTCCCCTTTTTCACAGCCGCAGTGTATCATGGGCTCATCGCTGATCATATGCAGCGCCTCGAGCTACCAGTTCGGGGAGAGCGAAACCTGGATCGGAGAGTGGATGAAAGCGAGGGCTAATCGAGATGAGATGGTCATCGCAACCGGATTTCCAAACTCCATGTTGTTCGGAGCGGAATACTCCATTAACAAGTCTACAGGAGGTATTTTCCTATCTAAACTTGGAGGTCCTGTCGATACTGTACCCCAGAATGGGCCAATTAAACCACACAAGTTATAATAGTGACGAGTTCTCAACCTGCTCCAAAGCTTTGGGGGCACATGATCTCCTCTGTCTCAGGGCTAGATAAGCATTCGTCTATTAGCCTCCATATTAAATGTAGATGAACAGTCCTCCTTCCCCTGATGATGATCTACAAAGATATATATGTGCCTGTCGTCGATAAGCGAATACAAACAGCAGAACTGATCAGAAACTTGCCGTGCCTTTGGAAGGATAGACCAGTCAAGCCGTAGAAGAACGGTAGGTTGACGTTTCTCGACCAGGTCCTATGAAGGGAATGCGACAATTCGATCACAACTAATTAGATCCTCTCGGCCTATACTAGTTTAAATGCACGTATAACTATCTACAAAACAGCCGACCCAAGTTGTATACCACCCTCACCTTGCTCCGATCGATTCGATGAGGCCTAGAACGGGTCCCCTCAGCACAGTACATGTGTTTTAGAGCCTGGGTTATCATTCAGTGCATAATACAAGGCAGAGGACAAAGCCGAGTGATTAGGAGTACCAGTTTCATATCCACCATACCAAAACTTCATACAGAAGTATTCTCTGTTCACCCATTGCAATTAGATCCTCCCCTTCATCAGTATTTAGGACGTTATCACGGCTCCAACAAACTTCTTTAACATAATGTATCTCCTCAAATCTGCTCTTTTCACTGGTGTGACTGACAATCCATGTATTCCCACTATTCAACGCCTCTCAAAGGCTACTATGCGCGGGTAGGCGATCGTACAGTTACCAGAATTGCCCGAGAATACTCCCAGTCCGAAAATCCTAGAGAACTAGAGAAGAGCCATATGCAATTGATTAAAGCCTCAGCCCTGTGTGTTCCAGAAGTATGCAGAGAGCCGACTAACGAATACATACAGGCTCCCACCTCTCTCGAGTATGAGATACTTATGAGGATAAATGATCATATATACCCCAGAAATCATAGAAAACACCTTACGTGTGCATAATTCAGGAGTGTGAAAGAGTGTTCATTCTCGGGATCATCGCCATATGGTTGTTCATTTTCAATGTGGGGGTTCGTGACGAATCTAACCGTGTGAGAAGCTGAACGAAACCGGATCGCAAATAATTGTATAGTTTATACCTATATCAGCGGGACGATAAAAACTTCAGGTCGATTGTAGCGATTAAAAATGAATGCAATGTTGAGGCAAGTCGTCAACATTGGAGGTCAGGTTGTTGCTAGAACTGAGAGTGGCGTGAGAGGGTCGTCAAAGGGTGGACTTATCTGATGATCTGATAAGAGACCCCTGCCATAGAGTTACACTAAAATTTCCAGATCGCAGGAAATGCGAGACTTCAGTTCAGGAATTTCATGTTACGCTCTGAATCGCAGTGACTACAAATCCGCCAGATTGAGCCCCTCGTTAACTGAGCAATCGATTGTATCGATACCATATTGTAACCCCTTCCGCTAATTATGGCGAAGCACGGCGTTGAAAAGCGCAAGAAGCGCGACCAATCGCCTCCAAAATCCTCGACCAGTACGTCTTCCTCAAACAACATGACCCGGCCTTATACTGATTTCTCTGTTGTAGATGATCCACGATTCACGTCGCTCTCTACCGATCCTCGATTCCGACTGCCCTCTCAGAAGAACACCAAAGTCCGCTTGGACGATCGATTCTCCCGCTTACTCAAGGACGAAGACTTCACTAAAAAGGCCAGCGTTGATCGGTATGGCAGGAAAATAGAAGGCAGTCGAGGGAAGAAAGAATTGGAGAGACTGTACCAGGTCGCCAGCGCCAGCGAAACGGACGAGAGCGACCAATCAGGAAGCGATGAGCTGGATGCGGATGATGATGTTCAGGCAGAGCTAAAACGGGTCACCGGCAAGTATGATCCTGCCAGAGAAGGAGGCTTTTCGTCGTCTGAGGATGATGAGGATGACGAGGATGTCGAGGAGGAGTCGGAAGCTGAAGAGGACGCGGGGCCTCAAGAAGACATACCGACAGGCGAGGTCACCTCACGACTTGCGGTGGTGAACTTGGATTGGGACAATATCAAAGCTGCGGATTTGATGGCCGTGGCCTTGAGCTTTGCTCCTACGGAAGGGAAGATCCTCAACGTTTCGATATACCCGAGTCAGTTTGGAAAGAAGATGATGGAGCGGGAAGAGACCGAAGGGCCGGCAAAGGAATTGTTCCAAGGTCCCGGTGGGAAGAAGAGCAATGCAGTTGCATCGAAAAGCCGGCCCACCAAGGAGACCAGAGCTGAAAACGAGGATTCCTCCGATGATGACGAAGAGGCGCCCGCGGACGACACTCGAGCTCGAGATTTCGATCCCGCAAAACTACGAAACTACCAACTACAGCGACTACGGTATTATTACGCGGTCATCACTGCCTCGACGCCTGCAGCGGCGAAGTTCATATACGATGCAATGGACGGGCGCGAGTACCTCACCTCCGCCAACTTCTTCGACCTCCGATTCGTGCCCGACGACACTTCCTTCGATGACGACGAACCCGAGGACGAGTGCACTTCCATTCCTAAAGGATATCGGCCACGTGAATTCGTCACGCAGGCGCTGCGACACAGTCGCGTGACACTTACATGGGACAATGAGGATGGGGGCCGGAAAGACGTGATGAGGCGTGCCTTCGAGCGTGGCGGAGAGCTCGACAATGACCTGCTGGCGTATCTGGGAAGTGGCACATCCGATGAGGGCGGATCAGAGAGCGAGGAAGAACCTACTGAAACCGATTTGGCTGCCCTTGGGAGGTCAGACACCGCACCTCGAGATAAAGTGTCGAAGAACTCCAAGGCATCAGCCCTACGGGCGGCCCTAGGCCTCTCCGGAGATATACCCCAGGCCTCAGAAAAGAAACCGAAAGGTAAAAAAGAAGCGACCGGCGGCATGCAGATCACGTTTGTTCCCGGGTTTTCGGGGGACTCGGAGAGTGGCAACAAAGGAGTTTTTGAAAACGAGCCGGTGGAGAGTACCGTGGAGAAGTACATCAGGAAGGAGAGGGAGCGAAAGGCTCGAAGAAAAGAGAAGAATCGCGGTGTCGAGACTGGCGCTGAAGCTGAGAAAGAAGTCGAAAAGGTGTCTCGCGCCGAGGATAATGCTGTGGAAGAAGATTTAGGATTTGACGACCCGTTCTTCGAGAATCCGGCGGAGGCGGCAAAGCAGGCAGCGAAGCGAGCTAAGAAATTAGCGCGCGAGATCAAAGATGCGCAGCAACAGGAGGAGCGGATAGCCAAGGAGAAGGAAAAGAAGGAACTGGAGCTGCTGATGGCCGAGGAGGGCGGGGTGGCCGGGGGGGCCGGAAAAGTGCAGCACTTCGACATGAACGAGATCATGAAGCGGGAGAAGGCGTCGCGAAAGAAGGGCAAGGCGAAGAAAAAGTCCGAGGCGAAGTTTGCGGGGGTGGAAGAGGACACGTTTAAGGTCGACGCCAAAGATCCGCGGTTCGGCGCGCTGTTTGAGAGCCATGAGTATGCGATCGACCCCACGAATCCGAGGTATAAAGGAACTAAGGGGATGCGGGAGCTGTTGGATGAAGGACGACAGAAGAGGGCCGCGGAAACGTTTGATGATGGACAGCCTTCGAAACGCCAGAAGAAGAAGGTTAGCAGGGAGGATGGAGAGGACTTACGTCGGTTGGTTGAGAAGGTTTCTAAGAGAGCTACAAAGTAACAGCGTGGGGCGAGATGCATTACGCATAGATGAATATATTGTAGTCTTTGTCTATACTTCCGTCTCATGTCATCGTCACTATTCATACTCCGTCCCTTTCAGACGCTGCATAAGATACTCCACTTCAACCTCCTTGGTCAAAGGAATAACGTAGTCCTAATCATAATCAACGGAAGTCAATATACATACCAGCGATGAACTCACCTTGTACATTGACACCACCGCGTCGACATCCAGCTTTCCCAAGTCCCCAGTCGCGTTATCCGGATCCGTTCCATACATTTTCGCCTTGAGTCTTAACCGCTCCAGCACCTTCTTCTCCACTTTCGCATCCGTAATCGCCTCCGCAATCCCGTCCCGATCATCATTCTTGATGAGCTGCACATACCGCTCCGTCTCCTTGCGAAACTTCGACTCCGCGACGAATTTGCCAAAATGGATCCGCCGCGACAGCGCCTGCAGACACTGCACATCGCACGTCGCGGCCGACCCGTAATTCTCATGATCTTCCCCACGATCCTCGCGGCCCAGCTTGACGCACGCGGGCGGCAAGATGGACTCGATGTAGGATTGCTTCAGCTTCTCGTTGACGTTGACGTCGTTCGGGTAGAGAACCTGGGGGTAGTGCAGAGGATGAAGGATGGGCTTTTGCAAGACATTGGGGAAGAAGGGATATTCATCGGGCGATTCGTAGCGGCGGACGAGCGATTGGAGCTTCTCTTGCTCGGAGAGCATCCAGTCCATGAGACTTAAGTCCGAGGCGGCGATGTGCACGCCGCCGGGGACATAGATGGTTTTGTTCAACGGGAATTGAACCCTTTCTATTAAATGGAAGATGATAGTGTCCTCCAGTCGGCTAGATTAACTGTGAGTAGATGCGATACGCCAAGTGGGTTATGTGTCCGTACATCAACTGGAATCTGATATTGCCCAGGTCCAACGCCTTATTGGGATCGTGAAAGTCGATTGCGGCGTCCATTGTATATTTGGTCCTTTAGATTTAGATACCAACTAGGTTTTGGCTGGATTTATTACGGTCGCGTGTCTATCAGATCCAGAGCGGTAACCAAGCTTTAAATAAACGAATCTAGGATGCTACAGCTGTGAGATTGATGACTCCATGTGGTGGACCCCAGCTACGCTATGAATAACGAAAGGTTAGTAATATCCCAATTTGGGCTTTCGTTCCCTACGGTACCGGAAGATGACTTTTTCGAATGATGAAGGGTTAATTGACAAATCCTGACCTGACTTGAATACATTAACTTAAATCAAATAGTTCACTTGATTGAGTGCCATAGCACCGATCTCGGCATCAGCCGGCTGTATCTCCAGTGGCTCAGCAATTTGTTCCATGTCCTAACTGAACCATCAATCAAGTCGAACAGCTCCAACCTGGTTGTGGCGCAACATCCACCTTGTCGATGATCATATTGCCCTAAACAAACCAGCACGCGACATCTCAAACTGTCCATATCAAATCCGCATTTGCATGGTAGTCCAAATGATGAGCATGCGACAGACTTAACCCCGACCTCGTTTTCTGTATTGCATTTCGAGGGAATCGATTCGGATGGCAGAGCCGTCTCGAGGGAGAGGCTCCCCTCCATCCAGGCCATTAACTCCATCCGATGACGACCCTTTGATACCGGTACGAGACCGATTAATCCATCGGCACCCAATGAAACGGGAGAGCTAACGTCCATGTAGACCCGTCAAATCGAAGCCTTTGGCCGCAAAGTCACCGCGACCGCAGGGCATCTGATCGGCGGCGGCCCTCTAGGAGATGGAGGCGTTAGCCAGCATTATCAACATGCTCTCGGAGAGCTTCACCGGGAATTGAGAAAGCCGGCGCTCCAGCGGTCGATCTTCAACCTGGCACAGACGACGCCACGCGAAATCGTCCGATCCAAGCTCTCCGTCCCCGAAATCCAACATCGAGCCCTCTCCTACGTGTCCGACGAGCTCCTCTCACACATCCCCGAAGACCACAATTCCTATTCACTTTTCCAAGGATTCCAAGCGTCGATACCGGAAGAGGAGAAATCTCCGCATCGGAAGCATGGCAAACGACGTGACAAGGGGAAGCTATTGGAGGATGGCAGTTCGGACGAATCTGGTCGTCCACGGGTTGCACAGCTCAAGCATGAGAAATGGAGCATGACCCATCGATTGGAGATGATGGAGGTTCGCAAAAATATGTGCAGTGTGGAGATACGCGAGATCGATAACAAGGTCACCAACCTACAAGCAATGCGCGGGATCGTCCTCGAACGACTTGCGAACCTCGAGCAGGAAGAGATGGAACTGGAGAATGATATCGCCACCGTCGATAATAAGCTCGAGGTGGCGCAGGAACTCGAAGATGAGGAGGCAGCGGCCGTGGAGAAGAGTCCGGCAGCAGAGACGGACCCGGGATCACCTCAAGACGAGTTCATGTCGGAATCTCTCTACCAGAAACTGCCGTCAAGGCCCAAACGGAAACGGCCAAACCGGAGGATATCCATGCCAATCCTTCATGAGCATCTCCACCCTGGTTCTCAGATCAAGGAGTTTCAAGCGCACAACGATATGATCACGGCGATCGATTTTGATTATCCATTTGGAACCATGGTGACGGCCGCACTAGACGATACAGTACGAGTGTGGGATCTCAACGCCGGAAGATGTATGGGCTTTCTAGAGGGACATCTATCCTCCGTGCGTTGTTTGCAAGTCGACGATAACATCGTCGCGACGGGATCGATGGACGCGACCATTCGATTATGGGACCTCAGTAAGGCAGAATACTCGCCTCTGGAGACCGATAACGATACCGTCCCTGTCGGGGAGGACGACGACGATGCCTTGGGCTTCAGCAACGAGGAAGACGCCCCTCCACCGCCACCTCCGACGAGCATGCAAGAATGCCCCCTTTTCTCTCTCGAAGCCCATGTCGCCGAAATCACCGCGCTGCACTTCAAAGGCAACACGCTCGTCTCCGGATCCGCAGACAAGACACTACGTCAATGGGACCTTGAAAAGGGCCGCTGCATTCAAACATTAGATGTTCTCTGGGCCGCTGCGCAAGCCTCGGCCACCCTGAACTCCAACGACGGACTGTGGCGGCAGACGGGCCGTTTACCCGACGCTCAAGCCGATTTCGTCGGAGCGCTGCAGTGCTTCGAAACTGCGCTCGCGTGCGGGACCGCCGATGGCATGGTGCGGCTGTGGGACTTGCGGAGTGGGCAAGTGCATCGGAGTCTGGTCGGCCATACGGGACCAGTGACGGCACTGCAGTTTGACGATGTGCATCTCGTTACAGGAAGTTTGGACCGTAGTATCAGGGTAAGCACTTATGATGTGATCACTACACTCGATACTGGCTGACGCGGCGCTTTTTCAGATTTGGGACCTTAGAACGGGCTCCATATACGATGCCTTTGCGTATGACCACCCCATTACCAGCATGATGTTCGATACGCGCAAGATCGTCGCGGCCGAGGGCGAAGACGTCGTGAAGGTCTACGACAAGGTGGATGGGAAACATTGGGATTGCGGTCCGGGTACTGTTGCGGAACAGGGCACGACTCCTACGATAGAGAAAGTACGGATCAAGGATGGGTATCTAATCGAAGGTAGAAAAGACGGTATGGTTGGCATTTGGTCGTGCTAGAGGGGGCCTAATCCAGGACGGAGTGTACATATTCTGTATGATATGCATAAACGAATTGCCTTGTATTTTGATCATTGATGTAGGACCTTGTCACATATTCCCTCTCGTGCATTTTTTTTGCCCTGGGGCCATGAATATATAAGTGACGGTTCAATACAACTCATGCCTTGAGGAACGTAGTTCCGTAAGGTCTTTGTGGACGCGCGAGGGACAGAAAAATTCCCAAGGGAATCTTCAATCGTGAGGCAAACATTGAATTGTTGCTATGAAGGAGGAATCTATCTAAAGTGTGCGAGGCGTTATGTCCTGATGCTGCAGAGCAAACCCAACATAATAATTGCCGTGTAATTTTAACTTTACACAGCCCATACCATGCCTGTGGCTTGTGGCTTGTGGCTTGCAGATCTCTCCTGTCAGTCGGACATCGCAAGGCGTGGTTCGGATTGTCACCGGTATCTTGGGGCTTTTGAATTCTTACTTTCCTCCGCGGCCTCTGATGGCATGAGATCGCGACCATGGCGCCGCCAGATCCCTCGATAAGCTGGCTTCAAGCCTTCCAGATCCTGCCGATACTCGCTCTGAGTACCATGACTCAGCCAGTCGGCCGCGTTCTAGGTTTCTCGGTGTCCCATAGCTTCTGGCTTCGAGCCTCGCCCTTTATATGCGCCTTCGATGTTCTGGCACTCGCCATTCGGTTCCTAACGTACTGTGTCGTACTCCGTGCTACCCCACGCAAGGCGATGCTTATTATTGGAATGGACCGCTTTGATGAGGCTAAGATCGATCACAGTGTTCGAAAGACAGCGAGAATCGCGACGATATTACGCCTTTTTGGGTTCTTCCTCAGCATATTACCACTGACATATGTGGTTGGTGCGTGGGGAGACATAAGATGGACGGTGGCTTGGGCATGGCTATATGCTGCTTCATACGTCATATTGGAGATTGCATCGCAGCTTGCCAGGTCGGAACTTTCCAAACCACAGTATACTCCTATGGATTTCGAATTAGATGAGATTGTTGAGGAATCAGATGATGGGGAAACTTCGCACGCAGACAGCACTGAAGAGGCGGCGGAGGAAGATAGCGATCAGGCCAAACCATTAAAAGATGAAACTCAGGATAGGCCGGAAGGATCAGCGAGCACGAAGTACAAGCCAGGCAGGACGGGCAGCGAGACGGGGAGCATATACGATGAAAGTAACAGCAGCACTGCCGACCAAGTGGGGTTCACGGCATCGGCTAGCACTGAGCACCTCCTAGGCGAAGGGATTGATGGAAGCCAACGTACAAACGACGATGATGGCTCTACCCTCGCCCAGGCGGAGACCACAGAATCTACGAACGAGGGCCCTCCCGACCTAGAGGCTGCGAAGAACAGCTACAGCGAACACGCGAATCCCGTCACATCACCACGATCGCTAGCACTGAGACAGGCTCACGCTGCTATGGATGAGACCCTGTTTAAGTGGTGCCAACTGCTCCATACGATATTCCTCTACTGGGCTTTCCTCGACCTCATCCAGCCCTTTCTGAATAGGCATATCCTCGCCTCTAGCAGCTGGGAGGCCCCCATCTTCTTGCTCAGCCTCCCCTTGATATACGCCTGTCTATTCTTCGCAATGCTTGGGTTGCTTGGAGGCTGGCATATCATGTCGAAGCTTGTCACTGCCTTAGTCACGTTTGCGAGACTATATCTCCCTCCCTGTATGCAGGTATACGCATCAAAGGTAGTGACTACGGTCTATTATGGGTTATGTGTTCTTTTGTTGCTGGCGGGCTCTTTGGCTGGGTTCTTTATCGTGGAGCATCTGCTGCTATCAGAGTATATGGTATGGCTTTATGGTTTGTTATCTGTGGAGGCTGTGGTGCTGGCCGTCTTCTGCTCTGTCTGTTTCGGCCTGTATATTCTGCTCAAATTCGCTGCCGAGGCAAGCACGGGCGTAAAGGAGAAACTTGGGGTGTCTGGATACTTGGATGAGGATGGAGTCGCCCTACTAACCGTCGTTTTAGTCACCTTCACGGTGTCGATTCTGTGGTATCGGTTCCGGTACGCCTCAGCTGCGCACTGGACGCAGGACTGGCGGGACGCTCTAGTTGTGAACACGACTACGACGAACTCGACCATGACCAACACGACCACGACCAGTTGACGTTATGTAATCTGTAGGCAACATATGATGATAGGTAAATCCGGACATGATCTCTCTCCAACGATTTTGAATGTGAGCTCCATGGTACCCAGAGGCGGTATGAGATGGAGGTAGACTGGTAGAGGGATATCGCCCCGTTCTGCCAATTACGGCAGCGTATGTTCTAGGCACGTCTGGAGTTGTCCCAGCATCTGGTTGTGTGGGTCCATATTAGCTTCCTACTGTGGTGATGGTGATGGGAAGGGAAAGAGTGAGCGTTTTAAACCGTTCTTTTCGGCGGCAATTTCACAGGTCCTCAGATTCTACCTCTAAATTGCGCTCTTTCGTCGCTTCTATACATGCAAATCTATGTGTATCTCAAAAATTACAATTCTTTGGCTGTAAGTGAGCTTCTTTCCCGGAAAGAGTGCGAAGCGCGCCTTGGGCAACACGACTGTATTTCCATGCTCCAACGCCACTATCATCTATGTTTTTTATTAGAAAGTTATAAATGAACCAATCTAAGACATAAAACCCCGGTATATATATTATATAATATTATAATGTGGGCATGTGAACTCTAGCTTCGTTCCTCCAGGCTCTCTTTCAGCGACACCCGCTTGCGGTTCGCATCTCTTGTTTACAAGACGAAGTCATGAACTGATATCCCCTTGACCCCTTCTGGTCACGTGCATGGATAGGAGGCTCTGGTTATGTAAGCTGAAAAATGGGTCGATCCAATAATTTCCGACGTGGAGCTCCGAAGATGAGAAGTTGAAGATACTCTTTGCCACATCCCATTCATTATTGCTACACGCATAGACACTCTGGTCATCCGGAATCCCGAAGAATATCTTTGGTCCGTCCAACATAGGATGCATTGATCGACCTTATCCCCCCCTTTCGCTCGTTGTCCATCCCATATCGACGCGGAGCAAATGCTCACGCGATCCCTTCGACGTTCAATACAAAAACCTCACAATGCATCTAGACACCTCATAATACCGGGCGCGAGCCGATTGCAGAGAAGACCTACCTTCCAACAAACGAGCTCGTCCTACTACACGCCTGCGAGGCGACGGCCTTCGTTACCTATCACATCCAGGGAGAATGGCGCGAACACACCGAGATCACAGACTGAAGTACGACCCTTAGCGACTGCTACCGACTCCTCCCTTTACGGTTCAAATCTTCTATACCCGAGCAATTCTCTGCAATTGCCGCCAGATGCCTCGAGCGACGCGATGGTCGATGCCTTCGGGCTCGACAAGACTGACCCGTTCGAGATCAACTTCCATTACGTTCATAACCCATTCCCACTCCGAGGCGAACCGGTCGAGTTAGTACAAAATATGAGAGCCTCGTTGCAAGTCGGGTTGTTCGATCGAGCCGAAGCACTCCTTCAGCGCCTCGGAGAGATTTTCCCACCATCGAACCCTCAGCTAGTGGAGGCGCACAATCTATACATCCGAGCCAACGTGGAAGCCATTGTCCGAAACCCCAATGGCGACCGAATTGGGAGGCTTCAGTATTGGTTCGAAAGGGAGATGAGACGAAATGGCATACAGCCGAACGAGACCACGCTTGCTCTGATGTGCCGCGCAAGTATAACGGCGCTCTCCGGTGAGAGGCAGGTACGAAGTCTTCGTCGATATCTTGAAATAGCTGCGGAGAAGACTCGGATCCTTGCTCAGCTACTCGATTCCGGCGAATTCACGCACTCGGAGTGGAGGACGCTGAATCTTCTCATTGAGTCACACTCCGACATATCCCAAGAATCCTCTCCGATCGCCCGGGACACTCCCTTCTTAGAGGAGCCGACGACCAAGCCTCTTCAGATCCAATCCGTGGAACAAAGAGGTCTTGGGCTCCAGACTTTGAAGAAGAGTTTGGTTTCCCTTGAGGACTCCGATGATGCGACGATGCTTCAAAAAATGCACGGAGACTTGAGTGCGTACTACCAATGGAAGTTCGAACAGCAGGAGAGACTAGAGCAGGACTCCATCGATGCGGCAGTCGACGAGTGGCGTGCGGAGCATGAAAATATGGTCAAGATGGGGATCAACCCCGCATTCCAATCAAAGTCCATCAAGGCGATGCTATGGAATTGGTATTCTGCATTGCTCCCAAAGGTCCAAAAGGAAATCGAATCCGTCAAAACGAAGGAAGACAAGATAGGGACGATACACCTTCACGACACAGTCAGGTACGCGCCTTACTTTGCGCTACTTCCTCCGGAGAAGCTTTGCGCTATCACGATCGTCTGTACCTTGCAGGAACTTGTCAGTGAAGGAATTGCTCCCGGTGTCAAACTCGGACGCATCACCCTGAAGATCGCCGCAGCGCTGCAGGATGAAGCAGGAGCATTGTGGGAGAAAAGGGTGGGAAAGTCCAAGAAGGCGCAACGAAGAACGAAGAAATTAGCGAAGCAAGCCGCTACCCCTAAGGCGCAAGAACCGAGTAACACCTCAGCCAAAGGCACCTCCATCAATGTTGTCGAGCTTGACGAAGCGAAATACTTGATGTCTAGGCAGACGGAATGGCCTGTTGGAGCACGAGTCATGGTGGGTGGTACTCTACTTGCGAAGTTGGTCCAGGTCGCACGAATCGACGTCCGCCAGCAAAATCTAGAGGCCCCAAAACCGGAATTTAAGCCGGAACCGGCGCTGCGACACGACGTAACCTATGTGCGGGGCAAACACATTGGGTTGATCCACGCTCACGATGCTCTTCGAGAACTCCTTGCTCGGGAGCCGCCCCGAGGTTTGTTAGGCGCACGCCTTCCGATGTTGGTCGAACCGAAGCCGTGGGAAAGCCCTAAGGATGGCGGCTTCTTGACATTGCCTTCGCGCCTAGTTCGCGATAAAACCGGAGACGAGACGCAGAAGATGTATCTCTTCGCATCGGCCGCTCGAGGAGACCTAGATCAGCTGTTCAAAAGCCTAAACGTCTTGGGCCGGACACCGTGGCGGATCAATGAAGACCTTCTGACCGTCATGGCGGAAGCCTGGAACACCGGAGAGGCGATTGCAGATATTCCGCCCGCAAACCCCGATATCCCGTATCCCCCGGAACCATCGACCGAAGAAGGGGACGTCGCGAAAGCCATCTGGCTACGTCGGCGCCAGGCGATCGACAATGAGATCGGTGGCTATCATTCCAACCGGTGCTTTCAGAATCTACAACTGGAAGTCGCCCGCGCGTTCCTAGGAAAATCCATGTACTTCCCTCATAACATCGACTTCCGAGGCCGAGCCTATCCGATGCCTCCATTTTTGAACCATATGGGCGCCGATAATGCCCGTGGGTTACTCCAGTTTGGGGTCGCGAAGGAGCTTGGAGAACAGGGCCTTTTTTGGTTGAAAGTCCAGGTTGCCAACCTGCACGGTTTCGACAAGGCCAGTCTTACCGAGAGAGCGGATTTCACGGCGTCTCATATCGAGGACATTCGCGACTCCGCGGCCAATCCTCTGACCGGGAGCAGATGGTGGCTAAAGGCTGCCGATCCATGGCAATGCCTGGCTGCGTGCATGGACTTGGTGAAAGCGATTGACTCTCCGGATCCCTCCAAATACAAATCATCTCTTCCCGTTCACCAAGACGGTACATGTAACGGCCTACAGCATTACGCCGCCTTGGGCGGAGATTCCTTTGGCGCTGCCCAGGTCAATCTTGAACCCGGAGAACGGCCAGCGGATGTGTATTCCGGTGTTGCCAACCTTGTTAAAGCTGCAATCAAAGAAGAGGTTGCAGAGGGCCATCCAATGGCGTTAGCACTGGATGGCAAGATCACAAGAAAGGTCGTCAAACAGACGGTGATGACCAACGTCTACGGAGTCACTTTTGTCGGTGCTCGAGACCAAGTTCAACGACAATTGGACGACATTATGCCCGATCGCTCGGAATCGAACGTTTCAAACTACCAGCTGGCCGCATACATCGCTCATAAAATCTTCAAAGCCCTCTCGACCATGTTCCAAGGCGCCCACGACATCCAGGACTGGTTTGGACAATGCGCTTTCCGCATCTCAACTGCAGTCACCGCCGAGCAAATTGACCGCCTCGCGAAGAGGGGGTTCGAAAAGAAACCTAAGCCAGTCTCCAAAGTGCAAGGCAAAACCCGCATCAAGGGCTCCAAGCCTCCCGCCAAACTAAACCGTGCGTCGACAATAAAGTTGATCAAAGAGCAGTTCCAATCGAGCGTGATTTGGACCACTCCTCTAAAGCTCACCGTTGTTCAACCCTACCGTGCTTCAGACGATCGCCAGGTCCAATCGACCCTGCAGTCGATCACAATCAAGCAACCCAAGCTGAATGACGCCGTCTCCAAGCGCAAGCAACTCCAAGGGTTCCCACCAAACTTCGTCCACTCGCTTGATGCCACACATATGATGCTGACGGCGCTGAAATGCGACGAACTGGGCCTGACGTTTGCTTCGGTGCACGACTCCTTCTGGACTCATGCCGCCGATGTTCCGGTCATGAACCGCGTCCTGCGAGAGGCGTTCGTCGCCATGCATTCCGAGAATATCATCGACCGCCTTGCCGAGGAGTTGAAGGCTCGTCATCGGGGCTCACTCTACCTCGCTACGGTGAAGGCCCGCAGTGCGGTTGGGAAGAAGATCAAAAAGTTCCGCGCCGAGAGATACAAGACCATGGCGAAGAAGGGAAGCTGGCAGTTGGATGAATTGATCGAGGAGAAAAAGCGGCAAGATCTCTTGAACTCGGCCGATGAGGAGGACCAGCGGCTTGGACGAGAGATGGTCACACCCGCGAGCATCTACGAAGCCCACGCCCAGTCGACTTCCATCTTGGAGGTATCTCTGCAGCAGGAAGCGGAAGAGGTTCTGGAAGCCGAGGTCGAGGAAGAAGTGAAGGCATTGCAAGCGGATGCGAATGCACACACAGCGGAGACGAAGCCGCAAGCGAAAGCCAAACCAAGCTTCACACTAATATCCCCCGTGTGGCTTCCACTGACGTTCCCGCCCGTTCCCGAGAAGGGCGATTTCGATGTCCGACGAGTGAGGGACAGTCCATATTTCTTTTCATAGACATTTGAGTGTTGCGCGTTGCGTCTTGCGCATTTGTCGGTGTTCTTGAGCCTTGCGGTGTATTTTGGAGCATTTTGACTGCCTATCGAGCAGTCCTGGTTCTGGCGTTTATGAGGAAGTTTCAGGAGCGGACATTTCAGACGGGTGGCCATCAAAAGTCTTGCAGATAGTTGGGCTGGGAGACACGGATAGATAACTGCATTGTATGAGGGATTGTAGGATAACGGTCTTGTATATAATTACCACACCATGAATTCTAGTGTTCATAACCCAGTCATCTCCATCCTCTCGTGATTGTGGGTACTTATGAGGGTATGCTGAACTTTGCGCGACCCTGACAACCGACCGAACTCCAGGCTAAACGACAATCAAGCAGCGTTCAGTGTCAAAGGTTCATCTAGCGTTCAAACCCAGTCATCTCCATCCTGTCGTGATGGTGGGTATGAGGGTATGCTGAGCTTTCGGTGGCCCTGACCACCGACCTAACTCCGGGTAAACGTCAATCAAGCAGCGCTCATCGTCATAGGTCCAGAAACTGATCGAACCCTTCTCCTTCTCCTTGACCATAGCCTTCGCCTTGCGGGGGTTGTTGAGATTGGTACTGGCTGGGATGCATATGCTGGTTTTGCAGGTGAGGGTTAGGTTGCTGCATCGATTGCGGTGGCGCGATGGGGTATTGGTATTGCGTTAGACCAGACGGTGTCGTCGAGTACATCGTTTGTTGCTGCTGAGGTTGTTGCTGCCAATTCAAATTCTGGTATGGAGAAACCTGTTGAGGCATGTGCCACATTGGGGCAGCGGCTTGTTGGGGGTTCGGCTGGATGTTCGGGAGAGGAGATGGTTGCGGATGAAGGAGAGGTTGGGAGAACGACGCGGGAGTAGGAGTAGGAGTGCTCTTTTTTCCAATCACGACTTGAGGATTGGTGTCAACTGCTTGAGAGTTGGCGGACCCGGTTGCGGTCGTGGTGGGAGACTTGGATTCGGCCTGGATCTTCTTCTGCATGTCTTCCGGCGGTGCGCACGCTCGACAATAGCAGTTGTCCGGATTCCCTTCTTCATCTTCGGACAACCAGAGGAGATGATGGTAGAAGTCCTTGGGCGAGCGGAACCGCTTCGTCGTCCCCAACGGGTGCCCATAAAGGTAGGCATCTTGACGGTCGTGACCGCCACCAGCATGGGATTTGGAGGGTGAGCTGTCTGACGGTCGCGTCTTGATATGTTCCCATAGCTCGTAATGCTCTGGCAACCATGCGAGAATATACCCTTTGTCTAAAGATGGTTACGTAAGTCTTTGAATGACGCTGAAGCATGAAGCTCTACTAACCGTCTAGGAGACCCTTTCGCTTCGCCATCATGGCGCCCAGCTTCTTCCGCCAATCTCTGTGCTTTGTTGAATCTTCATCCAGGCGATGATAATAGTCCTTTGAGCCGTTGGCCTGCTCTTTTTGATTCAACTGGCCATTGTGCGGGTAGTTGGGTTTGCCAGCCACCATCTTCTGGCCGTCTGAGCGACGGATATAGATGATCTGGAACTCCGTCATTTCTACTCTCTGTCCTTTGGCGCTCTAGAGTTATTTTGCAAGAGAAGAAGTGCAGTCCGAACAGAATCTCGCGTATGAAGAGGTGAGCGAGGGTGCTTCGCAGTCAAACAGGCAACGCCCCTTCCGCTGCCTTCTTCCCCGTTCCGGCCCGCTTTTGTTCGCTTCTGCTGCGACGTCCTCACGATGCCTGAATAACAAAGGTCTGTCCTGGCCGTTATAACCTTCATTCGACGATAATACGGGCTGTAGTGAAGAAACACCGAACGCGATACTGCCGATCGTACAGGTATATAGGGGGACTGTTCCAACTCTTCTATATGATCTTTCCGCTTGCCAAAGAAATGGCACACTCAAGCACTCTCTCTTCTCCCTATTTAATAATGATCTGTTCAGATTATGAAGAAATATGGCCAAATTGAAAGTAATACGGAGGTCCATCCCGTTTACGATGAAGCACGAAGTCTGATATCACGTGATATCACGTGATTAACGACTCACTTTTCGGCAATGAAGATGTTCGAAGTTTGAAAGAAACATGTCTGGATGTATACGCAGATTAGTTTAGTAATGACTTTTACTATCCAGACTATATACTAGCATAGCAGAAATGGTTATTCCTTAGAATCGATTTTAGGAGATGCAACTGTGAAGACAACAACTGCGAAGACAACAACTGCGAAGACAACAGCCGTGACGACAACAGCCGTGACGACGATTAATTACTCCATTTCCACCAACTATCAGGGAAGCTGAGAGGACTGAGTCAACGGTAGATTAATATATTACAAAATCATATCTGAATATTCTAGCTTGTAAAAAATCAGGCTCAATGCTTAGAATATTTAGCTAGAGCTATTAAGTGGTGGGTTGGTGATATAGATGCTGCTGATACTATTTTCTCCCTTCGACATCCACCATGCCTCGCAGCTGTCACCTGCAACCGTCATCAAATGATAATGGGACCGGATCACAGCATTTCACGATGGCTTGTGATGTCGTAGTTTTTGTCATGTTATGTCCGAATCCTGGGGGTACCTGAGACATGGTGCTCTGCCCACGAGGACAGAGGACAGAGGTCACGCGGTAGATGCCTTTCTTAATATCAAAGTTGTGTTGTGTGCTTTCATCTTTCTTTCAAGAACTACAGCTATTCTTACGGTCATAGTGATATTCAGTCTTTACAGTTGCGTCTTGGTTCAAAATGTCGACCGTGGAGTCCATAGAGGATCGCTTCTGCAATATACCAGAGGCGCCAGAATATTATATGAGCCTCGATTCGGAAGAGATTTCATCTCAGTTTAAAGATTTTGATGACAGCTTTGGTTTTAGGATTCTGGACGAGAGGCTGCGGCGGGCTCAAAGTAGGAACTTTGTGTTGGATTTTGGGGACGATGCCGCTTGGTGTGCTTTTGATCTGAATACAGACGCGGTATCCAAGTTGTTGAGGTCGAAAGTAAGCCCTTCCACTGCGTGACCCAAATACACTCTTGGACTTATCATGATCAGAGGCCAGCATCGCTACACACACGATGGATGTTCGTCAACCGTCCCTTGCTGTCGTAGGCTGAAGCTAATTGATGAAGCAATATATGGCTCCCGGACCAGCAGCGAGAGCTATTAACAGTACGTCTCCAACCCCCTTAGAACAAGCAAGTAAGTTTAAAAAGTAAGGATATCGCCAAATACTACGATTGGTCTCCTCGTCTCCTGGGGCTCATGTGCTCGCCGCCCATCAAAAGAGCCTCCAAATCGCTGTCCACGCCCCAGAGCGGCTCCGGAATCCTACACTGGAGCTCCGGTCGCTCTGCCCGCTCCAAGACCTCGTCCGACTTCTCCGCCGCCCTCGAAGAAAAAGTCGGCCTCGATGGGCTTCCGAAAGTGCGCGATCAGGAGTTGAATCACTACACCCTTGCGTCCGAGGTACTGCACTGGAGCACCGTCGACTTCGGCCGCAAATGTACGGCCACCCCCTATCCTTCCCGCCACCCAGCTAACGCGCCGCAGACGTCTCTGTCGGCTACAACACCCTCCACGACGTCTCCTCCAGCTCCGTCCGCCAACCCTTCTCCTCCACCCGCGACGTCCCCCCCGGAAAGCGCGTCTGGACCTGGCTGATCTACTGCGAAGAAAAAACCGTCATCGCCGTGCACGAGGACCCGTTCCCCTTCCGCGACGCCGCCCTCGACCCCCACGAGCTGCACGCCCTCACCATGGTCCGTCGGAACCTCACTAACGTCTTCCGCCAGTGCTCCAAGGCGCACGACTCCTCGCTCGACATCCCGCTGATGCAGCTGCCGATCCGGAAACGCGTGGGTGACAGCATGGAGGAGGCGGCGCATAGCGCCACCGACGCGCCCGGGCTGCTGTTCTATAGCCTGTTCGACGACTGGTTGACCAGCTACGGGCTGATCGGTCGCCGTCAGTACTGCTACGCGGACGAACTCAACCGGCTGCGCGAGGAGATGCTCACGCGCGCGTCGCTCGCGCACGTCTCGCATCTGCACGCGCTGGGACGGCAGCTCTCAGCGCTCAAGCGGCTGTACGTGTCGTACGAGTCGATCGTGGAGCGGATCCTCTACAAGCAGGAGATCTCGCTAGCGTCGCTGAAGAACTCGAACGTGCTGGGATCCGGACTGGATTCGCCGGCGCTGCAGGTCAGCACGGCGATGGTGGACAGCGGGAACCTGATGGGGGTGGCCATGAGCAGCGCAGCGCGGGTGCGGTTCGAGCGGCTGAAGGACATGATCCGGCTGTACGCGCTGCGGGAGATCAACGAGAACCTGGAGCTGAAGGAGGGGTTGATGGTGATGAACTTCAACTTGATCGCGATCAAGGAGTCGTATTCGGTGGAGCAGTTGACGCGGACGACGCTCTTCGTGGCGAAGCTGACGATGCTGTTTATGCCGGTGTCGTTGATGACGGCATACTTTAGCTGCGCGTTGGAGGATGTCACGTTCTCGAGTCGAGGGTATTGGACGGCGTTTGGGGTCGTGTTGGGGTTGTCGTTTGTGGTTCTATTTCTCTTTTCGTGGATCAGTGGGACGTTGGATGGGCGGATGTTCTACGTTCCGTGGACGCAGCGGTTGTGGCTGTGGCTGGAGGGGATGGTGTGCCGAAAGGAACCGCCGGACTCCAGAGATTGACTGGACAGCTACCCTACCGTTCACGTAGGCAGAAGCATACCGACGGAAATTCAGGCACGGGACGGACATGGACCACTCGAAGAGGAAAGATACACTTCATAGCAGCTACTCAAAGGAAAGATTCAACCGACAACACAAAGAACCAGAACCGACACGTCGACATGTTGTAGCAAAGGAAGAGAGTCTTGAGGGTGTGTTGATGGATGAGCGAGCATATCTCTCCCCCCCCTTCCATCAATTCTTTCGACCAAAGTGAACGCAACGCCTTAGATTTTGCTTGGAACAAAGTTTCTTTCGAAGCAACATCTCAAAGCCTCCCGGTAATTTCCCACCCCCCATCCACTAGTTCCATGTGGTTGTGTTCGTGTGTTTAGGATGCAACTACTACGCCATCGCCCACCAATTTGTAAAAAAAACTGCCGTTCTTGGGGAAAAAACCCAAATGCCAGAACCCACGACTTTGCCCACGGTTTCGAGAGGTGGGGGATGGAAACCAGATGTTTATCGATAATCGGTTTTGCCGCACGTGGAGAGAGGGTGGATCGTAACGCGCGTAGGTCCCTCCAGTGCTGGAATCGGGCGTGGTACGAATTTAATTGTGCCCGGCCTTGCGGAGGGCGTTGCTGAGCCACTCGAGACCTTCGTAGAGACCGTCTCCGGAGGTGGCGCAGGTGGATTGGATGTACTAAGGGACGAATCAGCGATGTTCTTGGACCGGTGGCGGGTCGACTTACCCAAGCACGTTGCCTGAGGCTGTGAAGGCCAAGCTTGTCAGTAATCTCGGCGGCGTTCATGGCGTTCTAATCCATCGTTAGCACCATTCCCTCATTTCACACGCCGGACTGTCAAAACCCACCGGAAGATCCTGCTTGTTGGCGAAGACCAAGAGCAAGGCATCCCTCAACTCGTCCTCGTTCAACATGCGCTGCAGCTCCTCGCGCGCCTCGACTATACGGTCACGATCGTTGCTGTCCACGACGAAGATGATGCCCTGGGTGTTCTGGAAGTAATGCCTCCACAGCGGACGGATCTTGTCCTGGCCACCGACATCCCACACGGTGAACTGGATGTTCTTGTACTCGACCGTCTCGACATTGAAGCCTGTTCCACCGGGAACACGCCGGTTAGTCGTGCTCATTGGACGCCCGAAAGGAGGTTAAGGGTGGGCGGAGAAAAAACGTACCGATGGTTGGGATGGTGGTGACGATTTCACCCAATTTCAGCTTATACAGAATGGTGGTCTTTCCGGCGGCGTCCAAACCAACCATCAAAATGCGCATCTCCTTCTTGCGCATTAAATTTAGCTTGTCGAACAGCGAGGAAATGCTGAGACCCATCTTGGCGGTGTGGTGTCGAGATGGAACCTAGAGGTGGTATGTGATGCGTGTCGGTGTGGAGACTCGAGAGAGATAGGGCGGGAGGTGCCAGATGGATGGAATTCCACGGTCTAGTGCACGGGTCGGACGGTTAGCTGAGGGAATTCTCACGGGAGGCATGCGATCAGGAGGCAAGGGTTTATCGAAACCACGACCGGGTCGATAGGGTGATTGACGGTCGTGATGGTTGAGGCACACCGATATGACGGATGGCGACGCTGAGCTGTGTTCGGAGTGGACTAGAAAGGGGACCTGGGTGCTTACCTGACAAGATCCAAGGGGGTGAATATGGGACGGGAAGATGGATTTCAGTGAAGGAGAAGTTGAAATCACGAGTCGTCGATAGATGGATAGTAAGCCGTTGGTGTACGGGTTGGAGTGGATTGGGGGAGGTGCAGTGCATGTGTGTCCTTGGGGTGGAAAGTTTGAGTGTCGGGGATGGACGATGCCAAGCTGGGAAAGATGTTGCTGACTAAGGCAACGGAAGAGCCAGCTGGCCCCCACAGAAGCAGGAGAACACTGGATCGAGATGATGCACCGCCTCAAGGGTTCTACTTCTACAGACAACACCTCTGCATGAAGTGAATCCTGAATGACAGATTGGATGAATCAATGTGCTTTGGTATTATCGAATTACCTTCCGCACAAGCAGAGCATCTTATACCCTTCGTGGGAATTATTGCCGGTATCGAACAGCTGGCTTCTTGAGCGAGTTGAGGCCGTGATGTGGTGATCATCCCTGCACACTTGCACACCGTCAAAGAAATTCTGCTGCCTGTAATCTGCTGGTTTCACGTGCAAAGCTGATCGTCAGAGATCTGTTGAAGCCTAAGACGATCAAGGAACAGCCGCCAGCTTTGCCACAACAGCACCAAGTTACGTGACGAGGATTGTCAATTGTCATGGAGGGGTGCATTCAATTCTTTGGGAAACGCGACCTAGTGCGCCGTTCATGACAACCTGCCCCTCAGCACCCGTCTGGTAATGTTTGGGCATGTTTGGACTTTGGAATCGCTATCAACTCTCTCTCCCTTCAACATGTGACGCCATTTCATGCTTAGGAAAACATGCCGGTGAGGTAACTCCTGCAAGGTGCCTGCCTGATTCTCACTCCCTCCATAACCCCGAAACTTCATCTGCTGCCGTTACCCTCGATATTTGCACACACCGAGTCCTCTGTTTTCTCCTCGTAAACATCATGCATGCCCTAGGGGCCGTTCATCAACCGTTCCGGATCGTCAAACCGCGGTGGCCGTTCCCGGAACCGAAGAAGTCGGCGTCTCGGTGCGCGACGATGATTGCGGCGTGTTCGCGTTCTGCGGAGCGGCCGACAACAATCCCCGGGAGACCCAGATCTCCATCAACGGCTGCATCGGCTCTGTCTCCTTGTCGCCGATCAGGCCATACAGCTTCCCCACGTTGATGAAGTGGATGAAGCACGTGTTGAGCTCCTTCCAGGCGCTCAGGTGCCAGAGGTCGACCCAGTGGCCGTGGTAGAGGTGCGAGTAGCAGCGCATCATTTGGCGGTACATACTCTTCAGATCGTTCTCGAAATTCTCGGGGAAGCCGCTGGCTCGGCCAAGCCAGTCCCGGCCGGTGAGGGCGGACATGGATGAATTCAGGCTCGTGGGGCCGGCGGCGATGGGGGTGTTGGCACCGGGGGTGTTGATGCCTCCGAGGGCACCCGTGGCTGCGCCAGTGTCGATGGGAAACAAGGACGGATCGCTGATCTTGCCGATGATCCACCGTTGGACAAGTTCGATATAACGGCAGGCAGGAATCTTGATAGGCCGCTTAAGGTTGTCCAACCATGTGTATGTATGTCTAGACGCCGTGAGCTTGCAGAATCAATCCGAGATATATATCACATACCCTGCCGCAGACATGGTGGGACAGCATTTCTCATTGCAGATTGCCTCTCCAGTCCGCTCATCGGGGCATTTGATCACTTGGATCATGCTATCAAGCAACCGATATTGCTCCACAACTGCCAGGAGTTAGACCCGCTAAACAGAAATCACAAGTGGCAACGAACCTTGATGTGCGAACCATTCGCCTTCCTCGACAAGCTGCGGCTTTGCAGCCAACGTCATGAAGTTGCCTTTGACGATGATGGCGGAATACTCTTCTCGAAAGAAGAACGGGGTTTTGCGGCCCTGGGCCGATTCCGGTTGGGTGGTATCAACCGACATCCCCGCTGAGAGTGCTGGTGATGCGGGAACAGGAGGAATGGAAGGTGGTGCGGGAGAAGGAGATGGAGCGTAACCAGTGGGTGAAGGCGCTTGCTGTCCGTTCCCTCTCGCTGGGTTGTTGCCGTTTTTATTTGAGGCACGCCCGAACCCTCGGCTTGGATGCGTTAGTGACTTAGTGATAGGAAACGCGGGTGAAAACACGCATGCTCTGTGCTAAATTGACAGAACCAAAACGGTCGATGAGGATTTTGAAGCTGGTCTTATGGATCAGAAAGACCTTAATACCGTGCCACATGTGTCTTGTCTGAAGCCTTGCTGGGCGATCCTAAGCTTTCAGCCATCCACCGCCCAATCTCACATCACGAAGCCTCAATCTTGCTATTTGAAAGCTGAAAAACGACCAGTGGAATGGAAGCGAGCAGATGATAGCACAGTCTTGCGGGGTGTGTGGTAGATGGCATGGTGTATTCATATGACCCAACGTTACCAGGGAGAGCTAGGAGATGATGAAACCCAGGTCACTCACACACTTGAGAAGAACGACGCCATTTATGCAGGTAACCCCCCGGGCCTGTGCTGCTCCGGCACACCGCTATCGCTTGAATGAGAAAGTCCGAAGGGTGAGAACAAGTGGGATCGGGGGAGAATGGGGAGAATCAAGGGCGCACAGCGGGATATCAAGGGCGGAATTGGGGACATATCATTTCATGCAAATCGACTGGCTTCTTTCGGTCGGTGAAGGGGAAGTTGACGCGGTGGAGGAGCGGCAGGCGCATGGACCTGCTGGACGGCAAGGGCGACCGGGGTGCACCGCGTTCCTTCGGTCCTTCCCCACTGCCAAACTGTCCATTCCACTTTCCCTCTCAACCGCCACAGCCTCTTCCAGGTTTCTGCCACTGATGCACGTGACATGCTTCAATCGTCGCGTTCCATTGAAAGTTTAACACCTACAGAGTGCAGTGCTGCTTGATCGGAATCACAGCGCTGTAGCACCGTTTAGATTTCCTCATTCTCAAAGTCATCGGATCGCGCCGAAAACCCATTCGTCTAATCCCTCCCACAATGTCGGATGAGGACTCCCCCCTACCGGACATCTCTCCTGAAGAGTTGAACGGAGATGATTCCGACAGCTCGCTTCCTCCGATTGAGGAAACCCTTCGGCAAGACGCCGATGACCTCTTTGGGGAGGATGAGGATGACGATTCGCAGGATGAAGCACCACGGTAGGCCACGTCGGCTTGTATAAATATCGTCATGCTAATCAGTATCTCTACAGGAAGCGGCGCCAACTTGATGATGAAGAATTGGACTCGGGCGACGATGACGGGCGACGCGATCGCGATCGGTCTGAATCGGCTGGAATGACCGAAAAGCAGCTCAGATTCCATATGATTGAGCTTGCGCGTCATGCTATCCCGGAGCCAGATGATAATGAGGTAAGGAGGCTGTGAGCAAGCTTCAGTGATATTCCGATTAACGCCCTCAGTTTTACCTTCTCAAAGTTCCAAACTTCCTTGCTGTCGACCCTAAATCCTTCGATCCGGAACTGTTTCAACCACCCGTTACCGATCACCACTCCAAGGGCAAACCATCCGATGCCTTTTCCGCCTATACAACTGCCATGACAACCGTACGATGGAGACACTCACCCTCGAATCCAGAAGAGCTTCAATCAAATGCTCGCATTTTGCGCTGGTCTGACGGTTCTCTTACATTCCAATTCGCGCATGATCCCACTACACAATATCAAATCGAAGGCAATCCACTTGCCCCTCCTCAAACCCGTCCTCCCAAGCCAACACCCCTCTCCGGACCCGGCAAGAAAGCTCAATCCGCGAAAACCTACAACCCAACCCTTGACTCCTTCACTTACATGTTTGCCCCCTACTCCGACGAATCCATCCTCCGCGCCGCCCGCAAAGTCACCGCCGGCCTTTCGATCCTCCCCACCTCCGCCTCCAATGACGCCGCCCTCCAAGAACTGCAGCGCACCCTCCAGCGCCCCCGCGACCGTCTCACCGAGGACGGCCCCGTCCCGCTCCTCAAACTCCACGAGGACCCCGAACTCGCCAAGAAGAAGGCCGAGGCCGCCGAGAAGGAGAAGCTGCGCATGCTGCGCCGCATGGAGGCACAGCAGAACCGCGAGCGCGATCGAACGCACCGCGTGCTGGAGAAGAGCGGGGTGCGCTCGGGGAGACTTACGGCCGGTGGGCTCGAGGACGAGGAAGGGTTCGGTGGGTATCGGCGATCGAAGCCGAAGTCGAGGCGGCCGCGGCGGGATGATTACAGTAGTGACGAGGAGTATGGGGATGTGCGGGGGCGGACGAGGGAGGACGAGTATGATGAGGAGGATGACTTTATCGCGAAGAGCGACGACGAGCAGGAGATGGAGGAGAGTGAGGAGGAAGAAGAGGAAGAGGAGGAAGAAGAAGAGAAGAGGCCAGCGAGGCGGGAGGGAACGCCGAAGAGGACGGAGAGGCCGGATGATGATGCGGGGCCGAGCAACGCGCGGGTGAAGAGGAGACGGGTGGTGGAGGAGGATGATGACGAGGAGTGATTTGGGTCGGGCGCCAACGGGGATTTGGATTTGACATGATGGAAGCAAAACAGCATAGAGAGCGACAAATTAACGGCAGGCATGGTTATCTGCTTGATAAGGCAAAGTTGCCAGGTAGTTGGATTTTAAATAACTATCCTAATTGAAGAGGGGTGCGGACATCGCTGTCGAACTCTATAGGCCCCGGTGCCCGGTTCTTCAGAAATGATCCATTCGTGCTAGGGTATCTCATATCCACCACTTCAAGAGAAGAAAAAGCTATTTCCCTCCGCATCCTTTCGAACGCTATTGCTGTAGTCCTTCGTCGGATCAAACTCCTCCCATATGTTCGCCGGGTAGATGTGCTTGTTCCTCTCATACCACCGCCGATCCACCACCTTGGTTATTGTCGGGTCATCGTCTTTGCCTTCAAGTCCCTCCAAGTTGGTAGATGGCTTGGCCTTCTTCTCCGGCCGCACCATCGGATCGTAGTTTGTGAGGTCTTCCGTGGGTGAATCTGTGGTGGTCGGGGTTGCCGCGGTTGGCTGAGCGGAATATTCGAAGATGGGACCATGGAAGCCGGCAGTCTTGTTAACGATGAAGTAGTAGAACTCATAATGCTGCGAAAAAGTCAGCTCGATGTCCTTCCATAACACAAAGAGAAGAATACTAACATGCGGTACGATCATCTCGTTCCTAACCAACATCAGATCATCCACCCCGACCCTCGCCCACTCCCTCCTCCCTTTGTCCCCCCCCACCCCCAACTCCGCCCCCACCTTCCTCGCCTTATCCAAAAACAACCAGATATGCTCCCCCTTCTTCACCGTGCACACTCCGCCCGGCACGCTCGTCCCGTCGTAGAACACAAACGGGATCGCTACCTCCGTCGCTTTCACGGCTTCCTGCATCACCAGAAACTCCTTCCGTAGCTGCTCCCGTGTCTGCGCTTCCCGCAGCAGTGCCCCTTTTGTCATCGCCCGCGGTGCCAGCACCGTTGTGTTCGGCCCTATCCGCTTCTTCAGCGTCGGCGTCCCATCGCTGTCCGCGCCGGTCGTCTCCACGGTGCTTCGCCCGTCTCCTGGCGTATGGGACCGTGATTTCACTACATCAGACGTCGCTGATTCATCCTCTTCATCCTCATCTACCGCAAACGACAACTTCCCCTTCCTCGGATTCCTCCGCTTCTTCTTCGCGGGCTGAGGTGTCGCAGCTCTGTACTTCGATAATCAGCATCCGACCCACACACACGAACCCAACTATCATCCCCATGGCATCATCTCAAAAACTTACCCGTCGGGGGTCGAAGCGCCGGAGGCGGGGGAGCCGCGGCCGAGGGCGGGATGTTGCGTCTCGCGGTCGCGCTGCTCGAGGGCTTCGGCGCGGCGTTTGCGGAAGTCGGAGAGGTGGACGAGGCCGACGGTTTGGGATTTGAGGAGGTCTTCGGCGGTGGCGTTCTGTGCGGTGAAGCGGGGGGGGGCGGTGGTGGTGGGGGTGGAGGTGCGGGATGGGGGTCCGGAGGAGGAGGAGGGTGGTGCCATGGTGGATGATTGCTTGGGTTGAATCGGCAGCTGGAATTCAAAGCGCGAGGATTCTTTGCTTTAGATGTTGGAGATATCGTAGTACTTCTGGTTCGGTCGTGGTTTGGTGATGAGGTTGAGAGCACGCGACGTGATTGGAAGGTGCATGATGCGCTAACTATATTGGGACTAGCTTCAGTCGCGAGATCACGTGTGCCCATCTCCCCTCTGAAATATCCAACTTCCAAGTCAGGACGACAATTTATCGCTTCCTACCTCCGTCGCATGATGAACCGACTTCTATCAAGTGCCTCATCTAGAAATCTGTATCGCGCCTGGACTCGCCATTGGTAGCCCTGTGGCTCATTTCCATCAATCCCATTGTCATTTTCCTTCCCTTTGTCCTACTTCTGTCACTGCTCCTTCAGTCCTTAGCCATTGCAGCGTGTCAAGTCATGGGCGATTAGTCTCCACTCATCAAGCTCCCTCAGAACTGCGTCTCGTTTTTTGCAATGGATTTCATTCTGCGCTGTAACTCCACCAAATGTCGTGTTCAGCTCGTCGACCGTACAGTGGTCACGACCTGCAGTCATATCTTCTGCCTCCAATGTTCTGAGTCTTTAGGCCTTTCCACTGCAGCAAGCCCGACAAGAAGATGTCCAGCTTGCGACCAGCTGCTGTCAAACCCGGACGATGCCATGATTCAAGTCCTTAACCTGTCCGAGGAACAGAAGTCTACCGTGCTCAGTGGTCTCACGCCTGGGACGATCATGGAGTGTGCTGGTCGAGCGATAGGCTTCTACTCATACCAGGCGATGCAGGAGATGTTTGTAGGATCCGAATTTCCAAGACTAATGCTGATGATGCTAGACTGTATCAGGAGTACTCGGTGAAGCACCTGACGGATAGGTATACCGCATTGAAAAGCGAGATGAATCGTACGGTCCAAGAAGCGAATACAGAGATGAACTCTTTGAGAGAGAGGATCAACTGTATGGTCAGATGCGAATATCGGTTCCATTAGGACTGCTAACGATCTCTAGCCATGAAATCAGAGAAAGCAAACCTCGAGGAGAAGAACCGAGAATTGGTAAACGCGTTTCGGGAGAAGAGCAAGGCACTGCAAAACACCCAGCGGATGTATCAGGGATTGAAGGCCCAAGTTATGGCGACTCATACCGAACATGCGGCGGCCGAAGACGCGGAGAATGCTCTGAACAACATGTCATCTCCACGCTTCGAACAACTTGCTCCGCCGAAACCGAGAGGACCATTCTCCCAATATTCCGGTGACGGGCTCACTTCGAGAATTGGTACAGCTCGCCGCATGAGTCCGTTGCCAAATATGCTGCATACGCACCATCAACGTTCGGTTCTCTGAGATTTTCATGTGTTGGTGCACGCTAATATCAATACAGAAATACACCGTTCGATTGGAACACCAGCACAACGCACGCCGATTCCAGTATCACTCAATACACGCCGATCTGGAACGCTAAATAAGGCTGGACAAGTGAGGCATCGTGCGCCACTGTCTTCCATCGATCCGAATTCGGTCAGCAACCTCAACTTCCAAGGTGCCGAAGAACCAAAGGGAGGATTGCCTCAATTGAACCGATCATCGCGAAGATTCAGTCATGGGCATGGAGCCTCGACATTTTCATTTTAGCCTGCCATCGTGTTGCTCTGTAACCGTTCTATCCTTGCGAATCTTTACGCGACTCGAATGACATAATCCTCAAGCAGTTCTTTGTTGGGTTTGAAGGCGCCATACATAACGAATCTATTTTTGGGACAATCGTTTACAAGAGTAATTGTTGCTTAGGCATATGATTCTTTGTTTGATGGACACTTTCATTGTGCAAGTGTCAGCTTCATATGAAAGACCATTGAATGTCTTTCGAGTCCATACCAAACTGGGAGTCACTCAGTGGCAATCATTCTGATATTCACTATTGTCAACCTCACGTCGTCATCACAAAGTCTTGCTGCTAACCTACAAACCCACCGTCAACTCTTCCTCAACCTTCAAGTACACCTACCTCTACGAACAAATCCGAATCATCAAACAACAATTGCACTTCAACGAAGACGATTCCTCCAGTTCACAAGGTCATGTGCTGGCTAAAGGTTGATGAGGCTGAAGCTGGTGTATGGGAGATGGCATTGGACTGCGAGTATCCAGGATGCACCACCTCCAAGGACTACGATGCGGCATTTACGGGCGTCTAAGAACGATCATGCTACGGTGCCACGATGGTTAGACAACTCATTCTGAAGTGCATTCACATGCTAACTTAGGAAGATAGGAAGCCCGATTAGCAGTGGTTATCGATATCAAGTATGCCAGCTGGCTCGAAAATGGACACGGCGTCGTTCTTCGCACGGAACATGCGAGACAGTGGATTATTGAGCAGGAGGGGGGAATTCGGCGACAGGCTATGCTATCTTAGTGAGTGGCAGAACTCCCACATAACTGCTACAGGATTGCTAACTCGCTTATAGGGCAGTGTCTTCCGTTTCGTCGCTTTATTCCAATTCTACTTATGGTTGCAATCGAAAATACCAATACTCAAACTCTCTCACTTCTATACTGATCGTAGATGTCATTGCCGTGAAGAAACGCCTCTAACGGACGAGCCACATGGCCCAGCAGCGTTTCTTAAAGTCTAACCTCATCAGTTGGATACCTTACGGATTGGAGCATTTTCAATTCCACTTAACAACTCGCTTATACCCTCGCCACCTTTGATTTGCATTGTCCTAGTCCTTTGTCGGGCGTCGAATCACAATGGGTTTATGTCTCAATGAACAAAGGAATTGCTCCCTCGATGCTACTTTTAGAAACTGAATGCCTTTGATGGCAACAAAGAAATCCAGGGGAATATATCACACTGGTCCGTCCCATGACTAACATACGAAAGTTCGCCAATTATTTACGATTTTGTTACGGCCACTTGTTGATTGAGTCCACACGAACATAACGATTCTTTTGCATTAGGATAGAGATACTCTGACACCCACCAGGTTTGAGACCAGTTTTGATTTGTGATGGCTGATTCCTCAGATACAACACCAAACAATAGGGCAGGCCCCAACACACTCCCTATCGACACTCCACACGATGACGTCGACTATGTCGAACACTCAGACCAAGAGAGTTCCGATCTCCCCGTACAAGATAATTACGAATGGTCCAATGATTTTTCATCAATTACTATGGCCGGCGAGGCTGAAATGCGATCAGATACCGACTCCGACAGCGATTACTCCGCAATGAGTACCAATATCTACGAACAAGAAGAAATTTGTGCGATCGTTGCTGACGGGCTGGAGGAAGAGATGCAGGAAGTGACGCCTGAAGACAAGGTGAGATTCCATCAAACCTGGTTACGGCGTGGACAAATCGACAGCGTACGCCGCTTCGGCGAGTTCAAAGACGATAGAAGAGATGATTTTGAAATGCGCAACGAATATTTGCCGAGGTCGAAGAGTCGGTTGAGTCAGGTCATGTCCGCCTCAGACGGCGACGCACACGGCGCAGGCTCCTCAACCAACGAAGAGCTTGCAGCTCTCAGGTCGTCGGCACCCTCCCCAGGCTCAATATACTCCGAAGACTCCGATCGTGTGCTTTGGCGGTACGCTGGCAACTTCAGCCGAACCCTCAGTCTAGTCACGCCTGCTAAGCATAAATCTGGCTTTGAACACATTGGCGTTGTTCAAACCAATGATGATGGAGACAGAGAAGAGGGCATGAACGCTATCACTCCCAGGTCCGAATTCGAGCAAGGCGAACTATCAGACCGTCGACGGCCGGAAGGAGAGGAGGATCTCACCCCCAAAGACCATAAACAATTGGCGATCCAGCGACTAGATTTGCTGAGCAAGGTTGTAGCCAAGAAGAAGAGATTCCGTGATTCGGTGTGCAGCGACTACAAACAAGCAAATGAATGTGTTCATGTTGCTATCATGGAAAAGGAAGCGCTCAAGGAACAGGTTTCGAAAAAGAAGGGGCAACTGGAGAAGGCAGAGAGGGAACTCAAGTATCTGAGTAAAGAGTATAACGAGCTCCAAGTCACTAATAAACTGCTGCACCAGGAACAACTGAGCAGGGATACACAGCTTGGATCCTTGCACCGAGAGATTGACCGGTATAAGAAGGCCAATTCCACGGGTAGAACCGCCTACAAGAAGCTCCAAGCGACCAACGCGACCCTCGAATCCAATCTGGCGGAGATGAACCAGACCATCGCTCGCATGGAACGGGTTCGTATTGACCAGAGCAAAATCCCTGAAGCTAGAAATCCGACGGCCGAAGGCAATGAATCGGCACTCGAACAAAAAGAAGAGGAACTCCGACAGCAGGCAGAGACCGTCGAGAGGCACATCAAAGAGCTCGATTACAAGCACAAAGAGATTGACCAGCAGAATGCTCGAATCAAACAGCTAGGGATGCAGCTCGGTGACATGAAGAGGGAAGTGGCCGCGTTTGAAATGGCCGAAGAGGCACGAGAACTCGCCCGGCCGCGGAGTCCAACGCTTATAATCGAACAGCTGCAGAGGGACAACAAGGGCCTTCGACACGAGACCGCCAAAATGCAAGTGTCGTGGAAGGTGGAGGAGTGGGAGGTCAAGCAAAAGGAGACGCAGATCAAGAAGCTGGAAGCCCGGCAGAGGGCCAAGGAAAAGGAGAACGAGGCGCTCCGCGAACGCACCGCGACGCTTCTCAAGCGGCTCCAGAAGTCGGGGAACTTTCCCAGTACCGCCACCGTCGAGGATCGCGCCGCTGAAGAAGCCACCGCCCAACGCCGAGCTCGGGTGCATGACGCGTTGGTCAAACAGAACGAAGCGCTGACCTGGCAGATGTCCGAGGATGCGTGGCAGTATAAAGCCTACACGGAGACGATGATCGCGGGGATGGCGAAGTTGCGGAAGGAGGTGGATCGGACGAACGCGGCGAAAGAGGTGGTGAAGCGGAAGCACCATACGATGGTCGAGTTCTATACCGACATGCAGCCAGAGCCGGCGCTCATCGAAAAGGTCGAGAAGCAGAGACGGTTAAGACAGGAGGCCATCGAGCGGGATCGCGAGAAACGGAAGACGTTGCTAGAGAAGCATGACCAGTTCCATCAGTATCTGCATGATTTCATCGATGATCGGTCGAAGATCCTGGCGGACGGCTGTCCCATGGTCTATGACGGGGAGGTACGGTGAGTATGATGGTTCTTATTTTAGCAGTCATGAGCATGTTTTATTCAGTAATAACCATTTAGGCCTGGAACTGAAAGTGAGGAGCGAGAGGGCGGAAATGAGTCGAAACCTCTTGTGAAGGCATTGGTTGTTGACAAGGCCTCGATGAGTCAGGTCCTTAACATGATGAGGGTACTATTCCGTTTTACAACCTAGATGAAGTCGTACAATATGAGGATGGTTTGAAGGCCGTATTAAGTAATACTAATGAAGATGGCAACCTGATTTGAGTCCGGATATCAATATCAATATCAATATCACGGTCTTTCCGAGGGCAAGACATGTCTCTGACACTTAGCATTGTAAGCCATAAGTAGTTAAGTACAAGTGCCCGTCTGAATACTCCTCCTGGTTAATCCAATTTCACTAGAAGTGTCGTTGTCGTTGAAGAAGTTGGTAGTCTGAATGTGGTCGAGATAGGCCTGCAGTCGGAGTTTGATGTCGTCGGATCCCTGCCAGTCCTTCTCTAGACCCTGGAAAGAGTTGAACTTCATCTTCAACCTCAACATGGGCATAAATATTGAATATTATGGCTTGCTCTTGTGAGCCTCTATGAGCACAAATATTTGGAAATACTCACTACATATGTAATAACCTAGGATCTCCCGACAACTAATGCAACGCAAACGACATAAACTCCAGTATCCTCACCCCCGTGGATACACCTAGCATCCAATTCTTAATTCTACCACTCCAGTAGATCTATCCTTTCTCAGTATACCGACGGACTGTACCCGTTTCAGCATGGCAGCCAACTACTGGGACTCATCTCAACGCCGCTACTGGACGTTCACGCGCCAGGAGCTCGCGGATATCCGACAACGGCTGGAAGACAAGCATCGGCATCTGGTCCAGTTATATCCACTTCCCGATCGTCGCTTACTGAATATCTTCTTCTGCCAGCGTGAGTCCTGGTGAATCAATATATAGATCGAAAGCTGACGGCGGTCTAGAACTCCAACGCTTCTCTAAACGCGGCACGCTCGGCACTAAGCAGCAAGCGCTAGCAACCGCTCAGGTCTACATGCGACGATTCTATTCGAAAGTTGAGATCCGTGAGACGAACCCATATCTGGTTCTCTCCACAGCCTTATATCTCGCCTGCAAGGTGGAAGAATGCCCACAACACATCCGCCATGTCGTTGGCGAAGCACGGCAAACCTGGCCCGGTACGTTCCCTTCCACCCCCATCCCCCTAACCACCCCCAACTAACCCTCCCCCCCTCCAGACGTCATCACCTCCGACACCTCCAAAATGGGCGAGACCGAATTCGCCCTCATCTCCGTGATGTCCAGCCAACTCATCGTCCACCACCCCTACCGCACCCTCCTCGACCTCTCCCCCACCTTCAACCTCTCCCCCGACGAGCTCTCCCTCGCCTGGTGGATCATCAACGACCACTACGTCACCGACCTCCCCCTCCTCCACTCGCCCCACGTCATTGCCCTCACCGCGGCCCTCCTCGCCGTCGTCCTCAATCCCGTGCAGGCGGCGTGGTCCGCCGGGAAGGAGAAGGAGCTCGCCGCCATGCGCAGTGGCGGCGCCGCGGCTATGCGCTCGGACGGCGACCCCGTCCAGAAGGTCGGCGCGATTCTGCAGCATGGGATGCATCAGAATCGCGCGGTGCAGGCGGCGATGCAGTCGGTCGTGCAGGCGGCGCTCGGCAGCGCGTTCAGCGGTGGCGGAGCGGCGGGACAGGAACTGCCTGGCAGTGGGAATACGGGAGGGGCGGGGGGGGCGCCGACGCCGGCGCTGTCGGCGAAGGTGCAGAAGATGATGAATTGGCTAGCGGAGAGCGAGGTGGATATAGAGGCGATGGTGGATTGCACGCAGGAGATGATCTCGTTGTACGAGGTGTGGGAGACGTATAAGGAGAAGGATTGTAAGGAGGTGATTGGGAAGTTTGTGAAGGGGAGGGGGTTGGATAAGTGAGTTGCTTTGGTGAAAGGGAATGCATTGCGTTTTGGTGTTGGATTCGGGGGGTTTGGCGCTGTATGTGGCTGCTTTGGCGATACCCATTCTAATTTACAATGTCTATCTTCGTTCGGGAGTTTTGTTCACGGAGTCTTCAGTCTTGCCGTTCAATTGTCCGAGTGATCCCGCTTCGATACGCGCAGATGCTTTAATATTGCTGCAGACTAAATCGGGACATCCTACTTCTCGATGACCGTCAACATCCATTAGAGATAATATCAAATCCTTTCAAGACCTTCAAGCAATAGCTTCTTGGGTTGAGTCTAGATATTCCCCATAGTGGTCCATATAGTCCGTCGTCCAGTGCATAGCCTCACTGATTTACCACCGTCCTTCGACTTCGAGAACACCAGACCCCTTTGAATCCAATCAGTGATCCCCAGACCTCGCACTCCTAACCCCCTCCATCCCTCATCTATATCCTCCCCCTTACATCCCCAATCCACACACCAGGTCCCGGGACCACCCCAGCCCATTCATCTATTTGATAACGTCCCAACAGCCCAACACTCACCCACGCAAGGGTCGCGATAAGGCCAACCTAGAATCCGCGTCCCAACCGGCCCTCTGCGTTGACCCGTTGCGTCAGTGGTGCTAGACTGCTGGGACGGGTCGCGAGGAGAGGAAGGAAACTTGCCCCGCTTCGTGTTTAGGGGATGTGAAACGCACGCTAGTGCTATACAAGGCGAGAAATGGCGTAGGTAAGGCATTATTGGGAGATGGGCGATATGTCGAATTCTCGGACTCGCCTTGGTCCTGGGGTTCGAGAGACGTTGCGTTGCATTTCTCGAGATTACTATCAAGGTGGCTTACTGAGCGCAAGGGGTCGATCAGTCTGGTCTGCACAACGGACGACGAGCAGGCGTATCGCGAACAACATTCTGGTACATGTAGCTCTTGGTCGGACGATTCGGTTCATGCGTACGGATACCAACGGCATTCACTGGCGCGGTGCGGAGTAGAGGGTATCACGATAGCATCTGATCACGCCAGTCACTTTGATTTGATAGGAGTTTTCAATGAACTACCAGCACTGAGCGACCACCACTAACGTATAGTGAACTTCCGATCTCATGAACGCATGACAAAGTCCTAGCATCTCCAAACCGCCTAACATCTCGCGAAACATGCCGCTCGTCTGCAACGGATACCTGCCGCCCCTTGCGGCGAATTTCGCATGTCCGTAGATGGGAGCCTGCATCACATCCCAGAACAGGAACGTCGACAGTCAGTGGTTGGTTGGCGGATTTACCGATGGAGGCGGGGTTGGAGGCTGGTGAAACGCGGATGGCGGCAGCGAGGGGTTTCGGATCGGATGCGGGTTGGGGGTTGTGGGGGACTCAGGGAAAGGGGAGTTGGATATCTGGGAGATGTCGCCAGGGTATGATATTGCTCACGTCAGATTTCGAAGGGGAGGGATGGAGTTATTGGAGATAGCGAAATAGCATGGGATTTGGGGTGGCGAATTGGATCTGGCATGGGGGGATGATGAAGGCAGGCGTCGAGGGAAGGGGAGGAGATGCTGCGATGTTCCTTGCTGGACTGGGGGCTGGGAACTCGTAGACTCGTAGTACAGGAGCGATTCGTGATAATGAAGTACCGAAGGCGTGGAGATATGGTGACGCAACAGCAGAAAGCTCGAGTCGATTGGGTGATTTCAATTCCAATTCCATTGCCAATTGACGGCTATCGGTATTACGTAGCTTACCGTTTGCTGCCGTACGACGTGAATTTCCCGTGTACTTCTTCTGAAAGCGTGAATGTAGTATCGGTCATGTCACGATCTTGCCTGGGGTTGTTAGGCGTGCCGATCACTCGATCCAAGGACCAAAGTCGTCCGACAAACGACGGAGGAGAGATGGACACGCGATCGGCAGATTCTGGAATGGTCTGCGACAGGATATCGAGGGTCGAAACCTCATCTCGTCATTGGTTCATCTTATCCGCCCGTATCTCCTTCGGACTGCGAACAAAGACGATGTCTGGAGAGACGGCACAACAGTAATGTTGATCTCGTGAATCTCAACCGCCATACCCCGCGATCGTCGTCACGAAGCATTCGGCCGTTTCCGATGCCAATATTCATGATCAATGATGGCATTGGGGCTCCATGATCTCAACGCACCAGCCAGGGCGGTCGCAGGAGCGGTTGGAGGCTCATGGCGTCTGGGAGCGCCCAAATTTGGTGAGCCAGGACGCCGAGGCCGCCCGAGGAAACTCGCGCAATTGGCGGAGGACGCCACCACCCGCCCAATTGCAAGTGTTTTACGGATGGCAGGCGACGGACAGTTTGAAGGGATTGGCAGGCAAGGGTGTCAGCTCACAAGGCGATCGCTGAGCCCTTGACCTCACGATATCATCTGCAACGAAGCTAAGGTTTCTCAGCCTTCGAAGGAGGCTGAGGGTCATTGGGTGGTTGAATTAGCGTGCATAGGGAAGCTTTCTATTCGAAGAAACCGAGAGAAAGTCCTGCAGGAGACAGGACGAGCAAGGAGGGGAGGGCAACAACAACAACAACGACGACGAGGAGGTTGGAAAGCGCGACTGGATCCTGGAGACGATTGATGCAATTTGAGACGAGCCTGAGATGGGGCGAATTGTTAGCTGCAGGGAAAGCGGGGCGAGGGCTCGATTGTTGTGGATTTTGCCCTGCCACCTTGAGATCTTTTTTCACTCTGCTACGGTTCTCCATTGGCAATTGCATGCATCGCCCCTGCCGCGTGCCGATATGAATGAGCACTTGACACCGGCTCTCGACCAGGGGGTGGCCGCATCGAGGCAAGCGTAGGCGCCGCAGTTGCCCCGCAGACCAATCAGGTGGCGATCTAACGTGTCCACCGCCTCCAATGGAATGGACTTGTGGAGTTGGACTGGAAATGGAGGTGCATGGATGATGGAATCGCGAAGTGAAGGTTTGGAACAGGTGCGAATCCAAGAGCCAAATCGTGGGATGCTGGTGGAATGCTGGTTAATTGCTGGATGAATGCTGGCTGCGCAAGGCTGGAAGCAGGAAATCGGGAGTGAGATGAGAATCGAGGCGCTTCATGATAGTGTAGATCCAATCAGATTGATGGAATCCCCCTAGTCAAAACTCAAAAGGCCTTAGCACGAACTGTCGAATCATCAACCCCCAGAAGGCAAAAACCCGCCCGTCTGCAGCAGCATCTCGCTCTCTCCTGCCGCCGCTCTCCTGCCTCCATCAAGTCCAGCTTCATCTTGAAACAACGTGCTTCTTCGTCGCCTTTCTCGCCTCCTCTCCGCATTTCGCTCCACTCACATTCTTCATCTTTATGGGAGTGACTTCACCATCTATAACAATCGTTTTTCATTGGCGTCATTGCTAGATTACCATCGCATTGTAATCTGCAGCTCGTTACTCTCTCCGGTTCCGGTTCCGGACTTGGCTGTTCGTTCACTTCGTTGGCGTCATTCCACTGGCCCAGGCACCTGACTCTGCAGTGACTGGACAGTGGACAGACTGCCCTGGATCACGGGACCCGCCGGCCACACAGACCACAGCCGCACTTCTCCTCAAATCCTCCCACCACCGAACCACCGCAGACTCCAACTCGACCACTCATCTCTCTCTCCCACTCTCTCATTCTCTTTGTCCACTCACCACTTCTCTCCCACTCTCACCGCCATCCGCCAAACATCCCGCATTTTCCATTCACAACCTTCCCAACATCTTCCAAATTCACATCGACATTAACATCGCTATCGACAACTCCCACGCTGGCTTTCGCTCGATAACCCTCACCCCCCGAAATCGCCCGCATGTCGAATCACGGCCTTTTCTTCGGTGCTCCGCCGCCTCACCAACAACATCACTCGCACTCGGGACATGCCGCTCACTCGCACAATCACCACGGTGGTCGTTCAAGACGAGCACCGCGCATGTCGTCAGCCGCGCATCATCACAAACAGCAGCAACAGCAGCAAATGCGGGTGGCGCGTACACACAAAGACATCGTGGAGGCAGCCGCCGTGAGTGCGTACCGATTGAACTTCGAAGCCGCACGGTCCTTCGACCTGGAAGACGACGAGCTGTTCTGTCCGTTTAGCTTGTTGACCGATGAGGATGTATGTGCAGGAATTCTCCCGATGCAACGTGATGATACCGCGCTTTTCGAGTCGATGATGCTGACCGCAATTCTCAATCAGCTCACCTCCATGCACTCCTCCGGATCCGATCGTTCGTCGCTATCCAGCGGCTCCCCCGAGCAATCGCCTCTGCAACATCAACTCCAACCTACACCCGCCTTCATGCTTCCCGCTTCGACCTACCTACAATCCCTCTCATCGCAACATCCATCATCGACAAAGATACACCAGCCAATCGCACAACGCTCCTCTGGCAAGGCCATCCCGATCGTCAATCCAGCCACTCGCAACATCGCAAGCCCTCCTCCATCTATCTCGCCTGCAAGACAGATGGTTGGACGGGTTTGGTAATGTCCGTCCTTGGACTTTGCGACGGCCGGGTCAAATCCACCCATCGATCTTCCATCGATCTTCCATCGATCCGCCAATTTAATCCTTTCCGATGTCCGTTTCATGACCCTAAGCGTTCTGTGTTGCTAAGACTTCGCGCTGGTGTATCCGCGTCTTCCCTCCCTGGCCTCTCGGACGATCCTCCACCGTTCTCGGTCGCCTTCCTCTTCGATTCTCTCCGACCTGTACAAAGTATACCTTTACTTTCCCCTATCTCTTTATTCGATATCGGGAACGACGACACCTTTAAACCACGGGTGATATCACGAAGTCTGTCTTGGACTGCAACGGCGTTTTTATCACGATTCAATATTCAAATCATGAAACGGGGACTACGAGCGAGTCTTTGATTTTCTCCAAGACAAAAAATAAAACATCGAAATAGAATTGCATCATGGTGGGGAACTAGGAAGATCGATTAAGGTGGATTTGTATCAACCGTTCGATCTCGCAGTTGTGTTTTCTTGGGTTGCGTTTCCTTTGGGTTTTTCTGCATGCCACGGCTGTCCGGTGTCTCCGATGTTCTTTCGTCTATTTCCTCCCTCTCTCCCACTCTCTGCGCGAAATACCTCATCTCACGATCACGTCGACTCATGATCCTGGATAATCGGACCCGGAGTTCTCTGTTTTTTTCCCTCCTCCCCCTTCTCTCCCCCCGCGACGATACACATACATATCTGTATTGTCTTTGTCCAAAAACACACCAGCATCCGCAACCGATTGAAAACAACGGGATGGCGAAACCAACATGGCAAATATCCGGGGCTTTTTTTCTTTCTTATGTACGTCGAGGATGACTTACATCGGGATGCAATATGCGCAAATGGTCGACGAAACGAGCGGGGTTTTCCGGTGGTTTTCGAGGCGCACATTTCGACATCGGCGCGTTGTTGCCTTTCCGGCTATGGACGGCATCCTTCCCCCCCTCTCTCCCTCTATATCTCCCTCTCGCAACGGCATGGCAGCATGGAATGGTTCGGTTCGGTTCGGTTGGTTCATCATGCGGCACGGTGTTTGCGATCTCCCAGGAAACGGACATCTGACTTTGTTGTTGTGGTTTTGCCTGTCCATCTCCTGTACATTTTCTCTATTCCATCCCATCCATCCATTCCGTTTTTGGTGCGGTCCTTCCCTGTTTCTATTGCTATCCTGCTCGCCTCGCTTTCCTTGCCTTCTTCCAACGAACTTGCCGGTGTCGGTGCGGTTTGGACGGCTTTCGGGATACGATACTATAGTTTGCAAGATTGCGATGCGATGCGATGCGCCTGGATCTGGACTGGATCTCCGAAATCGGGATGGTCGGAATCGGATGGATGCGATATTCTCGGAGTTTGTTTTCCCCTTTCCGTCGGTTGATTTCGGTGTGTATGTGGTTCGGTCTGGACGGATGTGCGGCATTGACGAGCGTGTTTTACTTATGGTTGGTTCGCGGGGTGTTGCATTGGTCGGATGCGTCTGGTGTGTGTGTGTGTGTGTGTGTTGTGTGTTTCTGGGATATTTCGGTGTTCGATATTGGAGATGGGATGGGATGGGATGGGAGAACCTACCGCGCCTTGCCTACCAATCTGCCTGCCTGCCTGCCTGCCTGCCTGTTGCCTGTTGTTGTATGTCATAGCCATGAGGGATAGCAATGCATAGCGCGCTTTTCCAATCTTCAATGTTGGGGACTAACACTGTGTGACGTGAAATGTGTCGTGGATATCTGATCGTTCATCGCATCTCTAGTCGCGCCGGCCCATGTAATTATGCACTTTCGGTCGAGCTCCTTCCTCAAGGTAGCATTTTCATCGCGTGGTCTTCGGGTACCTCCCAATAGTTTCATCTTCCTTGGATCTCCTGCACAAGATTTTATCGATCAGCCAACCTCGTCCAGAATCCTGCTTCCAATGGCGGTCTTGTCAATTCTCGTCGTCGTCACGTCAAGTCATGGCATGGCATCCCTGAAGCGCAGCGGTACGCAATGTGGACGGGACATGGATCGCTTTCATGAATCACCCCCGGTGTGAACTTCCTCCCAGCCCGATGTCGTTCCATAGCTCTCGCGCTGTAGCATTTGTTTATCACATAGGTAGGTGCATTTATTCTGTACTGTCCTATACCCGGTTTCCGTTGCTACGGTAGGTAAGGAGAAGTCGGCGCCCTTCACTTCATGATGAGCACTGCCAGCGCTGCTCGACATCCGCAGGGCTAACCGGAACTTCGCTCTCATGCTTTCTCAATGTCCTCATTTATTGTTCTATTAACTTTCGCATTCGTATCTTGTTTTCTATCCTCAAAGTCAACCGATCTCTACCGGAGGAATGGGGACACAAGGCCACAAGGCACTAACACATTTAATTAGGCAGCCTAGGTAGTTCCCCACATTGGCCTCGCAGAGAGGCCTGACAGGCGTATGAACCTCTCTCTCTCTCTCCTCTTGCCTTTGAATTTCGGTTGAAGCTATTGGTCATCTCGACTTATGTACCAATGAGGTTGAGCCGTTGAGGTGAGGATGCTACTCAACCAATGCCGGCTAAGAATAAGCTTTGCATGTTTAAAATCATCGTGGTGGTTAGCAAAGTGGATCTCTGATAGGTTCATGTGTAGCCTCACTACAGCGACACCTGCGGCGACTGTTGTCAGTTTTTCCACCATGTCAAAGCTGCGGCGGTTAAATACCATTCATCACAACTATTCTTCCACCGCATCAAAGTTCCTATATGAGACACGAGCTGCTCACACCGAAGAACAATTCAACTCAAATGCCTTAAGCGACACGCTAGGGTCGAACTGCAACACTGCACAAATCTCAACCCGACCTCAATTACCGCCGCCTATGCCACTTTGCCTTTATCTTGAAATGCGATGACAACCCTTATGCGTGAGTTCGAACTTACAGGGGCTAGATACCAGCCTTGTACTGTCCTACGCGATCATCACATCCCTTACGTGATTTGGTTTGAAGATGCCCTCCTACGCTATGGTATCCCGACAGGAATCTTTCATCTCTATCTTCTAGTCAATAACCTGGACGAAGCCGCTGAGGTTTTGATACAGCGGCTCGGCTGGACCTTGAGTTCGGCACCAGCAAGGATTGGAAGCGCGACTGTCGACACGCCGCAGCGCCGACTGCTGCCTCCAACCAATGACAATGAGGTACAAGATCCTCAATCAGTTCGTCTAGTTGGCGCTATATCGGAACCAGGAGAGACCATCCTGCTTCCTGCCAAAGACTAGCATTTTGATTTCTCAACGGGCCGTGTCATGGCGCAAAATCTCTCACTTCCTCCGTTCCTCGGCTCCCAGCGCTTCTTGATTCTCTTATCGGAGCTCTACTAGACGATCCATTGGAGGACCCGCTATATTGGCTCCATATCACCTGTCACGTCGAGTACCTCTACCGCTACAATATAGATGTCAAGGTCAAGTCGTTTGCGCAGAAATTAAAGAGGAAGCATCAACAGTACCATTTTGATATGCTATCAGGAATGGACAGAGGAAATCTGCGGTGGTATCGTCACGAACGCAAAATTCGAGATGCTTTGCGGGATGGCTCGTGGACACTGTGCGATTGTTCTCTTGATGCGGACGCGGATCCTACGACGCAACTCGAGGGCGCCTAAGACGCCGTGCCAAAGTCATCTTGACCCAGCTGCGATATCTAGGGTTAATGATGGTATTTGGCATCATGTCGATGAGTCTCACTAGTGCGTCTAAGACCTATACTCGCTTATACCAAGCGACGCTATTGAATCTGAAGTTGTCTGCAGCCTTTTCCAGCCAAAGGCCTAAGGGGGAGAAAGTTCTTGGAGTGGCCTGCATCGATGTACTGCTACTAGGCCGGCATTGACAGATATCCCAGCCCCTGTGATCACGACGATCTACTTTCTTTTCAACATAATCGATTATAATAGGCCAGAAAGAGCAAGTCTTCTCCCTCTTGCTGTGAATATTCTGGCCCAGTCGCGTAAAGGAAGGATGAAAGGGACCGATAGGGGCAAGCAGACGGCTTTTCTGAGGACTCGATATCTACAGTACAACAAATGGGACCCCTCTGGAATCTGCTGAAGCAAGTGATTCTAATCAAACTAGCAATTTCTTCGAGTTCAATGTATGATTGAGAATGCATCGGGTTGTAGGATCTAATTATCACGACGATATGCCAAGGTACTTGGTCTTTGTGTCAAATGTAACCAACTAAGCTAAATCCCCAAAAAGGGACGCCCCTACTAGGAGGCTAGTAGAAGGGCAGATATAGCTAAGGTAATTTTCCTGTGACACTTTGGTCGCCAGGCTGCGGTGCATCGGACCCATTAGAACCTCTTAAGTCAAAGCATCGGCATTCAACTGTTCAAGGGAATCGAACCAACTTGCGTTCAAAATTGACTCACAAGCTCAAGTGGCTTGTACCAGGGAAGGAGACCAGATAGTGAATTGCTCCAGAACTGGCCGTGTAGAACTGGTCATCCGACTCGAGCCTTAATTATGTCTCATTGAAGCGTATTGTGACGCAAGGCGTATCTAGCCTTCTAGAATCTAGCCGTTCTGGCGCAGAGGTAGCTTGCACGTGCCGCGTTGAGACCATGTTCCGTTTAATATATTGTCGCATTAAACAACATGAAAAACATTAACAGCTTGCCACTTTTCTTCCATACCATGTACCTGTTTCGTACATTGCACATCTCACTTTTCAGGTTCGCTACAGTCATTCCTTCCGTTTCTCAGCTATGTCGAGAATTTCAACGTTGACCGCTTCGGAGGCTGGAATGCCGCGACAAATTGATCTGTCTAAGTGTTGTGTTGGAGTCTACAGTTCGGCCCACTCTCAGATGAACTTTCGTATGAGAATCGCCAACCCGGTCATAAACTCATATGTTTTGCCGAAAGACACAGACCATCCACACTCAGATGACAATGCCCGCTCTCAGATGAACTTTCCTTCTTACACTACCTTATACCAGCTGTTCTGTGCTCTGCCGTCGCAACCTTTGGACACGGAGCCTTGGGGGCAAGATGTAAGTTCCAACGGAATGCATTTCAAATGCATTTTGAAAGCATTCTGAACCAACACAGCTTTGGGCGAACTCTTCTAATAGGTTAGAAATGAATTACGAACATATCCCTAATACATTATATACCAAATCTTTAGAAACTGGGCTATAATAAATGTATTCCTAATGCATTATGCATACATTTTGGCAGGTTCGTCTGAGTGTGAGAAGTAGTATGGACCGTGCGGGTCATGTAATGTGCCTCTATGGACCGTGCACTCTCAGACGAAAACTCATCTGAGGGTGGGACGACCTGCAGACTCAATGGCCGGCTTGGTGACTCTCACACGAAAGTTCATCTGAGAGTGGGGCGATCCGTGCAAGTCAGTGAGTAAGTCACGTGATCTCTGTGACTGATCTGGCCTAGTTCAAATACCAAAGTTGTCCCTTGCCCTTGGTCAGAATACCAGGATACAACACTTAGCCCTAATATGTTCTCGGCTACCGACGTCGGACGTCGACCTGTACGGGTCGCATAAGACTCGTATACGAATTGCCAAGGCTTGGGTCAATTACCGTATACTATACGTCTATACCCCATGGCCATTGTTCTGGTCATAGGCCCTCACGGAGTAAGGGAAATATCGTGAAGGAATTGAAGGCTCAAAACGGTCTGAAACACTACTTCAATTGCGCATCATCTCCGGATCTCGCGATCGTCGAGACTGTTTCCAACCGACGAAGCAACACGTACGTAAATATACCCATTGGGAGCCCAACTAGACGTAACAGCTTCTAAAAGACGGATAGGACGGTGTTAAGCAGGAATGGATCAATTCCCGCATTGATCCTATGCCTGAAAAGCTTCAGGTCGTGATAGACAGAGGGACAACTGATTGGAGGTTTTAAGGCGGAAACCCCTAGAATCTGTTAGATATAGAGCTTTTAAGCGTCCTAGATAGCATCATTTATATTTAACAGTGTTTAAACTTGTGTTAGTTGAGAAATTCAATCAATAACACATGCGGTTTTTGTACACTGATGCAGACTCCTCTCAAAGTGATGGGCCCCGAAATCTGTCGCCTGGGTGCCGGGCCTGCCGGGAACCGCAAAATCAATCCCTGCCAAGACCTTGTGTCATTTGTCCGGCACCCGCTTCGGATCAATATCCGAACCTATCGTCAGATGGGATGTTGCTCGGCGGCTGAGAAGGGGTCCTCGTACATCGGCGTTCAATCTATATACGAAGTTATACGAAGTTGACCTCACCGGAGACGAATCTTTTCTGGCCCTTAGGGTAAACCGTTTATTCGGCCTCGCATAAAAGCAGGAGTCTGGAGGAGGGAGTGGCGCGGATTTCCATCCAATGGAGGGCATCATTTCCTGGGATGGTCTACATATCAGTCTGAGTAATATGTTTTCGGCTTCTGTTCTAAGTCTTCTCTTTCGACGTTCCTCAGTTAAGATTGCCCCAAGCAACGGTGACTGGGCAATGTTCTCCATCCACAATGCTTATTGTTCTTGGCCTAGGTACTTTGGTACTATGGTCTCCCTCGTCGTTTTATGCTCGCCTGTGAAGTAGATTGAAGATGAGCTTCACACTGCGCCTGCGTGAAGTATTATATCTCCGCAAATTACGTGGAGAGCCTGGGGGAGGCGCCCGTCATTTCGAGATCACCCAACTGCGGTAGACATGCAGATATAAAGGGGGTTGCATCACCATCGGACCACAGTGTCAGTACGGCCTGAACGACACCTTGAATTCCATTCATTCCCAAGCCCAGAGCTTCTCTGGACAGTCAGTCCTTTGATAACCAAATCTTTTTCCAATATTTTCTTTCCAACATGAAGGTTGCTTCCATTCTTACCCTGCTTGCGGGCATCGCCACCGCAGCCCCGGTGGCAGAGCCAGTCGAGGCCCGTCAATTGTTCGGTGTCGGCATGTCTGCCAGCGAGTTCACTGAAGAAGGCTGCAAACCGGTCATCTTCATCTTTGCTCGTGGCTCGACCGAGCCGGGCAACTTCGGATTCATCGCCGGTCCAAACACGGCTAATAAGCTCAAGGACATCTTCGGCAAGGAGAACGTCGCCGCGGAGGGCGTCGACTATCCTGCGCTGTTGACCACCAACTTCCTCCCGTCGGGCGGTGACCCCACTGGTGTCCGCGACATGAAGGCGAAGCTTCAGAAGGCTACCCAATGCGACGGTTCCATCGTCGTCGCCGGTGGTTACAGGTTCGCCCAATCCCAGCTCTTCAACCTCGCCACCCCATTCTAACCATCATATAGCCAAGGTGCCGCCATCACCCACGAGGCCATCGAAGACTCCCCTTCGCAAGTCGTTTCCCGCATCGCCGGCGTCGTCACCTTCGGCGACACCAAGAAGCTGCAGTCCCGCGGCAAGATCCAAGGTATCCCCCCGGAGAACTTCAAGATCATCTGCGCCATAGGCGACCTTGTCTGCAGCGGCACCTTGATCATCACCGTGGCCCATCTGACCTACATGGTGGACGGGGACGACGCGGGCGAGTTCCTGGCGCAACGCATCCGCGCTGCTCAGAGCAGCGGTGGCTCATCCGGCGGATCGACTGGTGGCTTCGCCGAGAGCAGCAATAGCGGCCTTGGCGCCAGCGGCGGCGGGCTTTTCGGAGGCCTCTTCAGCGGGGTCGGGCAGTAGATATTTCTGATGTCCCATTACCGGCGACACATTGGTTGCCTCGGGGACAGAAGCTGATCTGGCCATGTGCGGTGAGCGTGGAGCACTGAGCGTGGATGACGATACGCCTGGGCGGCGAAGCGACCCTTGGATACCCATTATTCTAATCGTTGTTGTAAATAACATCTCCTATCACCTATGGGAGCGACCGGCAATTTTACTTCATCACATCACCTTCAGGCAACCATCGCAGTAGCGACCTCACGCGCTGTTTACTTCCCCTTTCTCCAAAATATATCGGTTATTATCAATGCAGGTTATAACCTCAGGCTCCCAGCCTCCAGAGCTGATGCCCTGGCCTGCGCCATCCCTCTGCCGTTCGAGTATTACAGTACATACTGCTGAGGCTGGTGAGATTTTCCACCCAGTTTCCCAATTGATACTAGTATAGAATAAATTACATCAAGCAAGTCGTTCACGATCGTACGCACTCCTAACTATAGATATACGTTTGTAAGTACATATTCTCGAACTGTTCGCGTGTAAGCGCTCTCCATGTAGCACTTCCATAAGCATACGAAAGGGTGTTCGGCGGGAGGCTTCCGTCTACTCCTCTCAAATAACCTATATCAGCTAGTCTATATTATCACGCCTATCTTCTTTCTACTGACGTCACTGGCTCTTGCGCGGACCGAGTCCTTTCCATGAATTTGAAGCCGCCTCTGCTAGTGCGCGCTTAGGGCGCTCTCTAAGCACATTTTGAGCATCGGCTTGTGCAAATCTTTCAGCGTAGAAAGCTTCCACATCTCCAAAGTGATAATTCCATGCCATTGTTGGAGTGCAGGAAGCATACACTCCGCTTGTAGCGAGAGCCATATTCCGTGCTTCGATCACTTCTATGGGGTCCTTTTCCTGCCCTGTCTCCGCCAAAAAATTGTTCAATGTGTTCAAGTCACTGCAGTTATACAGAGTGGGCTGAAGCCGTCGACACTCGACGTCAGCAAAGAACTCTTCTAACGACAAAGGTTGCCAGGCAGACTGTAGAGGGGGTTGAGCCGTAGTAATAGACACTTTAATAGAAACAGATGAAGGCAAATGAGATGGAGTAGGGGAAGACACAAGAGCAGGTTCAGGAATCGATACAGATATAGAAGTAGTTATAGCATTCGCAGCTAGTAAAGATGTAGGAATTAACACGGCGACAGAGGTATTTATGTGTCGTAAGACATCAGCAAGTGTTTGACCCTGGGATTAAGGAAGAGACGGCAGTGCACGTCGTTCAACTGCGGCTCTAGGATAGATCGATATAGGCTTAGAGAGAGGATTATTGACCGACCTTGCTTACGTTGATAGCGCCAATAATCGTCGTAAAGGTGGTTTGGTCGTAACGTCGATCCAGAATGCATCACATCTCGCAGCGTATGATGACATGGAAGACCATTTATCTTCTCAAAGAGGCCAGAACAAGGATTCCCCCGACGACGTTATGTTTGCTCCTTCTGGTGCAGCAGATCCTGTTGTCTAATGCGTTCAAATGCTGGTGGGGTAAGGATGTCATGAATGCCGGGAGGCAGGAATGGCATTGCCGCATTGACTCCAGTCTGTACTTGAATTTAACGCTGCGTTTAGAAGAAGCAATCTGTTTCCTGTACTTGTTGTATTGACTGTTGACCACCTGCTCAATCCTTCCAACAACACGCAGCAAGTCGCCTCTTGCCCTCGTGCTCGGTCTCTTAATGAAACAGCGGATGTCTTCAGCCGCGTGCTCAATAAGCCAATCGTGATCCGTCAGGTACTTGTGGATGAGTATGTCAAACAGCCACAGGTCCACACTGATCTCACATATCGGGGTAGTAACTGGGCGCCTATCTGGACAACTGCGTTTGATGCGATCCGCGATGGCGAATGTGCAGCCGTTACCCCAAATTTGGCTCAAATACTTGGCCGCGAACCTGAGCAATTTGACACAACTATTAGGAACATGCTTTCGACTTGAGCGAAAGGGATGTAACGGTCTTGGGCTTCTGGCCCAGATTGATGGCTCTTTGGCCTGGCGGCCTTGGGAAGAGTGCCTTGTTGCCTCGTTCCCTTGCAACTGCAACACGCAGTAGTGGAACTTGCAGGGGCCAATCAACCGTTGATATACCGTTGATCCACCGTTGAAAGAAATCAACCGTTGATACGAATCAACCGAAGTTTCCCCGTTGATTTCGCATCTTCGTATAACGCATTCAACGGTTGATTTTCGCCTACACCGTTGATTTCATTATACGTATAGACTTATTCAACGGTATATCAACGGTTGATCGGGGTCTATACCGTTGATTGGTTTGTCCACCGCAGATCGACTACTAATCACGTGGTTCACTTGCAGGAATGTTTTACTCGTTACAACCAGCCCCCCATGCTGCTTGAATGTTTTGCTAAGCTTATCGGAAAGCCTGTGTATTATACATACATCGCTGTATCGCGTGTAAAATCCCCTTCATGTTAAGAGTCGAACAGAGTTGGGTGGGTTAGAGGTAGTGCGGCGCTCCTGTGGTCGGTGTAGAGAGACTTTACCTCCCACGGTAGGAAGTGTATGCCGGTGTATTGTTTTCGTCCCATCGGTCCCAGACACCCATTTGATGCCATCAGTGCAGCGATCTATCCATCTATTCATCTCGTCCATCCATCATACACTTTGTAAGCCATCAGAATCCATCCACCCATCTATCCATCCATCTATCCATCCATCCATCCATCCATCCATCCATCCATCTATCGTATAGTTTGCAAGCCACCAGAGCGCCCTTCTTATTACACAGATCCGTCTCATCTATCTCTCCTGACAGCCAGCTATCTTAAGCTTGTCTGGCGCCAGGCACTACATAAAGTGGATCTTGCTCCAGTTTACATATAGCAGCGTGTCCGAATCCTTGTCCAACGGTATCTCATTGTCATGTCCGTCGTGTTCCTTGACGGGGAGGATAAAGAGCTTGGTAGCTTCGATAGCAGGAAGGCCGACGAAGAACTGCTGCTCCTCGCCTTCAATACGCAGGAGAGGGAGCTTGAGAATAGGGTCAATACGTCCGGTGGCTTGCGAGGTCGATACAGGATTGACGCATCCGGTGTGTTGTGAGGTAGGCGCAGGATCGACACGTTCGGTGGGTTGCAAGGTGGGCGTCAGGATGAGGAACAGGCGCTTATAGCCGGGCAGCGCTTCATGCGTGAAGATATCGTCGATACCGCATACCTTAAGGGTGGTACCACGGACCTGGATGAAGTCACCTCGTCCAAAAGTAGTCCTCTTATTATTGGCATCAAACGAGAACTTCTTCCACCACTCGACGACACTGGTTCCCATATGGTGTACGTTCCGCCCATAGTCTCGGAGATAGGCAGAGGATAAATTACCACGGAAACCTGCTGTCATATGTGACGGGCGTGTAGGGAGCTTGAGCGTCTCGCGGCAATACTTCTGCTGGATCTTAGACTGCGCTGTAGGATTACGATGACCATCGTCAAAGATGATGTTCTCGACGGTATCGCCGGTATTATCTTCATCGATCGCCAGACGCATAGTCTCCTGTGGAAACAGAGTGCGGAAGAGCGTTGGACAGGCTTGGTCAATGTCTTGGAGCTGCTTAGTGATCTTGGCATTAGGAAAGGCACCGGTAAGGGCGAGGCGGAGGGTTTGACGAATATTCTCGCGCTAGAGGAGGTCCTTCTCAGGGTTGCGCTTATTTGTAAGGAGGATGGCATTCTTGTACTCCTTATGCTTGTTCTCACCAGGCAGGACACCCGCGTTAGCAGGGATGGCATACTCACGGAGAACCTCTTGAAAATGTAAACCAATATGGACATTTGGCCTCTGCTGATCCCGTTGGAACTGGATGGCCTTTTTTGTGGTGAGGGCACCATCTATGGCTGTCTGTCCTTGCATTGGCCCTGGCGTCTCGATCGATGAGACGACTATCTGGCTAGCAGTTGATTTTCCGCCTACCTGGGGGGCAGTATCTGAGGCAGGCGGATTAACAGATGTCCGACGACTCGACGACGCAAGAGCAGCAGCTCTGCAGAGCCGCTTAAACATGTCACGGCACCGCTTGATATCCGTATCGAAAGTTTGACGCTCTCCTTGCGTCAGGTGAGAAGCAGTGCAGAGCATGTTAGACTTGGCAATCGCCGATAACGCCGTAACGATCAAGTTTGGGACAAGCTGTCTGCTGGGGTTCTTGCTAGATTCACCAATCTCGACCATAATATCTTTAAACGCAATATGGACGCCCTCGAAGTACGCATTCTGGATATGCTTTTCGCGTAACCAAACTCGAGCCAGGCAGGGGGCAATAACGCTCCATCGGGCGTGCTCTTGAAGGGAGTAGCTTCCGATGTAGTGCTCAGGAGCTTGGAGACGACCCCATCCGGGAGGGAACGGAAAAGAGCGGAGCAACCGACCATATTCGGCTGCGGCCTTTTTTGTCAAGAGATCTCCATTCCACAGAAGGTGCGTAAGCTTCGTGATGCCATTGAGTTCAGAGTGGAAAGGATCGGGAGGACGGGAGAGGACGAGATCAAGAGCAGGACTCAGTTTCATCAATGCCGGGTCCTCTGCTTCCATACCTAACTTATCGGCCGTAATCTTCCTCTGGATCTTGTTAGGTCTGCTTCGGATAGAAGCCCTCTGACGTATAACTTCATAGTGGTATCGGCCGCGGGCTTCGATATCAAAATCAAGGAGGCCACGTTGGGCAGTCTCGACAAGACACATCCTGCAAGTAGATTCGGCGGCGACAGATCGGAAGCCTGAATTGGTCTGCTGCTGGGGCATATCACCAATATATGCCATAACAGAGACGCAGACGGTAAACTGCTTACCGGTGATAAGCATATCAATGCCTCGTTCGAGCTGTGTTATTCTACCTCTAAGGGCATCGGTAACCTCTGTAAAGTTGCTGCCATGCGGGCCGAGTGTAAGTGGGAAGACATTCTGCCTCTTATTACGGTCTGAACTGCGGAGAGGCGCTAATAAGAGATAGAACCCCATAATCGTACGGTACATGTTCCGAAATAAGCCGAACCCGTCAAGAAAGGCGAGCAGGGGAATAGAGATAATGTTAGAACTTTTGCTAAACTTGTCAACGAGATACTGGCGACCATATTCCGCTATCTCTATCTGGCCACGGATAGCCCTAGACTGGTTTAGAGGGCGGATATTGTCCCCACGGAAAATACGGCGGATAAAGAGCTGGCCTTGAATATGGCTCTTGTCGTCTCTAAGCTTAACGCTGCTCTCGAAGGCATAGTCAAGGAAGATGTCAAAGTTGAAGGTATATGGAGTAAGAGCACTCTCGAGAACCATAGAAATATCATCCTCTAGGATCACTAGTTCCTTATTTTCTGGCAGAGGGTCAAGCTTGATGATCATGAGCAAGAGATCCCGGCGTGTATCCATAAGATCGATGAACGGAACGATCTTTTGGACCTCGACGACGACCGATCCAATAGGGCCACGATGCTCACGTTGGCTACGGTAGTCTCTACCAAACGAGAGAATGCGACCGATGTGATTTTTGTCAGCGTCTGTGTGGCAGCGGCATATAGCTTCGTTGCACTGGTATAGTACAATATCAGACGGAAAGACTACCTGGCCTTCGGGGAGACGCGGGAACTCGCCGGAGGAGTAGCGGATTGAAGAGGCCCAGGCGGTAGAGTGCCAGAGCTCTGCCGGCTCATCAACGAAATGGGCCATTCCGATATGCATACGCTCGCGGATCGTTGATGAGAGAATAGCTTGGAAGAGGTAGATAGGGTTAAAGAAGAAGAGGTTGTCAGGCGCAGTGGCAACCTGACCCGCTGCTAATGCTCTGCTCATAATGATTTTCCTCCTTGAGGCAGGCAGCTTGGCAATATTAAGCTTGATGGGGGTCTGACGGAGCTCAAGGAGAGGGAGTTGGCCAACAGCATGTAGCTTCAGGGTATCTAGGGCCTTTGGCAGCTTCTTTACAGCGTCATCGCTCAGCATATTAAGGATTTCTCGAAGGCCTGTCCACTGAGCGCGTGAGATACCTGCCTCTTGACACCATAGGCCGAGTGCAACCTCAAAGTCTGATGTAGGGGCTGCTCGAGGGTTGGGGACAGGTGTTGAGTCGTCGAAGTCCGCAGGCGGTTGGATGGCCGCAGTGGCCTCAGCAGTGACGTGACTAGGACCAGCGACCGTGTCAAATACAGCGGTAGAAGGTGCGGCAGTGAAAGATGGCTGATATCCAACTGTGGCAGATATAACAGTCTCTATATCGTCCTCATCGATAGTATCGACAGGAACCGTTGGTATTATATCTTCCTCTTCAGGATCCTGGAACTGCTCGAGCAGCCGAAGATCGTGTAGATCTAGAAGGGTTGTCTCATTATCGTCAACGACTTCAGCCTGGTCAGTCTGGAGGCCAATGAGGTTCTCTGTAAGGTCATCAGAGGCAAGATCCTATTTACCTGTAAGTCATTCTGTTGAATATTTATCAGATTTATTATATCCATTATACTTACGGCATGTAGGTCAGGACTGACGTTATAATCACTTTCGTCATCACTAAACCCAGCTAGGAATTCTCTATCGTCCACAAGTTCTTCCTTAATCTTCCTCTTCTTTGAAGAGCTTCCTTCTTGGTCCCTACTATGCCTTTGTGTCGTTTTGGCAAGGAGTATATCCGCTAGGCCTCGAATAGGGATACGAGACATCTTAACGAGGTCGGATCTAATGGGTATATAGAGATGATTGATGATACGAGTGAGAATAGGAAATAAGGATAAGATTAAGAATGAAGAGTGTAAGTGTAAGTTCTGTTGTAGCAGGTGAGGCTGTGGTAGATAAGAGGTTGCATGTGGGAATTTTAATGTGTTAAGTACGTTTGTAGCAGGTACGGAATATAAGAAATGGAAGGCACACTGGCGTATCAGGACTTTGCAATTTTCGAAATCCACCACCGGTATGCACCTAAGTTGTTCTCGCAATTGAGAATACAGTAGGCTATTAGACATAGTATCGTATTCTATTCTATTTACTTTATCATTCAAAAGAAAACTAGTAAAGGAAATTACATTCCGGGCAGACAGGCAGGTAGGCGGGTAGTAGGATCCACTATAGCAGGTAGACAATACGTGCCGGAATAAGAAGTATACTAGGAACCATCCTTAGCAACGGATCATCATCTACTAGGTTATAAAGATATAGATTAGGGAGTAGGTCTTCTATTGGCGGTAGAGATGACCTAGAGGAACTAGAAGCCAAGACATATTAAGGGGTTAGGGAACTGGGTTTGGTTGTCTAAGAACCACATACCGTGTATGTATCCTATACCCAAGAATACGTTGGGAATCCCAAAGATCTAGAAGTCCAGGCACAATGCCACCTAGCGGCTGTGTAAGCAGTACTATACTATAGAAATATTGCACGAAAACGGAGCATCTGATAGAAAAGCACAGGAATATAAAATACAGAGCAGAAAACACAGTTCTAAACACACTACATAAGAAAATAGGAAACAGAAACCAGACCACAAACACCAGACTACAGAAAACAACCACACGGTCCTACAGACCATAGAAAACGAAACAGCGCGAATGGAAGGGGAGAGAGGGGGGAGAGGAGGGAGGAGAGGAGAAAGGAGAGAGGAGAGGGGGGAGAAGAACGGGGACTAACCGGACCTAGAGTCGCGGGGGTGAGGAGGGGGGGCTATAAGTGCAAACGACATTGTCGCTAGTGTAGCGTCATTTTGACGCGGTGTAGGGTCCCTCTGCCCAGAGCTAATATTAAATAGCTCTTTAAAACACTCCCTATCCACGTCCTCAAACGGCTCCGCAAGGCACATTGAATACCAAGCTTTATGAAGCTTGGATTTCGCCGTTTCGGAGCCAGTCTTCTCTATACGCTCCGCCCGAACAATCCCCCACACGAACGAGCCCAGGGACATAAACATGGCTATTTTACGTTAGATTATGGGCAAAATGCGGCTTTAAATGGACAAATGCCAGGACACAGTTAGACAGAATATACATCTAGATGGATAAAATCCAGATTCAAAGGACAACTAGATAAAACATAGTTCGACAAAACACAAGAGATAAAACGCGGATATATGAAATATATAACTTACACTTGCAATAAAATTCCCCCAATTGAGAGGATTTATCTACATCTAGATATCCCTTCATATAATACCATACGTTAAGGAAATCCTCCGAAGAGAACTTTTCGCCGAGATGGAGGGCAACACCAGCGGAATCTAGTCGAGACAAGACTTGATTCAGGAGTACGTTCTGCTCGAGCCAGTCCTACATACATAGTAGTTAAATACTTAAACATTGAATTCTAGATTTGGACAAATAGATCTGGAGTTAAATATAGCGTTCTGGAGATTTAAACTTGATTTGAACTTGAAATGGACTTGGAAATGTAGATCTGGACTTGGGATATGGAATATGGACTTAAAAAGAGAAATCTAAAGGGGGAAATGAGATCTGGACTTGAAAATGGGATCTAGAAGGGGGAAATGGAAATCTAGACTTGGGGACTTAGAATTTTGAACTTACTCTCATCTTCTCGATGGTTTGGGCCTTGAACGTTTTGACTTGGTCTTTAAAGACCTGTTTGGCCCGGCGCCAGAGGGCAGAATCCGCAGTCATTTCGGCTGGAAAATCCTGGCCATATACCTTCCGGATCAACGAAGGATAGGCATCGGTGTCATGGTTGAGGAACCAACTCCACCGAGTTTCGCGCCCAAATTTCTTTGCTTGAGACAGGAAATCAAGCTCGGACTGGGACGCTTGTCCGTTCTTCGTCCCCTTACTGCGCTTCTTCGGCGCAGAGAGTTCTTCGCGGCGCTGTCGCTTGTGTGCCTTCACCACCAAATGAATCAATTACTACAATATATATGGGATTTACTCGGAAATCATAGTAAATGATTCATAGGGATATAAAAACAAGTAAACTTACGCGTGGAGAAAGGGAATCTTCCCGAACAGAGGGATTCTCATCGTCAGAATCGAGAAGAGGATAAGGAGCCTGCGCATCTAAGACCGAGTTCTGCTGTCCAGTAGACATTTTCTATAGCTTCATTGCAAGGAAAGTGTTTTACAATGATTACAGACAGAGATCTCTAAGCTAAATGCGCTTGACGATGGCGGCACAGATGGTAGAATGGGCTTTTAGATAAAACGACACACAGTTCAGAGTGGTGGCATCCATAGAAGAACTCATTCAGTGGTTGAAGTTTAACGGTGAATCAACGGTGAATTAACGGTTTATCGGAATCCTCGAGGAATTTTCAACTTCGTGTACCGGAATCTACCGTTGATCCACGGTATTTCGTAATCCACGGTATAGCACCTTCCACGTATATCATTTCTATACGTCGTCCAAGATTCAACCATCCATCCACCGTTGATTCCATTCAACCGTTGATCCACCGTTGATTGGCCCCTGCAAGTTCCGCTACTG